AGTTATCTTTATCTTTAAAGCGTTAAATCGGTCGTAGAGGGCCTATATACTAGCTTCCTAACTAATACTTAGGTAGCCGTAAGAAGATCTAGGCTACGAAGGAGGCGGTAGTAAAGGTATTTAAAGGCTAGGAGTCGTTAATCGTTAAACTATTTATATTATAGGTTTCTCGGGTTCTTCGAAAGTTACCGTTTTTTACTATCGTCGTTCTTCGGCTTAGACCTTATCGGTAATTTATATTATTATACGACGTTCCGCTTACTTATAAAGCTAGGTATAAAGAGTTCGGTAGTCGATATTTCCGATCTTATTATAGTTATAGTTTTCCGTTTTATAGAACTTTATAATTAAGGATATTCGGAGTTTATCGGTTAGGTATCTTACTTTCTAGGGAAGCTTTCCGTTATCGTTTACGAATTTAGAAAGACGTTTATAGTTTATAAGATACGTAAAGATCGCCTTAGGATCGTTAATTACGTTGCCTCGTTCTAGCTATATAAGTTTACGTTTAACGTTAGCTTAGCCTTGTTTATGTTACGGTTTTAAGAGCTATTCGTTAGGTAAAAGCCGTATGTTAATGAACTAAAGCTAAACGAGGAGAAAAAGGAAGAAAGTATACCCTATAGGCCGTACTTACGATAGCTGGCCTTATCCGCCGTAGGTACTAAGGGCCTGGTTACGTATTATGCCCTAGTACTAGCTAGGGCCTTATTATAGGTATAGCCTATTACATAAGGTCCCCTCCCGGAAAAAAAAAAAGGTACGCCTTACCGTCCTTTTCTTCGGCGTTTAGCCTTGCCGCCCTTTTCTTCGGCGTCTAGCCTTAATAACCTAACCCGTTTTCTCCGCGCCTTAGGATGCGTATCGCATCCTTAGGTGCTACCTCCGTTCCCCGGGGTACGCTACTCGCTCCCCGGGTTACTACTTCCGCCGCTTAAGGTACTGATATATCCCTAGGCCTCCTTCCGTTCGTACGTTTCTCGGGGTATTAATATCCCCCGGGTATAGCTTCCTTCCTTTCTTCCCCGGCGGTTATACTATATCCCGGGGTCTCCTCCTTCGCCGTTTCTTTCCCGGGGCCTTTCGTTTCTCGGGATATTATACCGGGCGCCTCTAGCCTTCCGGCGCTTTTCTCCCGGGTCCTACTCTTCCCCGGGATCTCTTCCGTAGGTCTCCCGGGTTTTTTCGCCTACCGGGTACGTTCTCCCGGTAACTACTTCCCCCGAGAGCCCCTTTCCCTATCCTCTTCTTCCTAGGGTACTACCGGCGCTCCGGGTATTATCTAGCTCCCCGGTATGCCATTTCCTTAGGGCCGCCGTCTTTATTTATTTCCCGGGTTACGTTATCCGCTTCCCGGGCTATTATTTTCGTTCCCCGGGATATTGCTACTCCCCGGGGGCTACTAGTTCCGATCCTCTTATTAAACCGTAGAGCTTTAAAGCCCCGCGTACGAAGTCGTAATCGGCGCTTGCTAGGTCTAGCCTAGCTCCCGTAGCTACGGGATCGTCGGTCCGTTTACCGTCGTTTAAAGACCCTCGTTTATCTTCCGCTAACGGATCCCGTCGGGTCCGCTAGAAGACGTACTAAAGTACGCCGTCCGATTCGTTTAAAGACTATCGTTTATCGTCCGCTAGCGGAGTTTAAAGGGCTCCGCTTAAGGGCGTATTAAAGCGCGCCCTTCCGTCTATTGCTAAAAGGCCTAGGGCCTTTCCTATCGTTTAAAGGCTAGGGGCCTATCCGTACTACTAGCGGAGCCGCGAGGCTCCGCCGGAGGACGTATTAAGGTACGCCGTTCCTATTCGTTTAAAGACTATCGTTTATCGTCCGTTAGCGGAGCTAAGGGCTCCGCCTAAAGGCGTACTAGGGCGCGCCCTCCCGTCTATTACTAGCGCCGCTAGCGCTCTTATCGAAGTATTATTATCCTAGCCGAAACCTTAATGTATTTCCTATTATTTTAACGCCGTTTCTTCCTTGTATTATGCCTCGGGCGTTCTTAACTCGCGCCTCGGGCGCGGCTTAACTCCGTAAGCGCTATGCCTTAGCGCTTTACTATCTTTCTCCGGAAAAAAATTTTCCGCCGTTTTTAGCCGTAGATTTCGTCGATTTCGTCGTTCTTTTATTTCGAAATTACCGTCTAAATCTGCGTTTTCTCGGGGCTATCGGTCGTTTCTTCGGTTATCTTATCGGTCCTCGTCCGTAGGTACTATTACCGGCGCGTATATCTAAAAGCTAATACCGCTTTTCCGACTATTAACTTAGCCGGCGTAAACGCTAGTATCGCCTTTCCTACTATTAATCCCGCGTATTAAGATACTAGTCTGTTACTATCGTTACCTCTCGTCGGTCCTCTTTCGTAGGTACTACCGGCGCGTATGTCTAAAAGCTAATACCGCCTTTCCGACTGCTAACTTTGCTAGCTACCGCTTCCTTTAGTACTATATCGCCGTTCCTATTGCTAATTCCGCTCGCTAAGATGCTATTACTTTCGTAAAACGATAAAAGAAGGTTGGTTTAGCTTTTTATTACGGTTTTAAGAGCTATTCGTTAGGTAAAAGCCATATGTTAATAAACTAAAGCTAAACGAGGAGAAAAAGGAAGAAAGTATACCCTATAGGCCGTACTTGCGATAGCTAGCCTTATCCGCCGTAGGTACTAAGGGCCTGATTACGTACTATACCTTAGCACTAGCTAGGGCCTTATTATAGGCATAGCCCATTATAGTTTATCGGTAATCCTAAAACGGTACTTTAAGGCTATAACGATAACTCTTTAGATCGTTTAATTCTTCGTAACGTTATTAATACGCTTCCTAATGGTTTTAATCGTAGTTTATTCGCCGATATCCTTAATCTTATCGTCGTTATTTATACGGTAGCGGTTAAATAATCGATCTACCCTCTTTAGTTATTAAGTTACGTTATACTTATTAAACTTAAGCCTAGGATAATCGGTAGAGTTAGGGAATTTAATGGCTAGTATTACGATAATTAGGGTAGCTACTAGTATATTCTAGCTACTAGAGGCTCCGTTATTATTATTTTAAAATAATACTATAGGGATTAACGGGATAAGTATAAAGCCGCGGGTAAGGGGTAGTTAAGTAGGAGTTTTATCGTTATCCTTCTCCTCTTCGGGCGGATATAAGGGCGGAAAGCTAATATCGACTCTTAAGGTCTTTATTAATAATTTGGTTTTCATTACTTCGGGTCTTAATAACGATTTACTCCGTTTCCTAGCTATAGACTCCGTTTAGTCTAACGATACGAGGTATAAAATAAAAAGAAAGGTAGTAAGGGTCTTATTATCTAACATAGGGGTAAAGGTAAGATAGCTATTATTTATATCCTAATACTTTTCCTTTAGTATAGGTATATTATTATTTATTATATTATCCCGATCGATAGGGTCCGGGTATTATACGAGCTTCTTTAGTCGGCTAACGCCTAACTAAAGTACGATACGTATTCCTTAGACTAAAAGTTTAATTATTATAAATAAGTTAACGATAATCCCTCCTATTAAGGTCTAGAACTCCTAACGTATAACCTTTGTTAAGGTAATACGTATAGGGAATAAATCCCGAGTAAAGAATCGCGCTAAATACGATACCGGTTATAGCTATAGGCCGGTTTCGATTTAACGGGGGCTATTTAATAGTATTAGCGGTATTACCGCTAGGCGCCGTTTTACGCCTATTATAGTGGTGCGGTGGATCTAGGCCACGTAGCCTTTTCGATGTATATTTATATGGGTCGCGCACTTATATTTTCATTAGTTAGACTTAGACCTATAGATATTACGACCTATAGCTATTTATTCGTTTCTTGCCATGCCTTTTCTCGCGATCCTCGTTGCCCTTTTCTAGTCCCCTTTTCCCAGCTGCCGTTTTCAGCTGGCCGATTAACCGATTACAGCTGTTTACAGCTGCGATCTTGGTTGATCGGTACTGGGCCAGTTGTTGGCAGTTGGGCAGTCCTCGTTTCGTGCCTCCGTCAGCGTGCCTACGCTGCTCCTGTTCAGTAGCTTCTTAATGGAGAAGTTTCCGTTAGTGCTAGTAGTTGCTATAAATATTTTACTCGAGAAGAAAACGAGAGCGATATAGATAAGAGTGATATTTAAAAGAAAAAACGATTAATCGAGAGATTCGAGAGATAGAAATAAATAATAAGATTACTCGAAAGCTTATATAGTAAAACCTTAGTTAACTTAGCTCCTTGGAAAGCCTACCGGGCTTATAACTATCGCGTAAAACGTAGACGCCTACATGTACGCTTTACGGTATATAGGCTTATATAGGCTAGTATAACTACTCCGTAATATACCCCCTAGTTTTTAGTCACTCTAGGTAGGTAATAACTACTTACTCTCGGCGTTAAACCCTTAACATCTCTTGGTAGCTAGTCGCACTCTTAGCGCTAGACGTACTAGGTAGGAATAACTACTCGATCTAGGAATTAAACCCTTAACCTCTTGGCCCGACGCCTTACTACTAGTTCTAGTCTAGCTCTAGGGCTTCTCTACGTAAGGGGCTAGCGCTTTTTCGCGCTCGTATACGCGTAATTAAAGGAACCGGACCACTAAACCAAAACACCTTAGAAGGGCTAACTGGGCTTATAATTAATACGTAGATCGGGAGAGCTACGTAGGCACTAAAGTTGCTTTTTAGGAGCAACGAAAGGTAGGAAGAAGAGGGTAAATTAACTAACTATCTAAAAAGGAAGGACATAAATAAAGGAGATGCGAGCTACCTATATATAGACGTGTCACGTAGTAATTGAACCAGCCTATATAAGCCTACATACCGCAAAGCGTGAATGTAGGCGTCTACGTTTTACGTAACAATCTATTAAAAGGGTTTAAATATAGCGTTTTACGAATAGTTAATTATTATGTGTTTTTCTTTAATTCTATTAATCATAAGCCTCTATTCTGGATGCCTAAGGATCCATACTCCAGCTTACTTATAATAGCGAATAGTAAAGTTAACGATAATTAGTATTGATAATCGTATCGATAGAAGCGGCGATAATGTAAGGCTGGCTCTAAGCGAGCTTATGCCTAGCTACGGTTATAAAACCCGGAGAAGATCGCTCAGCCTACTCCACCCATCTGGCCCGCCGTCAACCGCACCCAGCAAATCACGTAAATACCGACGGGTCGCATTCATTGTTTACCTCCCTCTTCCACATCTCCCTTCGCCAAAACAATCACAATTGCAACATGACAACCCTCAACATGGCCTTCAGCGAGGAACAGATCCAGATTATCGCGGGGAATCCACTCAACGAATCATTGAAGTATATTCGCGCCAAATTTTGCGACTGCGCCGATGCCTCGACGGACGAGAGTGATGTGATCGGCCTCCTGGGTGCGCTCGTCGTCTCTCCAGTGGCTTTAAACCTGCCAGCACCAGACGGAAACGGAAATGTTGCGATAAGGCTGGCCACCGTACTGCAGACTTTCCTTCTTGGCTCTCTCGAACCCGAAAAACTCAGACCACTCCTTGATGTCGTCAATTCTTCCGACACCGACATATGGGCTGCTGTCTACGACTTCCTCAACACAATCAACCCGCTGACTCCCCCGTGGTCGACCACCATGCCTACCTTCGTCGGATCACCGGTCAAGGCGAACTCGAGCTGGCTGGCCGACAGCGAAAAGCGCGAAACTGTCGAGGGCGAACTCTTCCACGAGATCAAGAAATGCACCTTCCGCGCCGTGAAGGGGTTCTGGGACAAGTTCCTCAAACCCGAGCGTTGGCGCAAGGACCAGAAGGCAATGCTGCGCGGGGTGATGTCGGCGCACAACGGACAAAGGTGGACGGAGTTCCCTTCCACGCCGGACGAACAACCGGTCTGGGACTGGCTTCGCTCGCTAGAGGAGCGCTTCCTGGCTGATACAACCTACAAGCTGCACACGACCAAAACGGCGGCCCAGTTCAAGGGACCGAAAGGCCAGATGGATCTCTTCTTCCAGATCCCGACGCCGGCGTCGAACAATAAATTCGAGTACAAGAACGTTCTTGTGGTCGGGGAGCAGAAGAGGACCTACCATACGGACCGGTTCAAGTCGACGCTGCTCCAGCTGGCGCGCCATGTGCGCGGCGTCTTTTCTGACCAACCTACGCGCCGGTTCGTTCACGCCTTCACGCTCTCCGGCTCCATTATGGAGCTCTGGATTTTCGATCGGTCAGGACCGTACAGCTCAGGGCCCTTCGACATCCACGAGGAGCCAAGGATGTTTGCGCGCGCCCTCGTTGGGTACGCGACCATGGGCGACGACGAGATGGGCCTGGACACGTTCATCGAGCGGGGGGGTGCGCATCGGCACGTCACACTGGACGGCACCGGCGGCAAAGAGACGAAGATGCAACTGGTGAAGGCGATGGTGAGGCAGCATGCCATCGTGTGTCGCGGGACCACGTGCTACAAGACGAAAGACGGCCACGTCGCTAAGTTCTCGTGGGCGTCGGACAAGCGGAAACTGGAGGTGGAACAGCTGAAGCTGGCGGAAGAGCGAGGGGTCGAGGGCGTGGCTAGAGTGGTAGCGCATCGACGAATCACGACGATCGCCGACCTGCGGGAGGGACTGAAGTTTCCAAAGGTCCACCATTTCCGAGACGAGGCGGTGCACTTCGAGGGTCTCCCGGCGGCGGGGAGCTCAAAGACGTCAGGCCACGAGCGCAAATCATCATCCAATAACACATCCGATACGCCCGGGCCCAAGCGACGGCGATCCAGTCGCAAGTCCAAGTTTGCGCAGAAGCTGGACAACCAGCTATCGGTGGGCAAGAACAAACCGAGTCTGTACATGGAAGACGAAGAGCCATGGGAGAATAGGATCTATGTCTGTCTGGTCGTCTCGCCCGCGGGTCGCGTGATCAGCGACTTCAGGAATATCAAGGAACTGCTGGAGCCGATGCGAGACGCAATCAGGGCACACCGGTCTCTATACACAGTCGGCAACATCCTCCACCGGGATATTTCGTCGAACAACATCCTCATTACGGAGCCAAGGACGGAGAACGACTTCAAGGGCATGCTCATCGACCTTGATCTAGCTAAGGTGAGAGACAGTGGCCCGAGTGGCGCGCGGCACCAGACGGGCACAATGCAGTTCATGGCGGTGGAGGTGTTGTGTAAGGTGGACCACACGTACCGGCACGACCTGGAGTCGTTCTTCTACGTCCTGTTGTGGATGTGCGCGCGTCAATCGTGGAGTAACGGGTTTGCGGGCCAAAGGCAGCCGCCTAAGGTGAGCCTCCTTCGGAGATGGGAGATGGGGGATTTTGACACTATTGCTCAATCCAAAGCCGGCGATATGTCGGTATTTGGGCTTGAGCGGATCATGAGGGAGTTTCCCGACGCGTTAGATGCTGTCAAGCCGCTCTGTTTAAGGATCCGGAAGCTTCTCTTTCCTCATGACAAGGATGAAAGGATGATCTTTGGGACACCTGTAGGAGCGCCGGATCAACTGTACAGACCTATGATAGCAGCATACGACGAGGAAATTAGCAAGCTGTAGAGAATATCAGCCCGAGTTGATAATACTTGCCATTCAAGACAGAATTCTCCTTGCCCTCTGAATCCCTGTGAGATTCCCCCGCTTCGGCCTTCTCCGTTGCAGGCTTTCCAGCACGTACCCCAAACTATGCAAAATAGTGGGCGCATTGGATTCTTCACTATCATTCTTCATCGCCACCAGAATCGCGATGGGCGTGTTTGACTGCCCGGTCATTATAGGTCGAAATGCGGGATTCAGTGCGGTATGACTGATCGGGTTGGCCGTCCGCTCACTGAATTCCCATAGTAGGGCTGCTGTGCTAATATCACGGGTTCTAACAGGCACGTTCCTGACCACCGTTGCGTCGACGTTTCCCCTCTCGTAAAATAGCATTGTATACAGAAAATTCGGAATCGAATACGTATAACGATATCTTGAAATTGTCACAAGGATGCGGAGTAAAGGTTTAGTGGATGCCGGAACAAAGCAGCACAACCGGAGCTACCAGAGCGTCATGGAGACTCTCTGGACGCCCTCCTCCTGTCGCAACTTCCATACTGCTATGGCACGATTGCGCCACCTAACCGAGACCCCAACCGAAGCTCACCCCTATCGCAGCGCCGCCGCGCCAGACGTCGATAGGCACATCATGTCGTTTGGGGATGAGCTCCAGATCGCGGATGGGCTGGCCTTCCTTGCACATTACAGGGAGGGTATGGGCTAGGTTTCTACGGTTACCCTACAAGAACAATTAAATGATCTAACAGTCGTCCTCGCAAGCAACTCAACGCCCTCTGGGTCGATCAGAAATAGGTTGAGGGACATATTAGGAGTAGTCAGCCAGTATACTAAGACGAGTAAGGCTTCCCGATCCTGAAGTTATGGTGTTCGACTGACCACCAGATCAGAAGAAGGACGCCAGCAGTACTGTAGTGATTTCCCCCAAAAAGTTCTCCAGCTTAGCCAGAGAAGAATTCTCGATCGTATTCGGCCACCGTGGATACGACCCCCCTCATGTCAGAAAAAGGCGGCCATACCTTAAGGACCGAATTCTTGCCGCCGCAAACAATCTTTTGTCGCAATCTCCACGAGCTCGTGTTTTTATCGACAAAGCTATAGCCCTTGTACAAGCCATGGAGCCTCTTGATCAGGAGGTAGCCGACGGCGATAGAATCAAAGGCCTCGAATCTGTCGTCTTGAACCACCCGGGGTAACGCCATAATTGCAGCAAGTACCCACAGCTGACCCAACTCTCCCGTCGCCCCACTGCCCTCTAGTTTGATTGTACCCAGTTTGCTCTCCTTCTCCAGCACGGGCTCGCTGGTCCACCTAGCGACGATATCCTCTTAGGCGGGGAGACCAGATCACTGCCACGGGGGGCATCGTCGAGGCCGCGGCGGGGAACTCGGAGAGCGGAGCCAAAATGATCAAGGTTCTTTTCGACCGGAAGGGAGACCAGAACGCCCAGACATGGAATTCGGCCGGCAGCCAGGGACGGAAAGACTAGTGCGTCGGAGTTGTACCGCAGTGCAGCATGACTATGCTGGGCGAAAGGACATGTGTATTCAACATTCGTTCGTTTCCATATGCCTCCTATCGCCATCTTATTCTAGTCCCTCTCTTCTTTCTTGCCCTTCCCAGCTGCCGTTTTCAGCTGGCTAATCACCTGATCACAGCTGTTTGCAGCTGTGATCTTGTTCGATCGGCACTGGGCCAGCTGTTGGCAGCTGGGCAGTCATTGTACGAGTCTCCATCACAGCGTGCCCACGCTGCTCCTGTTCACTACGGATGTCAGAACGAGGCCCGTCTTATTGGCTTCCACTCTGGTGCCCTGTATCTGTTTAATGAGAGAATGGTTTGTGTAAGCCGTAATCAAGAACGATAGACTTGTAGCCTGGCCGTTTGATTTTGGAGTCTTTCTTGGGATGCTTCGAGGCGGGTCGAGCGTGGAGAAAGGCTGCGCGACAAGAGCTTGGTGTGAATAGCGTCAGCAGTTGTCCCTGCAGGATAGGTACTTTTGAAAGGGAACTTGAAGCCATTGTATAGCTATCGGCTTCTACTTTTAGGTATATATTTCTAAGGTGATAATCTCCGTTGCGGAACTCTCCTTGGGACCCCGCAGGCGTCAATGGCTGGGGAGAGTCCTAACGATTAGATTAGTGAATGTTCGCGGAACAATACATCGGACTATACATAGGTACATATGTGTATGCCTAAGCTCTCCGCGTCATTCGCGCCGCCGCGGGCCGTCTAGAGGATCCCTGACTCTCACCCGCTTTGGCGTCGCCGACAGCAAGTTCCAATCTATCCTCCGGTCGCGTCTATTTATTGTCAAACATGTGTACTCGTCTCCTCCGCGTGTATCCGGGCCCTCGTGGAATATCCTCCTAACTTAACATCACGTCCAAAGCTGCATACAGCCGAGCGCCCACAGGCGGTCGGGGGAGAGGGGCGCGGCGGCACTTCCGCAAAACCCGTGTTTGGCCATCTACGCGGCCAGCGCCTCCGAAGAAAGCTACGAGGTCAGATTCGACATCTCGACTCGTCGTGTCACCGCTCGGGGCGCAGAAACTGGCTGCCCCGGTTGTAGTCGGCGGGGACGAGCGACTTCGGCTCCGGCGGGAAGCTCGTGCAGTCCGTGTTCCTCGCGCTTGTGAATTCGTCCTGCGGCATGTCCCGCACTCTAGTTTCTAATCCCCATCGTGTTAGCCGGCCTTCCTTCGACTTTCTCCGTCTCCTGCCCTGACGTGCCGCCTTCTCTTCTCGTCATCTTACCGATAGGGTTATGTTGGCCCCCTGGCCCTCCCGCTTTGCCAGCACGTACTGCGGGACCATGGGGGCGGCCATCGCGGGCGTGTAAGTCGCGGGGCTCTCCAGCTGGATCACCTCCGCGGCGTTGGCCTTCCGGCTCCGGTCGACCTCGACGCAGTCGCGCACGAATAGGATGAAGTGTATTATTCTTGGAATGGAATACGTCAGCCGATATGGAGACCTCCCCTTCTGCTTATCACCTCCTCTCCTGCCGCCCAATTGAAAGAATAGAAGTCCACTGGGGGCGGTAGCAACAGCAGTACAAAAACGTAGGCCTAACGCGGGCCGGTGGGAGAAAGGGGGCAAACTTACGAGACGAAGGTGGCGAACATAGAGGCGGCGATGGATATGCCGAACCACACGTACCCGTTCTCGACGTTGGCGGGCGTGGGCATGCTGGCGACGACGCCGCCGCCGGCGTAGTGGTACTCGCGCGAGGCCCAGGTGGTGATGGTGAAGATGACGAGCATGGCCGAGAGGGCGAAGCCGCCGAGCGACAGGACCAGGTCAAAGCCCAGCGCGATCGATGGCTTGATGCCCGCCCGCCGCCCCCGCACGCACATCGCCGTGAACTCGGAGCTGTCGTACACGAGCGACGCCACCGCCTATTACGTCGTGGCCAGGCAGGGTCAGCAGGAGCGCGAACACCGTAGTTAAGGGCCGGGTGCCCGCTGCCGGCGACAGCTTGCTTGCTGGTATGGACGTCGTGGGTGCATAGGCAGATCGGAAAGGAAAAAGGCGGAGAGAGGAGAGAGAGAGATAGTCGAAGCTTACCAGCGGCGTTCCCATCATGGGAAACGCATTGAACCAGATGGGCGCGACAAAGAGGCTGCCCGACACGGCGAGCAGAGGGAGGGCGAAGACGGACGACACGACACGCAGCATGAGCTTGGCCATGTCCCACGCGTCCTGGTGCGGCGACGGATACGTTAGAGGCGGCAGCGGCCGAAGCGGTCTTCGGGGATCGACGGCGTAGAGTATGCCTTCTGGCAGCGGCTCCACCGCAGAGCACAGCAGGACTTCGAGAGGCTGGTGAGCTTCTTACTGGAGTGTGTGTGCACCAACTCCTCGACGATTAGGGTCCAATTCCCGAATTGCCGAGTTCCAGTTTCGCTTTCTCTGTTTCGCTCTCTTCGCCTTCTCTTTTCCTTTCGCCCTCTCTGTCTCTCTTCGGGCCGCCTCTTTCACTTTACGCTCTTGCTATCGGGTATCCGCTCGGTCCCCAAGGGCAGATGATCCTCATTCTGGTCGGTCGTCGTCCAGCGTCCGCATATACGCATATACCTACCTACACACGCGTGCAGTCTGCATAAAGTGGCCGCCCGCCTAGTATCGGCCGGCCGGTGCGGCACTTATAAGGGGCCCCTTGGAATAAGTACGAGCCCCTGGCCCCCTGGGCACGCTCACACCCCAGCACACTCGATCTGCGTTGTTAAATGCTACTTCACACAGAGGAAGGATGGGGCGGAGAGATCCCATCCAATGAACTACTACGTAGTTGGCGAGACTCTTGCCTCGCCAGCCCCATGATATGCCCTCTCTCTCTCTCTCCGCGCACACTTCCCCTACACATACTTGCGTACACACATATGTAGGTATGTATGTAAGTGCGTGTGTAGAACGCTGTTGGCTATCGTACCAACTTTCCACCGACCCTCTTCGTGCTGAACGCTCCCTTCCCCTGAACGCATCTCGCCTCGAGAGGGAAGGCTACGCCAAGATTCGACCAAGCTTCTCATCCCCCGAATCGAAGACTTCGGTATCGTGTTCCGTTGCTGTGCCTCTCGCTCGTGTCTTACCGACCCCATCCGTTCACACGCATACCACAGGCACATGGCAACGCTTCCCGCTGCTCCATATGAAGCCAGGCGTGGCCAGCCCGCGGCCGGGTCGGCGGCTCGACGCCAAAGCACGCCCTACCACGTTGCGGTGCTGGAGCCGACGGGGGTGCTGATTCTGCTGCCTAAATTATCTCCAATCCCGACAAGCTCCTCGCCCGTATCTCGATGCGCCCTGCCAATCACGAACCTGGTCGGTTCGACACAACAGCATGCAATTTGCTTACGTCTCTCCTAGATTATGTAAAGGTTTCCGTCGACGGCCTTCGACCCGGCGGGATCTCCGTGGACTGACATACGATGCCGGTGCATGGATAGACAGATATCTCCTCGTGCAGTGCCATATTGCTAGTAAATGTTACGTGTCGTATGGCGCATCAATTCTGTTAGGTAAATCTGTATGTGTGTTACCGTGGATGGGAATCCATACAGATGCCACCGCGCTGCGTGATACTCGAGATGCTAATAAGATACCTTAAAAAAATATCTTCAGATTTTTAAAAGAAATACCCCTGTCAGCCCTAGGCCCGTAGGTCGTAGTACCTATATAACATACCCGCGGCACCCTAGACTGTACCAATATCTTCCATTACTCGTTATTGCAAAACTAAGGTGAAACTTGACTCGGGACCTCGGCATCGCGGTATCCTGCATGCAGGTGGCGCGGAGTTATCAGGACTCGGGAATCCCTGTATGCTTCGAGTCGACGCCATCTACAATATCTACATCTTAATTATCTCGTCTGTATCTGGTAGGCACGTAACCACGGTGCATGGCGTGCGTAGCAAAGCCGCTTTTCATGGTCCGGACTCGTACGGAGCTAACCGTCTGCAGCTCATGTGTAGCTCATGGGGATTCGGGGGTGAGGTGCTCGTTGTGAAGATAGGGCTAACGGACGAAGGCCTAGGATAAAAGGGGGCGGATGGCATCTCGCTTACACGCAGCAGGTGCCGAATTGCTGGAGCGGTCGGGCGAATGATGTGTATAACTCGACGTCAAGACACGGCAACATGCGCTTGCGACGGACAAGCCTGAGCCAAGACCTGGTAGTGCTGTAGGAACGACAAATTTTCGGAGCATATCTCCGAATTCGTGCGTGTCGCCTGCGCTCCCGACGTAGTGTGTGCTAACGCGGATGTCCCCGGATCCTCGTGGACGGTATTCCACGTGGCCCTAACAGCTAGATCCACCTCGCCGGGTTAGCGATATACCAAGTGAGCGATATAGCTACTCCTCAGATGTGCCCACACCCCCATCATGCCTTATCATCCAATTTGTAAGGCAAGTTGTGTATAGACTATCCCATCGACCGCAGATTCGGCCGATTCGATCATATTCGACCATGTTCGCAAATCAGCCCCGGCTCGATGCCAAACCGCAACGAACTCCTGCGTCGCGATCGACCCAGGAGTTTTGCAATAAAGCGCGTACCCATTCAACGTATGCGATAAAGTCTGAAACAGACCGGTCCTCTCCCGTAAGGGCGATCCCGCCTTAACCCATACGGGATGTGCAATCATCGTTCCCTACCGCAGCTAGCAAGGGGCCTAGGTACGTAATTCCACCCGATGCCGCTGGTTCCAGCAGTGCCGCGTTCAGGTAAAGATCCGTCGTCCTCCAGATCTCACTGCAAACCGTTCAGCTCCGTTCAGAGTCTGCTGGTTCCAGACCATCAAGCTCCCCAACGCACCGCCGTTCTCGGCAGAGGCTCGGCGACGCCTGTACGCCTCACGAAGATGTTCGGGCCGAAGGGGAGCCTGCCGGCGATACTTCGACATCTCGTTCATCGGTTTGAGTTCGTCGTCGGATAAGTCGGTCTGCTTCTCGCCCAACTGTATCCATTCCCGCTGAACGTCGCGGGCAGCCTCGACAAGGTCCCCGAGATACATCTTGCAGACAACTTGCATCATCTGATGGACATTTGTCGGACATGATTGTGAGGTTACGCTGTTGATATGCTGCAGATTTAGGGTTAGTTATGTCGCGCAGGGAGGCGCGCAGATGAGGCTCTAGGCGACTTACTCTTTTTACGTCGGCATTTTTTAGTGTTTGGCGATGCCAAACTTCGTATCGATGAAACTGCTCCGGGTCCATACGTGTCTTGACCAGCGCATTAAGTTCCCTCTCTTCCTCGATCTGTTCTTGTGTCCGAGCAGCAGACATACTAGCCATGTTCTCGGGTATCTCGAACTCGCCTTCTTTGCCAGCATCCTGATCCGCGTCCTTACCGGTGTTGTTGCCGCTGGCGTTGCTAGCCACGGTCGGCGCTCGACCGCCAACAACGCTCGGCGTGCCATCTCGCATGGCTTCGGCAGCAGCATGCTCCGCCTTCGATTTCCTGCCTCGTTTCTTCTTCGCAGGAGCGCCGCTCACCTGACTTCCACTAACTAGACTCATGGTGTCGACACTGGGCGAACGTCGATACGACGGGGAGAAGGCCTGATTACGCGACTCGTCTGGCGGGAACGAAGTTTGTCGAAGAGGATGTGCCGAGCCAGCAGAGGTGACTGACATAGTAGATGCCTTGCGTCGCTTCATCGAGGGTGGATGTGGTGCAAGATCGGCAGTTGCCGAGCCACGCTTTTTCGTCGGCAACTGCGCGCTCGGGGGGTACGGCGGAGAGCCGGCGGGCGAGTACGCGTGCGGAGGTGACGCCATGTTTCTCAAGGTTGGTCTTGGTCTTACGTGGCGTGAAGCGGTCGAGGTCTACGAAGGCCAGTCGCGATGGCCGCGGACTGGGCAGTCGAGGAGAGAGGCCTGTCGAATACGGCCGCGTGTCGAATATCGCCGCGTTCTGATAGATGGTCAGAGAAGCAGAAGTCGCGATTGCAGGTTCCCGTGCGACCCGGTATCGACGCGGCAAATATTAGGCAAAAATGTAGGGTAGACGGTGTCGGGAATGATAGGAATCGAGGTTGTAATAACGGAAGAGCTTCGAGGCTGCGACGAACGAATTGGAGAAATTAGATGTCCAATTGATCTGACAAGACTGAGCTGCGGTGCCAGCCATTATCAGCCACATGCACTAGCCACATTTCCCAAAGCCTATCCGTATGATGTACCCAAGTACATATGTACACTAGTACCTAGGTACCTAGGTACCTATACATGGCCCAGCCGGCGGGAGAGTACAAAGGTACATGTGGTGAATTTGCCCCGCGGACTTTTAGAAGATCCTATCGGCGCGATAGGGATCAATCCGTCAATGTTAGACCTTCACTCCATCCGATATATGCATAGCGAGATACTTACTCACTTGGACCTCCCGAACTCGGGTGAGGAAATCCGAGTAAGCATGAGCTACTTCAACAATTCTACATAAGCACCTCAACATCAGCGCCTATTCCCTTCACTACACTGCAATTGCTCGAGATTCCACGTTGACACCGCTTTTTCTCGCGCGGGTTGTTCCAGTTCCACCCGGCCTAGTCTCCCCTCCGGCCCTTCACACGCCCATACACAACGGTGTCCGACACTCAAATGCGCCACTTTCTATCCCTTGCCTACACTGATTGATGAGTCGGCCAGATACAACAAAGAATGTCCCAGCTCACCAGCCCCAGCCGCGAGGATCGGGGATCGGCCGAGGTCGACCTTTCGAGCAGTTCCGTTGCGGGCACCTCGGACGTCGAGACCTCTATTAACGAGGGGCCGACGCAGGCGCAGAACGGGAGCCGAGACGAGAAGAAGGCAAAGAAGAAGAAGAAGAGATCGAGGACGAAGGCCGATGGAGTGCCAAAGGTCAACGGATACTCGGCTTCGCCGAAGAGGAGAGACAGCCTTAGCAAGGCCGCCAGAGATCCTCGCGATGAGGCACCGCATAAGAAGAAGAGAAAACCCAAACCCGAAAGTACGGAAACAGAAACGCGATCTCCCAGCCCGGTGATTGATTTCGATGGGCTGAGCAGGCCAAGTAGGCAAAATCCACCCCTCGTTCCGATACTCATGCGCAGTAACTCACACACAATTCAGGCCGCGGAACTCGAGAGCGACTCGATGAGAGTCCGGAACAGGCTGCTGAACGGCTCAAGAAATTGCAGGGAGCCGTTCGGACGATCCTCGAGTGCGTTGGCGAGGATCCCGATAGAGAAGGCGTTCTGGCCACCCCGAGGCGATATGCGGACGCGATGCTGTACTTCACCAAGGGATACCAGCAAAACGTCCGAGACATTGTGAACAACGCCATCTTTCACGAGAACCACAATGAGTTGGTTATCGTCAAGGATATTGAAATATTCAGTCTTTGCGAACATCACCTTGTTCCGTTCTTTGGCAAGGTCAGTTGCGCCTTCGGTCTGCCATCGGGTGTCTTGTTCTCACATTACAGCAGATGCATATCGGTTATATCCCAAACAATAATGTCATTGGTATATCCAAACTCCCACGGATCGCCGAAATGTTTAGCCGTCGGCTGCAAGTCCAGGAGCGATTAACGAGAGAAGTTGCCAACGCCATCATGGAGGTGCTGAAGCCTCAAGGAGTCGCCGTCGTTATGGAGTCAAGCCACCTCTGCATGGTGATGAGAGGCATCCAAAAGACAACCACTAGCACGATCACCAGTTGCGTGCTTGGTTGCTTCGACAGAAAGGAGAAGACCAGAAATGAATTCCTGAGTCTCATTGGGCTGAACAGGTCGTAAAAGACGATTCGGGGCGGGCGGTGCATGACAACGCGGCGGCAATACTAAATGTTACCTTATAAGTGGCATATACGGCGTTTCGGGCCTAGAGCGTGGGATCTCAACATCAAATTCGTCGCTGAGGACGAACGGGGGAATGCATCTGACCTTCGCGTCACGGGAGGTTCAACGCCTCGAAGAAGAGGCCTCACATGGCGTTGGGAAATTTGCTTTTCAACATCCATCCATGTTTCATCAACGGCATGTTCTGTCTATCTTTTCACTTCTTACTAGCATATAACCTAGATGCCGGCTACCTGTTAGTCATCGCGCGGCAACGATGCCCACATGTACAACTTGAATATAAGCACAGCCAAGCGCGCGACTGCGTACTTGAGATGTACAGCCAACTAAGATCCTGTCAGGAACTCAGCATCACGATGCAGTCAACCAGTAATGTGTCGAATGGAGACCTTGGGGGCTGCTTATTAAAAGTTAACGGCCTAGGCGCCATTAGCAGTACGCCATATGTAATATGGTCAAAGGCCCCCGTTTGAGCCAGGGGCCAGTTAGTCCGGAGATACGTCGATGTCAGATTCAAATGGGACTCCATTTGAACCTGTAATACCTAACTCTTATTGCCCAAGGCACCCCTAGTCAATGGTCGCAGCTCGACGACCTCGACGCACGTCATAGGAGGACATGGGAGGACATGGGATGTGATGGAAGGAAAAGTGCCTCGTAAGGAGATGGGATGGACATAAGAGACAACCCATCACCTGATAGCTTCTTAGCCCAGCCGATTTTCCCGAGAACCAAACTTACAGCGGGGGTGAGAAAATCAACACACACCCATATGTCCGACAGCAAACAGCCTCAAGAAACTTCAGCGTTAAAGGGTGTCCCTCCAGCGGTCTCATTTCGGTAACTTAAGGCTTGCCTGTCGCTTCCGGCCACGCGGCGCCACACGGATTGGATTTTAAGTCGGTATGGAAAGGCGAAGGGCTTGGAGGGGATAGAGTGGGCTATCTTTCCCACTCATCAACTCTACTGACCATTATATATGTAGAATACCTCTCCCTAGTTACTCGTTAGTTGGGACCGTAGTAGATTACGCTGGCACTTCTCGTCCCCACATGGATAAGCGACTCCCCCCCAGCCAGCGACAAGGCCTCTGCCCTTCCGATAGGAACAGCCGTACGTCTGTGCTATGCAGAACGAGTAGTGCTACGTGGTAAGTCAGGGTGTGTGTATGCTGACTGATCGTACGTGAGCTCAATCACGAAAGTCGCTGTTGCCGGGGTAAGAAAAGGTTATCGCGACACTCTTATCAAAGTTCTGGAAGGATAGGACGCCATGGTATCGACAGCGAATTTCGAAGGCATGGAGCATCAGACTCCCCCTCTCTAGACTGCCGCCAAGGCTGGTGTGAAACGATTCCTTCCTAGAGATGACGCTCGCTCGAACATGGTATAATTGTCGACCTTCGGAATAGGAGTTTCCGACTCTGAGACGGCGGCAACCGACCTTTCAGCACATCGACCTACGATACCGTAACCAAGGCCATCTCAGTGATTCTGAAACATCCAGAGGATGCGAAATCCCGGGAAGTATTCGCGCGGAGCGTGCCGCTGATCTTGAAAGAACTCCAGGAGAAGTCTAAGAAGGCCGTCGGACATCCGCGGATGGGTGGGCAGCCCAGGCCCTGGCCGTTGCTGATTTTGTGAAGGCGGCCTCCCAGATTCTTGTAGTTAAGTCGGCGCCTCGATTTCACTGATATATGTCTATTCGCAATAGATTTATCGTTTTTAGATGGAAGTTCGATCACATATCTTCAGATTTCAAGGATTGTATTCCACTAAACCAACTGCTTGAGAATAATGAGGGTGAGTACAGTGACCATTGGCAGAGCCACGTAACTAAACAATTTCAATCTGACATATGATGATCCTCATAGACGTTGTCTCTCGAAAACTATACTCTTCACCCCGTAACTGCAGATACAATCTGAATACCCTCCATGCTATTATATCTATCGGCAGGCATGCCCACCTGCGTCTTGGTAAAACCCTTTCAGTTAGAGGCCGCCAGAGCTGTCCGCAGTGAACCTTCATCCCTCGGAATGAAAAATACACGGTACGGCTTTGGAAAGATGACCAGGTCCCTGGGATGGGAGATATCTGTTCTGGGGTCGCAGTCTATTTTCCCAGGCGCCTCTAAGCGGAAACTGCTCAACAGCCTCATGAGAATGATATAGAGCTGCCGGGTGGCCAAAATATGGGCCGGGCACATTCGATAACCCAGACCAAAGGTTAGCAGGAGAGCTTCCGGCTTTTCCTGCCATCTCTCTGGACGGAATACGTCAGGATCGGACCATTGCTCGGGGTCTGTACTCGGAGGTTTCGTCAGTCTGTAGTTCGGCTCGGGGGGAGGGAATACAATAATGGGCACGTCATCTTACCGCGGTTGCAGGCCCACGCATTCAAGTAGAGCGTGGTGCCGGCTGGGATCCGGATGCCATTGTATTCGAAATCCTTCATAGACCTCCGGGGCAATGCTAGCGGGAGAACGGAATAGTACCGAAGGGCCTCTTTCGCTATCCCAAGGATGTAGGAGCAGTTCTGGTCGTCGGTAGCGTCACACCACATTCCCTTGGATCCCTGGAACTTCTTTATCTCATCGTACGCCTTGTCTTGGATTTCTGGATGCTGCGCAAGGAGAGCCATAGACCACTGTACCGTGGTTGAAATCGTCTCGAACCCGCCAGACAGCATGGACACGCTGATGGCCTGGAGCTCTGTCTCATTCAGCTCCACCTCTTTGTATTTGATGACGCTTGCTTGGATGCAAGGCTTGTTAGTCCCAGCTGACACCTCCCTCTCGAGGTCCGCATCCAACTTGGCGAGATACACATCCCGACGAGCACGCAACTCCCGCGCCTCGATCGACTTTGGGTTGAAAGGGTTGAACCGCAGGAACGGGATGTGGTCTTGGGTATTTCCGACAGTGGACCGAGTCTTGTTGAGTCCCACTTCGACCTTGACAATCTCCTTGAGTAGGTCATCTTCTAGGGATGGTATTCGGACGCCCCAGTTGATAGTCATCACCAGCGACAGGCTCAGGCGTTGGGCCATGAGCATCGGGTCAATAGCCACTGTCCCGGATTGGCCGTAGTCGAGGAGATTTTGGACGAAGGTTTTCGTTTCGAGATCCAGGTACGGGATGTAATTCTGAATGGAAGGGCGGTTCATGGCCACCGCCACACCCTTCTTCTTTCTCCTCAGCGAGTCGTCATAAGGCGAACTTCCGATGGTGAAGCCAGCAGTGGTAGAAGCAATCTATCGATATATCAGCGCACCGCCCACGAAAACCTGTCAGTCTTTTAGTCCGAAGGGGGTTGGCTTTTAAGGCTATCCACCTTATGGTATGTGTAAAGTTCGGGCCGGGAACTCATGGCGTGCGAATTGGTTATTAGGAATGTCTTCGCGGCAGCAGCACTATTGACGATGACCACGCGGGTATTCCCGAGCTGAACTTGGTATACGTCGCCATATATCTTGGCCCACTCTCGGTATTTCACCGGCGCGTTAGACCATAGATCCGGCAGGTTCCCAATAACCGGCCATCCCTTTGGCCCTGCCAGGCCGGGAATCCGTGAGCGACTGCGAATGACCTCATTGACAACGATGTACAGCGCAAAGATGGCAATACTGCCGATCACCACCGATTGTAATGGGCTTTGGATAAGTGCCCGCCGAAAGGCCAGGACTGTCGACTCCATAGTTTCGTGTATTCGGTGCTCAGCTCTAGCGCTGTATAGCTATCAGATGAGAAGGGTGTCGTAGGATGGGCCACACCTCAGCACAAATGGACGGGTCCCTAACGAAGTATTTGCACGGTATATATACGTGCACGGAATCGCTGAGATCTCCGCTTGCAGATACCGAAAGGGACACCCCTCACGTGTCATGGCACAGGGGCAGTAAGTAATGCCCTGTTGGTTGCATCGCCACATAGTTACTACAGGATGCAGCGCAACGAAACCTACATACTGACATGCATACAGAAATGCGACAGATGTAAGCATTTCCGCGAGGTAAGTCCCCAGCGGCTTACGGCATTACCTATCGGACCCCTTTTGTCCCTGGGGACGTGGAAGGGAAACGATTCCATAACACATCAACTACTTATTATAGGCATTATATTCTTTAACTACTCCACATACCCCATGGCAGCCTCGAATTCGCACCGCAACAAACACACTAATGGTTCCGTCTATAAGAACTTGGGGATGGAGCCCCTCCCAGTTCGTCGGCGTCATTTGTGTCCCCCAAGTACGATTAAGACTACGACCTATGACATAGTATGTGTATCCGCGTCCTAGCAACTTGCGTGCTCTGAAGAAAAAGATCAAACATATCCCTTGTAGACTGGGCCGGCCGCTCAACATTCTTCAGCTCCCACTCACCCCAATCATATAGACACTTAATATTAAGCGCGTCATATTTGACCTAATATCGATGGCCGAGAACGTTAACAGACTGCTACGATCTGATGTCTAATGACTGCCACCTACGCACTCCCTCTTGAGATTGTCAATATCTCATGCTTTTTACCTGCAAGGAACATTAACTCGGCAAGAGTCTGCTCCTAAATCAGCACGACCGATTGTTATCTCCGCTGCCTTGTTAAGCCTGTAATCGCTCGGATATAACAAATGCCACATTGTGCAACTACCGCTTCTGGGCAGTCGAGCAACGGCCTACGCATTCGCTTACCTTTCAACACAATCTGGACCGACGTAGACCATGATGATACGAGCATCTGCAGGGTTAAGCTGCGGAGAACGGACTAAATTCACACTGCATCCTGGCCTGATTTTAATCATAGCCGTGTCCATAGCCGTAAGCCATGGTGACCTGCAGGTGTCAGATCCCGGGGCCGGGCTGAGATCCCATAATTACTCACCACGCTACCATTGCTGGGCTGCCGGAATAAGTTGCGCCTCTCGGGGATCGAGGTTTCGTAAGTCGGTGGAGCGGGTCCATTCCGCCCGCGCATGCATCCGCCTCGTCATTCTCACGACGGCCTATGGTTTGCGGATACTGGCTCTCTCGAATTGGCTCTATTCAGGCGGGAGTTTCTCGGTATTACTACACCAAAACCACTGGAATTCTAAGGGAAGCTAACCGCGACGAAACTCAACACAATACAGAAGTTAAGGAGATGACAGGGAGTAAGATGCACCCCATCATTTGCAGTTCGATTTTCTGTTGAGCATGGCGAGGTGCTGAGAGTGTCATGGAAAAAAGGGGGGGGATTTAGCGAATATTACATTGCTTTGGGAGAATTTCCTAAAGCTCCAGCCACCGCTGTTCCGGTCTCAGGTTTCTTGACGCATCATATAACATCTCTTTCGGGATTTGACACTTAGGTTAAGGGGCACGGTGTAGTTCATATCTGATTGCTCTTAGCCTCCTCTCTGTAATAGCTCTGATTGTGGCCCGGCGTGCAAGGAAGGCTGGCCCGTCGTTGTAGCATACAAGTGGTCCCAGAAGAAATTAAGGATTACATTTATAACTGCACGTCAAATACTGCTATTCATAAGCAATTGAAGCTGTCTCTGATGCGTATCGTGCCTAGCCTATCCTGTGTATGTTTGTAAATAGGTTTGCTTTAGCTCATCGGCTATGAACCGGAAGGGGGGATATTCTAACCAAATCACGACTACGTACACAGATGGCACCGCATTTCTTATGACAGTTGACACTTAGCACTGCGTCTTTGATACAAACTATTGGCTTAAAACTAAAAGCAACAAGATGACATCTTTCTTCACTATATTGCCGTGAAAGAATCCTAACTTGTTTGACTCCGAACAGAGCACCATTGGATCGGCCAGCAAACTCCCTGCCAGTCCAGTAGTCAACACCCACGTGCAGAGCCTCACCGTGTTGTCATTTCTAGGTTTTTTTTCCTCTTCTTGGTTTTCCCCTCCAGTCGCCAGTTAATCTTTGACAAATCTATAAAAATTCTTCTCGGGACCAGATGAGTTCCATGGGATGCAGTTGAGATATTAGATAGCCATCTCTAGAGTTGTAGCAGCCTTTAACCTCTAACGCCGCTTTCTTAAACTATAAGTATAGACTCTCTATATACAGGTCTAGGCTAGAACCCTGGTTTGGGCACTAGGGCAAAATACTTAATTAGCACGTTCAGTTGTCCCATGCCTACCCACACCCCCGTCTACTCAGAAAATATACAATATTCTACAATGCTCTTCGATCGCAAGCCTAAGATGGACCATTACTTAGGGCACGTTTCGGTTGGAAAATTTCAACAATCCCACTACTCTAATTTCTCTCGACGAGCGAGGCACAAAAGACCCTGGGAGAAGCTTCGGGACAAGGAGACCATCTCCTTGTCTTCGTTGCCCTATTAGGCATGTCGTCGTATCGCTCCCACTCCCATGTAGCAAGCGACATCGAGATGTCTAGGGTCGATGAGCCAATGAGAACTATCAGCGACGACACACTGCGGGGAAAGCCACCCGACTCGTTAAGACATTCTCGTCAAGAAGTGAGACCGATGCGCAGACAGGACCCTATGTCTACCAGGGAAACCCGACCTGCTCTCGCAAACTTCACCAAACAACGCCCACAGTCGTGATAGGGCGTGGTCGCGTATTGCAACGTTATCTCGCCGGCTGGTCAGTCGGTATTATCTGCTTCATGGAGCAAGCGCAAGCACATATAGCCCACATCCCGGTGACGAGTGCATTTTCATCGTACTCATCTGGCAGCCTTGGGTGAGTTCTCCGAGTGTCACACCTGGTCGTTGTCGCTTTTGGCCCATCATGTTTTCCACCGCTACGTTCCTTTGGTTGACATTTGCCGTGTGGGCCCCCGAGGCGAAGCCGCTCGCTAAGAGGTACTACAACAGCACGGAGTCATCCAGTCCCCTGGCCTTCAGGAGCGACGGCACATTCCAGATATCCGTCTTCGAGGACTTGCACTTTGGAGAAAGTAGCTATCACCCCGCCATCCCGTCCGTCGCGGCCTAGACGTGATCGCTGACTTCGCCTGCGCTAGATGCCTGGGACACCTGGGGACCCCAGCAGGATATCAATTCGGTCAAGGTCCTCAACAAGGTTCTCGATGCCGAATCGCCCGGGCTCGTCGTGCTCAACGGCGACCTGATCACCGGGGAGAACACCTACTTGGAAAACAGCACGACGTACATCGACCAGATCATTGGCCCGATCGTAGACCGTGGCCTGACGTGGGCTTCGACCTACGGCAATCACGACTACGATTTCAACATATCCGGCATTACCATCCTGGCCCGCGAGAAACGGTGGCCGAACAGCCGCACGACCCAGATGGTATTCAACCCCGAGGCTGGCGTCTCGAACTACTACCTCCCCGTTTACGACGGCAATTGCACGGCGGAGAGCTGTGCACCTGAGCTGCTGCTCTGGTTCTTCGACAGCCGAGGCGGGTTTCTGTACCAGCAGAGGAAGGGATCCGGGGACAGGGTCGGCCAGCCGAACTGGATCGATATCAGCGTCGTGAACTGGTTCCGTCAAAAGAACGCCGAGTTCGCGAGCACGTTCGGTCGAGTGATCCCTTCGCTAGCCTTCTGCCACATCCCGACCTTCGCATCGAGGGTCCTGCAGGCCGGGGGCGTCGACCCCAACACCGAGCCCGGGATTAACGACGACTACCCAGTGGCTCCCCAGGCCGAGGGCTGGTGTCCTGACGGCGTGAACGACGGCTCTTGCTCCTATGGAGGACAAGACATCCCCTTCATGCAGGCCATCTCGGAGGTCCCCGGCGTCATGGCGCTCTTCTCCGGCCACGACCACGGCGACACCTGGTGCTACAAATGGGATAAGCAGCTCCCGAACATGACCATCGCACCTCGCCACGACGTCAACCTGTGCTTCGGTCAGCACTCGGGCTACGGCGGCTACGGCAACTGGGAGCGAGGGGCGCGCCAGATCCTCGTATTCAAGTCCAAGTTGAAGAATCTAGAGGTCGACACTTGGATTCGACTCGAGGGCGGGAGCATCGTCGGAAGCGTCTCGCTGAACGGCACATACGGCATCGATCGTTACCCCGCGACGAACAACACGAAGACGTACTGCCCCACCTGTGATTACAACGTAGTTACACCGATGTAGAGTGACGGGGGGAACAAAGGAGGGTACGAAAAGGAATCATGTAGATAAACTTGACGAGTCACACGATGGGAACACGACGGGCGTGTCCACGCTGGACTTCGACGATGCCGGCGTCCTATCGTCGCTGATTATCATGAGTGCTGGGACCCCGGCACGATTTTAAATGCAATGAAACCTACCTACCTTTCACACACCCTAAGCTCACGGGTGACAGGTTGTAACAGTCTATCAGGAACCAGCCCAACCTTCTCCTGGCTTGCGAAATCACAACTCGCACGACATGAGACACTACGTTCCTTTCTGAGCTGGATTCGATGCTGTTGGCGTCGCCCAGGCAGTACAACATCTCGTCCCGGACCCCAACATGCATAGATTGCCTAATGTGGGAGCGATTACTGCCCACTCGTGTGAGCAGAAGGCCTAAGATCGGAGTCGTCGGGCGGAGATCGTCAACTTAACTCCTCACGTTGCCTTCTCTCCCGCTCCCTCCCCGGCTCCAACGCACATAGGATCACTAAATTAGAGACTTGGGTGACTCCGCCCTCGTCAGGCTCCGGGGTTCCCCTCTCCCCTCTCTCCTATCGATGTCTCGCACATCGTCACAGGTACCCCGCAGTCTCCCGCCGACTCCGGCCATTCTCTCTCGCTCGCTCCCATCCTCGCCCTCCCTCTTCCTCTTCCCTTTGTAGTCGGCCCGGCTGCTTTAGCGCCTCGATCGCACATCCACACACTCTCTCGTATTCCTTCCCGTCATGGAAAATCACGCAATCTACCCGAGCCTGCGGGGCAAGAGCGTGCTGATCACCGGCGGCGCCGAGGGCATCGGGGCGGCCGCGGTCGAGCTGTTCTGCCGGCAGGGGTCGCACGTCGTGTTCCTCGACTACGCGGAGACGTCGGCGGCCCAGCTGGTGGAAAAGGTGGACGGGATCGCGGGGGCGACGAAGCCGGTCTTCATGCACTGCGACGTGACGGACCTAGGGCGGCTGCGGGCGTGCGCGGAGCGGGTGCTGGCGGAGCACGGCGGCGCGGTCGACGTGCTGGTCAACAACGCGGGGCGGGCGGGGGCGGCGACGCGCGTGCCGACGGCGGAGGTGACGCCCGAGTCGTTCGACGCCGACGTGGCGGCCAACCTGCGGCACCAGTTCTTCCTGACGCAGGCGGTGGCGCCGGCGATGGCGGCGCGCGGCCGCGGCAGCATCGTCAACCTCGGCTCCATCACCTGGCGCATCCCCGCCACCGGCCTGCCCGTCTACACGCTCTGCAAGGCCGCCGTCCAGGGCATGACGCGCACCCACAGCAAGGAGTTCGGCCCCCGCGGCGTCCGCGTCAACAGCGTCGTCCCCGGCGCCATCGCCACCCGCCGCCAGATCGACCAGGTCCTCACCCCCGCCTACCGCGCCGAGGTCATGGCCGCCCAGAGCCTCAAGCGCGACCTCATGCCCGAAGAGGTCGCCAGCCTCATCCTCTTCCTCGCCGCCGACGACTCGAGCGCCATCACTGGCAGCAGCTACGTGATCGACGGAGGGTGGGTCAGCGACGTTTAAAAAGAAGAGGAGGGAGGGGAGACGCGGCAAGGCGACAGTTTCGGATCGGAATTTTCTGACCGAAGTGGTGTTTCGGGAGAGACAGTTTGCGGCTATCGGCATTTTTCGCGTCCGCTCTTGTGCTGTCTCGGAGATACCGGGTCACGGATGTCTCAGGATAATATAAGGGTGACCCCCCTCGTCGCCTGTTTCGTGATGCACAATCCTCACATCACTGAGGCTGTGTTTATCGGAGTTACCAAGCGACTGTGTCGGACTTGTTTGTGCGCGCAGCCTATCTCGCTACCAAGTTACCCCTAAATTTCCGCCAGGGGGCAACCCAACCTCGGAGACTATGCGCCGTGCAATGTAGAAACGAAACGCTCATTCACGAACGTCCGCAAGTGCAGGCTCTTGTCACGAGGCAGAAACATTATGAGATCACATACGGTGGCGGGGTCATAATATAGGGCACTCACTGGTAGAAATAAAAAGCAACTATCTCATAATATAGGTTCGCCAGCTCAAAGCAGTCCGAAAAATTCAACCCACAGGACGTTACTGTGGTGGCCCCGTGCAATTAAAGGATAGCAGACATATCTATTGACTTCCCAGAAATCACATATGAACACAGTCAGCCGTTGTAGCTACCTTTCTACCGCCATCACCATGGCGGCATTGCCCAGCGTCGCCCAGTGCTTCCCAAACACAGCTTCCTTCCCAAGCTTTCCTCGTAGCAGGCTGTTCTCTAGCGCGGTTAGTACGCCCCTCGGGCAAGATACCTGACGGCCACTCCGGACCACTCCTGACTGGATAGAAGGGAGCGTGGCAGACCTGGAGTCCCGTTTGCTGCATCGTAGGAGGGAATCCGTTTGACGAGATGTCGGTCCGCCGTTTAGGTGCTGCCGCAAGCAGGACAGGCGCATGTAAAGCCCCAATGTTGCAACTTCCTTCGTCTGTGATCTCGACCTAGAAGCTTGCCATTGACGTTTAGCAAAGGGGCATAACTCACGAAGATCTGCTCGCCGGGCTGAATGTCCCTTCTCGCCTTCATCTGAATGAAGTTATTCCCGGGCCCCGATCCCCTGCGATAGCCCCAAGAGGTATTGGGAACACAGCTGTGATTGCTCCGGCTGAAGTTAGGAAAGACAGCTGAAGATTTGAAGTCTGTCGCTGCTGTGTTCGTCCAGAATGTTGCGCAGGCTCTAACCAACTTGTCGACGACTTGGTGCCTGAGCCTGTAGTTAATATCTGTACTGCCGCCGGCAACGTTATTTCCATACCAGTTATTTATATCATCTCTGTGTCTTATGTTTATATCGATTTCCTTTACCGGGTCGCTGTGAAGACTGTCGTACTCCTTTTTGGCGTCCGGGCTCAAGGCGTGGTACGCCTTGCAAATGTCGTATACTCGGTATTGATATTCATCGGAGCCTGCAGTCGAGATTTCGATAATCGGGGAATCTTCAAGGAATACCGTCCCCTTGGGGATGAACTCAGCGGCAAACATACCAAGCCCCATACCCTCCACCGGGCGGACCCAGACCTTACTACCGTCCATGTTTGGCAAGGATACGTCCCCTTAAAAGGCGTCTGGTCGGTAATAGAGGGCATGCACAAACTCAAGGTGGGATTTAATAATCTTGCCTTGCCTGAGCGTGATGGATAAGCCACCCTCGATACATGGTTTGGGGTCGGGGAAGCTGTCTTTATAAAAGCCTAACAAGAGACAAAAGAGTTCACAATATCGGCACAAGAATAAGGGCAAACAAGCTCTTTTTGCGAGCTGATCGCTGAGGCAAGAAGGCCATTGTTTTCCTTAACCTATGCCTTTCTTTGGCCTTTCTACTATCGGTATTCTTTCACGCTTACGAGTACACTGTCTCGACGCTACATACACAATAATATCTTGTATTTGGAATACGTTCGATACTAATTACGTGTGGGAGTTACCACTTTGGTGACTTCCTTGAAAATCTATGTTACGGTGAGGTAAGGCTCGACTACCAAGACCATCCCGGCGCGCCTGGAGGGTTCTTTCAGAGCGTCCCGATAGAATAGTCAGCGTGGGTCACAAAGAGGCTGATTGCCGGAAGAGTTTGAGGGGTGCCGAACTCATTGTCAGTGGTGATCATTCTCGTTTAGGACGTCGCTTTCCTCCGCTTAGGTGTGACTAACCGGCGCCAACAAAATGAAATTCCGGTTCGAGGGTTGCAGATCTCTCGTCCGGAGCAGTCAGAGACTGAGGATTGCCAGGCCGTTGCTGATGGGCTGACGATAAACGATAGGAGGGCCTTTCCAAGAGCGCTGCCGCCTTATGAGTGTTAGTATCTGGTAAAAGGCTTGTCGGATCTTGACGCAACACCGTCGCTCAAACCCGGTATGATGCAAGTCAGAGCTTTGGCCTAGAGACACGAGGCGTGCGAGGACGAGGAGAGGACCTCCTCCACAACATGTATATGGTTGCCATCGATGGGATTCTAGACGTTCTCTACACCCTCGCGTGGGGATGGCAGGTTGCAGGCCCTTACCAAATGCTCGGACGGAAACGCCCAGCTTGCTGGGAGATCGACTCCCCATCCACATAATAGTGCAGACTTTCCGGGCGATCATGGAGATCTTAGCTTGTGCGCTACGGAGGAAATACCGGTAGGTATATGCATGTGCTTGTATTAGCATCCCTCAATTGGCAATATTAGCGACGACAATAAGATCTGGGCGGCCAACGCGCCCGGCGGCGACGTACCAATGAGAACTGCCACCCTCGTTACGAGTCACCGGTACGCATAAGCATTGCCCGTTCCAAGCGTGAAACTGAGGAATACGCAAGTAGCTGATATGCCATGTAAACAGTTTCTCATGTTGTGTTTGGTAGTAGTATCAGTCGTCGATAATACCCACGCACGTCCACACCACGTAGAAGCCGACGGCGATTTACTTCACAGCCCACACACACATACACCATACACGCGGGACACGGTGACGGCAGTATGGACGAAGTAGTACCCTACCTACCTAAGCTACTACTACATGCATACATGCCTACATTCACACGTGTACATATACTCTGGGGGGTATCTTCGTAGGCTACCTCACCTATGCTCCCATGACGTGCGGTGCATAATGCTTCGTATTCGTGCATGACAGACCCCCCCGCCCAAGGGCCTTGCGTCTCTCTGTGTGTGCATGCCCATGCCTGTTTCTGCCCTACGTAGTGTGTAGATAGGTATGTAGATAGATATGTAGGTAGGTATATAGGTAGGCAGGTAGGTGCCATATCTGCCCTGCCGTCAAAGGTATATACGTGCTGCATAATACATGAGCCTAGAGAATAAATGCTTTGGCCATCACTAAATCATGGCACGGCACATCACATCGATGTAGTTAATATGAACAGAGACTCTTCGGACATAGGGTTTTACATGTGCGAAACCAAAGTGATAGTTACGTCAACGCGCCCCGGATCAAGGCAGGCCAGTTAGTGTTGAGGGATCTTGTCATCTTATGTTTTAGATTCCCCGAATCACAGCTTCACCTGTTACCTTCCAAACCCCTGGCATCAATATTCTCTGGGCTAACCCCCTGGTAAAGACCTTACCCCTAATCGCTAAGCGGGCCGGATCTTCGGGTTCCGAGTTCTTTATTGTCTCTTTATTGTGTGTAAGTACTTGCCTGTGTACTCACGGCGCAGGCCTACACTAGACCTATCTAAACACTCGAGGTTTGATAGTCGGAAAATCTTACGAGACGATAAAAACAATAGTACCATTCACACTCACCATCACGACCAGGCTTTCTTCTTCTTCGGTCAAGCTCCCCACCCCCTTATTCGCCCAAGCCTCTCAGCCTCGATCGAGGGGCTTGGTGCTGTTAGTCGCCTCTGTAGCTTTTGATTACGTCGTATAGATAGAGACGTACCTGTGTGCACATGCATACCTACCGTTCGTCTGCTTACCTGAAATTCCTCCTGCTGAATCTGGGAATGTCAACATAGACCTAAACTTGGTAGCTGTCCGACGACTCTACCTCGGGTGAAAGTTGCCGGGTATGCGATTTAGGGACGCAACCGAGAGCCATTCTGAACCAGCTCGTCGCGTTCCTTACCGAAACAGCCACCGCCAACCGATCCGCCTTCGCCCAATCCAGAGCTGTTCTTCCCGTGGGAGACTCCAGTAGCCATCTCCGCGTATTCTGGGGCGGCACTCCTTCGGTAGGACGTCCGTCCTTCGCAACGCCTTCCTTTATGATGGTTATATGCACATGTCCGATGGAGGGCCCCCTTAGGAACCTACCTGCCAGCGTAGCAGAGAGCGGTCCTGCAGATCATCAGCTCTGTGTGAACCCCCAGCAGAATGCCTGTGCAACTCTTGGCGTCATACCCATCTCAATTCTTGGCGTACCTCCTGTGACCGCGAACCACAAGCTTACACAAGTAGCGGTCGGTCTATGTACATATGTATGTATGTATATATTTTCTATACACGCCTAAGGCTAAGTTCCTGTAGCTTTGAGCACTCGAAGTTGCGAATGCGCAAAGCGGAGGAGCCACAGCAATGCTCTCTCACGACACCTTCTTGCTAGTACCAGCCGAGGTAGAGTCTTCTCATCCGACCTTCCGGTGAATGGCAGGCATTAGGTATTAGCCTCCATTTTCTTCGTCCGTTGAACAAGTATTACATAGTATGTAGGTCTGTGTTTTCTTTCCCTGCAGGGGTTCGATCTCGGAACAACGCCAAGCGAAACCGGATCGCTGCGAAATATGAAACTCAGACATCCCAAGTTCTTCTCACGAAGCCTCCCAAGAATCCTTCATGCGGCCTCACAGCCCTCACGGCCTCGAGGTCGTAGACCCGGGCTTCATCCCAAGCTCAGCCACGTGTTTCCCGGCCTGATCAAGGCCCGCGGTCAATCATACATCTGCCAGCGATCCTTTCTTTCTTTCTTTCCTTTCTCTCCTTCTCTCTCTCTCTCTTCTTGTTTCGTGAACGGATAAACGGCTCTCGTATACCTCAGCGCGAAAGTAAACGGACCGGAAGGTAGAAATATCTACACAGACAGCGGGGAGCTTTAAAATAACCGAATGCTGGGCAGGAGCCGTCACCCACTACGGTGCACCAAGGTGATGCACGCTAGTAGGAGGATATCTAGTCAAGGGGGGTCCGGATACCACAGATTCTGACCCTAAGTACGCTCCTCACTCTCCCGAATAGGCCATATTAAGTCTGGATAAGCTTATATGCTGTAACCATAACCCATAAGCCAGCCCATGTCGCTACTTAGTAATTCTAGTCGGGTCCATGGGCCACCCATGCGCTGTATATAGGTACACGGTAGGATTCCTGCATGAACCCGGCTACCCAGAGTCGAGTTCAGGTACCAAGGGATCGTTCGGCTCGGCGTTGGCCATCTGGCTGACATGCGCCTCGAACATCTCCAGAATATCACCCCCACTTGATCCTCGACGACGACACAAGACAGCAAGCTCGCATACGGGTTATCCCACACCCACACACCCCTTGGCAATTCGCCATGGCTCCTCCTAGGGATCTGGCACAGCTCTGCCAGAGATGTCAGCTCATGTGGCCCCTAGCTCAGAGCAAGACGGACACCCCTGTGTAGCATCATCTCTGGTTACCTGGATAATCGGTGCCGGGAAGAACGATGGGTATTCTAGGGTATAATTCTTGGTATGCTACATCTGCCGTCGTTGCCCATGAAGATCAGGGACGAAGCTTTCCCGTTCATTCTCCTTCACTTCGACCTAGACCATTTTTTCTCGTTTGCTTTCATTTGCTTCGGTTCTCTTCTACGGTCGATCCGTTCACCTTTCCTTTCTTACGCTTCCTCCATATTCACTATTCGTTCGTTTCGTTTGAAGGCTGAGCCAGTTGACTTCCTATATTCGTTTGGAGCCTCAGCGCTTCAATATTATTTTATTCTCTAATAGTATTCTTGACTATTTCCCCCACCTATACAGTCTCTTCCGCTCTCCTTCATACGCGTAACCATGCGATTCTCCAGAAGCTATGCGCCGGCAATCTTTGCCCTCGTCTCTGTCGCTGCTGCCAGCCCGCCGCCAGCGATTCAAATCGTGACAGAGACGGTTCACCAAACAGTACATGTGGTAAGTCGCTACGATATAGCAATACTCTCATTTTTTTTTTTTCACCTCCCCCTTCCATAATCTACTGTGCTATATTTCATATGTCAAGGTTGGACTTGGAGACCCGGCACCGAAGGCCTCTCCCACCCCAAGGTCGATATCGGAATAGACCTTACTAACACACAGTGTCGTAGACCCTACCAGCAGAGACTATACACATGACGGAAACTCTCAAGGAAACCGTCCATGTCACTCTGCCACCACAGACTCTAAAAGAGACTGTCCATGTAACGTTGCCGCCGCAGACGGTGAAGGAGACGGTGAAGGAGACCGTCCATGTCACTCAACCTCCAGAGACAGTTAAGGAGACGATACACGTCACCCTACCGCCCCAAACTGTAAAGGAGACGACAACAGTGAAGGAGACAGTGCACGTTACGCAACCAGCAGAGACCGTGAAAGAGACGGTCCACGTTACGCAACCACCACAAACTGTCAAGGAGACGGTCCATGTTACGCAACCGCCACAGACTGTTAAGGAGACGGTCCATGTTACCCAGACTGTAAAAGAGACATTGCATGTGACATTACCCCCCCAGACAGTTCACGTCCCGGTGACCCAGACTGTCCACGTCACGCAAACCGAAGTTAAGAAAGAGTCGATTACGCTACCCCCTCAGACGGTCAAGGAGACAGTGAAGGAGACGGTCCACGTCACGATCCCCGTAACGAAGGTGGAGGAGAAGCTCCTCACCGAAACGAAAGTACAGACTGAGCTTAGGACGCAGACGCAGACGCAGGTCGCGACTCAAACGAAGGTCGAGACCAAGCTTGAGACCAAATTAGAGACGAAGCTCGAGACGAAGCTCGAGACCGTACACGTCACGCTCCCGCCCCAGACTGTTAAGGAGACCGTACACGTCACGCTCCCTCCCCAGACTGTTAAGGAGACCGTTCACGTCAGCGTGCCCGTTACCAAGGTGGAAACCGTCCATGTTAGCGTACCAGTCACGAAGGTAGAAACCGTGAAGGAAACCGTCCACGTCAGTGTCCCCGTGACGCAGACGAAGTTGGAGACCGTCAAGGAGACTGTCCATGTCAGCGTGCCCGTAACGCAAGTACAAACCGTCAAGGAGACTGTTCACGTTAGCGTTCCCGTAACGCAGGTGCAAACCGTCAAAGAGACCGTCAAGGAGACTGTCCATGTCAGCGTCCCTGTGACAGTCACGCAATCGGTAGCGGTCACCAGGGTCGAGACCGCGAAGGAGACGGTCCATGTCAGTGTTCCTGTGACTGTCAAAGAGCCCGTCCATGTCACCGTCACGGAGCCAGTACATGTTACTGTGAAGGAGCCTGTCACTGTGAAGGAGCCTGTACACGTGACTGTGACGGAGGCCGTTCACGTCACCGTCAAGGAGCCGGTCCATGTCACCGAAACAGTCCACCTGCCGCCGCAGACGGTCAAGGAGACCGTCCACGTAACCGTCACCGGCCACGCCGAGACTGTCAAGGAGACCGTCCATGTAACTGTCACAGGTCACGCCGAGACGGTCCGTGAGACGGTGCACGTCACTCTGCCTCCTCACGTCTCGACAGTTTCCCAGGTCGTCCACGTTACCGTGACCGAAACCGCCCTCCCCGCGGCCCACTCGACCATCGTACTCCCACCGTTCGTGCACGAAACTACGCCGGCCCTGGTCCATGAGACGACGACAACTGCCTTGGCCCACCAGACGACGACATCGGCGGCTGTGGTCCACAACACGACGACCTCGGCGGTCGTAGTCCACGAGACAACATCGGTTGCTATGGTCCACGAGACGACGACATCGGCGGCCGCAGTCCACGAGACGACGACATCAGCGGCCGTGGTCCACGAGACGGCTACGTCAGCGGCCGCGGTCCACGAAACCAGCACGCAAGCTGCGGTTCCCGAAACCACTACGCAGCCCATAGTCCACCAGACGAGCTTACTCCTGCCAGTGGCGCAGGAGACCGCCCTGCCCGCAGTTCACGAGACGCCGACGGCTGTGCAGCACGCCGCATCGTCTATTGCCCTGCCCATAGTCCAAGTAACGGCCGCAGCTTCGCCCGTCGGGGCATCGGCGGCGCCGACGACGATTCCGCCGCTAGCATCTTCGATATCACTCGGATACATGCTCCCGCAAAACGCTAGGCGGTGGCGGGCGTGAGGTAATTAAAGGAGGGGGACCCAAAAGCGTGATTGAATATATACCTATATACAGTACACTGTAAGAGCGGGCGAAGAGAAAATACTATTAACGACGGGTTTAGCGGGAGGGGGGGGATAAACACACTCTGAAATACCGGATGGGCTATTCATAGGGTTTAGCTGAAGAGAACTATTACTCCTTCACCAATGCAGGCTATTTTATTTATTTTTCCTAATCTTCATAATCCGGTTCACCAACAAATCTTGTTCTTTTCCTTCTTTTCCCAGTCCTCTCTATGCTACGGCCGGCGGGTAATCTCTTACGTCCTCGATGGGGTCACGCGAAGGAGATAGGGTAAACAAAACATGCCAGACAAACCACCCGTCTTTGGGGATTCGTTCTGTTACATCGACTCTCGCTCGCTTCGTGCGATACGTCCAAGTATGGTCAATTTTTCTCTCACGCGCGCGTCGTCGAGACGACTGGAGCATACATACATACATACATTCGCACCTACATAGATATACATGCATACACCTATCTAGACAAGCTCATAGAGCCCACGCCAATTTCAAGTTCAGCAAGTTCAACTTGAACCCACCGTCTTCTGCGAAACCCCGGGGCGCGGGATGGGATGATGATGTCGCCCCGCGGGATGCGCAGCAGAAGGCCGCAGGCCAGGTAGATGGGCTGCGTAGGGCCGATCGACGAGGCACCCGCAAATCTCTGCACCTCGCTGCCCACCCCGCCAAGGCCGAGGATCCGAAGATCCCAGAGGCTCGCTTCCACACATGGTGGAATATTGTCCCGGTGCCTGCCGGATCCCAAGCGTTGCCCCGTAAGCTGGCCATTGGCAAGAAGTCCTACCTACATGCGACTGGAACCCGTCTCCGCGAACTACCTAACACTCGCAGACTCGCAAGGCTTGTGGAATAGGAAAGTGGCAGCGATCAGGACGCCCGCGCTCACGAAGCAGTCTCTCATGGATTGTCGTAGGGCAGGTCGGGGGAGGGGTCCGGTCGAAGCGGGCTCCCCGTCCTAGTTGGCTTGGCCGGCCATGCGAGGGGGTCTGTTTCTACATACCAAGGCTTCTCGCCAGCAGGGCATGGGCCTCTCAGTACGCAAGCATCAACCAGCGGCCTCTTTAAGCATATCAAGGGGCCGGCACCAGCCCGTTTCAGCCATGGCGGCCTGGATTCGCTAGGTAGGTATGCGATCGGATTTTTTATGTCGTGAGCCAAGTTGTGCGCGCATTCTTCCTTAATGCCAACAGAAACAAAGCCACCTCCAGAACCGGGGCCCCCTGCTTCTTCTCCGCAGCCCACGGTGTGAGACGCGGGTATGCAGACGCTGAGGCCTACTCAGAAGCCTCCCCTCCTTCTGCTGCATCTTCTTGTGCTCCTCATCCTTACTCGCTCGCGCGCTCTGTAGGATAGAGACACATGCATAGGGGGAGGCTGCAAGACTTCGCTGGGAAAAGGGGGTGGGCACCGGCATGTCAGGGGGGGGGGGCGGGAGTAAAGCTGTGTTGGTAGGAGTCGGCGCCGAAGTACATATTATGTGACGACGCAATCCTCCTGACCTACCGCATGCGATTGTATGTACTTCACCCTCCCCTTCTCTTATCCGCTCCGTCACTACCACATTCCCCTTCGTATTTTTAGCCCAGGGCCAACTCCTTCCTTTCTTCCCCCCCCCCCCTTTTCGCCCAGCGGACGCGGAAGCCAAGAGAAACGAGCAAACGCAAAGGCGACGCGAGCCCAAACGTTGTGCTCCGGAGGATCCTAACCTGTGCCCACGACGCCTGCGGAGGGTGGGCGCGAGAGAGAGGGGAAGGGGGAGGGTTGGATGCCCCCCGCGACTAGCAAAAGGGCCGGGCGTGGATGGAGCCACGCGAGCGAAGGCGAGCGTCGAGAGTTCCTGCACTAGGACGCTACCATTGTCGCCATGGCCGGCCGTCGCGCCGCCGTCTCCCAGGCGCATGTGATCGGGCGAGCAGCGGTGGCCCCAGACGTATCCTGCCCATCTATCCCCTTCTCCCTCCACCCTTCCCTCCTCACGAGCGAGCGAGGGAGGCTCATGCGACAGAGCGGCGCGCGCCTCAAGAGCCGGGCGTGTAGACAGGTATCCTACCCCCCCCCCCCCCCTTCCTCCCTATCCGCTCTCCCCGTCCGAAGCTGCACCCTTATGTGCTGTGCCACAACCCCCATAAGCTGAGCTGCTCAGCTGGGGACGCGGCTCGCGCTCGCACCCGAGGCGCTGGCCGCGCTAGCTGTGCTGCGCCGCCCGCGGGTCAAGCCCACGGTGCCCCTCGTCTATGCCCGACGGCGACCGCCAGCACGGGGCCGGCAGCGAGGAACCTCGTAGAAGCGTGGTGGTTGGGCGCGGTCCGCATCACGGCTGTGCTGTCCTGCTCTCCTCCCTCCGGTGAGGACCGCGCCGGCGCCCGGAACCGCCCCCGTCTGCCCCGTCTCGATGCCGACGCTACGTGTGATACCACGTTGGCTGGACTGGGGATCGGGTTCTTCGATGAAAGGGGAAATAATTCCGTGTTGCCAGCGACCCGGCACCGTTGGCATTCTAGCATTCCCGGCGCCGGTAAGAGGGCTACGGTTTTCTTCTAGGGGCATGGGCTTAGGTGATGTTGCTAGAGAAGAGTAAAGAGAGTCGCCGGTAAGCGGTAGGCAGGTAGGTATATTCTCGGATGGCTAGTTTTGCGTGTCAGCAAGTGAACAAGGTCCGTCGTAATCGAATAACATCTACCATCGACTTGATGATAGTGAGGCACATATATCTCAGCGCATCGCTACATGCTATGCGCCCCGTAATTGATCCGCCCCGTCTGAAGTCCTCCCACGACGCTTCGGCCAAGTCAGACTCGGGCTTTCGCAGACTAGGGTGTCGGTGATTGCGATGACCTACGAGGGTTAGCGGTTATCAGAGATGGCAATAGAATCTACCCCTGTAGATAACTCTTGGAACTGTGCTTGGAACCTCCGACGGCCTGGCCGCGTAACATATATATATAGCCTCAGAGCTGGTCCGTAAAGAGGTACGGCGTGTCCTGTCTCGTGAGGTTGCCTCTGTACAGAGCCATACTCCGACAAACGCATCCGGCATGTTCGATCTATGCGCCAGCAGCCTTATCATGGCCTGTATCCAGCAGTCACACGTTACCATCGACTCCCTTACTCCCTTAGTTATCCCCCCTTCCCCGACCCCGATTCCGAGTAGCGAACACCCTTTCTAGCAGATAAGATCAGCCCCGAAGAGTTGAGGGTCCGCTAGAGCGTTCCCTACGCAAGCGCGTAGGGCATTTCCGGCTCGTGTATGCGTTAGACGAGGCACGACTGGGTAGCCGCCCCCTTTACTCCTCAAGCCCCCGGGGTTAGCCTACGGCATCCAACCCAACGCCGACGGTGCAAGGGCTCAAATCACCGTCGCAGGAAAAGAGCGGACGCCTGCCCTTCCCCATGAGAGAGATCGGTGTATGCGGCTGCGCTAGGTTCGCGGGGGAAGCCTAACCTCACGCTGCCTACTACCGTAGAGAGGCCAGCCATCGAGCCGCGGAGGCCTAGTACACTCAAACAGCGGCGCAAATAGAAACAGGCGATTCTTTACGCGCCAGCAACACATACGCTGCGATGCCTCAGCCCGAGGCGAGGTCTAGCTTAGCATCGCTTTCCACGCTCGCTCGCGTATCGCAAGGGATAGCTCACCCTAGTGTTCGCTATAGTAAGAGTGTGGGCGAGGGACGGCACCAGGACGTCTGACGACCAGCGATCGGCGCAGGCTTCGAGAAACACGTTCTTCACGAGAGACCAAGGGCCGAGGTGACGGAGAACTCCTAATATATACCCCGTCGTCGCTATGAGAAGGCGTATCCTTCTGTGCACACCGAGTCTCAGCTACCGCGGCGCGGAAATAGCAATATGCTACTACATGGATTCGATGCTATCCCCCTCTGCAAACACAGCTCCGCCCCGCCGCATCCGTATGCAAAGACCCTCCACTTCCACCTCACCGCACCGTCCGCACCGTCCTGCCGACCTCGCCGCGCTCGACGGCCTCGATACGGGGGAGCACGAGCTCCCAGACCTTGTCGGACAGCTCCTCGATGGGGAGGTCCGCGTCGACGATCTGTATGTCCTCCTCCTCCTGGCGGAACTCCGTGTCCTGGGCAGCCGTAGCAGCCGCCGCCGCGACGCCCGCGGCTCCGTTGCCGGCCCTGTCGGCGTCGCGGCGGGGCGCCTTGCCGGCGACGGCGGCGGCGGCGGCGGCGCTGCCGCTGTCGACGGCGGTGCCGAGGTCGCCCATGCTGAGCCCCCAGAAGAGGTCGCGCACGCGGCGCTGCATCTCGCCCTTCTCGTAGACCTCGCCGCCCCAGCCGCCGCGCGCGCGCGCCGCCGCCTCCTCCAGGTCCAGGAACAGCACCACGTCCGGCCGCGGCAGCCCGACCTCCGGCGCCTTCGCCCACGACAGCGACAGCGACCGCACCCCCTTCGCCGCGCTGTACACGATCCCGCTGTGGTAGAACCGGTCGCACACGATCGTGTGCCCGGCCTCGAGCTCCGCCCTGATCTTCTTGCTGCGCGCCCCGGGGGGGGGGGATTAGTTAGAACGGGGAGCGAGAAAGTGCGAAGGAGAACGAGGAGGAGGAGGAGGAGGAGGAGGAGGAGGAGGGGGGAAACAACTCACACGGCCTCCCACCGGTTCGCGCTGAACAGCAGGTGTATGACGTGGTCCTCGATCTCGGCCTCGCCGCGGAGGTAGGCGTCGATCATCTGGCCGATGGGCGTGGTGCGGTCGGGGAAGCGCAGGAAGCGCGCCTCGCGGCCGCTCTCGATGCAGCGCTGCTGCAGCAGCTTCGCCTGCGTCGTCTTGCCCGCGCGGTCCATGCCCTCGAACACGACGAACGCGCCGCGCACCGCCTTCGCCCGCCCCTCGCCCGCCGCCCCCGCCGCCGGCGCCGCCAGCACCGGCGCCCCCCGCGCGATGGTTGTCGCGCCTCGCGCCCCTGGCGTCGCCGGCTCGGGCTGCGCAGGCGTCGCCCCCTGAGACGGCGAGCCCGCTGCCGCTCCCGCCGCCGGCGGAGGCGTGCCTGGGGGCGGCGGCGCGGCCGCTGCTGACGCTGACGCCTCCTGCCGAGGCGACGACTGCAGCGCCACGGCGGACGACGCGATCGTCGCCGCCACCGCGAGGTCGTTTATCGAGGCCATTGGTTCCTTTCCCACGCAAGGTGTGTCGACTTGTGATTGACGGGAAGCGGCGCGTGTGGTACCACCGCAGCACTTATAACGACAATGCCCGGCTCGACGAGAGAGAGGTCGTGCGCAGACGGGGGTCGACTTGGGGCCGGACGTGGATTGGCCGATGTGTGGGAACGCCGGGTTGCTATGCTATATCGATTGGGTGTCACGGTCGTTCGACTTATCGGAAAACGGAGCGTCGGCGCTGGTCGTCTCATCCGAGGGTGAGACGAGATAATAAGATGTTAAGGCATCGAATGGTGGGAAGATCTCCGGGGTGCGACCGAAACAGATCAGATCAGATTCGCGAGTCAGAAAGTGGGAGATCGACTCAACGTGGAGATAGTGTTTCCGTTACGTAAGCACACTCCCCTCTCCCCATGCTCGATACTGTCATATGTGGCCTCCTTGCATGCGACTTGCACACATCGCACCTATGCTGTTAAAAGGGGCAGTCGATGAAGGGAGCGCGGGTGTGAACCGTCGTCTATTTGTTCCTCAAGCGCCCGCCCAACGTGACACATCGCGAACGCACATATAATATAAATAGGTATTCTCTCATCGGCGCCAACGCTTGGTTATCTCGACCGAACTCTTCCGCTCGACGTCCGGCGATATGACTGGGCGGAGACCAACGCGAGTCACAGCAGTCATAATAATAGGCGGAAACCCGTTCGTTGTTATTTACGCGCGTGTGCTCCCCCTCTCTCACATCGGTATGCGACAACCACGACGATAGAAAAGGGGCTATGTACATAAAACTCATACAACCAGATACAGCGCCATAGAAGCACAAGGCGGAATAGCCGATCCATACCGCCTCCCTTGCCAGCCAGCCGTTCCGTGTGTGTGACCCTGTGTCCCTCAACCCCCCCCCCCCCTTGAAACGCCGGTGACTGTGACGAAAACCGTCGACGCATGCCTCCCTCGTGCCCGCAAAAGCGACGTCTACCAGTGCTGACCCAGTAGGTAATTACACGACCAGGGCCAAAACAAGAAAAATAAAAACATTAGCCAGTAAGAATAATAGGGGTATGGTAAACCCGAGCAAACCAGAGCCATCGTCGACAATCGTGAGGAACAAGGCCGACCGTGTGCGTGCATCAGCACTCGGCCTCATCCTTGGCGCTCCCGCTCTCCCACACCTCGAAGCTCTCGCCGGTGCCCTCGAGCGGCTCGAGCACAGCCGCGCCGGGCACTAGCTCGTCCCCCTTACGCATCAGCTCGTCGACCGTCTTCGCGCCGTCGTCGACGTCGTCCTCCTCTCCTACGAGGATTTCGGGGGCGAGGTCGGGGATCGGGTGCGGCTGCGGCAGCTGCTGATCCTGGCCCTCGTCCTCGTCGCCGGGAACGATAATGACCGAGGTCTCGTCGCAGCCCTCCGAGTAGTACTCGCGGACGTCCATCTCGCCAAGCGGGTTGCGCTCCTTCTCGAATGCCATCTCGTCGTCGACGGCTTTCCGGAAGGCGCAGGCGCGCGGCCGCGACGTCTGCGACACGTCGTCAGCGGGGGGCACGTTCTCCTTGCCCTCGGCGCGCTCGCGTTGCCGCCGACTTTCGCTCTCCTCGTCGGAGCTGATGTCGAGCACGCAGGTGCTGTGCTGCAACAGGTTCGTCATCTCCTGCTCGGGCGTATCCTCGTGAATGTCAAAGAACCACGACGACTTCATGGCGTCACCACCTTCCAGCAGGCTATCGAGACCGAGACCGCTGCTAGGAGAAGACCTGTTAGCGGCAGTGGCGGCTGACGCCGACGAGCCATTGCGGCGCGCGTAGCTTGGGATCGTGCCCTTCAGCGCGGCGTCCAGCGAGAACGGAGCCGGGGACGACTTGCTCGGGAGCCCGAAGGAAGGTGGGTCGACGCGCGAGAAGGCGCCGGCGGTACGTCGCCGGGAAGACAGGATGCCCGATCGCTTGCCGCGCGTCGGGGATCGGCCGGCGGGGGCGGAGAGCGGCGTTGACTTGGTTATGCCGGTGTTGATCTTGGAGGGCGACTTGGCGTTCAAGAGAGATCGTGGCCGCGGCGTAGCGGTCTTGTGCGAGCTTGTGGTAGGGACGTTGGCCACGGCGGCCGACTTGGCGAGGGTGAAAGTAGGTGGCTTTAGGAAGGCGTCTTTGGAGGGGAAGCTATCCGAACCCTTAGATTTCTTAGAGAAGAGCAGGGGGTCAACGTTCTCGAAATCGTCCGTGTCTAAGCTGTCGGCAGCTTTACGTTTGCCGGGTGACGAAGGGAGAGCTAGGCATCGTTTAGCACGAGACCGGATATCTGTACACGCTATTCGGAGAGGGTCCAGGTCCGCATCTTTTTATACGCGATGCAGATTTTGCCCCCACCGTCTATCGGCCGTGCCAGAGCAGACGGCAGAAATACAACAGAGCACATAAAACGGCCAATGCACTAGACAACAATTCGAAATTCGAACCAGGGCAAACTAGATCGCCCGCACGACTTGAGATGCTTACCATTCTGTCTGTTCTTCAGGCTTGTCAGCGTCTGCAGGCGCGCTCCGTCGAGGGGCGCGAAAGGTTGACGGGTAGCGGTAGCCATCGCGGCGGATTTCTGACGTGGTGGTCGTCGAGAGGATCTAGAAGTCCAATCGCGTAGGGAGATTCGAGACCCAATCTCGATGCCGATTCCGATCGGGGATGACCTGGATCGATTCCACCGAGGGGGAGAGCTTGTTTACAGCTGCCAACGAGCAAAAGGAGCCGGTGAAGTGAGTGCGAGTCGTAGTTGTTGGAACAGCAACTAGGGCGAAGCACGGATCAACAGGATAAGAACGATTGACACCGGAAGCAGGGGGAAGAGGAAGAAAAAAAGCTTGGAGTGTTTGTTTATTTTTGGTCGCGAACGATGCCGTGAACAATGCCGTGAACAATGCAGCGCCAGTATCGCCAAACCTGACCTCGTCTAGGGGGAAGGGGGAAAGGCAATGGGAAAAGTGGGCGAGAGACTACGATGCGGGCATTGGCAGGTCTTATTGCATCCTTAAGTGCCGTCTCGTAAGAGCAGTGGCATGGGATGGACGCGCCGACGGAGGCCAGAGGGGGGGGGGGGGGGGGGAGGGGTGTCGCGTAGGAGGGTGTGAGGGCGGGAGGGCGTTAGGGTGTGTGGCTTTGTGGGTTGTGTGGGTTGAGGGCGTGTGTGGGTGTGTGGAGGAGACGTGAGGGCGCGAGGGGACGGGAGGAAGAGGGAAGACTCAGAAGAGGGAGGGAGAAGAGAGGAGATGAGGGAGAAGAAGAGAAGAGACGAGGGCGAAGGATTGACGGGCGCAGCAAGGATGAGGGGGGGGACGTCGAGATGGAGCCGGCCCAAGCTGGGAATTGCTCGAGGAAGCGCTGCGTCGGCGGTCGGGGGGGAGTTTTAGCACTGTACGTACCCGTACGGGGAGAGAGAGCAGAGAGCAGAGTGGCCAGCGCGCGATGGGCCGCTGCAGATCTAGCGAGGTACCTCAACGGGGCGACGCTCTGCGCCTGATTTCGGCGGTGTCGCGCGCGTGTCGGTAAGTACCTCGATCTACCTACCTCGGGTTACCCTCCTAGACCTCCAACCTTTAGGTACTACCTCTACTATACAGGTACCTAAGGAGTTATGCATGGGGCATGTAATACCACCCTACCTCGTTATGCTGCCTCCAGAGCACAGATAAGGCCAGGTAGCAGCAGAGGAACGAACGTGCATGCTCGTAATGTTATGTATGAGCAGGCATGCACGTAAATACAATAGCATATAATATGTGCATGTGCGGGTGCGGTGCGTTCGCGTCTGCGTCTGCGTCTGGGAAAAGTGGAAAGATAAAAAGAATGGAAAAACCACAGGTAATCATAATAATAATAATAGATCAGAACCCTGAAAAACACCACAAGGGAGCGATGATAGTCGCACGCTCGGGTCTCAAACGGGGTTGGTTCTGCGCGATGGCGACGAGATTAGCCTCCGTCCCCTTCGTGTTGTGGACGCGTGGTGTTGGCGTATTATACGACGGGCCCGCCAATCAGAACGATAGGGGGCCAGCCGCCTTTCTCTCCTCGTCTGTCTCTCTCTCCCTCTGTCCTGTCTGTCTCGTCTCTCTCCCTCCCCCCTGTCGACGACGTCGCGTCGTCTCTCTCTGTCTCTCTCTCTACCTACACGGCTACAGCTCCTCCTCATATCGGGGCCGCAGACCAGAACCCGGAACCCGCTCGCCCGTCCGCTCTCGTCCGCCGCCGGGCGTTGACTGTATATAGGTAGATATATACGTAAGTAGGTAGGTAGGTAGGTAGGTAGGTAGGTAGGTAGGCGTGTATGGAGCCGTGCCAGGGGGGGCGTCCTGGATGAAGCTGAATCTGGTGCTCACGATGCAGAGCGCTACGCTGCACGGCAGCGCATTCAGGGAAACATCTTTCATGCGATCCCCGGGTCGCCGTCGCTGATTCGCCGACGCCCTGGATGCGCGCGTCGAGACAAGTCTCACCAACTGCGCAGTAGCACCGGGAAATGCCACTTATAACACCCAACTTACTTACCTACGTGTAGATTCGTCTACTCATATGCTTATCCTGCACGCACGCTATACTCCTTACATCCCTAACCTCCCAGATGCTACCCGACCTACTGACCTACTAACCTCCTCCCACTATCCATGTTAACCTATATGCTACGCCATCTACTTACCTTGCACCATGTCTACTATACACCATGTCTGCATCATCCCACGCTTTTTTAGCCCTTTCTGCCCTTTTTTTCTCTCTTCTACCCGTTCCCTGCGACCTTCCTACGCGTCTTCCTGCGCTTCGGCGACCCGACGGTGCGCAATGTTCGAGGAGCGCCCCCGAGACAGCCAATAGTCGCGTCCACATTCGCGGCAAGCCCCTGTCTCTAAACCACCTAACCCGCGTTCGGGTCTTGGGTTCGGTTCGCGAAGGGGGAGGAGGGGAGAGGAGGGAAAAGAGGGGTTGATTCAGACAGACAGCCACCAGAAACTAACGAGGGAACCCCTAGGCAAGAGAGGAGGAGAAAGAAAGAGAAAAAAAAAATTGTGTGTGTGTGAGCGGCGTTTGTATGAGTAACTCCTGCTGCGCTGCTCCTGTTCTCCCCCCCTCTGGTTGTGGGACTCCAACTGTTTCTACGCGTGAAAACCCGAATGCAGGGGTCCGCGCCTTTTCGCGTCTTTAAAGAACCGCTCCCCCCTCCGCTCCCTCCATCCGCCCACACGGGCAATCACGAATTGCGCCAGGCGGGAATGCCCTGAAAACCATTTGCCGCCTTTCAATTAAAGCATGTCTTAAAGAGAACCACGGGCCAGAGGATGCCGATCCCATCGAGATGGACCTAACCTATCCTACCTAGCGCAAGTCCCCCTTCCCATCCTCCCCCCCCGTTCGCTCGTCTTGTCCCCGAACAGCCATCCGGTCTGGCTTCGGGTTCTACTCTGCCCTATCTTCATCCTCTCGTCGCCGTCGAACAGGCGGAAGAACGAGTGTCACCCAGTCGGTTAGCCCTGTCGCGCAGTCGCTGAGGGAACCGCAAGGGGGGTCTGGGAAACTCCAGTCCGATTTCGCGACCAGATTCTGCTCGCGGTGCGAGAGGCGCGCGATCGTCTCACTCGAGACAGCAGTGTCCTAGGAGGCTTGGCTTCCTGGCCTGGTGGTTTGCCTGGCTGTTCCTCTTTCGGCCGCCCGCGACTGGAGGCGCTCAGCCAATGAGGCAGATACGCATGGCAAATGGTGAGGTGCATCGAGAACCAGAAGGCAGCCTGGCCGCATGCGACGCGGCCGCCCTTTTGCCCTATTGGCCGGCACGTCGTTATGACGGGCGTCCTTCGACCCTGAGAAGACGTCTTCACTACTCTTCGCCTTGTGGCTAAAACTTTCTCGCTTTTGATTGTTACCCAGACCCGTCAGAGTCGTTGAGCGCGCGAGAAACGGGTGGAGAGGGGTGGTGCCCTGGGAGGAGGGGCCCGATGGGAGGGGAAGCAAACTACACGCGCGCGCGCGCACACACACACATACACTGGGTCCTATATTAGGTCTCAAGGGGTCCGTGAAGGGGGCGCAATAGACGCGTTGGTAGTCAGAGCGAGAGAAAGGGGGGGTCGTCAGTTAGAGGTGGCGATATAGTAGCTTTGAGCGGTCAGGGGTTAGTCTACACAGTCTTATCTAGCCAAAATTCCAGACCATACCCGCGTGTGCCGTGCTGAAATGACCCGAGTTGGCTCAACGTAGGCTTCCTGGGTGTGAGTCGAAGGGGGGGGAAGGGACCGAATAATCGTCTACCCCGTAAAGGATGGGAGGAGACGACGCCGAGCGACGAATAGCCAACCTCGCTCGAGGAATACATCTGACATCGTGGGCCTCGTTGGGCTGGACCAGGCTCTCTCGACCGCTATCAGCTCATCTGATCGCCTTACCATGGAGTCACGGCCGCTCCATCGGTGCCCCGACCCGCAGGATGTGCGTTTCGCACCATAACCTTCACCGAAATCTGTGCCATAGGCTCGGACTGGGCCTAAGGAGTCTCGCGCACCGCCACATGCCAGCTGCATTGCATCCCCAGCGCCCCAATCGTATCCAGTTCCACCGAGCAAGCAGCCAAGGACATCGATGGAGCTGGGGTTTCGGGATGCAGCTTGTTCCCCTGCCGGATACTACGATTATCGCGTCGTACACACATAGCGGAAACGGGAGGTGTAATTAAGTCAGCCCATGTGTCAAGCTCTGCTTCGCCCTGCGCTTGGAGGCGGAGGGCTGAGGCGGAGAGAGAGAGAGAGAGAGAGAGAGAGAGAGAGAGAGGCAAAAGGCAGACAGAGAGGCAGATAGAGAGAGAAAGGCAGATAGGCTTACGGGGATGCTCTTCGAGCTCGCCCGTCGATCCCGAGAGCGTGTGACCGCATATACCATCGGCGCCGTCGGGTTGGTGAATTCACGATGGTCGACGGCGATCCTCTCGCACTGGCGTAGTGGAGAGGTCCTGTGGTCCTAGCGGTAAAGGGGGAAAAGGAAGCATACCGTGCTACATACACACGGACAAGGCCCGGATATCCACATTAGATTGAAGCCCACAGTTCTGGTATTATCGTCACCGCTCTGGTCGCCAGCCCCCCTCTTACCCTCCAAAGCCTCCCAGCCTTTCCTCGGTTCCTCCAGCCTTCCGACCTCCACGCGATCGAGTCATCAGGCAGACAAGCGCCTCTAAACATCGGCCTCAATCGACGAGAGACAGCCCACGTCGTCACCGGCGAGACTGGAACTGCTACCACTCGGGTCCAGACCCGCTGATCTATCGAGCATGCACGACGCAGCATTCGGGGTTCTTCTCCTTCGAGACTCGTTTCTCTACGTCGGTCCTGGATTGGTAATCTACCTATATTTGTCCCCCCCCCCGGCCTGGCGATGCCACATATGTCGGACCCTATACCGCTACTCTGTCATCAGGCACCTCTCCTCAGGTCTTGGCGCGAGTGCCGGTGGTCTTCGCGCAAACCCGGTGAGCTGACTATGACTACGCCCGTCGTGAGATATTCCCGCTTCATAACACACACCCCGTGGACGTATGGGTAGAGACGCAGGCAGAGAGAGAGAGCGCGTGTACGTGCGCGAGTTACGTAGACAGGAAGCCCAGTTCCGACGTAAGACGAGGGAAGGCGAGAGAAGGGGGGAGAAGAGGGAAGGGCCCTAAGAGACCGGGGTTTGTCGTATATCCCAAGTAGTATTTCCGGAGTATAAGTCACGAATCTAATAATATTGCGGATGGATTGATTGGAGCTGAGGCTTCTAGTCTGATACAACTGTAGGGGAGTATGAGACCAATGGGTTCCACTCTTACCTAAAAACCCAACTGGAAAGAAAGCGTTGGAATACCTTTGCGGGCGTAATAGGCCCCCGAGTGGAAGCCTAAGGGGAACGTCTTGGCCTAAGGAACGTGTGCTAATTTTTGTTGAGCGCCGTTTAGACAAATTCGATACGCTCTCGTCGATCCGGCGGGTTATATCGGCTCTTCTAGTATAGCAATCTCAACTCTTCTGACGTTTCCTATCACTCTCGCACGGGTGTGAAGCGGGATAGCTGGGCCACAGTTTATCAATTTCAGTACAATAGCGAAGAAGATGGACGGCAGCCGAATCTCTGCCGTTGAAACGATGTTGACCCCTGACGATAGAGTATAATATTACTGATAGAGTATACGCATACGAACGCTCGAGGGCAAGACAACAAAAAAACACAAACGGGGTAACGGAACTCAAAACACTGTATCCACAAGATACCATAGCTTCCTAAACCAACTGTTTCAATATGAAATAGAAAATAGTTTGATCCTAACCACACCGCCTCAAACCGCGCAACCGTGAATAAGCCACCTGTGCTATGAAAACGACCATAATCAAAGAACACCCAAGTTTCAGAGCGCCCTAGCGAAGGTTTATCTCTCTTCACAACAGACCCGGGCAAATTCGATCCGTAACGTCCTTTTCCCTCTCTAGCCGGCCGCCCGTCCGCGGGCCGCGCTGCGAACACGGGAGAGCCCGACCGAAGAAGCCGTCCCGTTCCACCCACCCCCGAACACCGTCTCCGTCCGCCGACAGCGGTCTCGCCCATCATACGACACGCCGCAGCCCACCATCGACGTTTGTAGGCTTATCTAATCCGCCGCCCTCACCCCGGTCCCCATGTCGCTACGCTAGCCTCCTCCTTCTCCCTCCCTCCTCGTCGCCCTCAGCTCTGCCCCTGCCCCTGTGCCGCGGCCGGGATCTCGACGGAGGCGCCGCCGCCCAGCGCGTACGCCTCGAACCGCCCCAGCAGCGCCACCCGCCGGCGCCCCGCCCCCGCTCACCCAGCGCTGCGCCCCCGCCGCGAAGAACCCCGGCTGCGCCGCCCGCCGCGGCGCGCTCGCGTACGGCCGAGCCACCGCCTCGGCCTGCGCGCGCGAGAGGCCGGGCGCCACGGCCCCGCGGAGGAGGAGGAGGAGAAAGTGGTGCGGGGAGAGGGAACAGGGGTCGGGTTTGCCTCCGCCGACGTGCGCGGCCGCGTCCGGCGGCGGGTTGCTGGCGGTCGATTTTCCTAGCTGGGGGCTGGGGGCTCGGGCTCGGGCTACATTGCCGATAGGGTGGTGGCTGCGGTATTAGAAGGTAGAGCCACAGAGCCGTGAGTCGTGTGGTGAAGAACCTACAGGTGAAACGTTGCGGTGCAGTCTTGGCCGCGGTGGACGGTGCTGGGCCTATACTTATGCGTACGTCGACTCGGTCCGGCCCGGTCGTCTTGCCCTTTTCCGACCGATCGATACGATATGATATAGTCTAGAGGGGAGGAGGGGTCATTTGACAACGCGGCAGGGAGCTGAATTGTGGACTAGCTTTCTCTGGCCTCCAGCCGCTGCGTCAACAGTCCCCGGCATGGCAACTCGCGCAGTTGTAAATGCCTGCCCGAGCGCTACCGGCGGCTCTCCGCCTGGCGTCGCCTATCGATCCATCAGAGGCTATTACAGACCCGCCGGTTATTATAAGTATCGTGCCGTACACTAACTCGAGCAAATCAGCTAGGCATCAACATGGATAACTTTCTTTGGAGTTTAGATATAGAAGTATTGAATATTACGAGTCAAGGCGGATATCGAGTGCGATATGGATGTCCCCACGGCGCCCCCAGGTTCCTGTCACACTCCGTGCCCCATCCTCGCCGCGTTCTAGAGCGACCGCCGGTCCGCTACCTTGTCCATTGTCCATCCCGAGACCCGGCACCAGATTGGGGCGATCCAAGCTCTCGTTGACCGTAGAGTCTCTAAGACAAAAGGGCCCTGCTTCGCGACCGCGGATGTACATTGAGCACGTCCGCGGCTGCCTGCATGCAGGTCTTTGCACCAGACCTGTACTCGGATTTGTCGGTGGGATCCCTTCTAAACGGCTACCGTGGTGCATTCCCATGTGTCGTAGGCAGAAAATCTCGAGCCGAGCTGTAATACAGCATCGCTTGCCGTCGACCTTGTGCCTCTAAACCCTGACCTGCATACGCCCCCCTTTCTCGAACACTAGACATTTTCTGAAACCCCGGCGGATGACTTGTGTATTAATTCTCGGCTTTTATTGTCGTACTTCTGAAGTGCTGCTAATAGTGTTAGAAGCCGTGTTGCTTGCTCCACGAATCCAGGAAATCCTATGTAAATGCTTACAAGCCAGGTTCTTGAAGAACTAGGAGGAGGGAGATGTGCAAGCAGGCGACAAGAGCCGGAACGAGGGTACCTGGGTTCTATGAGAATCCGTTCAGGATCTCTCATTTCTCTCCAATGTCCCACCTCTTGAGTGGGAACAGCCGGGCTAATACGTCCGGCGTCTCTCTCTTAGCTCTACGCCTCCCATAGTTAGAACGGCTCTTGTCACGCGAAAATGTAAGCGCCTACACTTCTCGGTTTAGATAGACTTCTATGCGAGGTTTCTATGCGATAACAACTTTCAGTTATAAGCGAATTTTATCTCTTTGATGGCTCTCTATTCCCGACACAAATACACACCCCTTGCCACACCTCGTAGAGACACAAGTTCCGTGACCGAGTTTTAAACGTAGGCCGAGTTTCTGGCAATATAGGGATCGTGATACTCTCGCCCCAAGCTAGAAAGCTGCCGTCTGGGTTAGCGTAGGACGTCTTTCCCCCAGTCTACATAAGCTGCGGGGCTTCGAGGCGAAGCCGTATACTATCATCTGCGATGTGATATTAAGTGACATTGCAGCACCGACTGCAACCCAATCGGAGACACCTGTCCAGTCGCGTAGCACGATCCTCGATGCAACACCCGTATGCATATGCGTATGTATATGCGCGTAATATTTACTCTTGCTAGGATTATAAACCTAACTGACATTGAGCTTAGTATAGCGTCGTCATGGCGCGCAACAATGGTGACATCCATCTGTCTATCCAAATACCTCCCCAATTCGCGGTTACAGCCTCTTTTTCTCAGCGTAGAAACTGCCATAGCTTTGGCACGGGGTATAAATGCGTTGACTTTTTTTTTCTCCCTAGAACCGGCAGTGAGCTCCGTCAATGAGTGTTAGGCGTTGCCGTTGCGGGGACGAAAGCAAAACATGTGGCAGACTAAATGCTGGCCACGGATATCTTGGGTAATAGCAATAATATACATTTACGAATGGTATCTTGCCGTCTCATCCTCGTGAAATCTCGTTATTCGATGTTCTGGGAACGGTCATGTCGACGGCCGAGTCGGCTCTAGAGCTTTTCGACGAGGGTATTGGCCGGGAAAAATTCGACTGTTTACGTCTTAGCGGTGGCGCTACCCTCCTCTGGGCATGCTGAGAACCTCTCAGCATGGCCGCTGGCTCAAGGGGCATAACCGTCTCTCGACTCTTGTCTTGGCTGATCCCCCTGGCCGGCGAATAGTGGGGGTTCTTGATGACTCTGATTTCTTGCCGCACAGCAATCTCTGGCTTCGAGGCATACCTGACGGTGGATAACCGGGAGCGGCGAGCACTGCTCGCAATGCTAGTACTTGGTGTCGCGCGATATACGCTACTTGTTCCGCTGGGCGCGTTTGCTCGCATGGGCGTTTGCGAAGAATTTGCCGACATGGTCGATGAATAGGTGGAGGAATAATCGGCGGTGGACCGCCCTGTGCTCGAGTTGTCTGGCGACTTGTTGGCATTTCTTTTAACCTCGATCTTTTCAGGACCATGGTCCCATTCATTCCGCCACCCGCCGGGATTATATACGGGCTGGGGCGGGGACTTCGAAAGCGATAAGGGGATCTTTGGAATAGGCGGGATCACTGGCGGCGGCGGCATAGTTCTCGGGCCCACAGGTGTGTTATAGGTTGGCCCAACGGGTGAGTTCGCCATGAGTTCGGCCTCATCGTTGGCCGACTCCCCCGCTGCTGTCACGACGGGTTCGGGGATTCTGCGCGAGGTCTCTGGTGGCTTGGACATCCCGTACTGGAAGATCTCCGCCGAGGGCAAGGTGATTATGGAAGCACTGTTGCTTTGCTTTCGCTGCAGTGAGGCTCTGCGGGAAACGCTAAGATCGGGAGTGAGCTCATCATCTCCGAATTGGCTGACACGGCGGGTCAAGAACGAGTCCGCCGAGAGCCCCGTCGTGGCGAATGGGGTGGTGTATCTTTCGATCGTGGCGGATATAAGAATAAAAGGAGGTCTGTGTTGCAATATTAGCGACCCCTGTGAAGAAAAGTCTCACGCAACTCTTACAGCGCTCCGATGCAGATCACCAAGTTCAGGTACGGCGCTACTTTTGCCAAACCCGCCATGGGAGCTGCTTTAGAGATCACGATGGCGGTTGCGACTAGAGCGGCGACCCACACGGCAATACCCAGTCTCGCGACAAGAAGTGCACTGGCATGCAGATATTGGCCGTAGATCTGGGGCGGGCCAGTTCCTCTCCTCCTGTAATCTTTCCTCGCCCCCCTGACATGGATACAGATGTACAGCAGAGACATGACGGCCGCGAACAAGACCAGGTCGCGGGCGATGCACGGGGTTTGGACCTCGGCCGGTTGAAGCATTAATATTATGGAGAGGGCGACGCCGGCCGACGACGAGACGAACAGAAACACGAGGGCGGCTAGGACGAAAGAAGGCCGTCTGCTCCGCTTCTGATCTTCGTTGTACTGCTCGAGCGAGCGGTAGAGCAGCTGAGCGTGATGGCTATCGCTATCCCCGAACGACGACTTTTCCTCGTCGCTGTTCTTACGCGCCATGTGGGCTTTGGCGGGATGCAAGCGGGGCCGGCCAGCTGCGTAGATGCGAGGCGAGGGGCAGGGAGAAATGGATACTGAAAACTGAGACGAAGATGAAAGCAGGCATAGAGATAGCTGCGACGATGCGAATTAAGAACGAGTACTTGATAAACATGGTTTTCCAGCAACCGTGAGAAACGAAGGGAATAATAAATATAGCAGAAGATGACTACCTCATGGAAAGAGAATTGAAGAGGCCGGACAATGCAGCAAAAGGCTTGTCCGAGCCATGTTGTGGAATGGGGGAGGAGAATGTAGGACGGGTGACGACGATGTCGATGGCGAAGACGGGAGGTTTAGTAGCGAGCGGCGCCCGACCTCGACCTCTTTTTTTCATCTTCCATAAGAGGTCGTGATATATGAGTACCTACCTGCGCTGCGCCGGCACGTACCGGTGTCAATTGCGCCCACCGACTACCCCCTAGGCTGGGCAGATCACTGCAACATCCGGGGGAGCTCGCGCTGACTACCTACTTAGGTAGGAAGGATTGCATTTACCCCGTATCTGTTTAGGATTACGACCGGGGGGGACGTTCGAACGCCGCGATGTACTTGCGGGTACAAACGCGTAGCATCTCGGCCAGCGGTCTCACTGCAAGACTGCCGAGATTCGGCATGCTGCACAGAGAGCGGCGGCGTACCCGGAAGTACCTGGTTAGTGGCTGGGGGCTTCGCGGGCGAGGAGGGCGGTTGTTGAAGTGGAGGCCGTCGAGGCTGAATACATTCCAAACACAGGCAGGTCTTTAGCCGGCCGCTGGAATTGGGACGTACCCCCCTGCCGGTGTCGTGTCCTAAGCCCACGAAGAAGAATCGTGGAAAGAAAACCAGACTTCTCTGGAGGAATCCCTGTAAAACAGGGGGGCGGGACGGGGGCGGCCAAACGCGCAAAACAAGTAGCCTACCTATATTGAGCCGCAATAAATGGTGGCTTATGCAACAACGTCGGTCTCGGGCCCCGGCGCCCTAGCTCGATCTCTCGGCTCGACAACCGGGTATCTGCACGTTTTTGATCGGATACGCTGACGAGCCTGCCACGTCTCTGTTGCTTCTCTCGTGCACGTGGAGAGTGAATCTTGGAGATATCGAGATACTGTAAGGGTTTCGCGCTGCGGACGTGGCCAGCATGCCAAGGCCGGGATCCGGATGATGAGCTGGACGTGCAGATGGTGATACTCATATCATACGGATTGCTATGTATATACGTGAAGCTTCGCCTCGTTCCCGTGCAAGTGCTTATACACGGACCCCTAGATGCATGTGCACACAGACAACTACCTAGGTTGGCTCCGGACCGCTGAAACGGAATAAACGCGCGATGCGGAAAGAATGGAATCATCTCAATTCCCGAGACCGCAAGACGCCTGCAGTGATGTTTGCCCATTCAAAACCCGTGTACTATCGGCGCCCTTTTGTTTTCCTTAAACGCTCGCGTCCCTATCCGATCTCCCGTCCCCGGCTGCCGTCGTAATCAACTGCTTATACTGATCGCCGCACCTCCCAAGACATAAACTAACTAACGCAGCATATATGACAGGTCAGGCAGGTTTTTAACAACGCGTTGAACGATCTCGTCTTGATCTCGTTGCTGGTCTTTCTGGATCGGGCCGAGCACGGCCGTCAGCGGGGGTGTGGCATCTGCTGTCTTCCCCGTGTCCGCCCGCGCACTCTTTTCGCGAGGCTGGCTCGCGCCCGACGTCGGTTTGGCTTTGGCTACGCCTGCTCCTTGAGCTGCTGACGCCGTTGTTGTGGGCGATCCGAGGACCGGAATGCCGTCTAAAGGCCAAGGATCCTGGTTCCGTTTTGGCGACGTGGCCATCTGAGCAGCGTTTTCAAAGACGGAGAAATCCTCGATGGGCCACAAAGCCACCCTTTGCGCTTCTATATTCGACGGGCCTACCCGGCTGGGAATCTGCTTTGGACCCCGGCCATCCCCCAGATCGGTAACAGAGGGTATTTGTGTCGATTTACCGCTAGGACCTGGGCTATCAGCGGTAGAGCTAGCCTGCGCTGATGCGATACCGTTTAGGGCGCTAAGTGATTGCGCGACAAAGGTAGGGCCCGGTTGGGATTCCACTCGAGGAGAAGAAACCATCTCACCCCATTCATCGTCGTCGTCATCCGAGATAAGCTCGCTCTGGCTTGGCTGCTGCTGCGTTGGGGAGGTGACGCTGGGTTTAGCCTCGGTTTTGGCTGGTAGGGATACAGGTTGGCTGATGGATGGCACGTGTTTACCCCCCCTGTTGTTGCTGGGAGTCGGTCCGGGGAGGGGCGGCGACTTGACGGCACTCGAGCCCCAACCAAAACTGGCGCCGGTTGCAGGTGGGGGCTCGATCGGACTCTTGATCGATTTTCTGGTTTCGATACGTAAGGCTACGGGATGCGCCGGGCGTTCTGAGCCTGGATCCGGTAACGCTTTTGAACTCGCCCGCGGGGGGGTAGCAGACGAAGCCTTTCGGGCAAATACCTTGCCCAAGTCCACAGGAGCTGCGGCAGAGTCCCAGTTAAACACGCTTGTGCGCTTCCCGGCTCCTAGCGTAACTCGTCCCGCAATCGAATCCTCTTCCATCCACCTCCGGACTATTTTTATGGTTTCGCTGTGTAAATACGAGGTCGACCACTCCACACGATGGTAATTGTCCTCGTCTCCAGAGTCATGCTTCCGGACTGATCCGTAACGGGATATTCGGTACCATGCTTTACGCTCCGAAATGGTTTCGAAGCTATCATTGATGATATGCTCGGGAATGTTGTGGGGTTCTTTTGTATCGTCACTGATATTGTGCGGGAGGTCTGGAAACAGTTTCTCGATGGACTGGAGGTCGGTATCGAATCTTATGGGCCCAAATTTCTCCATAAGCTGTCGAACCGGCGCCGATGCCTTTCCTGACGTCGTGGATCGCTGATTAATAGACCCTCGTACCGGTTTTGCATCCCGGGACAGGTCTTTAGGCGTTGATGATCTGTCGGGAAAGGCCAAAGTGGAACTTGAATTTGGTGCCAGTTTCTCATTCACGCTTTTCGCATCTTCAAAGTCACCGAAATCCCCGTCATCTGCCGCACCTACGCTTCGGGCCCGACTTGACGATCTCTCTTGCCCGTCCCTCCTCGAAGATCCTGGCCGTGACGACGTGGGCAGTTCTTCAAGCATGGATTTTGCCAAGCCATCATACATCCCCACAAGTTCCTGAACTTTCCCGGATGCCTTTCGAGACGCGATCCGTAGACGCGACCTAGGGTCTTCGTCGATGGAAGTAATAGGCGAATCCTGGCGGTCGGCTCCATTGTAGCTATCTCGCGAGAAGGTGGAGGACGGCCTAGAGTGGAAATCCTGAACCTCTACTTTGGGCGCGGAATCGGCATCGAGATCACGAGATTCCCGCGGACTTGTCGACGGCCGTGAGAGTTCCCATACGCTCGATCCGGTGTCTATTGTTCTTTCGGCCTCTCCTTCTGACCCGATAATATCCACTCCCAGCCCGATGCCCTCTATACTGTTTTGCTTTTCCACATGGGGTGTGGGTATCTCGGCCGACTCGTCCCGAGGACTTGTACCGGTGGACTTGCTGGGCGTTGCCGACGTTGCCGAGGCATCTCTTCTCCTGTCCTGCAGCGATAATTCCGTCGCCCACGGATCTGGAGAATGAGATCGGAATATAGAGGAGGTTCGAGATCGAGGAAGCGGCCTAAGAGAGGGGGAGGTCGCGGTGCTACTCGGCCACGCGTTCGAGCCTCCTTTTCCTAGCACGCCCAGCCGTGGGCTCGGTTGAGAGGACTGCGAAGACGGGTCCGCCCATGCTCCCCAGTCGAGTGTATTCGCGGCAGAGTCCGGCTGCTCTGACGTCCAATCTCCGCGACCGGCATCTTCTGCCCAGGGCGACGGGCTCGAGAGGCTCAACGTGCTACCGAAGAAGGCCTTCGGCGGCGGACTGAGTAGTTTTTTCGGCGGCGACAGCGTCGGATCTGGCTTGGAGATCGTGTTTGATGACCAAGGCGAGCCCCAAGGATCGTCCATGTTCGCGCAGGGCGATGCTCATGTTGGTTGCCAGCGAGGCGATGGTTCGAGGTCGAGATCGTGACCGATCTCTTGAGTGGTACAATGCAGCTATCAGCTATAACCAGTTACGGGGTAGAAGCGCGGGTGTCGCAGGGTGCGCGGCGAGGCATCGTCGTCGGCTCCCGTATATCTGGTCAGATTCGTTTCCGAGATCAATTGCCAAGAAGAGCACGAGGCAAAAAAAAAGACTGGCATTTGTTTGAGAGCCGAAACGTCGTCAGCCGATAGCCAGAAGGGAACGAAGGCGATTCAGGGGCCGGGTTCGTCGGCGACGTTTTTGTTACACTACGAGCTGCCAGGATCAATCTGGGCAGCCTTCCAGGTGGCCCGGACGTTGCTGGGAACCGAACCTCCATGCTGTAAGGTACCCGGGTACCTAAGTGGAGACCAATGCGCACTCCAGGGGGCGGAGGGGCGAACGGTTGAGCCACTGGTGCTGAGCCAAGACACAGCCACATGGAGACGCGAACCGGGGGTTCTCGTAGGTATAGAGTAGAGATACATCAGGTCGCAGAACGACCAAATAGAACAGCAGAAAAGTAGGTAGGTACCCTAGGAACCTTTGGTATCTCCATTAGCTGCACAGGTGAGGGTGCGCCAGGACCGGGGACATGACTCGGAGCCTCTCCATCTAATAGATGTTCTTGTCACGTGCGGCATCGACCTGATGTGATAGCAGTGGTATCTCGCCCGGGTGGAACACAAAAACCCATATTCAAAGCTGGATGGGATTTCGTCATTTCAATGGGGACAACATGGGCGGGGTCAACGGAAGGCCACAAATCCATTTCCAGGTTAAAGCACCAGATACATGCATAACCTCGACGAGTGCCTAGCGTGCATGTCTGTCCCTTGCTGATAAATGCGATGATGGAGGCGATGTCGGGGCAAATCTGTGTGAGTCCGCTCTCAAGGTTGGACTTTGTCCTCGTATCCAGTCCGCACCCGTCCAGAGAAGGATACGGACGAGGTGTGCACCACTTCCAGCATGCGGCTTTTCCAACCGCCTTGACGTCTCCGTATCCTCTCACTTAGTTACACCTACGTTCGTCAATCGCCCGCCTCGTCGCCAGATCGACGGCCATGTCTCTCGCAAAGATCAAGCGCATCATCTTGGTATACCCCCCGCCCGCCACCTTCCCACCCATCGCACGGCAGGGCATAGAACTAACAGGATCCCCTACACCGTTGCAGGTCCTCTCGGGCAAGGGAGGCGTAGGAAAATCTTCCGTGACAACACAGTTAGCTTTATCGCTGTCGCTTGCTGGCCATTCCGTCGGAGTTCTCGATGTCGATCTGACGGGGCCTTCCATGCCGCGCATGTTCAATATCGAAGACGCGAAAGTTACCCAGGCGCCCGGAGGGTGGCTCCCCGTAACCGTTCACCCTGCCAACCCCGATTCCGGTGTAGGCGAATTGAGATGCATGAGCTTAGGTTTCCTATTGCGCGGGAGGGGGGATGCCGTAGTATGGCGAGGCCCGAAGAAGACGGCCATGATCCGCCAGTTCCTCTCCGACGTGCTATGGGGGGAGATGGACTACTTGCTTATCGATACACCCCCGGGAACGTCTGACGAGCATATCTCACTTGCAGAGACGCTTCTGAAGGATGCATTTCCCGGACAGGTGGCCGGGGCCGTGGTAGTCACCACTCCTCAAGCCGTCGCCACAGCCGACGTCCGAAAAGAGCTGAATTTCTGTGCGAAGACGGGCATATCGATCATCGGCGTTGTCGAAAACATGGTCGGGTTCGTCTGCCCAAATTGCGCCGAGTGCACCAATATCTTCGGCAAGGGAGGGGGTCAGGTCATGGCGACCGATTTCAACGTGCGCTTCCTCGGAGGCGTCCCCATAGACCCTCAGTTCGTTATGCTGGTCGAGACAGGTAGGCAACCGTCCTACCCGGAAGGGACGGTCATCAACGGGCGAGACTTTTCGCAGGCCCAGCAGAATGGTGAGGCCGAACCCCCCGAGGAGGCCACGAGGGGTGCCGGCCATCTCGCAGAAAAATATTTGGATTGCTCCCTCGAGCCGATCTTTAGAGAGATAACACAAAGCATCGTCACCGCCATCGGCTGATGTCCGACGCAGCGCTACCAGGCTAGGCGCCTCCGGCTGGGAAGCTCCACGTAGTGCAACTGCAGAGGCCCTTCTCTTACTTAGGCATACCGATCAGGTATACCGATCCAACACACCAATTGCCACGGCTGCGAGTTTTCATATACGTATGCGGCGACCTATCACTCGTCGGTGGCGGTAATAATTGCGCGACCACACTCCATCAGAACCGAACACCAGAACACAATGCGGAGCCGAAGTGGATGATGGGCCGGGGTGGGAATCTGACTGGCCGGTGGAGGTTACAGTAACACCCACACTCATGCACATTTGCTTGTACAGGTCGAGGCAGGTTTTTTTTAAAAAAAAAATTCGTTGGTAGGATCGGATTCTCCAAATTCCCATGGATGTGAAGGCTCCCTCACAATAGGCAGATGACAATCCGGTAACCTGGGCCAGTCTCTTCTATCCTGAACATAGCAGACCGAAGATGTTAGGCAGGGTTCAATGCAGCGGAGACTTAGATGAAGGGGAAGAGGTGACTGTTGCATGGTTCCCGGGTAGCTGCGTGAAGAGGAGGGGGGCCAATGAAGCTCTACGGGCCGCCGATGTCAGCAATGGCAGTTGCAGTGACGTACATAGCGTAAATTCGGTGCCCGGTAGATCGGCCTAACCAGTGTTACCTACTTAGATACCTACCTAGGTACCTACTTTCTTAAACGGATGGATGATAGGTCTGGCAGGCGGGTAGAATGTTCTTTTTGTGTTGCCACGGGATGAAGTGCCCAAGCTTACGGCCTGTTGCAGCGCTGTAGGTAGGGGATAGTTATATCGTTAAGGGAGATCGACGGTCAGGTCAGGTACCGTTCATCGTGATTTTTGCCTTCGCCCCGCTCAAGTGTTGAGCGTTCGAACTAAGTCCAACCACCCAAGCATATAGGTAGGTATATCTACCTAGGTATGTCCCCAACGCGTCGCTAAGCCTACCTAAGCCACCCGAGAACCCATCCAGTGCCGCCTCGGATGGCCACCGTCTCAACCGGCCGTCCAACCCTAATAGTAACCACCTTCGGGTAGCGATGAGGACGTTGGGTATAGATAGAGGATTACGTAAGGGGTAGGCGAGTGCTACCTTGTAGGTAAGTAAGGTAGAGTCAGGTTCGGGGTGGTACCGGATAATGCCACCATAGGTAGGCAGTATGCCTCGTAATCTATCATCTATCACGTCGTACCGTGCTTCACCGCAGAAAAACCACACGTCCCCAAATGGGCAGGGCTCGGTATTATTAGGAGGATACAGGGTAGGGGAGGGAGGGGATGGTGATCTCACAAACGCCTAACCAACCATCTTGTCTCGAACGGGAAATAATAAACCTCTGGAAAGATTAAGTTGGGAGGTAGGGGGGGTAGGTAACGTTATCAAATACTACACTCCATCGACCCAGGTGTCGTTGTTCTATCACATGTGTACGTGAGATGGGATTTTTTTTTCCTCTTTTTTTTCCCTGCGCAACCACAGGTACGAACGCTGTGTGAGAGCAGCGCAAAGTACATACAATAGAAATAGGCCCTAGGATGCCAGCGGATACGCATTGCGCAGAGATATTCTATAAGATCTGTGCTGGAATTGCTGCGTTGCATCTCTGATGGCGTCTGATGTTGTCGTGTTGAAAATCTCTCACCGGCAGGTTTTGTATAGGTAGGTAGTATACATGCGGAAACCAGAGTTTGTGGGTGGGACAGCTTTCGAGGAAAGGAAGAGGAAAACAAGACAAGGGAAACCAGCGTGTAATGGAAACATCCGGTGCCTGAGGCTGGAATGTACCCGCCGAAGGGCTGTGCAGCTGTGTCGGGGAATTGCAGGTACATCTCACGTAAGTAGCTGGTACCTGCCTGTGTCCTGCCCCTGTCCGGCGGGACAAGGTACCTCTTTGTATTTTCTGCATGGAATTGCCCAGTCCCATCACACATGCTTCGAACCCGAAATTTTTTTTGTGGATTTTTTTTTAATGCTGGTCCGCCACTTGTGGTTGCCGGCAGCTCGCGGTTAGGTTAGCTAGGGCCAGGTCAAGTTACCAGGGTAAGAAAAACCCAAATCTCCATCTCGAATAAAAGAGGGAGCAAAGCCAGGAATCCCCTACACGCCCGTTACTCATCCACTTCTCTTTTACGTACTACTGCTATACCCGCCTGACTCTTCTAAACCTCCAGCTTTCCCCCAATTCCTGCTCCTCGCTCCGTCATCCATAGCACATCCAGTCACACGACACACACACACACACACACACACACACACACGCACACACACGCCATTCGACATTACCGCTCATCTGTCGATCCGGGATTGGGCTTTTCGCTACCCGCCAATGCCACGGAGCAGTCGACCATTCCGATCCGTATAACCACTCACGCCCTTCTGCCTGATCTCTGCACTCGAGCCGTGGCAGAAACCGCATCCAGTTGATCACCGACCCCGTCTTCCATGAGCGCAGCAGATTTGCTTCGTTTCCTCTCCAAGCCTGCCAAGTACGCTTCTCTCCGCTCTCCTGTCGCCCGGCAGGCCAGATTGACGTGAGCTCGAGCTGATAGTCCTTCTCTCACAGACCTAGATAACACGAGCTGCAACTCGACTCGAGCCTCCGACCGCGAACGCCTCCCGCCGTCTTCCTCTTCCTGCCATACTTGCAGATCCCCTCGTCTGCTAGGCCCGATACTCCTCCATAGGTATCGGTTTCTGCCAGAACGAGGTCTTCAACAAGGCGTCACCATTCCTTGGTTCAAGGACGACTTTCTCCCCCTTCGAGCCCGACCCCCCTAACGTCTACGTTGTGAGACGTTCAAGATCATCCTCCCATTGTAGCTGGCTCCGCCAGCATTCTAGGCTTATACCGACCTGTGGGCCTACTCTCTCAAACGAACGCCGCAAGGTTCGTTTGGGCGGCAGTCAGTGCTCCGCAGCTACAGCCTCTTGCCTCTGCAGCCGACAGTTGATATCGCGACGAGCCCTCCCCTCCCCCTCCCCCGTAGCACCGTCCGCTCGCCTCCCGGGTTCCTGGTACGGAGATGATCAACCTCGACGTTCCTACCAACTATACATTTTCGCCATCTGAGGGCACCCCCCATTTGACAATCAATCATGATGTTGCTGCAGATCTCGATTCCACCAATGCTTTTGAAGGTTGGTTCTCCCCGCTGAAGAGAGAAATCGGTTGACCACTTGCGCTTACCCACGCCTCGTTTAGGCCCGGAGAAACTCCTCGAGGTCTGGTTTGCTCCCAGCCCCAAGGCTCTGCCGCCCGGCGTCAAGCAAGACGGCCTGAAGTCCGTCTGCAGTGACGCTTGGGTGGGTATGCTCGACATGGTCAATTGCAAGATTCTCTCCGTTCTCGAATCGGAGGACGTGGATGCCTATCTGCTCTCGGAGTCCAGCATGTTTGTCTTCCCACACAAGCTGATCCTCAAGACTTGCGGAACTACTACTCTCCTCCTCGGTCTCCACCGACTTCTCCGAATCGCCGCCGAGCATGCCGGGTTCCCTTTCCACAACGCCAAGTCTCTGGGTGATGTTCGTGCTGCCGCTTCGCCGTATCGGGTGTTCTATTCGCGCAAGAACTTCCTCTTCCCCCACAAGCAGCATGGGCCTCATCGCAGCTGGAAGCAGGAAGTTAAGTATCTCGACGACATGTTCGAGGGAGGAAGCGCCTACATGGTCGGCAAGATGAACGGCGATCACTGGTATCTTTACATCACCTCGCCGGCGAGAACCTTGACGCCCCCTCTCACGCCCAATACCGAGAAGACGTCGGCGCGCTTCCCTAGCGTGTCCAAAATCCCCACCGGGTTGGCTCCCGCCTACCACGACGGATTCGGAGTGAACGACGAAACCTTGGAGATTTTGATGACGGACCTGGACCCCGAGAATGCGAAGCAGTTCTACCTAGAGCATGCGAGTGCGGTCGCGAGCACTAGGTTCTCTGAGCAAGCTCGGGCGGCGCGACAGGCCGTTGCGGAGAGTTTTGGCGACTTGTCCTCTAGTACTGGCACGATCAAGACTATGAGCACGGCTGAAAGCGCCTCGGACGATACTTTCGACGTGTTTAGCAACGGGAGCGATTCCGACCTCCACGACAACCACACGCCACCGTCTGAACAGGCGGATATGGAATACCTCACCACCGAGGGCCACGCTCTCGGAACGGTTGTCTCGGAAGAATGCGGCCTCTCCGATGTATACCCCGCTTCCGAATACCCTGACGCCCGTATCGACGCGTACCTCTTCACGCCGTGCGGCTTTTCCGCGAATGGAATTATCCCGGCCACGCAGGCACCAGGGAGCGACGAAGGCGCTAAGCCCGCCCATTACTTCACCGTCCACGTCACGCCGGAACCAGTTTGTTCCTTCGCTTCATTCGAGACCAACGTTCCCGGTGGCCAGAACGGGCGTGAGACTTCGGAAATCATCGAGCACGTAGTCCAAATCTTCAAGCCCGGCCGATTCAGCGTTACCCTCTTCGAGACCAAGACGGCGCTCCCCCACAGCGATTACGGGGTCTCCGACAGGGTCGGTCGTGTTAAACGGACGGATATCCCCGGGTATCGGCGTGTCGATCGTATACTGCACGACTTTGACGACTACGAACTAGTGTTTCGGTTCTACGAGCGGGAGGACTGGGCTGGCGGGAGCAGTCCCCGCGTCGGAGAGGAGATGTGAGTTCTCGCTGGAGTTCTCTAGGCGGAGTCCACTCTTTGTCGGTCAATTTCGTCATCGTCGAATATGCGTATTCCTCTATTAAGGATCTGTTCATGAGGAAAGCTGGAGGGGTACAGACTCAAAACGGAGACTGGTCCTTGTTATTCCGTTCGATCTACAGTCACAATTTGTTTATTAAGCAGGCTGCTACGCCGTAATCTACGCTCGTTCTCACCCAGTAGCCGAGGCTCCAGAAGCCAACCTGATCATGCACAACGCAACTCTAAGGCGACTTGACGAAAATACACGTCTAGCCCACTTCACGCCTATTCGCTGTATGGGTCCAGGTGAGTTGTATCATGACTGTAGGAATAGACACTCCCGATAAGAGTCGTCAACAACATAGAATGCCGAAAGTGGTTGCGTGAGAATCGATAGTTTTAAAGCGTATCCTCGTTTCCATGTACCACCAACTATCTGCATATAGCAACACAACTCCGGTCTGAGGGATCTGCGCCGACTCCGGCGACATTGTGACGTTCCAATCCCACCATAGCAACTCGAGTGTCCGTCCCGGGAGTTCGGGAAAGCTCTCAGTATATGATTGCTAGCCAGAATTAGAACCAGCGACACATATACAATAACATCCGTATCATCGGTTCCATCGTAGGGGTGGGTTGCCAACTTGCATTAGAAGGTTATTGGCCAGGGGCAGATGCCTATTTAACAGCAGTGCTGGCGAATTTAACCGGCTCCCCACGCACGAGGAGGGCGAAATGAGCATTACACCATCTTCGCGGAGAGTGGTAGGTTGGGATGGATATAAGAACAGGGCTGAGATATTGCCATCATAAGCGGCCCGCGCCGTGACGGCGTTCCTCTCTATCCAGGAGGAGCTAAAGCAAAGAAAGACTGCTACCTATATCGACGCCGACTCGCAACCATGGTGAAGCTGGAAGAAGTGATGAAAGCCATAGCCGGGACCTGGCTCTGGATCAACGGGACATCGTACGTTTCTTGATTCCCTAGACTTTCTCTCGGCCCCTTTACCACATCGCCGCTGGCTCTCCGACGCGCCGCGCGAACGTATCCGTGATCACATCGTGCCGTACCGTGTCCCAGCGCCCCCCCCCCGCCCCCTAGCCGAGCTGGGTCGGCCGCGAGCTCTGGAAGAACTACACCCTGCTCGACGCCCGCCAGACCATGCGCTTCGTCGCCCGGGCCTCCGACGGCAAGGCCACCGAGATGTACTTCCGGCGCCTCGGGTGAGCGCACCCGCGGAGGCGTCAGACCACGGGCGGATCCCCAATCCCATCCTTTCCCTGAGAGGGAGAGGCCAGGAATCCTCTTCATGAAGTTGGAGTTGATGGCTGCGCACTTGTTCAAGTAAAGCTCCGTTGGTGCATAGCTGGAGGGGTCGGGGGTGGCTCTCGTTCTCAGGTTATATCTCGTAGATATTGTCTCTTCTCATCAAGTCTTCAGCTGCCACGACCCTATGCATTCGATGTTGGACAAGCATTATTGCAGAAAGCACGGGACGCGTGAGAATTCACACTCTCTACACAAGAGTTGCGAATGGTATATTTCCTAGGTATCGTCATGTCGTAGCACTCCCCGCATATGACAACAAGGCCCACCAGGCCCCGATACTCAACGTGGTATAATATCGAAGCCGTTCATCCTCCATGAGAAGACTTTAGCCTCAGAGTGCCCCCCAGTCGTCCGAAGCTTATCGCTAGGATCGCCGGAATCCGCAAGAAACCAGATTCATCCTGAGAGAACACCCACTACATCTCAATAATTATGACGATAGAGCTTCTTAAGGCCTTTTGGATAAGATTATAATGGCCATCACGTTTAGAACACGTTTCCCCTCTCCTTCTTCTCTTCGGACTCAAGCTTCTTGACGTTGATGTTCCTCCAGATAAAGACGGTAGCGATCACCAGAGGTATAAGTGCAGAACCGACGATGACCATCTTCCTCATGACATCGCCGTACGCCGCGATTACAGCGTTTCGGATGGGGGTCCCGAAGTCGTACGCCATTTGTTTCTGAATGTCGCCGTAGATCTCAGCCGTCAAGTGCTTGCTGTCCTCGGGTAGGAATTCGTATAGCTTGGCGGGGAGAATGTTTGTCCACATGCCGCCTGCGATTGCGTAGCCGACGGAGGAGCCGACGGAGCCAAACAGGCCGTAGATGGCGAGAGCGACGGCAACATCTTGGTGCCTTACCGACGCCATAGCAGCAAGGACCCCCGTCTGAGACAACACGCCGGCGCCGAAACCAACAAGGACCTGGCACATCACGAGATAGCCGACTGGCGAGGAGGGAACTCGGAAGTAGACGATGAGTGCGGTACCGAGCAAGTAGATAGGGGCGCTGGCAAGAGCCGGGTATTTGACGTGGCCAGTCCAGCGGATATACCTATACGAGACGTTGTTAGTAAACTGCTCAAGCCGGAGGTATTTTGCGATACGTACAAGGCGATGAATGGGCCAGCGACGTAGGAGGTGAGCGAGTAGGCGTTCAGCACGTAGTTCGAGATAGTGATGTCCAAGCCGTGAACAACCTGAAGGTAAGAGCTGTAGTAGGCGTCCCAGACACTGTACCGAACGTTAGCCTCAAGCAGATAATATCTATGCAGGGATCAGGGGCGAGGATAGGGATAAGCTAACAAGGTAGTCATGAAAACGAAGAAGTGAGACAGCACCGATCCCAGGAACGTTCTGTCCTTGAGGAATTCGAAGGGGAAGAACTTGACGCGGGAGAAGTATTTCTCCCAGACCGCGAACGCAGCGAGGCCGATCACGCCGAACACGATCATGATGATGATGCTAGCGCTCCTCCACGAGTGCGAGCTCGAGCTCACAAGACTGAACGGGAGGGTTATCAACGTGAAGCCTCCGGAGATGAGAATCGCGCCGACAACTAGGCAGGTCGAAGCGAGTTAGCGCAGAGCGTCTCTGGGCACAAGGCCCTCGCGTCCAGATTACTTACGGTCAAACTCGATGACATAATGGACGAAGGACTGCAGGCGCGTGCGGCCCGATTTCGGGCGAATGAGGCCCATCTGCCTCGCCTTCCGCTCGTGGTAGTAGAGGATGACAATGACCGGGATGGAAGACCCGAGCAAGATGATGGCGAAGGCGCCGAAGGCCCATCGGAAATTGACTTGCTCGAAGAAGAGCTGGGCGATTCTGGGACCGGCGAAGGTGGTGGCAAGGTTAGGGGTGGAGTTGAGGGCGAAGATGAGACTTCGATTCTTGAGCGTCGTGATATCGGCTACGAAGACATCGACGACGAAGCCGAGGGCCACCTTGCCGACCCAAGTGAAGACCTGGGCGGCCGCGTACGTCTCGACGTTCTGGCACGTGGCCTTCATGATCATACCGATGGTGATGAGAAACAGGGATCCGATGAAGCCCTCCATACGGCCTCGGATATCGATGATCTTTCCGAGACTCAGCGTGACGACGCCACCAATAACTCGCGCGGCGATGTTGATGACTCCCAAGAGTCCGTGTCTGGCGAAGGCGGATGTGACGTATGGCGACAATGCGCCCTCGACGGACGACAACAGGTCGGAGACGAACGATACGATCCATAGCCTATATGATTGCGCATTCTTAGTACCCGGTGCCGAGAAGATCGCGCGGTGATGCGAGTCCACCTACAAGACGAAGGTAGTCCATAGCGCCCTCTTAGACCAAACCGACGTGATCGCTTCCACTTGCTTGATACCCTCGAGCACGTTTGACGAGTTATCGTCCGAGTCGACCTTGGAGTCGTCGGCCAGCACAGCGTTGGGCGAGCTCAGGACGACGTCCTTCTCGACATCGCGACCGTCGGGGGCGGGGGCCCCAGCGGGGGGAGCGGTCGCCATGGTGTATCGTGCGTGTCTTCCTTTCCGAACCACACACGCAACGACTGAAGCAGGATGTTAATCTAGGGCGTGCGCGCACTGCGTAGGGAAAGGAGAGCAGAGACGGAGGAGGGGAGGAGGGAGAGGCTGATTCGCAATATTTATTCAGCAGTGATCGACGGATGCAGCGTACTTCTAATGTAACATAGCATAAGCGATGCCTACGGCTGCAAGACACAATCCCTACCCTCTCCAGGGCCAGAGTCACCCTTCTTGGCCTACGAAAGACCACTAATTGGCGACAGGCACAACCGATGTGGCTTGATATCAACACGCCAAGACCCGACCTTGTCCAAGGCGTACATGTAGGTACCATATTTCCCTCACTGCTACCCATCGACGTCTGAATTCCTTCTAAAGCGTCGTTGTTGTCGGCGATCGAGATAAAAAAAATTTTTTATCAGATCATCTGATAAGATGGATGGGTGGGGGAATATAACAGGGGGTCGCCGTTGAGGCTGCCCAGTTGGGACCGTAATACATGTGATAGCGTCCGCCTACGGCCTATCACGGTAGGAGTACGGGCCGTATCTCGGACGCGCACACATCCCAGGTAGCATGGAGTGCCCACTGCTGGTGTATCTTGGCCCCCTCCACATCGTCCCGAGCCTACAGCTACATGCTGGCCCTCGGCCAATATCCCTACTCAGGTATGCTCCCATCGACGGGATGGCAACCTCGGGCTCCCTGGCAGCATCTCACACCTGCCATCTGTGGCCCATTGTTGCTCCAGCGTCTTGGCATTAGTCACCGCTGCAACTCGAGGGTAGCGAGATGTCTGTCTCGTGTTGGAGAAGCCGGTAAGTAACTGGACATCGCAGAAGACAGCCAAAGGAAAAGGATGAGCCCCCATGGTCTCGGCGGGACAAAGCAAACTCAGCTCTTAATTATACGAGGCGAAACTTGGCGGGACGGGTAAGCAAGAGATACACGAGATCTAGATCACCTTAGGGCATCTTCGTTGCCTGTCGGCTGACTCTAGCACCAACGCTCTGCCGTTGAACAGTTGACATAAGCGGCGGCTTCCGGCGCTGGAGACTTTGTCCCATCTTCTTGGCTTATGCCTGTGTAGGTGGCCAGCGGCTACGATTCCCGCGAACTAGGTCGAGAGGGAAAAAAAAAAATCAGAACTCGCCTGGCCGTTATCATATTTCAGTGGCACGCATCTAGCACGCCCCTGCTGCCCCGTCCACATCTGCACCATCGCAACGCGATTTTCGCGCCACATCCTACCCACGAGTGGATCGGGCTCATAACATCTGAGCCTGGGGGGTAGGCGACGCCACGAGGCCGGCAGACATTTGCGGGAGCCCGTGGCAAGTCGGGTAGGTATTATATCGAGGACGACATCCCTTCTAGCTAGCATCGGAACCCATTTACAACCGTGTAGGTAGGTAGGAAATATTTGCTCCCGCGCTCCGATATTTCGTCGAAGGCCCGCGGTAAAGACTGGAGTTCACAGGAGGCAGCGGGCCTCATCCAGCTCTCGACGGGCAAAACCGGCACGTGCTAAGGACCCGAGTCATCACACCTTACCGGAAGAGGATCCAAACCCGGTGCCCTGGGTAGGTCGCCTAAGCTAATATAACCGCCCGTGGGGGGCGGGAAGCGAAGGGCTTGTCTCTGGTCAAGCTAACCAATCACCCTGGCAACACGCCCTTGGCCTGTTAACGTTGGTATCTGTCTGGGTTGAGTCGATGTCAAGATCTGTCACCTTTCCAGTCCTTCGTCAACTCGACCTTTCCCCAGCGCCTAGCAATATCAGCAGATAATCGCCGAACGGAGTATGGGGCCGGGAGGTCGTGTTAATAGATGCTTAAACATGTACCCACGCATTCTCAGCGGCCAAGGGCGACAAAGCAGAGCTACATTACTGAAGCAAACTGAGCAAAAGTCGGAATTCAAGGGCGAAAACTGTTACATCTATAGTATCCAAGGAGGTGGTGACCGTTCCTTCGGGCCGCTAAAGCTGGGAATAGCTGCAGTAGAGCCTATGACGGTGTGTCCGTTTCCCCTACGCACGCTCGTTGTTTTTGGAAGGGGGTTTTTTTACAACCACGCCAGTCGTCGGTTATGCACAAGACACGCACATGTGGTTTTGGCCTCAACCGCTGAATCGCCCAAACAGGATGGACCAACAGCAAAACTTCTATTAGCTCTTATTCCCCATGCTATTCGGGGGGGAGGGGGCCTCTAGCTGCAGATGGACATCGCTAATGTCGAGATTCACACGCCGCCTTCGCTGAGATCGTCTTGCGTACGCAGATGAACGCCTACACAGGTGCACCCAAGTTATGCGTAAAACACCCCTGTCGAGTAGCGCTTCCGCGATCGGCCTCTTCCCCTTCATTCGTGGACTTTTGCCCCTGGCTAATGGGGAAGTTGAAGGTATCTAGTGTCACAGCTCATGGGTCGGTGCATGGATGCACGAAGGATGTAATACGGGAACCTGACACCTAGTTGGCACAGCTCGAAGTCGAAGTGCCTTCTCGCCGGAGAATACCCAAAGGGGACCTTTTGCATTGCCCAGTCGTATTTTCTCATATCTCGGTTCGGAGGAAGGTATATTGATCGGTTCTTCTTTTAACACCGCCCCAGCCTACACCTACCTCCTACCTCCTCTAGATACATCTCCGTGTATTCTTGACATAAGCGCATAATGTGCGAAATTACCTCGGAACATATCGTAAAAGCAACATCCATTGCATTCTGAAAAGAAATGAGGTTGCCGTGGCCTATCAACAACAGGGTCTAGCCACGTAACTATGCCAGAGCCTCAACTAGGATTAGACACTGCAGGATGATGGGAGAAGTGAAGAAAGAATTCATAGGTCCTAGGAAATCGGGAATGGACGGTATCCAACATACCAATAGTCTTTGGCGAACTATATCAGATATACTCGGTAGTATATGTGTCGTGGTATCCCGCCCATTACTATAGGCATGGGGCCTTTTAGTTCAGAAGGGATTCTCGATGCACGGCTCTGTTTACCGAAGACTGGAGAAGCTATCCGGCATGCCACGCCTTGGTCTTTCCGATTAGCGAGGTGACCGCATCACAGAGGAAGCCTCTATTGCCACAACCAAGAAACTTCGGTGTGGCTAGTGATACCTACATCCCAGTCACATCTCGTACCGTCATGCGTGGGATGGCAGAGAAAAAAGAGAGAAAGAAAGAAAAAGAGCTAAGGCATTCCCTGGACGTTCCTGGGCAACTCTGGAGCATGTTAGTGCCCACACCAGGGAGCTACACGCGCACTCGCCGCCATGGGTCGATCAGGTGGTTTCCAGCCCCGAACCGGGGGTGGACGGAGGATTACGGAAACTGACAGCTCTGTGACCGGTAGGTAGCTTTCACCAGGCGATACTACGCATTTTCAGAGCCGCGTGTCGCGTGCCCCCCTCGAGCTCCTGGATGAAGAAACAGAATGGGGAGGAGAAGGAGGAGGAGGAGAAGAATTCTGCGTAATTTACACCCTCCTATCGGGTGTTACCACCCTAAAGTTATCCATCAGGTCTCTGGCAACGCCGGCGGTTTACGGTGGTGAAGCTCTCTACAAACAGCCGCAGCACAGGACGTATAATAGCCGTAGCAGATTTCCTAGATCTGAGTGTGATATACGGGCGCCCGAGAAGGAGCGCCAGTTCGGGGCTGCGATTATGGTTAACATTAATGATGAGGCAGGTTTCTCTGTGCGCGTGAAATTAGGTAGGTATTACTTCCGTAACTACCTATGTTTTCAGGGTTAACCCACATCCCGAAGCATCAAAACAAACTCGGCGGATTGTGCCTGACGTACAATAGGTGGCTGATACCATCACGTAGGCCCCGGGAAGGGCCTGTCGGCCTTTCTAGAAGGAAGGCGGCCGATGGAAGCGAGATATATTACCCTCCAACTTTCCCAGGTCCCGACCATCGACGACACCCCTAGCAAGCGCTATGGACAAGCCAGCGCCAGCCCGACATCTGCCCCCTGTCAGATATCACCATGGGAGACCCGGAGGACTGGGACTGCGCGCTCTTCCACGAGAAGCAGTGCCCCTCCTGCCAGCAAAAGATCGAGCAGCTGCGCGGGAGGCTCGAAGCCCAGTGGAGACTGACAATCATACAAGGCGCCCGGGTCATGCGTCAGATTGATTCTGCACATCGAGAGGCGTACCTCTGTGCTTGCTCACGCCGAGTTCTGGAACTGGAGGTCGCTCCAGAACAGAATCATAGCCAACCATGCCGCCGAAGTGGCTAGCAACAGCTCCCTGCTGCAGACGAGTCCCGAAGTTAAGCAAGAGGATGTAGAAGAAGGTTAGATAGAGTGAAGAGGGAACATCTGTGCGTCGTTATTGCGAGTGACATCCAGCACAAGTGAAACAACCGTCGATAGGCTTTCAACTGTATACCTGGGTATATGAGGCGGACGGAGGAAGTTTCTTACTATGGGCGTGAATCGGAGACGGTCCGGCGTTAGCTGAGACGAGACAGCGGATTGATTGTACCTATCTGTTACGGAGGAGTTGGCGCCCCAAGTGGCTTCACGGCTTCGAGCCACACCTGGGTACGTAGGTACATCACGTGCAGGGAGCGAGTAGCTTAGCCTATTTATACCGCCTAATACAGGCACCTACCTCCCATAAATGCTGGACGCAGAGTTACCTATCATCATCTTTGCTAGCCGGTTCAGCAGTCAACTAATAACATCACCGCTACGCCTTTTCGCAACGTATTTGTCAAGCTGTCCATACCCCCGAAGCTCGTTAACTTCTTGGTGACGAAAGCCCGCTTCGTGTTCCGGGCGAGAAACCGCCTACGACGATAATCTACGCGCTAAGGGAGGCGTTGTCGCCCTACTCGCGGCGGATGAGAACTTCCCGCCTCCTCCGCGCGAGATTGTCACGCTGGAACTAAACAATATATACGAGTTCGAAATGCCTCACGGTGTAGAGTGCATAGGTCGCCCGTCCCCGGTCGACCCGCCGTTGTGTGTATGGCATCACTGCTGCTGCTGCCTGCAGCTGGCCGAGCAGATAGTCACGCAGGTTCTTACGTACGACCGAGTGTCTCCAAGATTGATTGTTGGGCAGCATGCATCTATCTAGCTCTCTGTTACGGACTGAGAGCGGTGATATGTACACCGGAAGCCGGAGAGTAAAACAGTCGAGAACCGCAGCCCCATTCCCCTTCTTCTGTCTGCTGCTTCTGTCACAGGAAAATGGTACCTAGACACGTAGTAGGTTTCTACGGCTCCATCCGCGACCAGCTCATCCCTCGCACACGAACGAATTCCAATCATTCACGTTGCCCCCGCGGAACCTAGCCGTCCGAGGCCAGGGGCACAGCTTGCTCGTCTTGCCGGCTCGGCCCTCGTCCGCCGGGTCCGTAGCCAGAATCTCGGTGGGCGCGTGCCCGGTCTCGACCCAGCGTGCGACCGCATCGAGCGCGTGCCAGACGGCCGGCACCTGCGGGTAGTGAGAGGCCGCGCCGCAGTGTCCACCGCCGGGGATCATGAAGAGGCGGAACCAGGCGCCGACGTCGCCGCCCGACGACGCCTCGAGCTGCCGTAGGTGCTCGATCGGCCAGGTCGCCGCGTTGAGCGGGTCCGCCCAGCCCTGGAGCACGATCATCTTGCCGCCGGCAGCCGCGAGCTGCGACAGGTCGGGGCTCACGGCGTCGATCCGCGCGCCGATCCGCGCGTCAAGCGCGTCGACGTCGGCACCCCAGTCGAACTGCGCCGCGTCGTATGACAAGTTATCGAAGAGCATGTTCTGCAGGATCGGGATCGAGAAGGCCTCGACCAAGACCCCCTCCTGCACCATCCACTCCGTCTCGCTCCCGACTGAGAACCCCGGGTACAGCGAAGCACCTGATCGTGCGTCGGCGGGCCCTGAGTAGATGCGTCGCGCCGCAGAGACCTGGTTCGGCGTGAGGCATTCCGACGAGTTTCCTGTTGTCCCCGGGGATCCGCATTCCAGTGAGGCGACATCGAAGTCACATAGTAGCGGATTTTCCAGGACGCCGTCTTCGACGCCGTCGATGGTGTCGCACTTGGCTAGGACGGCCTGGGTTATCAGATCAAGTGCGGTTTGGGGTAAGAAGGCCGAACCCTAAGAGTTGGAGTTATTAGCATTTGTCTAGGTTAGACATCTCCGCTAGGGACGACCGCCGGCTTACCCACCTGCGTCACTTGCGCGTTGTATAGGAAAGACAACGCCAAGTGAGAGTACCAGTTCCCGGGACCCTTGGCCACGATGCCGTCGAACAACCCCGGGTGGAATTGCGCGAGAGCAAAGCCTTGCGCACCTCCCGTCGAACAGCCCTCGTAGTAGCTATACTTTGGGGCCTTGCGATAGAAGGCGGTCGCTATTTGTCTGGCGGGGGGTGTGAGATACGCGATGGAGTTATGTATCCACGCCCTGACCTGCTCGTCGTCGTGCATGTACGGCAGATACACGCCGGGAGCACCACTGCCGCCATTGTTCTCAGAGGCCAAGTGGCCCGCGTTGCCCCCGGCGACCGCATACCCCTGGTTAAGATTGAGCGTAATCACCTGCGTAGGAATAGTACCTGCCATTCCTCCGTTGCCTGCATCCAAGCTTCAGTGTCATTCAACGCCGTGGGACTGCAGCCGGGTGGTCTTCTGCGCACCTACCTACTACTAGGAATCTGCCGTTGTACTTCTCGACACTCGGCAGCCAGAGCTCGAAGATAACCGAGTTATTCCCCTTCTCGCCGTACGGAACTCTGCCGACTAGGCGGCATGTTGGGATCGTTATGGAAGCATTTTGGGGTATGTAGGCCGCGTCTAGGATCGTCACCCCCGTACCACCCGTATCCGAGGCAAATTTGGAGCAATCTTCCACCTTCCAAGAGGCGTGGTGGTTTAGAGTGCGGGCGACGGCAGCAAGTAGGAACCCAAACAGCAGACCAACCCCCATCCTGAATATTCAGTCTCTGGCGACCCAGACGAAGAACCCCGTCTACGACGTAGAACTGGCGAGTATGGAGCAATTCGTAGTCGATAGATGTAGCTCTTTGTCGTTAAGTATCCAGCATGCGGCCAATCACCTCTCATCACGTGAAAATGTAAACTCCTACGTCTCCCTCGTGGGCGATGCAGGCTTATAAGGTAGGTAGGATTCCCTATGTGACGCCTCGAACGATATTGTATTTTATGTGCAAGACACCGGCAAAAGCCGGTCACAGGTCCCGTTCGCTATCTTGGCTGCAGCGTGAAGATTTACAGAGATGGTCGTGCCCTTTACTTACCTACCCCATGTATACCCATGGGAACCCCGTGGGGATTGTGGAGGTATTATGTGAGTGGCATAGCTCAACCCGAACCCGTTTTCCGCCAATGGGCGTCGGATCTCCAGACTCGCGCCCGGCCTGCGAGCGTGGGACGACGGTGCTGAAATACACCGACCCGAGAGAGGAGATGTCACCGAAGAGCGACCCGGGCCTTGGAATCGGGCCTTGGAATTGGCTGCTATACCTAGGTATTATGCGGCGTAGATGATACACCCCTGCTCGATGGAGGGTGACATCTCAAGCAAAAGCAGCACCACATCGACGACCATTATGACCCTTTGAGAAGAGACGGACCTGAGTGGACCGGGAACATGATTCCTCAATAAAGGGCCGATATCGTTAGCCTCCACGCTTCGAAATAATCGTACGCTTCCTCTCAACCCTGCCCGAACTGGTCACCTCGACAAAATGAACGGTGGGAACTCGCCTTCCATGCCGCAGATTTATTGGTGGGCGAGACACACGGATGGGGGTTCTGCTGTGGTAATCCGTGGTAAAGAGTCCAGAACTCCATGATCAGCACCCCGGCAGTGGATCACCTCATCTGTATTAGCATCATCTCCACACTCCCCGCGTATGTGGCATGGTTTGCTTCCCCCCCTGTATATTGTCATCCTAACCCCAGCCTCGTGTACCCTAATGAGCGCTGCCTTGAAACCCCATTATTTGCTCGTGTTTCCGCGTCTTCTCCCTCACTCCCTCGAGCGTCTCAAGCTAGACGGACCGCGTTCTCAGTCGTAGATAGACAACGCCCCGCTAAGCGGACTCGTCTTCCTATCCGTCCTGAACCTCCTCCCTTGGTCAAAGCTTGCGCCGTTGGCTCTCGACGGCGGGGATATTGCTCGAGGAGTTCGCAAAGATGACAGACCGCAAATTTGGCCCTGATGTCGAGAGCGGAAAGGAGGTACGAGAAGAGCGGGAGGGACTCTTGCCGACCCGATTCCGCCCTGTGTTTTCTGTCTGAGGACGCGCTCCGAACTGACGCCTCTTCGCTTTAGGAACTCGGCGCGAGTGTCGTCCAGTATGAGTCCTCGGGCTCGCCCATCAGCGACGCCGAGAAGGCGCTGCGATGGAAGCAGGACAAGCGCATCGTGCCGCTCTCGGCAGGCATCTATTTCTTATGCTACCTGGACCGGTCGAACATTGGGAACGCCAAGATCATGAACTCATCGACGGGCAACGATCTCATGACGGAGACGGGCATGTCCAACTTCGAGTACACGATCGCGCTCATGATCTTCCTCGTCGCGTACGGGCTGTTCGAGGTGCCGTCGAACATCCTGCTCAAGAAGCTGCGGCCGTCGCGCTGGATCGCCTTCCTCATGTTCTCGTGGGGCGCGCTGACGATCGGGCTCGGCGGCGTCCACAGCTACGCGTCCGTCACCGTCGTGCGCTTCCTGCTCGGCGTCTTCGAGGCCGGCCTGTTCCCGGGCCTCGTCTACTACCTCACGTTCTGGTACAAGGCCGAGGAGCGCAGCATCCGCGTCGCCTTCATCCTCGCGTCGGCGACGCTCGCCGGCGCCTTCGGCGGGGCCATCGCCTACGGCATCGGGCACATGAACGGCGCCGGCGGCCTGTCCGCCTGGCGCTGGCTCTTCATCATCGAGGGCGTGCCCTCCTGCATCTCCGCCTTCTTCGTCTGGTTCCTGCTGCCCGATTACCCCGAGAGCGCCCGGTGGCTGACCACCCAGGAGCGCGACCTCGCCGTCGACCGCCTCCGCCTCGAGGGCAGCAAGGGCCACCACAAGGCGATGACCCGCGCCGAAGCCGTCCAGACCCTCACCGACTGGCGCCTCTGGGGCCACTACGTCGTGTATTTCGGCATCTCGACCCCCTTCAGCTCCTTATCCCTCTTTACCCCCTCCATCACCGCCGGCCTCGGCTACCACGACCTCCAGGCGCAGCTCATGACCGTGCCGCCGTACGCTGTCGCCTACGGTAAGTATTCGACGCCTAGATGCCACGGCGCCCCCTCCCCTCCTCCCCCCTCCCCTTGAGCTCACGGCTAACTCGCCCGGACAGTCGTGCAGATCCTGACGTCCTGGTCGGCGGACCACTTCAACGCGCGGGGGCTGCACTCGGCGGCGCTGGCGACGGTGGGGGCGGTGGGGTTCCTGGCGTCGGCGGCGCTGCCGGCGGAGGCGTACGGGCCGCGGTACGGGTGCCTGATAGTGGCGGCGTCGGGGGCGTTCGCGTGCATCCCGCCGCTGCTGGGGTGGCTGTCGTCCAACATCTTCAGCACGGCGTCGGTCGGGCTCGCCATCGCGCTCAACATCGGGCTCGGCGGCGCCCCCGGCCAGATCGTCGGCGTCTGGATCTACAGGGCCGACGAGGCCAAGGCCGGCTACCCCACCGGCCACTGGACCAACGCCGCCCTCCTCCTCATGGTCGCCGCCGGCTGCCTCCTGCTCCGCGTCTACTACGCCCGCCGCAACCGGCGCATGCTCACCGAGAGCGGCGCCGGCGCCGGCGCCGAGGTCCGCCTGTTCAAGTATTGATCGGTAGGTCGGACGTACGTGTGCGTTCTTGGAAGATAGACGCGTCTGCGATGGTAGATAGTACGTCGAATATACCTACCTGCTTGCGTAATGAATTTAAACCCAACTTGGGAGCCAAGACTTGATAGCCGCAAGACAGGGTTAAGTTAGTCGGAAACAAGTTGTTTCTTTCTCGCGACCACGCTAAACAGAATGTACCCCGCGTAGCATCACATAGTATCGCGGAGAACACCGGCGGAGGTGGTATTCGAGAAACGTATGACGAGTCTGAGTTCGTAGCATGCGGCTTATTTAGAGGTTGTTTTCTCGGTGAGAGAAGAAATAGAACAGGAGGAAGCAGAGCTATTCTAATGAGAGACGGAGGTAGGTAGGGGCTTAATGTCTCTCACATAAGCAGCCATGTCCGTATTGACAATTTCTACCCAGAGCTCTCCCCTTCTTTATACACCCCCCCCCCCCCCCCCGTCCCCGCTTCCCGCCCGCGTTTCTTCAGTTGGCCCACGCGAATCGGGTTTATCACGGAAAGTATGGCTATATAATGGCGGCATCAAGTCGCTTGTATTACCTTGGGAAGCCGGGCGAATCGGCAGCAGTCCCAACTCGCTGGTCAGGAATTTTATCCTGTATTGCACGAGCCGCGAGTAGATAGGGGGCTCCACGTGCTCCTCTTGGAGCGATGGCAGCGGCGGGCGGGCGGGCGACTGGGTTGCAATTCGTACACTATCTGGGGTATTTTTTTGGTACAGAAAACGGGACGATACATCCGTTGGTCGCCTACCACGCCGGCTGGACCCTCTTGAGCAGCTTCTCCCTCACGATCCAGCTGGCATACTTGCCCCCCTTGTGCAGGGAGATGGCGCCGATGATGCCGTAGATGGCGCCGGCCATGATGACGTCGTACCCGGAGCCGTCGAGGTTTTCCGGCTAAGGTGGACAGGGTCAGAAGGCGGCGGAAAACGTCGCGGTGGAGAGAGGTCGGGGCGGGTCTCACCATTCTCGGCTTCCACCGCACAACCTCTGTCAGGCCAGTCTCCATCGCGATCCGCGTCAGCGTGTTGTAGTTTAACACGTCGTTCGGCTGGAAGGCGGCTAGGCTGTCGATGCTGCGAAGCGCTGGGTCGTCGTACGGCTCTCGCCTGCCGGCAAAGGGATCCCCTGGCGTGGCTTGAATTCTGGGCGGGGACGTTATGATGGACTGCGTGCATTCGAGGATGCATATTTGGCGGCCTGTATCCGAAGATCAGCAACGGTGTGCATAGGAGTAATAACGGCTCCGGCCCCGATCCTGGCCACGGCGCGGCGCGGCGCGGCGCACGCAGCTGGCCTACCTAGGAACGCCAGACGGTCGTTGAAACCTCTCCTCCCCTGGTCGAAGCTCTTGTGGGTGACGGCCAGCCACTTGAGATCTTCGGACAGCATCCGCTCTCCGCTGCGGCCCAGGAAGGAATTCAGCGCGGCGTCCAGCTTCTTGGGGTCTTCGTTGACCCTCCAGATGGAGCGGGTAGGGTCATGGGTGATGTGCGGCGAGAAGGGAGCCTTCATGCGTTCGGGCGTGTAGGACCATCGCGGCCGCGATCGGACCTCCCGGTATGCCTCGAAGCGGCGGGGAGCGGACGTTGAGAAGTTTTCCTCGGAATGGTGGGCAGCGGAGGTCGAGAAGTCTGCCTCGGAGTGATGGGCGGCAGACGTCGAAAAGTCTGCCTCGAGATGGTGGGTAGTAGATGTCGAGAAATTTTCCCTAGAGTGAGGAGTAGCGGACGTCGAGAAGTTCTCCTCAGAGCGGCGGGCGGCGGATGTCGAGAAGAAGAGGGCGGCGGGACGGCGCGAAGGGGGTTCGCACCGGCTCCTGCATGCGCGCACGCCCTGGCGAGCGAGCCGCGCGGCGGGCCGGGCCGGCATGAGGGGCATTGGGGATAGTATCGATGATGCTCTGTTCGCCTCTTCCGTCTCTTATCGTGGCATCCGCGGCGCGGACACAAAATGCAGACTGTCGCGATGGGCCGGGAAGGGAAGTGGGATGAGCATCTCGACTTTTTCCCAATCGCAGCGAGGAGACGGGCTTGCGTTGTCGAGCCAATCGGAGCACGGCAGCATCCACTGCTTTGACCCGAAGGTACCTTTCCGTCGAGTCATAGGTACCTTTTCATTCCGTATATGTACCTGGGCTCTAATGCCCAGAGGCTATATTAGCACCTCCGATCGCCAATCTCCATCTATCTCAGGTACCTCCAGTAAGTGCGTTTAATGAGTGCTTTAGGCGGGTTAACTTGGGTACTCACCCAAGGTACCTACAAAGGTACCTAAGGTATTCTGCCCCTCCATACCGCATAAAGTGATACCACAGCTGCATTACATGCATATAATGCCTATATAGAGTATCCGCATGCCGATAAGACATTACGCAGATACCCATAGAAATCTGCCCTGGTTCCCGCCCCAGATTCCCTCCCACGTCCCTGACAGCTGGTTAGCTAGCTACATTACAGTCACCCCTTGCATTCCTCACTCCTCCGCCGCTCCCCTTCCTTGTTCCCTCTCCGCATCATAATGCGTTGCGACTAATTCGAACGATCCGTCATATTTGGATTGCCCATGTCATTGGCCGTCCATCTCTCCGCGCCTACCAAGGCCTCCAGCTTTCGTCTTTCCGGTCGTTCTCCTCCTCCCTACCCAGAATCATGTCCAGTCCGAAGCCGCCTCGAGGCGACAGCGATCGCCACGTCGATCCTAGCCCACTCGTCGCCGAGCTTGCCAAAGTCTTACCCAACAACTGCAGCTTCACCGTCCACCATCTCTCGACGCCGCCGACTCCCACCGGCCCTCTCTTCCTCCCCTCCGCATACCATGCTACCTCTACTTCGAAAGCATCCGGCGATAGTCGCGCGCCGCTCAGAGAGCTACGGCCGAGCAAGCTCCTCAAGACCTACTGCGAACAACATTTCTTGACGGTTTCCATCGCCGCCGAACAAGGAGTACCGTCTCGTGGCCAGGTCATCGTCCTCGGGCTGGAGATTTACATATACACAACTACTTTCTCGACCATCATCTTCGTAGCCAAGGCCGACTCGACCGGGTACCTGAGTCTCCTGAACCTCCCGAAAGATTCTCCCTCTCCGATTCGCGAAGTTACAACATGTTTTCTCGCCTTCCTAGTCGCCAATCGAAAGCGCCCAGCCAAGCAATTAGTCGTGAATTTGTTTGCCCGATCTCAGTCGCAGTACCTCTTCCCGGGGAGCGTGAAGAATGACGGCAAGCATGTGCTGGACGACAGAGGTCTCGTGAAGTGGTGGTGTCGTGTGTTCAACACGCTACTTGAAGGCGACGATTATTCGGAGACGAGAAGGCCCTGGGATGGCATACACGGTTACCTAGTCATACCCGGGTTGGACAATTATGAGACCCGAGCTTTTCTCCCCCGAAGCGCCCTAGCCGCGGCCAATTGGACATTAGGCCACCCCTTGGAGGAAATATCACCATACACGAAGGATCCAAACACTTTCGGCCGTCATATCCACCCTAGATCTCTCATACCAACTTTTCCAGACGATCCCAAGGCGCGTTTCGTCGAAGAACTGGAGGAATCGACTTCGGAAAAGATCAAATTGGCAAGCGGGTGGAAGACGCCGAAAACCCTAGAGCAGTTCTGGGAGATGATGGCATTTCGTCAGGAATGCTCCAGCGGGAGGTTAACTGGATTCATATGGATCGTTTTCGAGCCTCAAATCACGCCCAAGATACTCCCAATACGCTCTGCCACGGGCAGCCTCGCACCCAACACAACATCCGACCCACCCACCGATGGCCAACCGCCTCCCGCCACATCGCGGCCGAGCCAACAGAACCCTGCCAAACCGGCTCGCGAGAAGCCCCGACGGAAGCGACGGGCCAAGAAGACGCTGAAAGGCCCAATTATCACCCGAAAGCCCCAGATCAAGACGCAGCGGGCCCAATTTCCCAAACTCACCGAGACGCCTTACTATTACTGGCCAGAGAAGGGGAGGGGCCAAGTCGTCCTCAACGACAGCAACTACAAGAGGGCCGTCGAACTACTCCTCCATCTAGAGTTTGGAACGCTGAATCAGGCGATCGCGAGCACGGCGCGGTGGACGAATGAAGTGAACACGGGCGAGAATTGGGCTTTGGAGGTTGTAGGCGAGCGAACGGTCCCCGCCCCCGCGCCGTCAATCGCGAATGGGGCCGTGAATAACTTGTCGGGCGCGGTACGGCGCAAGCGTGGGTCGGATGGCGACGACTCGAAAGATGCCATCTCCTCTGGGGGAGCGGTTAACACACTGGGTGGGGGACTTGTCCGTAAGAAGGCGAGACTCGATACCTGTGATATAACGGAGACATCTACGGAAACCCTCGGCCACGATCCACCTTCGGCCACGATGGAATCTAGCAGCAACGTCCTCGGAGCTGGTTTGGTTCGTAAACGGCCCAAAGACGTTTGATTTCTTCCCGGTTTCTCCCTGTCTCTCTCTCTCTCTATTTAGCAGCGGTAACGTTTTATGGACATGTGGTTACAGGAGGCTGGTGGCACATCAAGATGGGCGTTGGATTGGCAAATAGGAATGGAGAACGGGATGGGAAGGGCCTGTATGCTACTGTGTTTTATTAGCACTGGGCCTCGGTGCCTTCAAGCAGGAGGGAAACATACCAAAAACCAAGAACAGCATGAGACCCAGGAGAGGTCTAGGCAGGACCTAGCACAGCGACTGACATGTTGGCTCTCATGTCGGCGATTCACGCTTCAGCATTCGCACCCAGAGTAATTAAACCCAAACATATTACACGCGGAACCCCCAGGTCCGGGTGCACAAGTCTTACGCCCACCTATATCTACCCTCCAAGACGCAGTAACTCCTTTATGTCCGTTGGTACGAGATGCCGGGTTTGGAGCCCAGTTCCGCCTTGGTCACCTGCGCTTTTGTGTAAGGAACCGACGCTGGAGCGTGCTGCGAGCAGATCCGCCCGAATCCCCCTCCACCGTACACGCGTTCGAATACATGGAGAACATATCTCACCTAGGAAGTTCCATGATCAAGTCTATCTATAATTCGCGGAACGTCAACAGGGGAATGGGGAGAGAAGCAAAGAAAAGAAAAGCAGAACCCCCGATTCTCCACCCCAAAACAGGTCACCGTCTGATGCCTACCATCCGCTTTAGCTATGCTAGAGACTTTCAGGCTGTAGACCACGATTCCAAAGCCTCTCAGGCAGGCAGGTCAAGTAGTGATGGGGGTGATCCAACCGGGTTGATCCATCGCTCGAAAGGGCTAGACGCAAAGGAGTGCGAGGAGAACGCCGATTGGTCGAGAAGACACCGGCACTGCCTATTTAAGCGGTGGGGATCCCGGCTGCTAAGTCTTGGCCTCAGTCCGGACGACTTCCCCCTTTCAACCCAACCCTCTTCTCAGTGAGGCCCGCCATTACGGTGATTACAACCTCTGCAAGTGGCATGTGTATAGGCTTGAAGCCTGTGTCTACAAATCTCATCCTTTGTTTTCTTAACACTGCTGTCTCAGCAGCTTGCGGCAAGCCTGCAAATAGAAGGGGAAGGGGGGGGAGGCTGTGTGAAGAAAGAATACAGTAGGCAGGTATATGTATTCCAAGAGTCCCCCATGGTTTCTACTAGTGCTTCTAGATGATCCAGGTGATCAGGCACCATCGGCGTGTCTTTTTGCCTGCCGTACAAGGCGGTCACGCTTTAGAAGATACTACACATCACATAGTAGCCACCCCTTTCAAAGTTGGTTTGGCGGGACCCTGAAAGCGCACCTGGCACTTGTCTATCAGCCGCACATTCCGCAAAGCTCTCTAAGTGACGTCTAAGATGTGATGGTTCACATCTCAGGTCTGCTACATTGGAAAGCACTTATCTAAGATTAGGATGCTGCCATGTGTCCCCAGCACTCACCCATCCCCTACCCTCGTTCCCCCGGATACAGAAATCCACAGACACCCTATGCCTACGCATACACAAGCACACGCAGGACGTACGTAAGTAACACCCTGTGACAGCCCTACGGGCTGAGATGTCTTCCACCACGCCTGCCCACATCGCCTCCTCGATCCTATCCTCTGGTGCCTGTTTCCCCTCGGGTTCTTGTCTTGTTTTGATGCAACGTAGCTGCCGATTCATCACAGCTATCAACACGTTAATTTATTTACTGAGCCCATCTATCCCCTGAGACCTCTCCCTCTGCCTCCAGACTCTAGACCAAGCAGTCTATTTCATCATCACCAACTCTCTCTTTACTTATATGCTTCTTGCGGACCCCAATAGCATTCCTAGGTTTACGCCTAGGCACTGTGTCTCTCAGCACTAAGCCATCGTATCGACCTCGCCCAGCCCCTTCGAGTTTGTCTATTATATCGATCATGACACACACGGGTGTTGAATACCGGTATACTGTGCACCAGGGGGACGACAGCTCCTATCGACATCTCGCCATCTCGCCGTCGCCTTGACGCCCTCTCATCAAAATAGTCTCCCCTGGCGATTTGAGCTATTTGCTCTAACTGCTGGGCGATCTGGAACCCTACCCATCTGCCCACAACCCCAGACTTTTCTCCCTGCTGTGTTGATTCCAAAAATCTTTCCTCCTCCCTCCCTTCTTCATCAACTTGACTTGCCAGCCTTCAGCGGGAAAACACCAAGACACACATCACATCTCCATCCCCATCTTCTACCACCTCGCAGACTTTGATATAGCTCTCCTTCCATAATCTCCGCTCTCGTCTCGCTCCGTTCGTCTCCAGGTAATCTCGTTGTTCGGTCTGTCCCCCCGTTCAAGCCCCCGGCAGTTTCTCAAGACCCGTCAGCGACTCGAGGAGCACGGCAGAGCCCTCTGACCACATACCCGGCCCCGACCCTCCCACAGCCTCTTCCAGAAGACGCGTCGCCCCTCGGCATCCCCTCATCCACGCGTAATTTACAATAAAGATGCCAGTGATTACCGCCCCGACGCCCGCCGCCGAGCAGGGCGTTGCCCTCTGGGCGCCAGAGATGACGGCGTCTTCGGCCGGCGGCGGTGCCGCCCCCGACCCAACCGAGGGCCCCCACCCCGTCAAGTACCTCGCCCGGCGCCGCGGCGCCGAGGGCCCCTGGGTCAACGGGAAAACGTGCGGCTGGAGAGCCGGCGTCTCGTGTGAGTGCAGCCTTCCCCCGCTCCGGACGCCAACGTGCTGACACCCCGTGCTCGCGCGCAGCTCTCCCCTGGACGTGCGGTGGTAAGGCCCACTGCGCCACCGACTCGCACCACGTCGTGGCCTGCGTCGAGGGCACCCTCTCGCCTTTTTTCTCTGTCTGTCTGGACCACGCCGCATCAGAGGCTGGCTCGTGCGCGCGCCTCGGCACATCGACTGGTTGCTGGTGAGTTCCCGAGCCCTCCATCTCCTCTCCCTTCCCGCTCTTCCCCAGATGTCTTTCCCCCCCTCCCCCGTGCCCCTTTCTTGAAGTCGGGGCGCTTCCCAGACCGATAGTCCATGGGGGGGCAGTTCGTTCCGCCGCCCGGTAGACGCAGAGACCGCTGACACGCCCCGCCCGCCCTGCAGCACCGACGCAGAGCACGGATTCTGCCGCACGTTCGTGTGGACGGGCGAGCCGGTCCGCTCCATGTACGGCTGCTTCCGCAGCGCGGACGTGGTGACGCTGCTCGACGTGCCGCAGTTCGTGCTCGACGCATCGTCCTCCGCCGCCCCCTCCAGCACCTTGACCCGGCCCAACTACGGGTTCACGGGCGGCCACGCCAGAGCAGTGCCCGAGTCGGACCTTCTGGTGACCGTCGGGGGCGTCATGTTGGGCCTCATTTGCCTCTGCGTTGTCACTGTAGTCTGCGTACTCTGTATTCGGCGCCGCCAGGCCGCCCCCAACGCTGCCCAGGCCCCCGTCACCAACGGCGCCCCCGTCGCCCCGGCCCCAGCCCCGCAGGCCCCCGTCCAGAACGCCCCCCCCGCCGCCCCGGCCCCAGCCCCGCAGGCCCCGCAGGCCCCTCAGGCCCCCGGCCACCACGCCGCTACTACTGCCCACGTCTCCCACGGGCCCGCCGCCGGCCCTCCGCCCCAGGCACCCCAGCACGAGGCGGCCGCAGCGGCGCCGGAGGCCGTCGAGCTCCAGGAGCTGACGTCAGAAGGCACCGCCGTGGGTCCTGCCAGCGGCGACGACGGCCACGCCAAAGACAACGAAACTTCTCGCGACGCTAAGTAAGCGCGGGACAAACGGGGCGGTCCGCTCGCGGTGGGCAGAAGGAGTTTCTTATTTTTTTTCTTTTTTTTTTTTTCCTCGCGTGTGCATTCGACGACGATGACGCGACTCGCTGCTTTCCGAACCGCGGTGCTGAGGAAGCACAGCGTTGAGAGCAACAAGGCCTCAGAAAGGAGAGACGGCTCTAATACCGGACATGGACGAACACAGAGAAGAGGGGGCACTGGAATGGCAGAAGAAGCACTAGTTAATCGGCACTAGATCGGCTTCGTCGTCCGGGACGTGCATGGTATTAATTGAGGAGGAGACCGGACTCTGCGAATCGACCAGGAGACCGCGCAAGCAAGGTTCCCTGCTATTGGTCGCAGATCCGGAAGCACGGCATTCTTGTATGATAGACCAGGCATGCCTATACATTTGCGGACTCGCGAGAGTCACCTTGGCGTGTACGATGCTCTAGACCAGGAGCGAAGAGGGTCGAGGAACTTTGCACCACCGGCCGTATAGCATTCACTCAGGCCGTGTAACAATATATTATACAGCGACAGATATAAATACACAGAAATCATAGAAAACAAAAAAGGGACGACACGTAGATCTACCCATAGAGAACAGCGACGGCGTAGACGTGTAGACGGCGGCGAGGAAGCGCAGGGGGGGAACTTACTCTGTAGAATTGCCCGGCCCACGTGTCTCCAATACGCCCGTCTATCCTGCCAGCACAACGCTTGACACGAGTCCTGCTGCTAGCCAAGCCCCAGCAGAGGGTGAGGCCTTGTCGCGTTCCCCGTGCGAGCAAACCCCGACCTAGCTTCAGGGGAGGATGTGCAACGGGATGGCGTGAGCAGGGATATATATTTCTAGATCCTTATAAGCAGCAGCCCCTGTCCTCCTGTGCGTGATATATGCAATCCCCCCAAGTTCCTTCTCCCAACCTCCCACTCCCGCCTTTGCTCCCCTACTCCTTGGCGCTATCTTGGTTCTCTATCTAAGATATAGGGCAATGCTCTCCCCGTCTACAGGAAGTATTTCGATTCCCGTGTTTGGACAGAACGAAGAAACGGCCCAAGCACTATGTGGTATTTCTTTTCTCTAATGTTTTGTCTTCCTCTTAGCGATATGCTGGTCGGACTTGAAACCCTCCCCTCGCTTTCCCCCCGGGTTTGCTTATGCATATGCACACATGACTTGGTATAAAGACGAATAAAAGGCACGTTTTGCCGTCCTCCAACTGCCACGTCCAGGTTTTTTTCTTTCTCTTTTTCTTTTTTTTTGTTGCTTGCATACTTGTCTTCCAGCCGAGGACATGCTCTAAGGAAGATGGATTCGCACGCGAACCGGACATCATAGGGTGCTTTTCAGCTACTGTAGGTTGACTGGCGTGATGGCCGGTCTGCCAGCCAGCACGGCCAAGATGTTACGCATAGCAAGCTCCTCGAAGCCGACGTGGGTTTCCACGGTGCCCCCGGCATTGTGGCAGGTGAGTAGGGCTTTAGAGCGGGCAAATGCGAGCAGGCGCGGGTGGACGGCCGGTTCGTCGGCGTGGACATCGAGGGCGATGCCTGCGAGCTGCTCACGCTCGAGCGCGTCCGCGAGCGCCTCCTCGTCGACAAGTGAGCCGCGCGCAACGTTGACCAAACGTGCACCGGGTCGGAACCAGCTAAGGCTCTTGGCGTCGATCACACAGCCAGCAACTGCGGGTGCGCACAACACCACACAGTCGGACACGCGTACCAACTGCTCGAGCGAGGGGCGAAAGCTTACACGTAGTTTCTCCTCTAGTGCCGCCGGCTTGCGCTCCACGTCAAAGTAGGCAACCTCCATGCCGAAGGCGGCGTAGCACTTGTGCGCTATCTGCTGTCCGATGTTGCCGAGCCCGACGAGGCCGAGGGTGGTAGCGCGTAAGTTGTGCGACTGCGCGGTCGCGCTCGCATGGCAGTCCCGGAACGCGGTTTGGTCGGGCGCCGAGGAAATGCAGTACGGCAGGACGCGGAACGTCGAGACGATCATGGCGACAGCAAAGTCGGAGACAGCTTCTGCGGCGGCGAGGCCACCGTTGCAGTAGACGATACCTAGACACTGGTATTAACACTGAATTATCTCAACGCCGAGCCCGTTCCCTACCGCCACGGAAGGCATAGCTTGTCCAGCTACCGACCGGGGTGTCTAGAAAATGGCGCCCCTTTCCCGAGACGGAAGAAGCAATGGAGAATCGCCGCACCTTTTTCAGCCAGCAACTTCGTGTCGGCCCAATCGAAGCCAGCGCCAGCGCTAGCGAAGACCCTCACGCTGTCCGGCAGCAGACCGATGAGTTCGGCGTCCCAGTTCCCCATCTCGCCTCCGGTACCCCAGAAGGGACGGAAGATGGCGACAAAGTCGCCCCAGCGCTTCTCGCGTAATGCCTGTACGAAAGCGGGTCGCTGGCGCTCCTCGGCGGAGGGGCGAACCACGTCAAACTCGGCTGCGAATTCCTGGTACGTTTGCAGGTTGTACCGAACGGGATCGCCAACGTGCAGCACGACGGGTTTTTTGCCAGGAGCCGGAGATGCCGACGCAGCCGCGGCCGTTGTCGCTATTGTTATCAGCTTCGGGGGGACAAGGGTGCTACCGGCGATGCTAGAGCGCGCAACACCCGGTACGGGGGAAGTGGAGCGCGGGGTCGGCGGCGCCGTCGGCATCGGGGTGTTGGTTGGTTCAGCCATGCTCGCGATGGTTTCGTTGAGCGATGCGCACCGGGCTAAATGCTCTGTATTGTCTGTCTCTTTCCTCTCTTTCTCCCGATCTTTTTTTTTTCCCTTCCCTCTCCCCTATCTATCGCTTTGCTAAGTACGCGCGCACAGATGGGACTACTTGATGGGAGATAGCAGCGTGGGAGAGAATATAATACACAAGCAGAATGAGAACAGTCTCAACCAGCAAGGCGGTGGGACCTCGAGACCAACAGGATGGCCGGCCGTTAGTCGGACAGCAGAACAAGTTTGTTTGCGTGTATGCGTCAGCGTGTCCGTGGCTGTCTGAGGTGTGGTGTGTCCGTCCAGGTCGAGCGATCGTCGCGTCGGAGCAGAGCGCTTCACCGCCGAACCTGGGGCCTTGGCCTTGGAGAAATGGCGTGCCGGGAGTTGTAAGCCGTGGTCTAGCTCGATTCGACGTGGTGTGGGGTGGCCTCCGTCGCCCAACGCTACCTCGTAATCAAGGCCTAGGCTGAGACGGGCATCAGAGATAGCTAAAGGGATAGGTACCTATGGGTATGGGCTTGTAGTCGTATGCATGGGTATATACGACCGAGCCCTGCCGTAGTATTCAGCTAGCCGGCCTGCCTGGCAGTCGGCGAATTCCCTCGTCCTCGACGGCGGCTGGTCGACGGAGGCTGAAATCGATCTACGAGGTTCCCCCCGAGCTGGAAATTTCCGCAGATATCTGGACCGTAAGCGAAGGTGGAAGCGAAGACGGGCGAAGGCCTCTCTTGCTGAGCAACCCCGGATCGTGTCCACGAAACGACGGTACGGAGATCAATCCGGAAATTCTGGGCCGAACACAGACATATAGACGTGAGCGGGAGCGAGAGGAGGACAGCCAGGCTGGCGATCGTTAGCAAACATCGTGGGGGGAGGCGAAGATGGAGAGCGCAAGCGGAGGCGAAGTGAGGGCGGAGAGATATGGCCCTATCTCACTCGCCTGGGCACACAGTTCCGTCTGCCTGCCTCGCCTCCCCCTTTACTTGTTATTGCTTAGGTGATTCACAAGAGGGAGAGAGTGAAAAAAAAAAGAAAAGAAAAGAAAAAAGTGTGGAGAAAGCGGGGGTTGGTTGATTGGCCCAGGCGTTCCCATCTTCGCATTGGTGCCTGCCTTAGGTACCTATTACCTACCTACCTGCTTACCTGCCTTAGGTACCTGCTTATAGGCAGCTCATGTATGTACCTACATACCTGGTAGGTAGGTACCTCCTAACCTAAGAGCCAGGTACCTAGGTACCTAAGGTGCACAGCAATGGTCTGGTCGCCCTTGCGGTGGGTCGCAGTCGGGATGCCGTTCTAGGCAATGCGGGGTGATCGAGCGGCTCATCCCATTGGCTCGTCCGGGATCCTGTAGCCACCTGTCGGCTGCGGGGGCCGCCTGTCTCCCACTTACTGCCACATGGCCGTCGAACCGGTGGAACCTGTCAAGCCTGCCAGAGGCAGGCAGCTCGCCTACGTATGTAATTGCTACGTTATACCGCCGACCCTGCCACGACTTACCTACTACCCATTACTATCCCTACTATCACTACCACCACTACTACCACTACTACTATCCCTACCCTAACCCGCCTCTATATTCCACACACATATATACACACCACACACATATATATCTAATCTACCGGACCCTCTTGGAATCTCCCAGCCCCGTGGCAGCCCGGCAGCGAAACCCCGATAGTAGTGCCGGATGCACGACGGGAAAACGGGACGGTCGTCCAAGAGACTCCAATTCACCCCGGGTAGGGCCCTACCTGTATAATGCATACCTAGGAGGCAGCTTGCCACCCGCCCCCCCGGGTCGCTACGACGCTGTCTAAGAGAAACCGAGTTTACCAACAGCTACATCAGCAGCCTCGGGAGCCGAGGATCATATACCTACGCAGAGCGGTTACTCCTTGCCCGTTATGGGTGGATATAGGGAAGCATTACCTAGATGAGGTTGTCACGGGTATCTAGGTAAGTCGACGAGTCTACCGTAGACACCAACATGCCTATGGCAGTCGTCAGGCTCCGAAGCCGTGGCTCTCTACGCGTTGTCATCCCGCGTCGCCTCCACCGAATGTAAAGGAGAGGATGGAATGTTGGAGTGGTGATTAGGTTGGTGAAGAATATCGTGGGGTCCTCAAGGGTTACAGGGGCTTGCGTCTTGGCCAGATGCTGGTTGGCCGAGATTGGACGAGACACAGCGCCAAGATCCCGATTCTCTCGAAACCGAGCCTCAAGTCACATAATTCTTCGAACAGAGCCGATGGGTCCTATCTTTCCTGTCGTTATCCTTTTAGCAAGGCCGTCCTAGATGCCTACCCAGCATCTACCTGCTTTGCAATCACCAAGGCCTGCCGGCTACGATTTATGATAGCACTCAACCCGACGACAAGTACCCACCTATGTAGGTAGGTATAGACCCAGGTATGGTGTATGAGCAATACCCGTCGTAAGAGGGAACTACCGCATAGTAGTGGGCGGATGGGCCTTGATCCGTACTGCCGACGGGCACTACTTTTTGATTCGAGGGGGGAAAGCAAGCGGATAGCAGACGTGCGAGGTTTGACGGTAACGGGGAAGGTGGCCCGGTCTGGTCTGGTCAGTTCTAAACTAACAGGTCTCGTCATATTTTCCTGCCTTCTCTTTTTTACCATCTTGCGCCTCGTGTAATCTCAACCAGCCATATATCGTCGCTCTTGTATATTCGCGGCGTCCTATTCCACAATCCCTAATATGGACACACCTGAAGACCGCCGATCCACGTAACATATGATCGAACCGCTCCGCACCGCCAGCAAGATCTTCAAACCGCAGAACCGCTCCCCAATCAGAGAGGAGGAGGAGACACTATGTCCGTGGCCCCGGGACGGTGGGGCTTCATTGAGCGGCATGAGCCGCCAGCGAGACAAAGGTACAACCATGTCAAGGTCCGCACAGGAGAAGAACACGCCCACGATCTACTCGCTAAGCATAATGAAATCGTCTACCGTAAGCGCATACATCTTTCTGGCCTGCTTCCTCGATCGATCGGGCGTCTCCCACGACCAGCATCTGAACGACTTCCTCGAGGTCCTGCAGATCTGCCAGAGATTGGTCCCGCAAACACCACCCATGGACATCAGACTCTCGTGCGACATCGACATCTCCCCTAGTCTCCTTCACCATCACCCAGTGCCGGAACCAAAAGACGAGACGTCCCACTCGGAGCCCACGTAGTAGTACCGCGAGAACGGGGAGGGCGATCCCGACGAAACTGGAGGACATGTCTCTAGTCTGCGTACCGATAAACTACTAAAAGGACTTGCATATATAAATAAGAAATCGCTAGAGTGGCCCCAATTGCCAACCATTTTATCCTCTTCCTTCCCCGTCCGGCATTGCGTACCTACTATTTCACAGCACTCGGATAGAAAGGAAAACAAGAGCCGTGTTCGAGAACCTGACCACTCTGTACTCCGCTATCCGCATCACGTCCCCCAGATGAAACCCGCCCAACAGACCCAGCTGCATGGTTGCTAATACATGCTAACGTCAAGATTCCCGCTCAGGCAGCGCTCAACCGGACAATTAAACCTCGGGTTGTTGACGAACGCTAAATTCATGAACTGTAGCTGATCCGGGGCTAGGCGTACAGATTTCTGGTAGTCCTCGAGGCGGTGCAAGTTGTCGGCGGCATCGGCGATGTTGCGCTGAAACGAGTCGGTGCCCTCGGCCCTCTCAAAGTCGCAGTCGCCGGCGTGGAAGGCGTCGGGGGGGAAGTCGTCTCTGTACATGAGTAAGAGAAGCCGGTCGAGGCGGGAGAGGCAGCCTTTGCCGGTGGCGGCGGCGATGACCTCGCGGCAGAGCTGGCCGGTCCAGCAGCGCCTGCCGAGGCCGAGGAAGCGCAGACCCCAGCCCAACGGGTCCTGGGCCTGGGCGGATTCGTAGAGGTCGCCAAGGGACCCGTCCGGCGGTTCGTCCAGGATGACGAGCGTGTCCACGTTCAGGTCCATGCGGACCAAGCGCTGGGGGTGGGCGCGGGCGGGGCTCTCGTCGGGCGGGCCGGTGATCCGGGCCACCGGCTTGAAGACGGTGAACTTGACAGGGTAGCGCTCCTCCGTGACAGCACGCGACTCCTGGCAGACGTACAGGGCTATCGGGTTCTCGCTACGAGACTCCCAGCCCGTGGCGTCACTTCTGTCCGGCCTGGGCCGGTGCGGGTGCATCTCCACGTGACGCGGGTGGAAGGTTTCCTTCCAGATCATGACGCGTAGCTCGACGGGGAGCCGGGGGAAGGGCCTGAACTCAGACAGCGGCTGGGGCGGCTGGGGAGGCTGGAGAGAGGGCTCTTCCGAAGACATGTTCGACTCCATTTCCTCGCATAGGGGCCTCGAATGGTGGATATGAGTGTATAGATGTAGGGATGTATGTGTACGTGGGAGAAGAAGAAGAAGAAGAGAGGCGAAGTGTATGCTCGGCGGAACTTGGGAGTCCTCGTTAGAGAGGTGGGAATTGTGAAGCTTTGTAGAAACGGGCGGCGATTGGGAAGTGGGAGAAGCGGGAGGCGGGGTCTCCTTGAGGGATATGTAGGCGTCCCATTGCGGGATGCGTGGGCGCGGAGGGCATGCGGTGAAGGCTTCAGCAGTGACATCATATGACTATGAGCCCGCCACGCCGCCGATAGTCGGTTATTGTGCAGACGGCACAGTACGAGGCGTCGAGTCGGCGTAGGGCTCATCACGCAACTCTACAGTTTACGAGCGGGCAGCGGAAACAGGTCGCGATGCGCCCGCCCTGGTTCGCTCCAAGCCATGTCTTAGCCGAATGATTGCAGCTTTCGAGAGCTGCCGAGAGCCGCCGGGTCCATCCCCGATACGCAGCCTGTCCTCCACCTACCGTATCTACCCCCTTCTTGCGACGCGCATATCGAGAGATTCTAATAAAATGAGGGGCGGGGAGAGGAGAAGGGGGGAGGGGGGGACCTATGAGAGGTGTGCCCAAACGCCAGATAGGAGAGTGTGCCCTGCCTATCGGATGCGGCGATGTTGCGTAGAAAATATATGTTGCCGGTAAATGTCTGTCGTACGCACTTATTAGATAGGTAAATATTCTTCGATACCATACCATGTGTGTACATTTATAGAATACTCATTGGTGTAGGTGTAGGTGCGTGTGTATTCGTGTGATGCCCTCCTGTCTTCATCTTCGCGTACCGCTATGGATCACGGCGCAACCGTGTAACTCCCACGGGCACGCCTCTATGCAAGCCTCCGCGGCGCTATCTGATAAGCTCGTCAATCATTACGCACACGAATATTTGGAATTAGTAACTCTTTGTAATCGCTGGTTATCCCCAGGACGCCTCTTTTCCTCCAAGTTGACGATCGTCGTCCACACGGAACAACCGGACCAAGCCCCGAGAACGCCAAGTGCGCCATGACCGCATGTCTATCGTCGGTCGGACCGTGTGATCGCAGCGCACCGTATTGCCCTCCCTCCCTTTACCGGTTTCCCCCCCTTTCTCCCTCCTCCTTCTGACTTCCTCTGCCCCTCCAACCGCCCCCCAGCCCCCTCGCTTTCCGATTTCGTCGCAGTATTACCACACGAGAAGCACCACCCATACCACCAAGCCCAGCGCGACCGCCGGGCCGCGCGCCGAGGGCAGCGCCGCGGACGAGTCGAGCGTGTGGTTGCCCTGGCCGAGCCACTCGCGGAGGTGCTCGAGCTTGAGGTCGCGGACGCGATCGAGCTCGGCCTTAGCGCCGCGGGGCTCGACGGCCTCGGAGACGGCGTCCTCAGCGTGGGCGAGGCGCGGCACGAGCACGACGCGCGAGCGGTTGCGCGCCGCGTCGGGCGGCAGCGCGGGCAGGCCCACGGCAGCGGTGCGGTCGAGCGCGGGCAGGCCCAGGGCGGCGGTGCGGTCGAGCGCGCCCTGGACGACCAGCAGGCGGCCGGCGCTGGCCAGCACGTCGCTGGTCATGGCGTACTTCTGCAGGAAGTAGTCGTTCTGGCGGCGGTAGTCGGGGGGCGCCCAGGCGGGCTCGCGGCACAGGGGCGCGTCGCCGCGCGTGAAGGCCTCGGGCAGCACGTTGCCCGCCGGCACCGCCACGTCGTTGACCGCGTAGTACGCGCAGCGGATGTAGCGGGCGGCCGGGTCGGCGCCGTCCGCCGCGCCAGCCGCGAACGACAGGTTCGCGTTCGCCCCCTCGATGCACGCCCGCGCGTCCGCCGCCCACGACGCCGCGAGCAGCGGCACGCGCAGCACCTCGCCCGTCGTCCTCGCCGCGACCGTCTTCGCCACCAGGTCCGCGAGCGGGTCCGCCGCCGGGTACCGCCCGACCCACGGGTAGCTGTACTTGGGCACCGACAGGTACGTGTGCATGGTCGCGTTGTACAGTTTCTCGTATCCCGCGGCGCCGGTAGCGTTGCCGCAGACGTTGAGGTCCGGGATGTCGCTGCCGCACGTGTTGTCTGTTCTCGCGGTCAGGTCAGCGGTCCCGAGAATAGAGGGGTGACGGTCCGGGGGGCACAGGTAGGTTACCCACTCTGAACACATCGCTGGAACTCGAGCATAGCTCCTTTTATCTTAGCCGACGCCTCGGCCGACGCGTTCGCATACACGTCGTTAACCCACTTGGCCGCCTCGAACCTGAACCGGTTCGTGTCGAGGGGGCCGAACGACCTAAGGGCTGGCGAGGATGCGATGGCCCCGTGGAACGTGTCGGGATGCCGGATGCGCGCCGAGACGGCGAGGAACCCGCCGTACGAAGCTGCGAGACGTCTCAGTTCACCGCCAACCCGAGGAGACCCTAGCGCTTAACGTTGTGCCTACCTCCGCCGTATATGACCTTGCTGTCCGCGGCCCCGGAGACCGTGCTCTTGATCCACTCGACAAATTCGACGCCGTCCTGGAGGACGTTGTCCAGCGTCAGCGAGGAGAAGGCCTCCTTGGAGGCGCTCGCCGGCTCGTAGCCGGGCGGGTAACTATTGCCCCTCGTGTCGCCGAAATAGCGGTGCTCGAGCATGGCCACGAGAGCCCCGAGCTCGGGCGCGTAGTCTATGAAGTCGCTCGTGGAGATCGCCGGCATCCCGGTATCGGCGCTCTGGACGAAGAGGATGGGGCCGCCGGGCTTGAAGTACGTGGCGTTGAGCTGGTACCGCTGCTTGAAGGTACCCGAGCCCGCATCCGGCGCGTGGTCGATCTTCTGCGTGAAGTCCTTGATGACAATGTCGCTCGTGTTGGCGGGGGCACGCATCACCGGCGGGTGGCGCTGGGCCGCTGCGACCCCCGCCAGTATGATGATAACTAAAGCCTTCGACACCATTTCGACGGCTAGGTATGCCTACGGTATGCACCTATCAACGCTGACATACAACAACTACTGGACAAGCCATCTCCCGGTTCGCGTCGAGCTTGCCGTAGTCTTAAGGCCATTCGGTAGGAAAGTGAATACGGTCAGGTAGAGCACATGATCACGATTTCGGCGCGCTACGATGTCCTCAAGGGGATTTCCCGGACGGAACTCGCAAGTAGCAAGGAACAGGAATGCATGGCGAGGGAATGCTTTAAAGACGACAGGTCCTCGACAGTAGGACGATCAGGAAGCTCGCAAACGCCGGATACTGGGCCGCCCACCTCTCAAACAGCAGATCGTAAAAGGAGTGGAGAGCTGCCGGTGGTGCTCGTATATTCGATAATCCCCTGGCCGTTCGGCTCCTTTAAGCCTATATGTATGACACGAACGGAATGGCGTGGTCTTGACCACCTCCTCCTTTTCCCCGTTTTATTTTCCTGATCCCCGCGAGCATCCCTGATCGGATACGGCATGGGGCTCTCCCAACGGAATTGGTGTATTCGTATCGACCTCCCTCCCTCGGGGCTTTTGCCACGTCGAAGCCGTACCAGGCCGATTGGGCAGGACTTGCAGAGGCGAGCGAGACATACAGAGTCCTCGTTTAAGTCGGAGACAACCCAGATCCCGTCTGACTAGACAGTACCTACGTACGCTGTTTATCCACCGTCCTCTACACTTGATTCTTTGCCTTTCCTATTTTTTTTCTATTGTTTTTTTCCTCCGGATCTGGGCCAGGATGGCGATGCGCTAACGGACCGACCGCAACGTTGTAGACTTAATATAGTGTGATATGAGCGGCGTTTCTCCGTCGACCCGTCATGCCACGGCCCACCAACGACTACACACGCACACGCACACATACACACACCCGTATACGCATTCGTACACACATACATACACCCTCCCAGCCATCCCTGCGGTGGCACACTGCAAACAGGCAGCCGTGCGACACGCACGAATAGGTATGTACGTAGGCAGAGGGGAAACCCGCAGCCGTAAAATCACGCACCCAGACCGACAAACGAACGGGGCGACATTGGCGCGGGTAGCCGCATCTGTCCTCTGGATTCTCACCTACTCCGCGGCGTCGCCACAACATCCCACTCGTGGGATTTCGAAACACCCCGTCGTAAGTCGTCCGACAGCCTCGTCGCAGCCGTCCGTGGCTTGGAACCTAATAAGACGCGAGCAGCGTCTCGGTTTAATTGCTCGAGCGCCCGCGCGCGCCGAAGTGTCGCCTCCCCTGCTCCCAGGCAAAGCGGGGGCAGCCAGCGCTTCTTCCCAGCGGTGTGCGGCGCCCCTCCCGACCGGTGAGAGGCAGGGAGCACCGCAGGCGACGCGCGCGGGGGCAGCCCCGAGCACAGCGATGCCTTGGGCCGAGCGTGCCCTCGCGCCTCCCCCCGCCGGCCTCCGGGGCGTACCTAGGTGCGCAGCAGTAGCGACGCCCCCGGTTTCGCTTCCCACGTCTGGGACTGGCAAGCCCGTTCGCCGCGCCGCGAACGCGGTCCCGCCAGATGCGCGCGGAGTGGGCCGGGGGCTGGGGGCGCTCGCGTATCTGCCGGGGCGAGCCACTTGCCCCCTCGCGCGCGCGCAGGAAGCCGGAGACGATCTTTGGGGGGGGGGGGGGGGGTGGCCTACTACGGGGGAGCGGTAGGGGCCCGGAAGGAGAGGACGCCGGAGATCTCAGGCTCTGAGTGACGTGGCTGTGTTTCTTGGTCCGCCATGCTGTGTAGATACAGCTTGGCCGCGACCAGGGAAGGGGGGCCCGCCCTCGCAGACGCACGCATTCTAAGCAGGTCCCTCCAAACAGACATTGGTAGCCGAAGACGGGGATGACTGACTGGGGTCCCGAGGAGCGGGGACCCGCGGATGAGAAGAACACAGCTACTGCTGTCGGCTGTTATGACTATTCTAACCCCCCTCCGATGCCGATGCCGACATCGCGGGTAGGTATCCCTCGAGCGACCGGCCGGCACAGCGCGCTCCATCTCTTACCCGCTTTCCTCCGTGGACCTTTCGTGCGTGCGTGTGTGTGTATGTGTGTGCGTGGCGATCTTCGTTCCGAGCCGGCACGCTGTTCGCTCGACGACGCCGTAAGGATTCTGCCGCTGGCAGGACTCGCCCCTCCGTGTTCCTGTCGACGTAGAGAGCCGCGTCCGGCACTTACACACCCGGAACGGGCGTGCGTCCCTCTCCAGCGCAGATAGGCGGCCCCCCTCCGGGGTCGACGTTAGTATTCACGTAGTCGCCTGCTTGATACACCCCGTCACTCAAAGCCGCCTGACTTGGCTTGGGGGGGTTGGAGTCGCCTCGTGGCCCTGTTGGCAGCGCCAAATGCGAAATCCTCATCATTAGCAAGCTTCGTTGAGGAATTAATTCTTACCTCGTATATAATTCGTGACCCACGAACAGGAGCTGAGAAGCCAGTGAAGTCACTCTAGGAGTTGCAACTACCCAGTCAGCCAGTACGAGTTAGAAGCAGTTCAGTCGCCTCTTCGAGAGTTCGCGCAGCAAAGCCAGGACGTTCCATGGCGATCAAGGCTTCAAGGCTGCAAGGGAAAGCGTTGGGCGGGGTATGAAGAATAGTATTCAAGCCACTTTATTCTATTCCTATTGACAGAAGGGGAAAAAAATTGCCCCAGCCCGAGACATACACCTACTACCCCTGGGCATCAAGCATCTAGTCCGTCTAGCTCTATAAGTTTCGCCACCATTTTAATCACCTCGTTGCTGCGAACGTCTACCCCCGGGTCGTTGATTTTCATGGCGATGATGTTGTCCACCATGCCCCTGAGCCTCGAGACGAGGACGCCGATCCTCGCCCAGCCTCGCAGCCTAGATCGAGAAGACGTCCTCCGTTAGTTACCGATCGAGGAAGAGCACGCCCCGAAGAGAAGAAGATATACCGTAACCAGCCGTCGACCACGAGGCCGCGGCCGAGAGTGTCGAGCTCGATGGCTCCTGCGAACATGAGCAGCGTGAAAGCATTGAACGCTATATACCGCGGTGAAATGGTTAGCAACCCACAGGACGCCCTCGCGTGCAGACCAGACGGCAAAAGTATACGAGGGGAGAGACCACGTACGAGTAAGGTCCCGGATGAAGATTTTGCTCGTGGAGATGATGTTGAAATAGGACAGGAACGCCGCGTTGCCCGGGAAGCCCTGGCTATCGTGCAGCGTGCTGCTGGGGTGGATGAACACCCGGTCGTTGTCCTGCGTGTAGTACTTGATCGTCCGGGCTTCGGGGTCGAGCTCTACCGCCCCCGACATCGACGACGCGAACTTCTTGTCGGGAAACCGGATGCGTACAATCTGCGGCGCAAAGGCCGACGCCGTGAGAGCGCGCAGGAGGTGTAGAGGTGCTTGGCTGCCGGCGGGGCGGCTCTCGTATATGCCGAGCTCGGCGAGGGCCGCGCAGTATTGGATTCGCGTCGCAGATATGTCTACGAGAGTCTGGTACGAGAGGAAGTTTTCGTCGCAAAACTGTCGCAATTGTCTCTGCGGCGTTCTCTCTTCTGACATCGCATTCCACTGTTGATAGGCTCTCAGATCCGTGAGCAGGTCGCCGTCGCCCTTAGAAAAGCGCATGCGCGCGGTCTTGGCCTCGTCTCTCTTGTCCGGTGGGGATACGAAGGGACTCCTGGTGCTCAGAATGGAGGCGATGGCCACGCTCTCGTCGAGACACCCGAAGATGGCACCGTATATCATGAGCTTCCCGCAGCGAAGGTCGGCGGGGATCATGGCCAGCTGCTGGCCGAGCGCGGTGAGCTCGTCACCGTCCAGCGCACCCACCCGTTGCAACATCTTGACAGCGTTCTCGACCGCCGAAATGGCCGGCGGCGTTGGTGTTCGCCCCAGAAACCCGGCAACGTCCCTAGTTCCCATGGCTCGCACCGACAAGCAAAGCTGTTCGAGGGGAACGCGTCGGATTTCGGGCTCCGGGCGCTCCGCCATGCGCTCCTCGAGGTTCCTTGTGTACAGCTTGTAGCACTTGCCGGCCTGGACTCTGCCCGCGCGACCGCGGCGCTGTTTGCAAGCGGCGCGGGAGGCCCACGTCTCCTCGAGCTTGCGCATGTTGTTCTGGGGATCGAAGCTCGTCTCCTTTACCTTGCCCGTATCGATAACTGCGACGATATCGTCGATGGTAATAGACGTTTCCGCCACGTTGGTGGCCACTACCACTTTCCGTTTTCCGTGAGGGGGGCTGGTGAACACCCGCCGCTGCTCTCGTGTGTCGAGGGAGGCGTGGAGAGGTAGGACGTGCAGTGACGAGACAGACTTGAGCTGGGCGACGGTTCGGTTGATCTCTGCGACACCCGGCAGGAAAATAAGGATGCCTCCCTGCTTATTGCTCTGATGTAAATCCGCGTCAAGCACTTTTGCGGTCTCAACAAGCAACGAATAGTTAATGCGCGAGCCGAGTCCCTGGATGATCTTGTTGATCGGATCTTGGGCCCCCTCGTCGCCGCCACTCTGATTCGCTTGATTTCTCCCATCAAACATTGCCTCGTCCCGATCTCGGCCCCGATCTCTATACCTGTCCTTGTCCCCGGAAAAGCCTGTCATCCGGATGATATCGTCGAGGTAGTAGTCATCTACCGGGAAAGTACGCCCGGAAATCTCGACCAGCCCGACTCTCAGCTGTTCCGAGGTGAAGTAGTCCTGGAAAGTGGCTGCATCGAGCGTGGCACTCATGAGCACGAGTTTAAGATCTCTCCTCTGTTTCAAGACGTCACGTATGATGCTCAGAAGGAAATCCGTGTCCAAGCTTCGTTCGTGAACTTCGTCGATGACTACGTGGCTGACATCAGCCAGCGACGCAATCACGTCTTCGGTCCGTCCGCCCGAGGTTTGCAGGCGTCTCAACAGCACACCGGTAGTAACAAAGGCTATCTTGGTCTCGGGGCTCGTTCTGTGCTCGCCGCGGATCGAGTATCCCACCTCTTTTCCGAGCGGCGAACAACGCTCCTCGCTAACCCGGTCCGCAAGGCCGAGGGCCGAGATTCGTCGCGGTTGTGTGCAGATGATGCTGGCAGCGTCCCCGTATCCCTTGCTGTAGAGATCATCGAGGATAAACTGAACGGACTGTGTGGACTTGCCTGATCCCGTCTCGCCGGCAATTATGGTGACCTGGTTCTCCGAGACGGCACTGACAACTAGTTCTCTTGCTTGCCACGCCGGTAGCTTCTGGCGCTGGGCCAGCATTTTCTTCATAGCAGGGCTTTCTTGCCGTTTCTGCCACTCGGCCCTGCTCCCCGCATTCACCCTCCAATATAGCGACTTCGGATGCCTAGTAGGTTTCTGTTTTACGGGGACGACACGGCGAGTCTCTGCTGCGGTCGATGCTACCCCGGATATGTCTCGAAGCTTACCAGGGTTTTCGATGATAGAGTTGATATTTTGCTGAACCCAATCAACTGCGAAGTAGATTTTCATGGGCTCTTCGCGTAAATGCTCGTCGAGATAAGCAAGTGTCCTCTTTAGAACACTCAGTTTTATGTAGGAAGGTAGGTCCGCGATCACAGACACGATGACTTCGGCCGGATATCGAGGCGACCTACGGAACTGCGCAATCGTATCGATGTCCTTCTTGGAGCCGTCTCGGACCGAATCAATCTGAATCTGGCAGAGGTCGTCGGACGGGCGCTTGAACTTGTCACCAAACACAGACGCGAGACTCTCCATCTCGTCGTTCCAGCACTCCTCTGGGGTGTTGAATATCAGGGGCTCTTCCGGGGTAGGATTCGTCGAGACAGGGTCGTCGCCGCTAGAAAGCAAGAACTGCTGCAACGCCTCCGCAGCGCGTCCCTCGTCCCCGGAATTCTCGTCGTACAGTTTCTTGCACAGCTCGGCGGAGTAGCCGGATTGGGATAGCCGCTTTACGGCCGCCTCGCGCCTCAGGTCCTGCGTCGCGGCAACGGTAACACCCGCACTATAGCTCCCCGGCAGAGCCCACTGGGGCAAGTCGTCCTCGGGTACGTGTATTAGCAGCCACTCCAGAGCCTCTTCGCCATCCTTGCACTCGTCGACTGCCTCCTCCACGTGGCTCTTCCGGAAGCCAGATTGGGTAAGCTTCTTGACGACGGCATCCTTCTGGTCGTTCGGCATCTCAACCCCGTGGGGGTTCCAGATGACGCCGCGCCGAAGGATGTCCTCCAGCTGCGACCGCGTCTTCCTGCCCATTTCGATCTTGGGCGCGGTAGCCCATCCTTTCATGTAATTCGAGGAACCCGAAGAGTTGCCCTGGAGAACCAGACCAGCCGCTCCGGGCATGTTCTTGGCCTTCTCCTTGATGGCCTCCTGTTCCTTCCGCTTCTTCTCGGCAGCGGCCTCGTCCGCCTCTCGCCGCTTCATCGTGGCGAAGGGATCCGCGTCGTACATCCAACCATTTCCCTTCCTCCCATCCTCGGCCTTGAGGCTTTCGAACTCTTTCCACAAGGACCTGTAGTCCGGGGGAAGGGTTGTATGTATGTTCTTCATACTACAGACCCTGAATAGCGCATACGTGGCTGCGGCATGCCTGGCCTCCAGGGGCGTCGGCTTGCTTACTAGGTGCTTGTAGTGGGGAGGAGGTTCGAACGGAGGGAGCTTCTGGATCTCCTGGGTCTTGGGGTTTCGCGCGCTGAGCTGCACAGAGCTCATGAAGTTCTCTGAGCGCTTGTACTAGATATATGAACAACTTAAGTATTAATATGAACCAAAACTGAGGATACACGAGGGCGAGCCGCGCTCGGAGCAGGAGCAAGGCCGCTTACGATTTTGTAGTCGGGCTTGTCCCACTTCTGCCTTTGGCAGTGCTCCGAGAGCAAGTTCACTGGCAGTTTTCCGGTCCAGCTATGGCCACCGACGATCTGCTTCACGGTGGGCTTCGGCGGGCCTGAAGCCTCCGCGGCGCCGTCGCCGTCGCTAGGCTTTTTCCCTCCAGCATTTGGGGGACCCCCTTGTCCGCCTCTCCTACTCGGCTTCGAGTCAGTAGTAGAATTTGTGAAGACTATGAAGTCGTCGTTCTGCGAGTTGTTATTCTGGCTGGCGCTGGTGCCGCCTGTAGACCTAGATGACGAGGTCTTGGACGACGAGGTCACTGACGACGAGGTCATGAGTGACGAGGTCATTGACGATGAGCCACTGGAGGGCGCTGTGGCCTTCCCTTTCCCTTTTTTCGCCATGTTTAGCCATTTGTAGCTCCTGTGTGCCTTGTCCGCCTAGGGAGAGATCTCGAAGGGCTGCTGGCTCTGTAGGGGGGGGATGAAAAGGGCGAATATGTCGAAGCTGACGAGGTTCGCGACTATTTTTAAATGGAAAAAGTCCCTGACTCGGGGACATTGCCGACTGGCTTGCCTGGACTAGGAGGTAGGTACCTAACGGGCAGCACCCAACCTGAGGCGTCCATATCTTGTATCTAGGTACCTACGGCTATTCGAATCCCGCTATCTGCGCATCTTTCAATACAAGGATATCGTTAGATTAGTACATGTAACAGGTATAGCTATATCTGCATACCGCGGTTATTCCCCTATCAAGCTCATTCCCACCTACCCCTACCCCACCGCTTACATCAGTACTATCGTGTACGAGCTACGACAACATCGTTTTTTTTCTTAGTAGCTCCTCAACGTCGCCTCCAAGCCCGTCAGTTTTCGTACGCCCTTTCGAAACGCACACGGGAACGGGAACTGGCTTACTACTACACCAGGTACGCCGACGTGGATCTGGGGCGTCGATGTAGTAATACCACACCTAGTCACGCACCGGAAGGCCCTGGCGAATCCGGCTCTATTTTATCCCCGCGTCCTGTATAAACCAGGGCGACTACTACGTCTTGCCCAGCCAGCGAAATGCGGGCGGCCCAAGCAGCTGCCTCGACCTCCGCTGCCGCTGCTACCGCTACCGCCTCCTCGTAACCGTCCGCCCGCGCGATCCTTCCACGCTACGTCTTCTTCTTCTCGCTCGAAACGGAGCGCCATGGCAGCCAAGGACGACGACGCCCAGGACGCCATCACCGCGGAGGAGATCTCCGGCACCGCTCCCGCTCCTGCGCCCGCGCCCGCCACCAGCGGCACTAGCCAGGGCGCAGAGCGCAACGCATGTAAGTCCCCGCCGCCGCCGCCCGCGCCGCGCACGCGCACACCCCGTACATACCTACGCAGCACGCCAACGCCGTATTACAGTCACCGAGCTCATGGCGCCGAAGCCGGCTCGCGCGCAGACGCAGACGCAGACGCAAACGCAAACACCGCGCGACATCCCGGGGCCGTCGTTCCTGACGCGGCAGGCGCTGGCGGCGACGCGCGGGCCGCTGACGCGCTCGTTCAAGAACCGCGACGGGCTGGGCGCGTACACGCACGACCCGGCCGCGTTCCCGGCGAGCCGGGTGGTGTTCTACGACGACGACTTCGTCGCCATCCGCGACATGTACCCGAAGTCGAGCCTGCACTGCCTGCTGCTGCCGCGCGCGCCGCGCAGCCGGCTGCACCCGTTCGACGCGTTCGGGTGCGCCGCCGACGACGGCAGCCCGACGCCCGACGCCGCCGAGGCCGCGCGCTTCCTCGCCGCCGTGCGCGGCGCCACCGCCCGGCTCGCGCGCCTCGTCGCCGCCGAGCTGCGCCGGCGCCACGGCCGCGGCAGCGCGGCCGAGCGCGCGCGCCAGGCCGTGCTCGACGGCTCCGACGACCCCGACCAGCAGCTCCTCCCCCCCGGCCGCGACTGGGAGGCCGAGCTGCTCGTCGGCGTGCACGCCCACCCCAGCATGAACGACCTGCACGTGCACGTGCTGGCGCCCGACATGGTGTCCGAGTGCATGCGCCACCGCAAGCACTACAACAGCTTCCGCACGCCCTTCCTCATCGGCCTCGACGCCTTCCCCCTCGCCCCCGACGACCCCCGCCGCCACCCCGGCCGCGCCGGCTACCTCGACACCGACCTGCGCTGCTGGCGCTGCGGCCGCAGCTTCGGCAACCGCTTCAAGCAGCTCAAGGACCACCTCGCCGACGAGTTCGAGCTCTGGAAGAGCGAGTGACCCGCCGCCGGACGAGGCAAGGAGAAGGGGAAGGGGGGAGAGGGAAGGAGTGGCGATGACCTGGGAGAAGACTCGATGCAGATTGCCTGTAAATCGCCCTGTACTGGGACCTCGACTGCCTGATATCGCTCAGCGCGGCACCAACGCTCAGAGCAGACAGGCTCGCGCCGCGCGTGAGATCCCGGCAGTCGTCTAGCAATGATCATGTTCAGAGGCGGGAGGTGTATGATTAGGCACGCAACATATCGGCCATATCGCCCTCTACGGAAGGTAGACCCCCCAATGAGCGGGTTCGCGCCCAGTGTGGGAGGCATCCTAGGCTAGCATATCCCATAGAGAAGTTAGCGGCGAGAACTGCAGAACGCGCTACGAACCGTGAAGAAATAAAGATGAAGCGGCGACGTGATCAAATTCGTGTATTCCGTCTACAACCGACGTGAAGGGCCCGTTAACTAAATCAGATAAGAGAGCACGCGTCGTGATTAACCGGGGTCATCACTGCTTCTGTCACTGCTAAAATACGTGTACAAGCCAGACTTCCGATCCGCAACGCCAAGCCATTATCCTCGCCCTCTGGCTCTCTCTACTCTCTCTCTCTGCTATCAATGTTACTCATATGCCACACCCACAGCCAACCGAACGGGCCTAAGTGCGGCGTCAATGCTCATTTTCCCATCGAAAGTCGATACAACTTGACATCGACAGGCCTCATCGCACGCCTGCATGTCAATGCCCCAGAGCGCCGCGAGAGCCTCTCGTAGGCGTGCCGCTGCCCGTCCAAGGGAAAACACTGGATAGGAGGCCTCTGAGATAAGAGGCCGGCGGATCAGGGTTCTAATCGTCCTACAGTGGGCCAAGGTATTAGTAAAGGACCGGATCCGTATCGTAGAAAAGGGGGAGGGGAGCGACGGGGAAGGGATAGGTTCTTTACTTCTTGAAGGGGGCCCAGGCTGCTGTCTTCCGCCGCATCGTCATCTGGGCTACCGACGGCGTTGTCCATGGCGACGTCGTCATCTTCGGCCGCGCCATCTACCCGCACCACGCAGCAATGGTTAGCAAGAACTAGCTTTACGTAACATCGGGAAGGGGGAGGGCGAGGGGGCGCCACAGCTTAAGCTAGATAGTGACCCATTTGCGTTCCGCGCCCAGGAGGTGGCTGAACTCACCACCTTCGAGCTCGTCCTCGAGCTGCTCATTGATATCCTCATCGGCGGGCGCGTCCTCCGCGGGCGCCGGCTCACTCTTGCGCGGTCGGCCACGGCCTCTGCCGGCGCCAGTCTTAGGAGTGGTAGCCTTTTTCGGGGTCGGGCCAGCCGAGGAAGCCTCAGATTTGCGAGGACGTCCACGGCCGCGTCCGGTGCCGGGAGCGCTGGTGGTCGTGGTCGCCGGCTTGGCCTTGGCTTTGGGGGTGGCGGCCGACTTGGTGACTTTGTTGTTGCCGCTCCCCGGGGGGCGGCCACGAGGACGACCAGTAGGGGCAGGCTTCGCTTTGGCGGCTACGCCGTTCTTGGGGGGACGGCCGCGACCGCGCTTGACCGGCGGAGTATCATCAGCTTCAGCAGCGGCGCTGTTCTCCTTGCGCGCAGGTCTAGTGGGCGCCATTGCGATCGCGGGCGAGAGGGTCGCTAGAGATGAGCGTGGACGTGGGCGTTACGCGTGCGTGATGGGGGGGGTTGCCTTAACAGAAGGGAGATGGGGGGATGGCCGGGTGTGGCGAGAGAGGTGGAGAGAAAGGAGAGGAGGGCGGGACGGATTGTTGGTGCGAGAAGGGGGATTAAAAAAAATGAGAAAAATTTGGGGGAAAAACTCTTTGTAACGGTCAGCGGGGGAGATCACACAGTTCGTGATCGGATAGATGCTTAGTTTGTTGATGGGGAGGGAAAAATAACGAAGGGGGGGGGGGGGGGGAATCAAATAAAATCAAATAAAATCAGTCCGGGAAAATGAGAAAAGAAAAGGAAAAAAATCCCCCCAGAAATTCCAAGAGGGTCGAGAACGACTCAGGAGGTACCTTACCTTAGGTACTTTAGCTTAGGTGCCTTACCTTAGGAGGTACCTGCCTCTCAACCCATGGAAGGCAGGGAGGAGGAGACAGGCAGGTACCTACCTATCTACCCAAGGTACCTAACCTACCTACTGTATTGTACTGTGTAGGAGGTACCTGTTGGGTTTGGACGCGTACCGCCAACCTTGAGGGGGCAGCTTTCGCGCGCGTGTTCGATGTTTATCAGCGCCAGACTGCTGGAGAGTACTTAGGTAGGTAGGTAGGTACCTCGTACTCTGGCTCCCAGCTCCTGGCTCCTGGCTCTCACCGTTCTCTGCGTCTCCCTCCTCCGCTCCTGCTGTCTTGGGTGCTCTCAGTAGGTAGGTATATATGGCCCTGCCCGCCCCTTCCCTCCGTCGTACACATCGCGTAGGAGAGACGCGGGGGGGGGGGGGGGAAGGTGCCAGCGCCAGGTGAGGAAGCTAGTCATTCCTGGCGAGCGCTGGGTTCAGGTACCTACCCCAGGCGCCGGGCTGGCAGGGCGGTGGGCGGACACGCAAGTCACCGGTACCTCCCGAGCTCGGGGCGAGAGGACGAGGAGGTACCTGCAGTATGGGGTTAGGAGGTAAAGGTAAGGTACCTAGGGAGATAGGAGGGTACCTCCCACGGCAAGTGAAGTTATGATGACTACGTGCGTGCATCAGGAGGCATCTAATGCCAGGCAGGTTGTGTATGGGTTGTGTATGGGTTATGTGTGGGTTATGTATCCATCCGCTCATGGCCTCTGTTATACTCAGATATCTCCCTTCTTATTCGCGCCTCCATTTGTGCTCCCACCCATCCAACCCCGTCAATACGTGCTACATGCCTCCATACAGCCTGTTTAATCCATTTGCCCTCGAATTCCCGTCGCGGTCGGTCTCGCCGCATCCACCCTCGGGGGCCGCCCTATCGCGTTGGTTGGAGCTTCGATATTTAATTTTATTTAATATTTGCTCCAGCATGCCTTGCCATTTTCTATTTCGCCTCTTGATTTTTAAGAACACGATAAGATGAGCAAATATAGAGAGAAGGGGAGGGGAAGGGGGGAAAAGGGCTAAGAGGAAGAGATGAATGTTAAAAATAAAATATTTTAAAATGAAAAAAAGTAAGATAGGAGAGGAGAACAAAAAGAAGGGGAAGGAGGGAAGAGAGAGAAAAAAACACGAGCCCCGGACCGCCCTTGCGTGAGAACAAAGCGAAGCAGGTCGAATACGCGCGCGCGGGCTCGCCATCTGCTACGGACCTACTTCTTCTCCGTGGTAGAAAGTCGTCAGTCACATGAGGCCTCGATCGAGAACCCTATCAGATCTGCCTACGCACACGGCTAATTCGTACCACGCTGTTCGACCCCAAGCATGCTGAGGAGGGCTAGGTTGCTATTCATAGCCATGCCTCTCGCACCTCGGCACCTGCGCTCGTTTGGCTTGGCCGACCAACCCAGCCGCGACAACGTCGAGAACGGCCAGGGGAATCTCGTGTGCACGTACAGTGAAACAAGAGCCAGTCGGGACGAAGGTCGTGTATCATGGTCGCGCCGAAACAGCTACCTGCATCATTTGGTGTGTAACTCTCTCTCTCTCTCCTTTTCTTTTCTCTCTCTCTACCCGTCGATGATCACCAGTCAGTCGCTCGAGCGCACGGAGCTCATCACCGTCTAGCTAGGGAATGAGTTCTGCAGCAAGTCGACAGGTCACGCGAACCGTACACCACCGTAGCGCCCGGAATAAGGAAATACATATCCACGGTATACATATACATGCAACAGGTAAATGAAGTTAAATTAAATCATCACAGTCGTACACGCACCTCTCGTCCGTACCTATTGTAGTCGAAGCGCTGCTGCGTTGGCGTATTTAAGACCCGGTCGTCGCAACCGTGACAAGAGTCGTGACTTGACGATGAGCCTGGCTCTCTCTCTCTGCTCTATCCCGCCCTCATAATCCGGTCTACGCACAAGCAAACCCAGCAGGATATGAGTATGTCGCAGAGGAAACCGACCCTCTCCGTAGCGCTCGGGGGTGATGAGTTTGCGACTAACGATATCCGGCGAGAATCAGGCCGGGAGCACAACAAAAAAGACTAAACGCTTCCCTACTCACGCTTACACCTCAAGCAGACAAGAAGTTCTTCAACACAAAGCTTTATGACATATGGACTTGGGAGGGGTGGCCGTCACCGGGACCACCCCTACGGACCTTGGTCTAATATTCTCACCTAGCATGATCACCGCCCGGTAGTCGGCAAGAAGGTGTGAGGCCACCCCCGCGTGGAACGAAGGAGGGTTGGGGGAAATGTGGTGAGCGTGAAGCCGTGCTGCTAGCATCTGCCTCGATTCCCGTACGAAGCATGAGTCTATGGGAAGCACTCTGTGCTCGGGGGGTGGAGGAAGCCGTAACTTGAACTGATATAATACCATGTACCTCTCTGCCTAACCTAAGTAGACTCCTTATGAGAGTCCCGGCCCAGGCGAAGGCTGATATACGGTTATAAAATCAAAAGTCTGCGGCGACAACTTAACCCAAAATAAAACAGCTAGCGAGAACCTTCGAGGCACGCTTGTCATCCTCTCCCTATCCCACGTGCAAGAGTTGTACCCGCACCAATACTTCAGATGTCACTTCATACAAGTTGTAGAGTCCCACAGGACAGTTGCGTCATCATAGCTCCCGGCGAGAAGAAATATACTCAAGAGGACATGGCCTGGAGCGCGAGAATGCGCGGAGGCTACCGCAGGGGGCTTGACACGACAACAGGTATACCACTGGGTGCAGCACACACAACGCTGGGACTTCCGCAGTCGAGAAAATTGCTGGGAAATAACACCCCAACAGACCTCGGGCCGGCGTAAATATGTGTAGCTAGGCTGTTCGACGAATTTAGACTCCGCCGGGTGAAAGAACAAGAGATACAGGAGGATGGCATATTGGCGAGCTAGCCTACCTGACCAAGAACTTAAATATGCGTGCTGACCCCGACTTAAACCCCCTTAACCGATACAACAGATACCGAGCCAGCGGCGACCTCCGGGCCGTCGGTAACGAGAGACTACCTGCCTACCTACCTACCTACCCGCCCCGGTATCCAGCCCAAGAACGGCCCGGCGCGCTCATCCGGCGCAGCGCGCCCGGGGAGGACCGGGAACAAGCCGTCGGCGGTACGTCCAGCCTTTATCTCGCACTCGCCCTGCCGCTCGAGGAGTAGGTACACCCACCAAGTCTGGCCCCCGGCCTGCCGACGCGTGAAAAAGGGGGGGGGGGGAGCCAGCTGCCCTCGCGCAGAGACCCGCGAAGACCTAGACCAACCTGCTCGCGCCCCGAGAGCCTTCCGTCCTCCTTGTAGCCCCGACCACCCCTCAGTGTCTCCCAACAGCACCGGCGGCAGCCCCCGTAGCGCAGCGCCAGAACCCACACCCGTCCGCCAGCCCACCCGCCAGCCGGGCCACGGACGGACAGGCGTGCTCGGACGGCGCGCCGTCGGCCGCCCTGGCGCCAGCCGCCTACGTCTCCGCGCGCGCGCGCGCCAGCCACCAGCCAGCAGCAGCGCGGCGCCGCCACTAGTCCGCGCCTCCCCCCCCCCTCCCCCCCCCCGGCCCGTCGCTCCGGGCCAGCGGGGGCGTCCGCCGGCGCATGCAGGCAGGCAGGCAGGCAGGCGGCGTCGGCGCATGTGCCCACCCAGCCCCGCACAGACCGCGAGATCTAGACCCCCTCGCCTCGCGACGCGCCTCCCCTCCCCTCCCCCTCCTCTCTCCCCAAGCCGCAGGGCGCGGGGAGCGACGCCGCGCTCGAGAGGCGTCGACGACGGGCTCTCGCGCTGCGCCTGCGAGGCTCGCGCCCCCCCCCCCCCCCCCCCGCTCCCCGGTGCGCGCAGCGGTCCTGGGACGCCTTCGATCCTGTTGCTGCTGAGGCAGGGCCCGTGTGTCTGCCGGGGGGAGGGGAGGGGGGGACGCGCCGCCCAGGGGGGCAGCAGCAGCAGCCAGGGGCGGGCGTTTTTTTCCCGCCTGTTTGTCCGCGCCATCCCGACCCGATCTGGCCCTGGTCCGCGCCTTGTGAGTCATGGAGGGCGCGTTGCGGGAGGGAGCAAAGGCCCGTTGGTTCTAAGCTGATTACGAGGGGGGGAGGACTTTCTGTAGGGCGCGCAGTGCGCCGATCTGCTTGCTGCTAGACACACACACACACACACGCACACACGCGTGTACGGCTAGGCATATGATCACAACGTACATATATACCTACACCCAGCGCATGCACGCCCGACAGGGTGGGTAGGGTTCGGCCCCCCCCTGTCCGGAAGCCGTCCCGTCGCCTGAAAGCAACCGCCGTCGTTTTTAGGCCTAATGTAGGTGGGTAGGTGATATGTAGGTACATACACCGTGTCTAGGAACGGAGAGGAGCTTCGCTTCTGGCCCATCCATCCAGCGCTGCCGTTTGAGCTGGTCCGGTAATAATAACAGCAATAATGCTGTCAATTTCGCCACTAGCAAAAAAAGAAACAAACCTCGTATCGTGAATGAGAAGAAGCTCCTCTAGTGGGGCGCAGCAAAGAGCGGCAAGCCTGGAGGGAGGGGGAGGGGGGAGGTGGGTGGTGGACGAGGAAATGAGGAAATGAAACAGAAAATAAATAACAAGACGTTAGCCCCAAGGGGGACGGACGGGGGGGACCTCGGTACGCAATACGGAATCCCCAGAATTACCTCTCGCCTCTATATCGGTTTAAATTGTCCAAATACCCAAAGACAGCATCGCCCCTCTCTCCTCTGTTCCAGATCGTGCGCGCGCCGGCTCCGTATGGTATTGGAGAGCCCACGGAACCAGCTTGCTGGATCGGCCTGAGGTAGAGTGTTTCCTAGCACACGCACACGCACACACAAAATCGCTGCTGTCACCAAACGGCCAAGAAGCATGGGCATAGTGATGAGCAACGCAATCCGAATATTCATAAACGCCGCGGAATGCCTGCGCGAACAGGCAATCCTCAGCAAATAGGTGACTAGACTACGGAGCCGCAGGGCTACGGCCATGCGCCCGCGGCAATACATGTAAGTCACTATGTGAAGCCCTTTTTGTCTAAAGCTCTATTGAGCAAGCCCGCGCCTTTCCCCCCCTTTCCTCTATGCTTCAGGCCGAGATCCCTTCCTGCCTTTTCCCACCTCCAATTATATACTTAAACAGGGTCAAGGACCGACATCTGTCACAACTCCCCCCCCCCCCCCGCCGGCCTCCTTTTGGGGCTCCCTGCATCACAGAGACAAAGTTTTGCTCGTCCCTGAGAGCCGTGGCCCGCGTGAAATCATGTGTCCTGCCTACCATGTTGCCCTCCTCCGGGCAACCACTACAACGCCTGTGTTCATGCCGAAACCTGCCCGCAATACTGGCCCCCCTACCTAGGTTGCGATAATTACCACAAACGCCGCGTGAAGAAAGCAAAAGTGTACCGCATATCAAACCATCGGATCATGAATCTCGTAGGCCTCATGCGGCGTCATCGACAAGGCATATCCATGCCAGAATATTAGGGGCTCCGGGAATTAGCCCTCGCCGGAGTATGACGAGGGGTAGGCCTCCGTACGAGAGACAGGTCGGCGTTACCTCTCCGACACGACAATGGCATGGCCTCCGAATGCACGTAGAAACACGAGATTGAGAAGAGAACCCTACAAACATGTTAGACTAGCAATCTTCGTCAGACGTGGGACTAGATATAATGTTACCTCGCGATCGCGCAGATGAGCGCGTCAACCTAAGAGGGGAATCGGCATCCTTAGGGGATGGTGCACCGCAGAGCCTGATAGCGACACCTCGTCGTCCCAGTCGCCGGCGGAATGGTACGCGATGGTCTTCTGAAACGGGAGGCGGAAGCCGCCGAGTAACTTCTGCTCAACATAGGTAGATGCGCGTCGGAACTGGTTAACCTTGTACTTCTCGAAGACGGCGTGGTGATGTTTTCGAGGATCCCGACAGCATTCCAGTATCATAGCGACGAAAGGCTTTAGTTGGGTGTAAGTGTATCCAGAGTAGTGGACGTGTTCGGGGGTCTGCATATTATAATTAGATCAGCCAAGGCTGGGAGAAGATATGGGGGGGGGGGGGGGGGTTGGTAGTAGTGTAACTTACCCAGTCTCCTTTGCCGAGCACCATGCGGGACAGGCAATGGGAGCCGGCGGCGACGTAGCTGGGAGGACTCGCGACGAAGCGCTCATCCATAAGGGCAACTTCGAGGAAGTACTTGGCCACGGTTCGGATCTCGTTGTCGTACTTGTCGGCCTTGCTGATCCGTCGCAAGAAGCTCATCGGGCCCGGCCAACCCAGCGCGAAGTCAAGCATGCTAAGCATGAAACGCTCTGCCTTTAGGATCTCGTCGAAGGTGTACGCTCCGTCAACCATATAGACGACCTCTTGGACCGAGGGACAATTAATCTCCTCGTACTTCGCCGCAAGGAAGAGCGCGGTGGCACCGACAAGCTGCAACTTTCCTAGGGATACTATCTTCACGGAAAGAAACCGGTCGATGAAGTTGACGGCCGAGAACAGGGTCTCGGGCAGAAGTCCGAAACGAGTATGGACCTGGATTACCCAGTCCATGAGGACGGCTCGCATGGACCACTGAAGCTCGGTTTGCGTGTCCATGTAGCGAGGGTCGGGCAATAAAGTCATCTAGATCGACAGTCGTTAGCACAAAGCGACCAGCCCGCCCCAATCGTCCCCGACCTCGCTTACCTCGATTTCTCTCATGTACTGGAAGATCTCGTCTCCATACTCAGTCACCATGCTGATATCGAACAACTCATCCTCTTCGTCCTCCTCGGCAATACGCTTGCTCTCGACGATCTCTCGGGCAGCTTCGAGCTCTGCCTCGCCCTTCTTGGTCAGCTCTGGGGGCAGCATGACCGTGGTCGCACCGCCTGTAGTATAATCACCGCGCGATCGGTAAGAATGAGCCGTGGTATAACCCTGTTCGTCGTAATAGTCCTCGTCCTCGCAGTCCGACAGATCGGCATATTTGAGGAGGTCGGGAGGTATAGGGTGCCCGGATCTTTTGAAGATCGAAGCGGACAGGCGCTTCATAGCGTCATAATCCGCGGGGTCGACTGGTGGACGCTGGTGAGTGGATGTAACGTCCGGCGAAGGCATAGGAGAGACATCTAGCTTCTCTAATTCCACAACAGGGTACTTCTCGGCGGACAGCTCCTCGACAGCATCTAGGTAAAGCGCTTCGGGGATCTCCTCGCCAGCCGCCGAAGCCATATTTGTCTGGACAGTCTCCGTGAGGGCCTGCTCCGTGTTGACCGTCACCCAATCCTGCTCAAGCTCTGTGCTCTGCGGCTGAGAGTTATTATCCTTGGTAGTCGTGGAAACGAGGACGGCCTTGTCAGAGGACGACTGAGCGATCAGCTTAGCCCCCTTTGGGTTGCCGCCTTGGTTCTCCTTGTTAGTTTGGCCGTCATTGAAGACGACGAGAGGCGTCCGTCGCTTGGAAGCGCCTAGCTGTCGAGGCGGAGGTAGCGACTGGTTTGTGGTTTTGAGGTGGTTCGCCGTGACGGACGGGGCGACAGACTTGTTGGGGGGACGTTGCGCAGGGCGGAGGAACGCCTCCTTGGGGTTGGCGAAGCCTCGATTCTCCTGTTCCCGAGCAATAGTCTCGGTAGAGAGGCTACTGTTCCTCACTCCGACGCCAGTATCACTGGTACCAGCGCGTCTGACCGGAACCTTGGAGAGGCTGCTCGTAGTCGCCATGTTGAGCAGGTTACCGGCTGACTTGTGGCGCTGATGAAGAGTCTTGTTGGGTTGAGAAGCCATGTTCTCGTTGCCTGGCTTGGACTTTGCGCAGACAGGACGGGAAGGCTACAGTACAACCAGATTAGCTTTAAGCTTGGAGAGGTGAGGTCTCGGAGGAGGGAAACTAGAATGCAGAGCCTGAGGTGGAGACGGAGAAGCTTGGGTCAATGGCGGAGTGTAGCGGCAAACAAAGCAGTCCCTCGGCTGGATGGCGAGGGAATGAATGGCAAGGTACAGGTCGAGAAAGGAAAAGACTGAAAAAAAAAAGAGTCAGGGTTCATCAATAGGAGCTTACCCTAGCGTTCATGGCCTTGGGAAAAATATGTGGTGTCGATGCTCGATGTACCCTTACAATCAAGGCGCGATTGAGAGAGAAAAGGGGTAGCAGAAGAGCTTTGGTTCAGAGCCGCAGCTGGTAGATCTGTGGAATGGAGGGTAGGTAAATAGGCGATCAGGGTGAACCAGGCGATGGATGGGTGGGTGACGGGGTCTCCAGGGCGAGATGTACGAAGAGCAAGTGCGGACAACGACACCTAAAAGGGCTTGTCTTCCTGAAGAGGTGAAGTGACTGGAGTAAGACGAGACATGAGCAGATAGAATGGACAAGAGGATATGTTTTTGTCTCGCGGTGGAATTTGGGTGAGTGCGCAGGGAAGTAGACGGGTGAGGTAGATGGGGAGCTAGGTAGATAGGTGTGTAGGGAGGTAGGTAGGCAGGTAGGTAGGTAAGAGGTAGGGTAAGTTATGCAGAGGGCGGCAGGTTGCCAGGTGAAGCAGCAGGGCAAGGTGTGAAGGGGGAATGGATGAATGTTGTTGTTGACGGGTAACTTGGGCGACAGCTACCACGGGCGGCACCGGCTGTACCGTTGCACACACTGTACGCAGCGACACAGCACCGTCCCTTAGGTAAGTGAAGGTACCTCGTACTGTCAGGCGCTATAGCAAGCGACGGCCAAGTAACCGCCTGAGGCGTCTCATTAGGTAAGGAGAGGAAAGGAAGGCCGAATTGACCTCAGAAGGCAGGCAATTAAACCTGCCAAGCTTCTCTGTAATTGCGAATACGTACCTGTTTCGGTGATCTGCCTCGCGAGATCTCAAAATCAATCGAGACCCTTTTTGCCCTTTTTTTTTTCTTTTCTTTTTTCCTTCGCGAGGTAGACGGCAAGGAAGACCAGGCTGGCTTCGTAGAGGTAAGGCAACGAAGAGGACGGGAACAGCCTAATGCTGGGGAGATACCGGGGTCGAGGGAAAAAAGCGTCGGTGGAGTCTGGAACTGGCTGCGTTCGTTGGTGCCAGCAACCCAAAAAGATGGAGAGAGGTCTGCAGGTTGACGATGGGGAGACAGACGATGGAAGGCTTGGTGGGGCCCTGCGCACAACGGACAGGGAGGGAATGGAATCTCAAGATTGCCTACCGACGGGAGAAGGGGGGAGGCCTTAGTGTCGACGGTTGCTGATGAATATTGGGGAAGGAGGTAGAGGCATATAGTTACTACCACCTGGTAAATGGTGGTGATGGGAGGATGGGCTGTCTCCTCGCCTTAACCGCACGCGAGAGAGGCAGAGGACGGGGAGTGCACCGAATAGTCGTGGGCGGAAAGAAGTTGCGGTATCGATGCCAGCCCAGGATGCCACGATCTTGACCGCCGTAGCTCCCAGGAAGAATGGCCCGGGGGTCTTTACTAAGACAATGGATGACTCGGCAGGAGAAGGCCGCGGGGGGTTAAAAAAGATAATAAGACAAGATGCCTCTGGTCCTCTGCGGTTGATATGGGAAATATCAATGCGGGCAACAGGTGAAGCCTGGGGGGGGGAGTCGAAATCCTCGAGGTTGGTGGCAGTGAGAAGACGAGGAATCCAGAGGACCCATCGCTGGCCTGTGAGGATGGAGCGAGGTTGATATGGCGATGCTGACTGACTGCCTATTTGTTGATGTTGACCTCTGCTGTGGTGGGTTCTACCCGCAGTAGGAGCTTTGAGCTTAGCACGGGCTGCCCCCAATTTCTACGGAGGCAGTTAACCTGCCTCAACGATAGTGGATCAGCGGCTGGGACATAGATACAATACATCACGCATCGAGGTGACAATCCATGGATCGGCCAGTACGTGGGAGTACATATTGGCCGGCGGGGATATTGGCGCACTGCAGGGTACCGATAGGTACCCTGGGTGGTCGTTGTGGAGAAGGGAATCAAAACAAACAAATCGCGATGCCATTTAAAGAGTGTGCATAATGCCCCCAGTCACCAATTCCAGTCCGTTGCCCCGGTTGTGGGATCAATGGGGACCCGCATTGGCCCCGGGGCCCGGGTAATAGATGATCCCGCTTGGCATTGTATGTCGCGAATGCGGCTAGCCCGGTACGCCGATACCTCCCAGGTCACAGTGGGCTGGACGGACCTCGGAAACTGTCTCGAGAAATTTCATGGCCCATGCTCTACTAAGAACAATGACGTCGTAGTGAACACTCGTCGCGTCTTCTCTGCTAGGCATTCCGTTCTACCTTTTTCCAGAACACCATCCACCGTTCGTCCGATAGAACCCATTTTTGAATTTCCGTACAATGTTCGACCTACATCAACTACATCCGCCATCTTGTCCGCCTGGCGATGCTCTCCCCACAATATAACGGCCTCGCATCGGGCGACTAAAATTTCTTGGCTCTGCGCGCCGAATCTGGGGACGGAATCGCGAACGACACTCGAAATCACGTGATGCAATCTAGCTTGTCATTGTTCCCCTCCTGCTAATCACGGCGATTCGTCATCTTCGCGGCGCCCCTCCGCAAGGGCAAACATGCGTCTTGCTATCGCCGGGGAAGCCTTTTGGCAGTTACGCGACGACGTCTCTCCCAGTTAACTACAGTTTCCCGTGATTCGTGGGGCCCTCTCTGGGGCTCCTCCTCTCGGCGCGCGCGCGCATATGGGGCGGCCTGTGGGTAGGGAAGCGGAAGAGCGTGCAGGTTGCGACGAGCTACGACCAGCGGATGCGCGCAAGGTCGCGGAGGTCGAGAAAGACGACTTGTGTGCGCGAAAATCGGAATCGCCTATTTTGCGCGACCGAAATCCCCCATGACTTTGCCTATTCAGTTCCGCAAGCGAGGCCTGGGACCGGGTGTCGGGATACGACACCTCAGGTCCTGTCTGGTTGGGCAGAACCCCTCCTTCGCCAGCTCCCTGCGGCGCGGCCGGCGAGCGATTCCCGCAGTGGGCGAGCCGAGCATGGGAACCTATGCGCGGTGTCAGACCGGAGTGGTATACCTCCCCCCTCCTCCTCCCCGTCCAATCTTCCCTCCCCCCACGATGGCATCGAGAAGTGTCGTCGAAGCGAGCTTCCATCTAGTGCGCCCTAATCCGCAGCGCTCCTTGGGCATTTCGAAGGGGGCCGTCGGACGCAAAGCTAATAGGTGAGCTTCGGTCCTCGACGACGTCTTGCGTCGCCTGGATGATGTGACATGCATGCGCATCATGCCGTTTCTTCAGACTGTTGCAGCGGCACGAGATGGCAGCCGCAGCGTGGTCGCGCGTTTTCCATTGGGCGAAAATGGCTAGACCCGAGCCGTAGGCGGGAAATGTCGAGCGACGAGTAACGATGCTAAGGAAATGCGGTTCGACGAGAACACACGATAGCAAGTCAGAGCGAGTGGTCGCCGAGTAGTCCGTAATAGTATGGGTATAATAGGTATAACGCAGCATGGTGCCCTGCTATCCGCCAATGGCGCTCCGTTTCGCCTTATTGGGCTGGCAATCTATCTAGGGAGGCAGAGCGACGAGAGAGCCCAAATCGTCGTGGCGATATGCGGAGGTTGGGAAAGATTACTCGCTTCCCTGCTTGGCTAATACAGAGGGCGTCGCAGTCGACCGCGAACATGACGAACTTCGTCCGACGCCCATCTCGTCTGGAGGCATTTTCTTTCTCCTCTCTCCGCCCCCCGCCTGTCCGCCTGTCTTTTCCATGTCCTTGGATTCCCTGCGCCCCCCTTCCCTTCCGGGGAGGAAGAATTACTGCATGATCCGAGGAGGAAAAGGGCCGCAGATAAAAAAAAAATTTACAGGAGAATAAGTGCGGTGTAGATCTGCGCCACGCGGGGGTCTGGATGGGACTGAGAGAAAAGTAGGCCGTGACGGTACCCTCGGGGAGGTGAGCAGCCCACTCAACCTCCATGGTTCGATCATGTAACTAAGCGGTCAAGAGTCGAGACAAATAAACAAGACCACCCTCTTACCCCGTACTGTATGCACCTACGGTAGCATGAGGCATGTAGGGTACATCTTAGGCACGTATGACAAGGAGGTTAGGTACTTGGCTCTGGTTGCACTGGGGTGGCCGACATCACGAAGAATTGAAGGTACATACACGTACATGCACCCGAGCAGAAGGTGAAAAGAAGAGAGGCAGAGAGGCAGAGAGGCAGAGAGGCAGAGAGGCAGAGAGACAAGAGAGAGAGAGATAGGCTAGTAGGTAGACTTAATGGAAGACACGTTTGCGCCTCCTCCTATTCTTATTCTTGTTCATGTTATTCTTCTTCTTATTCTCTCCCTTCTACTTATAGTTCTCCTCTCGGCTTGCGACGCCCGTGCTTCTCCCCCCTCCTCGCTCCCGCCAACCCCAGGTAACCTACTCTCGCGTATTATTATCCTCATTATTACCTACTATTATTGGCATTAAGAGTCGGAGACCGGGGAGAAAAGCCGACAACGTCCTTCCTACTGTTGCGCGCGAAGGACATGTTTCTGAGACTACGAGACGGCCGCGACCCGACCTAGTTCCCTCCTTTGTTTGTTTTGAAGTGACTCGAATAGGCGAACGAGCAGCCGAAAAGAGTCGTGGGCGTGTTTACGACGCCGGGTAGGAATCGCAGCCACTGAGGTCTAGCGCGTGGAGAAACAGGTTGTTGGTCGATCCGCAGATGCGCCCAAAGGGTGGACCGCCCTTGGCTGCGCGCGGCGAACTGGGCCAGTCTACCAGCTCTGGCGACGGGATTGGGGGTCGTCGTGGGCTGTCAGAAGTCGTCGCCGTTGCCGGGGTCTGATTCGATCCAGGTGGATGAAACTCATCGCCAGCGCATAACTACTGTCGACTCCAGCTCCAATGCCTTCGATGCTTTCTCTCCACGCGAATACATCACCTCTCTCTGTCTCTCTCTCTTTTTATTCCTTCTAGTTCTGGGCGTCCCCCCCCCCCCCCCCCTCCTCTTCTCTCCTCTCCTCTCCCCCTTCGCGCTGCCTATCGCAAACTACCCTTCCCTCGACAGTGGGGATTCTTGCTGGTCTTGTCCAACCCTACCATAAGTAGTGTGTCACTCGCTTCGGCGCAAGTACCTACAGCGGAATCGATACATTTCTGCGCGCTCTCTTCTCTCTCTCTCTCTCTCGCTCGCCGCACGTTCTGGTCGCTGCGCAATTTCGAGCATTCCTGATATTTCCGTCATCGAAACGCCGTGGCCGCGCCGGAGAATGGGTTAAACATAGAAAATACTGGCATGGGCCCGGATCCCATTTCCCTTTTTCATCGCAGGCTTACGAATGGGCATTCGAGTGATGATGGATGACGGCAGCCCTTCCCTGCCCCTCCTCCTCCCTTGTGAAGGCCCGCCGTGGTAAGTACCTGCGTACGGTAGGAGGTACCTAAGGTAAGGTAGGTATACATACGTATGCTTCGGTATGCATGGCGTGTGTTGATAACAGGTAATGTGATGTGATATGTGTGTGTGTGTGTGTGTGCGTGCGTGCGTGTGTGTGGTGTGTGTGCGTGTGTGTGCGCGTGTGTGTATTTTATCTACGCCGTTGTATGTAGTATATTGTCCACGAACCCTTCATTCTCTTGAGTAGGTATGTCTCTTCTCCCATCCCTCATCCCCTAGGCGCAGCCGTGAGGATTTGCGACGCTTTCTCCGTGCGACGACGCTTCCGTGCCGAGCCCACCCACACCTAGCTGTCTCGAGACCCTCATGTATCTTTTCTGGATGCGCTGGGGACTTCTCCGAGTGGTCACCGTGCCTATCTGCTGCGTACGTACCCTACCGTCTCTTTGGCTGGGCATTCGCGAGGACCAGATCCTTGCCTCAAACAAACTGGCGCATCCAGCAGGGCCCACGCCTTAGCTAGCTAGGACGTCAGTAGACCTGCCCGCTTCGCCCATCTCAACTCGCATCGGAAGATGTTCGTTTGCGACCACGCATCGCACGGGGCTGGGTAGACCAGCCGGCGCCTGACAGTTCCCATCTGCTGCTTCGCAGACAGCCCTCCCGTCCAGCTGCGCTCCGACGCCACATCTCTCGGGCGTCCAGGCAGGATGCGATGCGAAATGCGCCAAAAGGTAGGCAAAGGGGCAAGGGAGCCTACCGGGACAGAAGTTGCGCGCGAAAATAGCGACTGGGTCTTCTGTATCGGACGAGAGAACCTGGTCTCGAACGTGACACCCACGTATCCGCTAGCGAACGATAGTGGCGGCGCATAATCTGGAGACCTCCGCAGTAGTATCCGGCGTCAATCCCAGTCGGCGCAAAAGTGCAATCTCCAGATGGGGAGGCTCGCAAAGAGATATAGGTTTGCATACGCAGCCCATCTGACCGGTAAACCTCCCTGGAACGAGGGGAATCGCGCGTGTGCGCCAGAGCAGGAGTTAAATGAGAGAGAGAGAGAGTGTGTGTGTGTGTGTGCTGCGTGCGCGCGCGGGTGTTTGGATCGCGAAAGACCGGGTGACTAGGTAGCTGGTTATACCCAGTTATATTACGCTCTCTCCTGAGATTCCGCAAGGCATGTACTCGACCAAGCCAGATAGACAGATGCGCCCAATTCAACCATCCATCCAGACCTGGGGGAGCGCGCGATAGGATTGCGCCCCACGGCAGGACGGAGAGGAAAGGGTTTCTCCAAGCCCGCATCGCATGCACAAATTCAGACCACGGCGACAAATGTTTGCGCTCGCCTCTTTATCCGATCCTCAGACCATCGATCCGATGCGTGCTATACCTGTGTATACAATATATACGTCAGGCCCTCTCTCGGGACTCGACTCAGTCTGGAGAGTGCCACGACGGAGGTCGGCCCCGTTCAAAGCTACCATGGCATACCTCACCACCCATACGCGCATCTATACGCACTCATGCATGCATTACACTGGACAATACCCATGCCTGATACGGTACGGCGCAGCGCGCCGTCGGATTCTCCAGGCAAGCTGTCGCGCAAGATATGCCGGTGCGCGTGTACGTATGATATCCTCTAGTATGTGTATGGGCAGTCGCAAAGAGCTTCCCGTACGTGACGCTCTACATCATCCTCGCCGTCGTGGAAACGGAGCGAGTCTTGGCCTCGATATGACATATATCCTATCTAGGTTAGGGGCTTGCATGTAGGCCGGCAAGCCCACCCCCGGTCACTTATGTTGCCCAAGATGTGCGCAAGCTGTCTGGGTATATATCTCTGGGTATAATCTGGGTATGGCTGCACATCCCACATACTGTTTGCGACGAGAAGGAAGCCAACCCGCCCACCCAAGCTCGACAGTCTTACCGGGTGGAGGATGCTATCCAGGCTGGCGAATAGCCGCGATCATTCCTATTGATGAGTATCAATTTGTATATATACCTACGTCTTCAGGAGATGAATAACACACCTCACGAGCACAATACGCTACCTACCTCTATGTACCTATGGAAGGTATCGAAGATGGCAGATCCTCACGGGATAAACCCGCACCACCCCCCCCCCTCCTCCCCCCGGTTCTGCCATGCCGGCTTCGTCCTTAACCTAACTCACTCTAACACCTACATGTAAATCCCGGGTCTCCCAGTTTACCTGTACGCTGCTGCTGCTACCCCTTGTCGTCTCTGAGTCGCAGCTCGTTGTCGATCCTGTGTATTGCAACTATACATTATGTTGTATACCTCTTACGAGGCGGTATGTGTATTATGTGTGCTATGGGCGATGGCTAGACATGGCCAGACTTCTAGAGGAATGCGGGCAAAGATACGACGCTTACCTGACCGCGCTGCCTTGCCGACTGTGCTTTGTGCCCTTCTGCCTGGCAGGTTTCTGCTCATCTACATGCTGCTATCTACTAACCAACCTGGGTAGGTAGGTAGGCGCTTGCCTCCCTGCTACCGGTATATCGCCAGCGCTACCCATACCCTACGCGAATGGACGAGACGCCCACCCCGTCATGGCACACGGAGATATGTAGGTTGGGAGAGATTTCGTGCACGTCTTGGGAAATGCCTGCATGTCTACATGGCATCTCCCTCGAGTATCCACCGAGTCCTCTTCCATTGCCACTCGCGCTACCGAGCAACCTAGGCGCGGAGAGGGCAACGAAGGAATACAAGCCGGATCCAGATCTGCCTCCATAGGCAAGGATGACGAATTGCATATTTCTCGCGCTCTCTCTTCCCCCTCGCTACGTGCCGCTCACCCTCAGCCCGCCCTCTTGCGCGTGGGAAGGGAAGGGGAGCGGAGGGGAGGCCGGCGGCCAAGCCGGCCATCGCCTCCATCTCTTAAGGACGCAGGTAGCGACGGATCTTAGCCTACCTGGCGGTGGTTGCATAGCGTCAGGTAGACAAGTAAGGTAGGCGATGTAGGTGTACGGGCATGGGTGCTAACGGGATTGGGTCCGGATCGCGCCAATGGCGTGGCCCTGCAACGTGCTGTTGTTTTTCCCTAGTGGCACGCTCTGTCGGTTCTGTGCATCGCTAGAACGGCCTGGGTGCATGTACCTGTACCGGGCGGGCCTTGGGTACCTAACCTCACCTAGCGACTTAGCGGGAGTCGGTATGTATGTTTAGTGACATGGCATGGCGTGCTGGCCCAGCGCTGGTCCACTGGCGCAGGCCCTAATTGGGTACTAGTACTTGTACATACATGCATTCTCTGCGAATTCTATGGAGCCCAGGGGGGGGCCCAGGGGGCCCTGGGGGAGCCTAGCCACTTAGCTAGCACCGACCTCGCCATCTACCGCACATCGACGGGCACATATCAAGGGTATGGTACCTATGTATGGACGTGTGGATGTGCATATGTATATGTAATGTACGTGTATGTGTGCACGGCAAGCCTATGAGGCCTGGCTGGTGCCGCCTCCGGACAGCACAACCCACCTGCGCTGCTGACGGACGGTCTGGCTGGCTGGCTGGCGGGCGGGCGGGCTTAGGTACCTACAGCGCTTTGGTACCCGAGTCGAGTATGTACCTGCTTGCCCGTCCCGTGTGTATGCCTCCCATCATAGGTCCTTCGACCTCCCTGATGTACCTATCTTCTCACTGGCTTCACCACTGTAGATTTAGTGGTTTGGCGATCCTCGCAACTATTAGAAAGGTCGTGTGTGGGAAAGGCTTTTCCAGAGAATTACTACTACCAAAACCTCACCCTCTCTCTTCCACCTCCTCCTTTCACCCACATCCACACTCACTCAACTCCCGACTTCTCAACCGCCCACATCCCCATCCCAAGCCACTTCCATCTCTTCTGGTGAGTTCTCGACTTCTTCTCTCCTCCTCGTGGTAGTCCATATTGCCGCTACTCCTGCTACCATCGCTCGCTCCTTTCGCATCTCGCCTTGCCTAACACCTTGACGCCCTAGGTTGATCGGGGGCATCCGTACCCCAAGGCCGAGTTTGTGCATCTTTACGCCTGCAACGCTATCCATTCCTCTTCTCGGTAAGTTTTTCTAGCATTGATACCTTGCGCGATCAAGTATTCGCTTCATTTATCGCCCTACCTCTCTGTCCTGCTTCTCCTGGTCGCCTCCCGCGTGCGAGGTCCCCGGCGCCTCCTAACCGCCAACTTTCTCGCAACCCCCCCCCCCCCCCTCAAAAGTCGTTAGCCACGGCCGGATCACCCGACCTCTAACCTCGCCCATCGCTGCCATTTCCTCATCGCATCGTTGATCTCTGAAGCCAGCTAACACGCTCTAGGGTTTTCTAGTCGCTACGGGCCCGTTTGTCCATTCCCACTGCCCTCCCCCCTACTCCCTCGCGATCGGACCCTGACCGCTCCCTTCAATCCACCTCGCCCATCATTGTGACAAAAGAACATACCGAATACTTGGGAATCGCTTGGGTACTGAGCGAAGGAGGTGCAAATTTCCGCGGGAGGCGTCGATTGACAATAAGCGTCTTCTCCCCTCCTGGCAGAATCTGCTCGCGCTGCTTGGTACGGCCGCTCGGCGCCCGTCTAGTAGTGAGCGCTTTTCCTCCTTTTGAGCATCAGCCGTTCTCGGCCGACGAATTCACTCTCTATACGGAAGCGATCTGTGGCGTAGGCGGGATGGCATCCGCCTCACCGATTGAGACCTTCCCATCCGCTTCTGTCGGCCCTACCAGCGGAAGCGCCTCTCCTCGGCTGCCCGTCACCCCGAAGCATGTCCAATTTGAACTCCTCTTCCCCGAGTCCCCCCAGTACCGTGCGCGGCTCCCGCTGCGCGTCCAGATATACCCTCATGATGACACCGAATCCATTATTTCAACCGTCAAGAACTTCTACGGTCTCTATCACGGGGGCAAGGGCGTCAGCTTCGAAGATGACCGACGCAATACCCTAATTGCGCGATATGAGAACTTCAGCAACAATATGGTCGTCTACGTCAGAGTCATTGAGGAATCTCCTCCGCCGCCGGGGGCATTTGGTCAGAATGCTTTTCAGCCTGCGCCGATCGAGTATGGAGGCCAACCGCTAGGGCACCACATCTCTAGGCCTGGCTCTCGGATGTCTCGAAGGCGCAGCCCGTCCCCAAACGGGACCCGCGGGCGGCGCAGCGCGTCTGCGAGCACAAACCCGGCCGCCGGAAAGAAGGGTCGTTCCCGATCGACGAAGAACCGAGCCAACTATGACAACCACAGCGACAGCATGAATGGGTATAGTAGTGGTGACGCCGCACCTGCATCCGTCTCTAGCAAAGCCAAGGAGCAGATCGGCAATACCAACATCAGCGTTGAGAATATTGTGGAGGGCGGTCGCCGAAAGCGCGCCAAGTTTGAAAGCTCGGTGAGTACTCGCTATAGTCTGATATCCTCGGCGAGCCTGGTCTAACACGATGCTGCCACCGCAGGAATTGCCTCTCTTTGCGCCACCTCAGATGCCCGCCGCCACATCCAACCCTTCCGTCTCTCCTGTCCGTCGCGTCGAGCATCAGCGGCCGGCTTTCCCGTTTCCGCCTCCTGGACAGAACGCATTCTCGAATACCCGGGCCCTTCAATCCCCCCAGAGCTACAGCAATGGGTATGGCCAAGCAGGCATGTTCGCGACGCCGATCAATAACTCGCGGCGCCACCGCAACAGCATCGGCTACCCGGGTAACAGCGGTGGCGTCCTGCCGACTCCTGACCCAACCATTGGGAGCTGCGTGTCTGAGGAAGATAAAGACGTGGCTATCCAGCTCATGCGACTGGGCGAGATGACCAACATGTCGCACGGTAGGACTTCGGCCTCCACGGCAGATGACACCTTCAGCGGCAAAGCCGATATCGCTTCGTCTACCGGCGCAACCAGCGACGCCGACTGCGATAGTGAGGATGACCCGCTACCCGCCCGTCACCCGAAGCTCGACCTCCCTAGCGTCAATCGCAAAATTTATCACACCACCCACAGCCATTTCGTCCCCCCGCGTGACGGTGCCGATGCCAGCAGCGACGACGCTGACTACGAGGACGGCATCGAGGATGGCGCCGCCGGAGCGAAGCCGCACGACGCCAAGCCCAAGGCTCAGCAAGCTGCTAAGTCGCAAGCAGCGGGCGCTAAGGCCGCTAAACCCAAGACTGCGAAGGCTCCCAAAGCAACCGGCGCCACAAAGGCGAAGAAGTCGGTTACCGCGGCCGCAGCCGCGGCAGCAGCAGCAGCGCTGGGCCCGATGTCGCCTGCGTCGCTTCCTAACCAATCGCGCAAGCCTTCCATCGCTTCCGCCGCGACTGTCCCGGGCCAGCCCGGCGAAGACGACCAGCCGGATCTGTCCACCAAGCCGCGCTGCCAGCGGTGTCGCAAGAGCAAGAAAGGTTGCGACCGCCAGCGACCGTGCGGCCGTTGTCGCGATGCCGGCCTGAGCGCCGACCAATGCATCAGCGAAGACGAGGGCAACGGCAGGAAGGGTCGCTACGGGCGCCACATGGGCGTGCCCATCAAGACTACTGATATCCCCGGCCCCCCTACGCTTCTCCCCGCTGCCCCCATCATGGCGCCGGTGGTAGCAGGCGACAAGAACAAGAAGCGAAAGCGGTAGGGGTCAACCCGACTCGTAAACGGCGCACGCGCCAGCACGCGGAACCTCCAACATCACACACATCATGCTAGGAAGCTCGGAAATCTACCGCAGAGTTCTGCCTTCTCTCTTGATCGCATCTAGTCGCGATTGTTGGGAAACAAATTAACTACCTCCAACCACACAACGTATCGTCGCTTTCTCTGTCTGTACTCTAGACGATTCCTCTTCACATCCTGCCTAAGAAATGGCGGAATTTCACGAATGTAGGTAGCACATGGTTTCGCCTACGCGATAGCATGCGATACCTAGAGCGGGGTGGACCCGGCGGTAAAGGGGGGTGGTGAGGGGGTTGTCGGATTGTGGGACGCCGTCTGGCGTCTCGCCGGCCGGATTTGTCACCGCGATGGAATTCGGAAGGGGGCGCAATGGAAATAGGTATCTAATCTGGGCGACACGGCCTTTACACTCCTTTTGTCATCAAGCGAAAAGTGGCAGGGCGGGGATGCTTTTCATCTTGCGAAGCGGTTGTCTGCGCAAGGGCGTTAGATTTTGCTTATCTGCTTTCTCGCCTGCCTCTCTGTTTATCGAGTCCTCCATTCGCAATCGTGCCGGCGCTCTGCTGCATAACACTTGACCGAGTCGCAGACTCGAACCCCGGAAAGGTGACGTGGGGAGAAAGGAACCGAGCGAAAGAAGAAGAAAGACACATCCGGGAGTGTTTTCCAGGAGAAGACGGGGCGACGAGGAGTATTTCTCCTCGAGGCGGAAAAAAGAAAGGGGGCGGGAGGGTCTTATATCGGGGCGCGGCGGGGAGGGAGAGGGGGTTCTGCTACTTGGAGGGAGAGAGGGTTAGAGATACATGGCGCCGACGCCCAACCGTCAGTTGATAAAGTAAGCAGGGCGCAGGAACGGGGCCAGGCCAGGGGATCCCATATAGGATGGGAAAATGTGTTGAAATGGGCCGTCCCGCTTCTCCTATATCATATTTTGGAAGGGTCGAAACTTGTTTTGCTTGCCATCTTTCCCTCTGCGTCGTTGGTTTTTATTTATTTATTTATTGTCTGTCTCGGTCTCAGTTTCTGTCTATCTCTACGTGTCCATCTCTCTCTCTCTCGTTTCCCTTGACTCTCTTGCTCGTCCGATCGCTAGCCAGCGGGGATGAGCACGGTTAGGGTTTACGAAGAACCGCTTATAAGCTACTTGCAAATATAAACAATGCTCATCTATAAACCGTAACCGGGACGGCGGGTCCAATTCTGTGGCGTGTGGGTGCGCAGGCGAAACCGTAGTAGTCGGATCGAGGTCGCTAGGCGGTCTCTCTCTCTCTCGGTCCGTTCTAGGGTTCGATCGATAGGAAATGGTAACGTGATTGAGCGAGCATTGGTGGGTGCGGTGGGTGGGACATCCGGGCTGGGCGAGGGAGATAGATGTAAAGGTGGAGATGGCAGTACATAAGCTAGAAAGTAAGTAGGCAGACGGCGACGAGGTAGACAGGTAGGTGGGAAAGAGTACGTAAGTGGATGAGAGCGTAGGACGACGCCTGAGGAGAGAGAGAGAGATACGAGGCACAAGGGGGAAAAAAAGAGAAGAAGAGAGAGACGGACAGGGAAGAAGACGACGTTATGAGAGTCAGGCGACCATCGGGATTATCGGGGCCATCGGCGTGCGCGTGGTTGAGCCTCTCTTATCATCCGGCACATAGGACGGTCAGGCACAATACGACATTAGCGAATTTTCTCGGCATCAAAAATTTTTTTATCTTTTTAAAAGAAAAATTTTTTATTTTCCTGTACTTCTCGCTCTTTCGATCGTGTCGTCCTCTTTCCACCCTTCGGAACGAGAGAAGTGGTCAGCCACCCCGCTGGGCGGACCGTGCCCGACCCGTTCGTGGTTCGTGGCTCGCCCATGTGGTCGGAAGGAGAGGGCGAAACGGGGTTCGTAGAGGGCAGACCAAGAGGTACCTAAAGGCGGCGTTGCGCCAGGACTAAAAATAAGAGACCGGACCAAGGAGAAGAGGGATCGCCGCGTGATTGGCCGGTTGCGCGGTGCGCATCCGGTAGTTACTGCCAAGTGAGAGACAGAGAGGGAGAGAGGGAGACGAGAGAGAGAGAGGCTACCTCACTCATAGGTCACTACTCGTAGGTCACCTACCTGTTGAGGTACCTGACCTTATGCACTCAATCCTAGGCCCTTATGCACACACGGACCTGTGCACAACGTACCCTCCTACGGTAGGTACCTGCGCGGGGCGGGCAGGCAAAGTAAGTACCTAAGGTACCTGTAGGTATCTGCGGTGACGTCGAGTTAAACTCGATCGGTGGCCGGCTAATCGCCTTGGGGCCTAGCTCGGGTCGTCCCTGGCAGGCCTTACCGCCTTGGCGAGCGGCGGCCCGGGCCACTTGATGATCCGAGCTCGCGAACGCACGCCTTCGCTATCTCGTCCTCAGCCAATTCTTCACCGTCGCCCACTTCGAACCAACCTGTGTTCTTCCCCACCCTCCTCTCTCTCTCTCTCTCGCGCGCGCGCGCTCGCTCGCTCGCTCTCCCCGCTCCTCCTCGCTCGCCCGGGATAGCAACCTTCACGATGCATACCTGTCGACCTCCCTGGCTCGATTCGGAACGAGCCCGCCCGCGGCTTTGTCCGAGTTGCTGCCCCAGCGTGGCCACCCGCTGCGTTGGAGTCCCTCTTTCGCTCTATAGAAGATGGCCGGAAGTGGGGAGCGATCGAAATTTTTTTAAACAGCCTAGGTGCTATCTCTTCACCGTTCCCTCGTGGTGCCCCTCCAGTCGGCGTGCTTTCGGTAATGAGTTGGTAGTCTAGGCACATCTCGTGATATTGTGCAATGAGCTGCGCTGGAGTCACGTTGAGACTGTCCGATCCCTCCGTGGCGGCGCGCAAGCTTCCGGTTCGCTGTCGTAAACAGATCCAGCCAGCATCCTCGGGAGACATGGGATCTGTGCTCGGGATGGCACACACGCGCGACACCAGCAAAGGCGGCCAGACTTTTTTTGGCCCCTATGCGCCTTACTCCACCGGGAAATTCCATGACAAGCTCGCGCAGCCGTTAACGGACGTCGGGGGGGGGAGGGGATCCCGGCACCTTTGGCCTGACTGCAACATCGTGGCAGCATCGTGAGGTTTTTGCTAGGTAATATGTTCCGTCGGGCTCTGGAATCGAGAGCCTCTCGCGGGCTTCGGCGACTATATTATGAAGGGGCCGGATCGTGAAGACCGTCGTGACGATGGATGGTCCTGTAGCGTCTCCGCTTAGCAGCCGTAAGAGTCAGCAAGTCTCGAGCCCCTTCGGCATCCCATACAGCCAACTTCTACTCCCCCATCTTTGCCTACCATGATCTTCTCCGGAAAGAAATCCCTTCATCATGCTGTGACCGAGACGACTCCCCCCCATAGCAAGTTGTCTCTGCCAACCAGCGAGGCCACGCCAGAGCCAACCAGCGACGCCGAGGTCGACTACCCGGACGGCGGCGCTGTGGCCTGGCGTCAGGTCGTAGCGGGCCACCTGATCAACGCCATGGCCAGCGGCTACGGCGCTGCTTTCGGCATATACCAGCTATACTATACGGAAACGCTCCAGCTCCCTTCGGCACAGGTCTCGTGGATAGGCTCCGTCCAGATCTTCCTGAACAATGTCACCTGCACGGTGGCCGGGCGTCTCGCCGATGCCGGATATGTGCGGGAGACGGTGATAGCCGGGTCTGTGATCGCGCTCCTGGGCACCTTCATGACCAGTCTCGCTACCGAGTATTGGCAGATCTTCCTCGCTCAAGGGATCTGCACCGGTATTGGTCTGGGCCTGATGTATATGCCTGCCATCACCATCGTCTCGTCGTATTTCCTGAAGCGGCGTGGGCTCGCTCTGACCATATCCACCGCCGGCACCGGCACGGGGAGTATCATCTTTCCGGCGACCGTGCAGTACCTCGTGCCCAAGATCGGCTTCCCCTGGGCCGCCAGGTGCGCCGGTTTCGTCGCCATGGTCATCGTTGGCACCGCGAACCTACTCCTGAAGCCGCGCAGGCTTCCCCGGAAGCCCAGCCCGATGGTCGAGTGGGCGGCCTTCAAAGAGCCCCCCTACGTAATCTTCGTCGCGGGGTCCTTCATGTTCTACTGGGCTTTGTATTTCGGTTACTTCTACGTGAGTGGCGATTCGTCCCTTTCCCTCCCTCCCCCAAACGAAGCAGAGCATGACTTCGCAAGCGGGGTCGGCCACTCGAAAAATGAGGTGGCTTCCGCTAACACCTAAGCCGACAGATCAACAGCTACGCTATTAAATTCGCCTCCTTCACGGCGACGTCGGCCGTCTCGCTGCTACTCATCACGAACGCGGTGGGCGTCCCGTCCCGTATCCTCATCGGCTACCTCTCGGACGCCTACCTGGGCCCGATCAACGCGTTCATCCTGTCGGCGCTGTGCGTGGCGGTTACCTTCTTCTCGTGGATCGCGATCAAGACGCACTCGACGATGTACGCGTTCGCCGTCGTCTTCGGGGTGACGAACTCGTTCGCGCAGGGGGCGTTCGCGGGGGCGCTGGCGAGCCTGACGGCGGACCCGGCCAAGATGGGTACGCGCTTCGGCATGTGCTGCACCATCCTCGGGTTCGCGACGGTCGCCGGTCCGCCGACCGCCGGCGCCATCATCGACTTCTGCGGCGGCAGCTACCTCTGGGCCCAAGTCTGGGCCGGCGGCGTCACCGTCATCGGCGGCGCCACGCTCGGCGTCGCGCGGTATTGGGTTTCGGGCGCGAAGCTCGCCGTCAAGGTATAGATAAAAGGGAACGGACCGGGAAGGGGAGAATACAGGAACGAAACGGTGCATATGTGTACGGATGCACACGGGTGGGTGTACGAGGGTATCACGAATTTACGAGACAGCGGGTTGTCGACGGGGAACACCAAAAAAAAAGGGAGGGATTTGCGTGTGGGATGTGTGACTTGAGGATTACATGCCTCGATGGGTTTCGAGGTAACCACAACTCACCCCCACCGCCCTAATGAATGTACGACATCGTCCCCTCGGACTCTTATCAGAGCCTAAGCGGGCGTGCCGGGGGAGACGGCGCAGCCGGGTCGGCCTGTCGCCTTTAATACTGGACGAGAGGAAGGGGAAAAAAAAAGGAACGGATGGGGAACGGTAAAGTCAAACCAAAAACAGGGGGGGACGCGAGAGGGTAAAAATAGATGACACGACGGGACAAAGGAGGGATGAAAGGTTGGAGTATGAGTTACGACTTCTTCTCGTCTGTACCTTAATTACCTGGTAGGGATGGGGTTGTTGGTGCCGCCGACAGCGGCATCCTGCAACATCTAATTGACGCCGGTCAAGGCGGATCACGAAGGTCTTCATTGCTTTGCGCCCTCGTGGGAGCGTCGCATCGGTGGCTGATGTACGGCGTGCCGTATAGAGGTGTATGTGTGTGTGTGTGCACAGAAATGCGCATGGCGGGAAGTCTAGAGTAGCGCAGCATTGGCGTTAGTCAGAACAGCGCACAGAGGCAAGCATATCGTGTGGTCGCCCCAACTAGCCCGCACGATGTGGCTTGACGCCATACATGGATTTTGCATGGTGTGCGTGCGTGCGTGCGTGGTGTGGTGTCGCAAAACGCGCGCAGCCCAAAGGGCCAAAAGGGAGAGGCGAGGAGAACGGCGCGGTTGTTGGGGTGCTAGGTTAGATAGGTAGTGAGCAGGGTAGGCAGGTTATGTGTAGGTGACTAACTCGACCGGCGAGGGGGGCGAAGACGGGCCGGAGGTCGACGGCGGGTGTTAGCGCACCTCGGGCCGCGACGGAGACGGACTTAGGTTCAGGTAGGCCAGGCACCCAGCCGGAGACAGCAGGCGAGAGATCACTAAGGGGGAGGCCATCCGCTCGGCCCGGCGCCGGTGCCAGCGCGGCTGCTGATGCTAAAGCTGACACGTCGGTTACCAACCAACCTTGCTGTCTGCTAGCGGTACCAATGAGATCTCGATTAGGAGGTGTCTGCCTAGGTCGGGTACTGCTTAAGTCCGGTCTGTGTGGAATGCTGCATACTCCGTACCTCTTATCTACCTACCCCCTGATGATGTGAGGCGGGTGATGTGATTACTCGCCGAAGACCTGCGACGCAGCCTGGGCGCACAGCCGAGAGAAAAGGGGAGGGGGCAGGGTAGGAAATAGATAAGGAAACGATTGTCATTTAAGAGGGCAGGTTACCGAGGTAAGTGGTGTTCTACGGCAATATCCCCAATTGCATACGCGCTTCGCCTACATCTCCCGAGCCTGGGAGCAGAGGCATCCTGAGACCCCTCACCTGCGCGCATACATCACTGCATACCAGCTTCTCAGGTGGGCAAGGAGATGTGCTGCACGGCACCACTGCCGGCAGGCTGTTTCTCATGCGGCTAGTTGCGTTGCAGTCGTGTCATAAAGCGACACGACGATAGCCAGACTTTGCCGCTGCGGAATTACACCATTCCACTTTTCGTTCCCGTCGAAATGAAACAGATCTCTGCCACATTCGTGTCGATGGCGAGGGCCCGTCCGCTTCGGGGGGTGTCGTGCGCATGTACAGGCGCTGCCACACACACATACACCACACACACACTCCACACACACACTCGGAGGTGCAGATGTGTGTTGGGGTTGTTAGGTTCTCGCGCCTTTACGTTTTGCAATAGTAGGCAGGGGGGGCGGAGAGAGGTGCTGATCCCACGCCCGCTGCCACCCACCGTTGTTCTGAGCAACATACCGACGTACTGTAGGTACATGCTACCTACGGATAAAGGTGGCTGGCAGATCTATCGAGATAAGGCCCGGCGCGAGAGAAAGCGGCTATGCGACCGCGTGCTCGGTGGCTGTCTGTGGTCATCACGTCTGCCCAACCTTTGCGTTGCCACATACACATTCTCACACGTACATACATGCCTACATACATACCAGACATGCAGGCGCAGGAGGACGAGCCTATCGGCGCGCCGAGCCAGCCGGCCCTCTCTACGGCCATCGCACAACAGGAGTTCGTGCCACAAAGATAGAGACGGATGTGTGTGCGTGTGTGTGTGTGGGCGACGGGGGAGGGGGAGACGAGCCGACACACACCACCTAGCTTCCAACACACACGAATACGATATAACGAGACAAGATGCCTACCTGCCTCTAGGCCACCCAGCTCTCTCTCTACGTGATGGGTATATGGGCGAGTGGGAAGGTCGTGCCGAGAGGGAGTAGGCGTGACGGGAATTAGGTCCTAAAGCAGACGGCGGGCGAGCTCAGCAACCAGTAGGTGAGCACGTAGTAGGCAACCTAGGAACAACTACGGAGAGAGGCCAGGAAGGGTGGCGGTGGCGATAGCAATAACTACCTACCTCTAACCTCTATCCCCCTCCTCCCCCCCTTTACGATAGAGTGCAATTTATAACTCCGAGTCGGCGTAGCGCACGAGACCGTCGGAGGAACTAGAGATGCAAGGTCTTCCCCTACAGGATGCGCGCGCAGTCCAACACCCAGGCACCTGCGTAGACCCCAGGTCCCCTAGCCTGGCGGCGTCGCGGTATTTTATACCTACACGTACACCGACTATACCTACCATCCCGCTTTTTCTCCATTTCTCCATTTCCCCAAGCGACCCATCCCATCCCGTCCCCAGACGGCCCTAAGCCTGCCCAGACAATTAGGCTCTCCTCCTCTTCCCTCTTTTTGTCTTCTCTCCGTCTCGTCTCGAGGCCCAACTTGGCAAGGAAACGGCCAGGCCAGCCGTCCGGCGTGCGAATCTGGCACCGCTCATTGGATTCCACCTCGACGGGCGTCCCCCTCCGACGTTGTGGCTTTCGTGGCGCGGGACGCTGCCTTGCAGGCCGTCGTGGAATCCCGCGAATGGCGTGGCTGCGTCGGTGTGGCCCCCCTCCATTCTTCGACCCTGTCTGCAGCTTATGCATGCATTAGGCGCCTTAGTAAGGTATGCACGCCTCCAGTGCAACCCTTTTTAGCTTGTGTATTATACGTGTACACAGGACCTGCCTCAGTGCCTCAGGTACGCTTAGGGCATGGGCCCCGATGGCAGGATGGGACAGACCTGTGTGACGGTGCTCACCTATGATGTAGGCAGGCAGGTACCCCATGTGCGCCTAGGACGGTACAGGGTACTGCCAAGTACCCTAGTATCTAGGCAATTTCCCTAACCCCGGGGTAAAATGTGGGAGGCCAAGACCAGCTCGCTAGCGCTTGTGGGATTTTCTCCAAAATGACTAAAGCCTACCCTGTTCCCAAGATACTCTCGCTCGATCCCGCACTTCGGCCCCATTTCCCATCCATCCATCCATCCACAAGCCCAACCTCAATCTACGTGTGAGAGACAATCTATTGTGCGTGTGCGCCAGTGCCACATCTGCCGTGGCCCTCGGCCGGTGGCCGTAGCCGCCGCTGGCTATATAACATTCCGCGGGCGGGCAGATCGACGTCTACTTTACTCGGCCCTTATCTGATAAAGTCGCTGCCGGCGCGCCTCTCTTCTCACCAACGGCGTCCCAACCAGCCAACCACCTTTTACGCCGCTGACGACCCGGATCCTACCCTTGACGGTATATCTGCGCCGTGACCGCGCATGCTCGGGATGTCGGAGGTGGTCTGGCTCGCCACCTGTCAAATGACAGGGAGTCGATCTGCCAAGAGCCCAGCTCGCGGGCGTACGGCGTTTCTGGCCAGTCACAGGCCGTCTTATTCAGCTTGGTGCGTCTTAGTGTAATGTAATTACCCAACGCTATGCGTGTTTCTGCGATATATTATGCTGTCTACACGATGGCTTCAGTTCCCGTCCCAGCGTCCCGACGAAGGCAGCGAGCGTGAGCAGCCTACGTAGGAGGGACGCCGGCAGGAGAGGATGGCGAGGGAGAGGCGGGAGGAGGGAGCAGGCGAGAGGCTGGCCGGCTAGCTAAACTGCTTGTCTCGGCCATTTTTCTGCCACCGTCCCTCCGCGACGGCTGGGCGCTCGATAGTCTGACAGGACTAGCACCAGTTCCACGACATTCCCACGCGTTGTCTGGTCGAGTCTTGGGGCTCGACACGCCACTATGCTTCTGCCGAAGTTCTGCGGAGAGGGACCTAGCTAGGGAGGGGAGGACTAAGTGTAGCACCAAGACCAGGACCGGACCCGGGACTGAGCAGGGCCACGCGCGTCGAGATCAACCATATCGCGGGGTAGTGTCCGCCTAGCGACCAGGCATGAGAACGACCCCGGTCGAGGGTGCGCGCGAGAAGGGGGGGGCTCACTTTTGTGTGCTTTTTGGTGAATATCCGTCCAGGCGAGACAGGGGTGTTCTAGTCTGGGCTCAATCAAATCCCTTCGATTGATTTGCCGAAAAGCAGAAAACAGGGCCCTTTCCCCTTCTACGGCGCAATGTTACTCACATAATAGTACGAAGGCGTTGTACCTACCTGACCTACATGTCTAACCTACCTACCCCAAGCCCTCCCCAGGACGGATGGGATCCCGGGATTTTGTTCCAAAGGGGATCGCCCTTATATAAACCGCCCGCAGATCATCCTGCTCGACGAGGGAGCCGAAAAGAGTAAGAAAGAAAAAAGTCCACTCGGACTCGTCTTCTGGGTCTCTTCTCCCTCTTTCTCTCCTCCTCTAACCCCTCCACCATCGTGTCTGACTCTGTCACTGCCTCTGCCCGCGACTTTTACCAGCGCCGTGCTCGTGCAGGCCATCATACCATGGCGGCCACGTTGAGAGTCGACGAGAAGAGCGATATCGACCAACCCGACGCGGTTGCGGTCGAAACGAAGAGCGATGGCTCCGCCGAAGGACCCGGCTGGACGGTGGAGGAGGAGACTGTCGTCCGTAGAAAGCTGGACTGGCAATTAGTACCTACCGTCACCATCCTATACCTCCTCTGCTTCCTCGACCGGTACGGTTCTCTTTTTCTTCTGAGGCAGAAAAAAAAAAACCTTTTCTGCTGGACCTCTTCAAACCCCCGCCACTCGGCAGCGACTAATCCAAACTATACAGGATAAATATCGGGAATGCGCGTATCCAGGGATTGCAGGAGGACCTGGACCTCCATGGATACCGATTCAACATCGCAACCAGCATCTTCTACGTCATCTACCTGGTGGTCGAGGTGCCCTCCAACATCATCCTCAAGCACGTCGGCCCGCGCTTCTACCTGCCGGGCCTCGTGGTCGGCTTCGGCGTCGTCTCCATTGCCACGGCGTTCGTGCACAACTTCGAGCAGCTCTGCGCCCTCCGCGCGCTGCTGGGTGTCTTCGAGGGCGGTACCATGCCGGGTCTGTCCTTCTTCCTCAGCTCCTTCTATAAGCGTGAGGAGCTTTACTTCCGAATCGGCATCTTCGTCTCGGCCGCCTCGATCGCCGGCGCCTTCGGCGGTCTTCTGGCTGCCGGCCTCTCGCAGATCCCCGAGTGGGGTGTTGCCGGCTCCCAGCTGCACACGTGGCGCAACATCTTCTTTTTCGAGGGCATCATCACCGTGATCGCCGCCCTCTTCGCGCCCTTGATCCTGCCCCAGAGCCCCGAGACCTCGACGCACCTGACCGCGCGCCAGCAGTGGATCGCCGCCGAGCGTCTCCGGCTCGAGCACAAGGCGCACGCACACGAGAAGGTGCGACCGCGCCACGTCCGGCGCGCGCTCCTCAACATCAACAACTACATCTGCGCCGCCGGCTTCTTCGCCATCAACATCACGGTCCAGGGTCTGTCGGTGTTCATGCCGACGATCTTGCGCGAGCTCGGCTGGCAGTCGCTGCAGGCGCAGTACTACACGGTGCCCGTGTACGTGGCGGCGTCGCTGATCGCTATCGCCGTCAGCTTCATCAGCGACAAGACACGGAAGCGAGGCCTGTATCTGGCGATCTTCACCTTCCTCGGGATCACGGGTTTCTCGATGCTGCGGTGGGGCCAGGGCAGCCAGCTCAAGTACGCCGCGGTGTGGCTGTGCGCGCTGGGGGCCTTCCCCGGCGGTCCCGGATTCCTGTCGTGGGGGCTCAACAACGCGGCGGGGCCGGCGGTGCGGGCGGTGTCGGGAGGCTGGATCGTGACGCTCGGGACGATGGGCGGGATCCTGGCCGTGTGGGCGTACCTGCCGAACGACGGGCCGTCGTTCCCCATCGGCCACACAATCAACCTGGTGGCGCAGATCTGCGTCCTGTTCCTCAGCTCGTTCGGTATCTTCTACTGCCTGCGCGAGAACAAGCTGCGCTCACGCGGCGCGCGCGACCACCGCCTTGTCGGCCTCACCGAGGAGGAGAAGATCGACCTCGGACACCTGCATCCCGACTTCCGGTACATGTCGTGACGGCCCCTTCTCTCGCGGGTGTGCCAGCGGGTTTAGCCAAGGGCGGTTTCTATCCTTTTTCTAGTCGTCCCAGGGTTCCGCGCGCGTGCCCTGCATGTGCGCGTGTTTTTATATGTTATAGGGTACGGCTATCGCCATTAGAGAAAGCAAGAGAGCAAGCGAAGGGAGCCGGGGGCTGAGAAAGGCAGACAAACGGAACAAACAACCGCGATAACCATAGCCACATATTTCTTGTTTCTAATTAGAGAGGTCTACTAGATGATGGGAGGTCAAGCCATGCTTTTGCTATCCTTGCCTCGCACAAAAATATACCTACATACGAGCCTCAACGCTGTGATGTAACCACGTGGAGGTGGTGCCACGTCTGTCGATTTTACGTACGTCGTGTACCTAGCACCCCCTCCCCTCCCCAATCCCCAAGAGCGAAAACGAAAATGAAAAAAACCGTTATTCAGTCTGCTGGTGCCCTGCGTAGAGGATAGACAAGCCAGAGGGAGAGAACTCGGCGAGAAATAGCGAGAGACCCCCCCCCCCCCCCCCCAAAAAAAAAGTGCCAGGTATGGGCACTAGATGGCATCGTGGCCCGCGACGCCGCTCCCGAGCGCGCACCGCAGATAGGTACCTACCTACGTCCCGACGGAGCGGAGAGGGGCCCCGAGGCCATCGTCACCGGCGGCCGCACCTGTTGGGGAGCAGCGTCGACACGCGGGGAGCCACTACCTGCATAGGCCTATATGTAGGTACATACGTGTACGTATGGGATCCCCCCTTCTCCCCTGTCCGCGCGCCATCGCCATATGCACGGTCCGTCCGCGCCCGCGGTCCGGGGACGCGCGATGGGCCAGTCAGGCATATAGGTATCGGCGATGCGACGGCTGCGCAGCTGCGCGGGCGGGTAGATAGGGCGGGGGACCCAGATGGATGGGGTAGGGTAGGGTAGGGCAGGGAGCCCTGCCGTTGGGAGGGTCGCCGGTTTACGTTTATTTGCTTCTTGTTGCGCCGCTGTGTGCCTTCCTTGGGGGGGTATAAAGAGATAGGATAGGTAAGGTAGCTAGGCGGGCGGAGTGCCGTGGTACCGAGTTCTGGGCGCGAGAGAGAGGGAGAGGGAGAGGGAGCATTGGCTCTGTCCCCGCGCGCAGCTCGTACGATGGCCCCGCCCGGCCTGGTTGCGTCCCGCACGCCTCGCCTCGCCTCGCCTCGCCCGCGGCGTAGTATTGGTCCTGTCTACCTACGCCTGCGGCGGGTACCTAGGATAGGGATGTATAAGTAGGGCACGAGGTAGGTAAGTAGACGCGAGTGCGAGCTAGCCAGCGAGCTCCCCGCACGCGCGGACTGCAAGATGTGTGGTTTGGTAGCAAGAGCGAGAGCGACTCGAGGACGTCCTGCTCTGGCCGCGGCAAGCGGAAGCGCTGAGCCGGGCCTGCTTGCCTGCCTGTCTGCGGCGGCGAGCTCGCTCGAGACCGGCTATGGGCGCCGTCCCGGGGGCAGGGTCAGGGCGCGCAATGGTGCGCGAGACGAGCCCAGGCCGCCGCGAAAGAGGGCACGGCAAGGCGAGGCCGGAGGCTGAGCGCGCGCGACGCCGCAGCGCGAGGCATCCGGGGCCGAGCGAGGGCCGTGGCGGCTGGCGAGCGGCGGGTCAGAGGTAGACGCCTTGGTGCGCTGGCAGGCTCTGCCAGGCATGCGCTGGGCCAGGCGAAGCAACTGTGCCTCGCAAGAACCGGCCGAGTTGGACTTGTCTCTGCTCTCCGTCCCCCCCCCCCTCGGGCCGACGGCGGCGGCCAAGGCAACGCGAGGTTGCGCTACGCCGAGGCATATGTCCGCGGCAGTGCGTCTCGGGAGCTGCCTTGAGGAGTAGATTAGCTGTTCTAGGGATAGGGAATGGGGCTCTTCCTCCCTCGGCCGGTAGGGAGGGCCGAGCATGGGGTTGAGTTAGCGGTGCGCCGGATGTTCTCTAGGCATACCTGGGTCTCGACGCTCGAGCATATATACCTACCTGTATACCTAAGTAGGTATATATATAGAGATGCTGGCGTGTTCCCGGGTCCCTGAACGTGAGCGTGTCGTCTTGTGAAGCTCCAATTGCGCGTGCCCCATCGTACCAAGTACTTTGCAATAGTCTTGGAGGAGGAATAGGCATGTAAAGTCGGGGTACCAAAGATCGCCATGCATTCCCCAACTCAATTCGGTGAGTCTCCATCACGGAGATCTACAGCTTCTGGCATCTGCCAAACGTAATCACTACGAGGTAGATGAGAATGTGGAATGTGAGTTGGCCGGACTTGATGGGAGGGAGGTACAGAGGTCAGTGGTGTTGAAGGGTACGGGTATGTACCCAGGTACCTGAGTACATCAAGTAGGTACATTCTCGCTTGGCAGGGTCAGATATGGGGCCGGGACGGTACAGCATTTATCCGGCCTTCTCGCCTTGCTGGTAACTACGTCACTTGTCTACCTTCCTCTATCATCATCATTCCTATCGCAAACCAGACGACTCAGTCAAGGTACAGCTTCACAACGGACTCGCCATGGATCCAACCAAGGAGCAGCAGCCGCTGGCCTGGAGCGTAACCTTAATGTTGAACAACCGGGCCAAGGGGTAGGGATCCACCAGCACCGTAACTCCCTCACTATCGCAGACGTCGCCTGCAATCTCGACCTCTACCTCGTCTTCCTGTCTCCCGCCGGCAACGGGGAGTGGCATGCGGCACTCCTCCCGGCGGCCACGGATACCTACCCCGGCACAACCAGACAGCCCACCATTATGATGACCATGCTAGACAAGCAGGACGTTGCGCCGCTCCCAACCTTGGAACACGGCATGTGACATACCTATGTCTTACGCCCTCGTCCGTGCAACAAGCCGGAGGGCCACACACACACGTCCCCATAGGTGCGCATTGTGCCCTTCCTCTGGTGGTGTTTGTTGACCTCGCCTTACCTAGGCCTCTGCATTGTCAGGCCAGGACAACCCCCCAGAGGCGGTGCCACCCAACCTATCTGGGCAGCGCACCTGAGCCTGCCAAACGGGTGGCCGCCCCAGAGCGCTTGAGAAACAGGTTTTCCTCTTCCACATTGTCCTCCTAATGTCGCCCCCTCATTAGACAGTGACGCAAAAGACTCGGTAGAGCCTGTCGATTGTCAGGATTTATCCACGATACTGAAGCACAGTCTACTCAGGACGCGTTCAGGGACGGCGTTTCGAAAAGCCTCCCATAACTGTGCCGTCAGCTGCAAAAGCACACATTGGGTCATAGTGTTTATTAGGCCTAACATTAAGGCAGTATAAATTACCCCTAGGGCATACTGCCGCATCTACCCGATGAAGGAAGACTAGAATCTAGCCAATAAACCTAACGATACCGGGGGTAAATCCAAGGCTCCGGCTTCAGCTGTTAACCTGCCTTGTCCTGTCATATAGAATCCCATTCTGACACCTCAGACCTTAGGGATAGTATAAAAGGCAGCGCCGGAAAGCGTAGAGGCACGGTGATCATTTTGTCGAAGATCTAGACGTAGCCTATGGGCTAATGCTCGAGGACTATGGCGTCCGGGAGACAGAGGATGGGCTCTTTCCTGTTTTCCCTCTTGATATCCAAAGATCGGGTCTATAGTGTGGTCGGACGGCGAAGAGGGAATTCGTCGCAACGACCGAATCGCGTTGGCGTCCATGGCAATGTGGTTTTATGGCCATCGCTGACGAAACCTCAGGTGCTTCAACGTAGGTGACCTTTTCTGCCTTCGTCCGGAGAAAGGGTATACGATTCCATCCATGCTGTTTCCCGGCCAGAAGATGACTCGGCGTTATGCAGGCCCGTTTCGTATCACTGAGCGGGTTGTATCATCAACCTATTCCCCCGATCGCGTCCTCTTGTCCAGTGTAATGGCTTAGGTCATGGGTACAACCAGTGGCCTCGCAAGGCTGACGCGAAATCTGGAAGTCTCTTTGGTCGCTCCCCCCGCATGCCTAGTTGCCACGAGAGGCGGCCCCTTTCGTCGTTGATATGGAGATTGTTGCGTGGTCTGGCTAGGGGTACATGTACGCGTCCTCTGGTAAGACAAGTGTGGCAATCTCGTAGAGGTGATGGGAGGGGGCATCCCATCTAAGGGTTAGGTGCTTGAGAAGGCCTACGATCCGCGATGTGTTCTACAACTACATCCACCTGCTTAGAATCCCCGACGAAAGCATCAGCCCAGACGAGCAGACGATCGAGGAAACAGGAGAGTGGCTTCCAAACATACCTCGGGAGCGTATTACCGTTGCTATTATCGAGTCCGTACCCGAAGTAGATTCTGTATTGAGGTGTCACTTCGGATTCTTGTACCACTACTTGTTCAGTTACATAGGATCTCTTAACCACAGCTTAATTAACGATATACATTTTGCTTGGTTGCATAATGAACATAACTTCCCTCGTGGAAAATTAAATCATGCCCCCGAGTATGCAGACTGCTGGTGTGTATGGGCACATGTGGATTCGGTGGAATGGCAGAGGCTGTCAATGGGCACGGAGTAATAGTCGCTTGTCTAACGCCTCTCCACGGACGCCTGGCTTCCTAAACACCACACAGAGGGAAGAAACTACCATTACGGTGCAAATGGCGATTGTTATTGGCCAAAATTCGGTCTGACGGGAAGGATTTACGTCGTTGAATGTTTGAAGAGCGTATATAATATATATGGATCAGACTAAATATGCCTAGTGAAGTCGTCGAAAATTCCTGCGCCAGGGTCCAAGACCAATCGGAGCTACCGAGGTGGAAGGGGTTGCCTGTACGCATATGAGTAGGATCACAACAGCTTCACGGGGTTGGGTAGCGAGCATGCTGCTGGGCATGTAACTTACCTACGTCCCGGATCTACCTACGCCGCCAATCTAACACATTTAAATGGACAGGAGTCGAGAGACGACGTATTATATCATGTCACAGTGGCACACAACAGGAGAAGCGAAAAGGCGAAGGGGGTCCGAATTTATCGACTTGATGGTTAGTTAGAGAGCTAACTTCCAACAGAGATCTTGCCCTTTTATCTGTCCCTACATCTAGACTAAAATGGGCTAGGAAGCGGTTAACGCTGATGCCGATGCCTTCTTCTAGCCTCCCCCCGAGCCCCCCATCCATCCTTCTGCTAGGTCCTGGGGATAGTCTTAACGATATTCGAGAGACAAAACAAGGCATATAAAACGTAGTCTAGACGCCTCATGACTCAACAACCCTTTCGTATAGCATCGGCCTTATATAGCGCCCTAACTAGGATAGACTAGGTCCAGGTACATAGGTAAATCCCGCGGGAACTAGAACCGGATAGATAGACCGGGGGGAGAAGGAATCGCACGGCCAGAGGGGGGCGATGTCACCTCGAACGAGATGCCGCAAGGGCTACTAAGCCGCAGACATACAATCTACGTAAAACAAACAGATCCAGAGGAGCGAGAGCGGTCTGGCCGGAACGTGGAGGCATAGAATCTTGGCTAAGAGCAAGGTCCCCGTATACGCACCGACGGAGCTGGGTGCTGCTGAATGAATTCGGTTGCTTGCCCACCACGGCCTGTTGGCAATTGCCGCATAACTGCGTGTACATGCTGCTACGCATCCATCCCCTAAGCGCGTCTTCACCCCCACGTATCCTCCCTCCATCTCCCTCCCTCCCCCCTTCTACGGCGATCCCGTCGTTCCAGCAGCAGCAGCGCGGTCCCGCGCCTCCAAGAGCGCCAGGATGCGGAGCAGGGCGCGGGCGACGGCGGCGCCGTCCTGCCAGACGTGGTCGTGGGAGCCGCGCAGGCCGTCGACGAGCAGCAAGCGGGGGCGGTCGGCAGCGGCGGTAGCGTCCTCGACGACGCCGTCGGCGCGCAGGCGCGCGGCCATGGCGGCGGTCTCGGCGGCGTCGACGAGCTCGTCGTCGGGGGAGTGGCCGAGGGCGGCGAGCGCGAGCCCGGGCACGCCGCCGTAGGGGCTGGCGCCGCGGGCGAGCGCCGGCGACGCCGCGTCCCAGGCGGGGCCGCGCGGGCCGAAGGCCGCGGCCAGGAACTCGGCGTAGGCGCCGGCGGCGCGCGCGTCGGCGCCGCGCAGGTCGTAGATGCCCTCGAGGCCGAGCACGGCGCGCGGCGGCGCGAGCGGCGCGGCGGCGGCGGCCGCCGCCGACGGCCAGAGCAGCGCCTGGTACGCGAGGCACGCGCCCGCCGAGTGCCCCGCGAGCACGTAGCGCGCGCCGAAGCCGAAGCGCCGCTGCAGGAAGGCCAGCGCGGCCCGCGCGTCGTCCAGGTGGTCCGGGTGCCGCGCGGCGCGCAGCCGCGCCGCCGGCGTCGTCGCCGCGTCCTGCGGGAACCCCGGGTGCGGGCTCAGCCGGTAGTCGAGCGACGCGAAGGCGGCGACGGGCGGCGGCGGCGCGGCGTCAGCGCGACCCGTCTCCTCCAGCACCCCCGTGATGATCGGCGCAAACGTCTCGTGCGTCACCCGCGGATCCCGCCACGCGCCCCCGTGGATGTACCTGCGAGGTTAGCGAGGCTGCCCTGCCTGCCTGCCGCGTATGACGCGTGTGGGTGGGTAGAGGGGAGCCGGAGGGGCGATCCGTGCTGCGCCTGAGGGGCGGGCGCGGGGGCATTGCGGGTGCTCGTGTGTGCGCACGCGGGCGCGTGCGCGCGCGTGTGAGGGTGTGGGCATATGTGTGAGCGTATGTATGTGTGAGGGCGCAGAGGCGGGGGTGCGGGTGCGGGTGCGGGTTTGGGTGTAGCTAGCGAAGGGGGGGGGGGGAGGTGAGGGAGCGGGCGAGCGAGCGAGCGGGCGAACAACAAACAGGTAATAGGTAGACGAAGGTGAGATTCACACGATCCAGTATTTCGCCTCGGCGGCGATGTCGACGTCCCACACGCCCACGCGCTGGAGCTCGTGGGCGCCGTACTGATGCACCGAGTATCGCAGCGAAGCCGCCATCGCTGGTTGCGTAGCCGCGGCAACTAGCTTTCTTTCTTTCTCTCTCTCTCTCTGCCTGCCGAAAGGAAGGGCAAGTCGGGCTCAATGGGAGCCAGTAGGTATCGCTTTCGCGCTCTTCTGATCGGGATGGTACCCAATCTGCGACAAATCTGCTCGAAACCGGGAAGAGGAGAGATGTCGGCCGAGGTTATCCCTGTTCCCCGAGGCAGCTCTCTCGGCGCATATATGGGGCCTTCTCCTACTCCGTGACCCTACTGGGTACGCGAATGGGACGTAACGCTTACTGCCCACCACCACCCCCTCGCGGTCGAGGGGCCTACATGCATACGGTAGGCATGTGTATACTATATGTATAGGCATGTGTCATGTGTAGGCACAGGTATGTCATGTGCAGGCATGTGTTACCTATGTATCTAGGTATGGGTGCATGTATGTAGGTAGAGGTAGCTATGTAGGTAAGTGCACGCATGTAGGTGTTTACGCATGTGTGTATGAGTATGCTCCGCCTCACCCCTTGTGAGCCTTCGACGACATGGTATGTTGTTCTGTATGTAATGTGTAGCAGCTATGCGACTCGGTAGTATGCAGCATGTAAGTGCTTATGAAGTTTGGTCCCCCCTTCATCTCCCCTCTCGGCAACGCGCTCCTTCGACGCCCGCATTGAAAGCCGCTTTCTCCCTACGTCGACCAGCACGTGTAGGCTTCACGACGATGGCGTGTTTCGGAGATACAAAATAGGCCTGCCGTCGTAAGCTGGTAGTCATACCTACTTCATGCGGACCTCTATCCGCAACTGGTCTATCTTGTCGAGGTCGTTCGAGGAGAGCCCACTCTAACAGGAAGGTCTGATTTTCAGATTTCCCTTCTCGTCACCAATGATTTGCACTGGGAGGAATTGCCGACATGAGTCTGTTGGGAGTACGCGTACGTTAGCTATCGTCGGCCAAGTTGGCGGTGTCTTTCGAAACCGTCGCATTCGCCTTCTCCCTCGCCAATTGCGCGGGAATAGTCCGCAAAACCAGGGTTAAAAGTGCCAACGCATATGGAAAAAAAACTCTTTTCCCGACGGCTCGATCCACTAAATCAGGCCCTGAATCGCCGAGGAGAGAGACCAATAGCAAGATGGAGACGAGCTCGAACGGGATGGGGATGCGGTTGACTCGTCACTTGTTGGTCTCGACTGTGTCCAGGGGATCCCGATGGGATCCCGATGTAGGCATGTAGACTCTCCCGACGAGTAATATGTTGGTGATGCTTTTAACCCGGAGCGCATGTTGCCTGTTACAGACGATGACACTGGCGAATTGGCGATCTAGAAGGGGGGGAAATGAGCCGATTTTTAGCATACTCGTCTGCAACAGCTCCCGTCCCGTCCATATTGGCTTGCCAATCACGGGTTGAGACGGTCGGTCTGGATGCACTAGGTGGACTCGAGATGGATATACTCATAGATAGACCGGGGAGATGAGATGGATCATAGCCATAACTAGAGGCTGCAGCGCAAATCAACCGCGAAATCTTCCCGAGATGTCCACTTCTTCGTGTCAGGGGGGCCAGCGGGGCGGAGGAGAGAGAGAAAAGAACGTCACGAGTTTTTCTTTGGCATGAGAAAGCTTTCAGCTCCGGCTAGCGCAGCGCGTTGCGCAGACGAGGCCAGCGCGCGCGAGTCAAGCCACCTAACGGATTCCGTCACAGACGATTGCTTCGTGGAATCCGAGTCTACGGCGCGGGCTAAACTGGTACGGGCAACGCCTGGTTGACCGACCCGAAGGTCGCCCTGGTCCTTGAGCCCGCCTCGTGACGAACCATCCGATTCGACAAGTTGGGACCATGGTCAAGGCTGTCCTTCTAGCAATGTAATACGTGCTATGCTTAATCTGTTGGGCGCCGTCTTACCGCATTCGACAAGCCCATGGCCTGTGTCGGGACGAAGGATTCGCTTGTCACGACCCGGGTACCATAACTCGGAGAGGCTCGCCGGCGTCTCGAGACGGGGTCTAACTTTTGTCGAGACGCGTGATTGGACCCGAGGCCACGATGGAAGCTTGCTAGAAACCCGTTCCCAGACGGCCAACGCCTCCTTCTTCCCGCCGCCTTTTTTATGCGATTTATGCCTGTCGTCTGTCGTGGGGGTGTGACATTCGTGCCCTGCCGGACGCATAACCCGGCAGGCAGCGCGACTCGCTCCCATCACGTAGCCCTTGCGGTCGTTGTCAAGATGAAACATGCGGGGTATGTGACGGAGGGAGGACGGGTACTACGTAGTAGTGGTGGTGATATAGGTAGGTAGGTAGTTCGAGGAGCGGTGGGCGCAGAAAAGGGTTGCCGTCATCAGCCCGATCAGTTGATCGCCGTCCCCCAAGATGGACTTGGTCTGCCAGCTACCTCCCCTCCTCCTCTCAGCGTCGGGGATGGGTCCTATTACTACCCAGATTGTGCTGCAACAGCGACGCTGATAAGTGGCGGCCCGTGATGCGTTTTCTAGAGACACAATTTTGTTTAGCCGAAGCCGGTCCCCTGGCTAGGTGGTACACGTAAATCAAGGTCAGCGAGGTTGCTGTTGTTGACGAGATTGGTGTCAAACCAGGGGGTGGACGAACCCACCAGGGGAGCACACCGGCGCCCCTGACTAGAAGGACTTGGCGCGGCTAGTGTAGCGACGGTTCCGCGAGCATAACAAAAGGCGCCTCGTACCTTGGACCAAACCCGCTAACAGGAGCAGGGGACCGAGGAGAGGCTATCGTAGGAGCGGCGGGAAACGGGGGAAACGGGCACCGTTCGTTTCACACCACCAACTCCTTTCAGGTCTTAGACTGCGATGCAATACTAGGTGTGTAAGCGCGGGATATTTCGGCGAGAGAGAGAAAGTGCCGGTGGGGAGTGCTGACGAGCAGGATGTCCCGCGATGTTTGGAGAGTTCAAGTCCAGACCGGGTGAAAGAGCGGGCGGGTTCAGCTTATCGGAGAATTTGCGCGGCGATGAGACGGGGGAGAGAGCCCATCCAACCTCGAATCTACCGTGGAAGCGGTCTGCCTGTCGCTATGGATGCCCACTCTACACGTATGGGGAGAACCTAGCAGACACCTCATATGAGAAGCGCCCCGTTCCCTCCCACACGCACCTAACCAAACCCATAACAGCGTAAGAGTGGCGCAGCTCAAGCAAGATGGGTAGCTACCTGACATATGAGTAGGTGTATCGGAGAGAGATCGACGAACTAGGCACCTTATATACTGGACTGACATGGGTGGTGCATCAGTGAAGATAGCCGCGAGTGCGCACGCGAGGAATTGGCGATATCGGCAACGGGCCAAGAGCACGTAGGTAGGTATAACTGTAGAGAGATGGTAGACGGCGACAGCACCTGGTCTGCTGCTGTACGCAGTACGTATGCATGCGTATAGGTATGCGTATGTGTAGGTATTTATTTACAACTGCCTACGTACGCCGCATGTGTGCATCTCAGACACGCATACTAGACACGCATATCAGACACGCATACACACTACACATTACGACACCACGACACTACACTCTACGACACTACACATACACTACACACATACACCACACACACAACACCGCTTACACCCACTTACACAGTACACACTCGATACACATAGATACCACGACGCAATCTTCCACCAAACAGATCTTCCTTGATACGTACACGCGCGCATCCGCAGCGGGCAATGCTCGACACGATGTGATTCGGGCGGTGCCGAACCCACACCCCCCAAGCCCATATCTGGGCAGGTACTGTAATAACACTCAGCCCTCGGATAGCGCCTACGCGAGCGGATCGTCAAAGCACCGGGGACCCATCGGTTGCTTGCGCAGCCCTGTCCTGCTCATAACTCTGGGCAGACGGGTCCCCCCCTTGCTCCCGGACCCATCGTGGCAGGGTTCCGCATACCACCGGCAAGGGTGCGAGGCTTCTCGCTGCCCACACGTTGGGAGGACCCCGGCGCCTTAGAGAGATGTCACTTTCGCTGCGGCCTCCGGTTTCTCTTACCGTAGCACCAGCCTCGGTTCGCACCCGGCGCCCTAGCACGAACCCTCTGTCACACACACACTCTCTCTCTCTCTTCCCCCTTCTGTCTCTGTCTCTGTCTCCCTCTCTCCCTCTCTCTCGGGGCGGATGTGCTACGTAGCAGGGCCCGGATACGTTGTGTAGATATCTCCTGGCAGGTACCTACCTCGTGGGGCAAACCCGATAACCTCTCTGCATGGGGGGGAAGAGAACCGCCTCCTGTCCCTCTCTGGTAGAGGACAGGGATACCCCGAGATGCCCACTCACTATCTCGACTTGCTATCTTCTATGTAGGTGCGTATGTAGGTATGTTCGAAGTAGGGTCATGTAGGCGCACACATACCTACACCCGTCAGAGCTGATGGCCCGGGTATGCCTTGCTCGCATCCCCACATACTCGGGTCGGGTGCTGGGCGCTTTCATCGTTCTGATAATCGATCTGGCAATACTTACATAGGGAAGGCCCCCCCCTCTCTCCCCCACGGGAGACGTCCTCGTTTCTCTCTGCTCGGTTCCCTTCTTTTTTTGTCTGTTTCTTTTTCTCTTCTTTGTTTTGCTCGAGTCGTTCATTGCTTGGCGCCTGATAGGCACCCTCTATCATGGCAGCCCAGGATCCCAACGCGCCCACGGATAGCAATGGCGGCGCTCTGGTGGCTACCGCCGTCACGATGCTGGCCTTCTCGTGGCTATCCGTGGCTTTAAGATCGTTCGTCCGTGCTAGATTAACTAATGGGTTTCAGTGGGATGACTGGTTTATGTTGGCTGCTCAGGTAAGGAGAGGTCGTGCTGTCGTTGGCTACTTGATTCGTTACTTATACATCCTCTTCCGAGCAGGTAAACTTCACCATATCGTGTGTTTTCATATTAGAGGGAGTGAGCACTGGCCTGGGCCGGCACAACAAGTCGCTCGACCAGCAGGATGAGATCAAGGCCTTGATGTACCAGGCCCTGGCCACCGCCACCTACATCCTCAACATGTGGCTGGTCAAGCTCAGTATCGCCATCTTTCTTGTTCGGCTCTCTTCGCAAAACAGATACAAGTACACGATATACGGCAGCATCACCGTCGTGAGCATATGGAGCATAGTCCTATTCTTCTGGAATCTGTTCCAATGCAACCCAGTCCCCGCCCAATGGGACTACACAATCCTGCAGCAGGACCCCAACGCTCGCTGCGTGTCCGCTGACGAGATCGTCAATGCTGCCTACGCGCTGAGCGTCATGAACGTATTATCCGATTGGCTGTACGCCCTGATACCGATACCGATGCTTTGGAAGGTGAAGATGACGGCCCAAGCAAAGCTCACGGTGGTCATCGTGCTGGGTCTGGGTGTTTTTGCGAGCATCGCTACTCTTGTCCGGCTCAAGTTCCTCTCGGACCTTACGGAATTAGAGGACATCTTGCGTAAGTCCCACTGTCTTTGGCTAGGATCCTAGAGCAGGGAGGGGGGGGGGGGGGGCGATCGCGCGTGCGGACGTTGTCGTATACCCATCGCGGATTGCTAATCGTCTCTTTGTATAGATAACGGGACGGACGCGATGGTTTGGACGTTGATTGAACCCGGAGTCGCCATCGTCGCATCGAGTCTGGTCACTATACGTCCTCTCCTTCGCCTCTGGAAGATTAAGGGATTCGGGACGACTGGATACAGCCGCTCAGCTGGCCCGTTCGGCAACAGCCAGCCTATATCACGCACCACTCGATCGAATAAGATGCCGGCTTTCGGCTCTGCCGAAGTCACCCTGGTGGATGTCGAGCTTGGCCAGTCGAAAGGGTCCAAGTCCGGAGGGAAGCTTCACCGATCTTTATCGCTCTCAGACGCCACGACCGTGGGAAGTTCCCGTTCTCGATCATCGTCGGATGCACCCTTGGTGGCAGGCAGATTACAACGATCCCGGTCGATATCGGACGCCGAAACGTTGACCAGCAAGAGCCATCGGTCCCGACCGTCGCATATGTCCATGGTTTTCGAGGCGCCTTTAGAGGAGGACGACGGGGCGCTGCGACCACCGGAACACGAGGACCCGAGCGGCTCGAGGAGACAAGAGGTGAAGAGCGAGATGTATATCATCGAAGGTGCCGGCCCACCTACGCCGCCCCCGACGACACACAAAGGACCCGTACGCAACGACACCTGGTTATCGGAGCAGGGTTCATCGAGCGATGAATCTTTCGAAATAACCCAGGTTACCTCTCGATTTAATGACGCCGACGACTCCCCACGATTCGGCAAGCCACTGCCATTATTACCACCGTCATACCAGAGGTGAACGGCACAGTCGAAACGAAAGAACAGAACCAATATATATATATTCTATACGTATACTTTCCGCCCCCGAGCAGGTCCGTTACCAATAAGACGCCACTTCCGGGACCAAATCAACGCCGACTTAAAATTTCCTTTCTATTCTTAGATGTATAAATGAGATATACCGGACATACCCAAGGGTCGAAACTAGGTTAGCTAACGGTGGGCGGCTGGGCCATAGGGAAGCGTTTTCTTTTTCTTGGCTGTGGGATGCCTGTACTGCAGTACGGGAGGGCGGAGAGGAAGGGGAGTTACGAGGGAAAGAAAACTCCTTACCATCGGAGTGCAATCTTGGCCAGAGGGCTGGCTTGTCTCGGGTATTTTTTTTTTTTTACAAGTATCTTTGGATAGAAGGACTTGTCACTATCGCCACTTACGTCGCCTAGGCCTACTAGACGCCCTGAAGGGGACGGGAGAGCCCGATTAGGCACTGGGCGGAACTGTTGAGGTATTAGCCCATCCTCAGAGGGAGAAGACGAGGTGTACCTGTACACGGCGCCCGGGAGGAAGATCGTCAGACTTCCAGAGAGAGTTCGAGGTTCATACCTCGGTAGTATTAACTACGTACATAGTAAATACAGGCCTACTAATTCTGAACCCGGATTTATCTTCTCGTTCTGCTGGGCTCACTACTACGTAGCCCGACGAATCCAACAGGATAGATAGAAACAGCACATATTCACTTCTGAAAGTGAACAAGGCTGGCTATTAAGGCCCGCCTTCGGTTATTAAAGGCGAGTTTCGGAGTGGTGTTGCTCCTTTCATTCTGTCCAGAGGTAGCTACCATCGAACACGAGCTAAGACACATTCTGGCATCTGAGGTGAGGATCACCAAGGCCGAAACACATACAGCTTGCACAGCACCATCCGCATACATCCGCATCCCGATCTGTCTCCTGTCGTTCACCTAACCCGACCAGCTCGTCGGTAGCGTAGTCAGCTCCGACAACGCTGGAAACGGCAGGCCGGGCCGGCAGCCAGCGGCCCAGCGCAGGCCCACTGGCGCTCCAGAGCGCAGGAGCACGCGCATGCAGACGAGCACGGCACCAGTCTTCGTCTGCTGCGGCTCACGCGAAAAGACAGGGAGGCCCTGAGCAGGGGAAGTACATATGTAGGCATGTATGCCCCCGTCGGCCATCTCTCGACAACGCGAAAACGCTCTTTGCCCCCCTTTACTCGCCTAGGTTCAAAGCCCTCCGCACCGCGCACGCGAGCCCGCGTCGTCGACATACCTAAATCACTTGCCTCGCGCCCGCGCCAACTCATTTCCGAGCGTCCGGCGACAGAACATTCCACCCGCCTTCCCCCCCCCCCCCCCCCCCCCCCGGTCCCCTGCCTTACCTGCTAGCTGGCTAGCTCACCAGCTAACTAGCTTGGTGGCTAGCTAGGTATCTGCGGACCCGCGTCCTATATATAGCTCGCCGTGGATCACCCGGGGTACCTGCTACGAACCCCAGCGACACGAACCGTGCTTTGTGTCCGCTGAAGACGATACCTAGGTAGGTAGGCCGGCATCGGGTAGCCAGCGCGCGGTCCGGGCTTCGCAGTGCTGCGCGTGTTAGGTGGTACCCAGGTAATGTCTGTATGCGTGCGATAGAAGTACCTCGCGCCATTTCCCTCCCCATCCTTCGTTACCTAGTTAGTTTCACCATGGAGCGCGGAGCGGCGCAGCGCGCAGGCGTGAGTGAGGTTTGCCGGCTACTAGGTAAGGTATGTACATGCGGATTCACCCAAGAAGAAGAAGAAGAAGAGAACCCCAATCTGGCTTACCGTCTGTGCGGATAACCCGATCTGAAGGCACCAGAGCCTCCAATCTACTGAATACCACGTAATGCCCTCACGGGGACTATTTGCGTCCAGTATGCAAATGCGGAGCAGGCTTCAGGCGCGAAGTAACCCTACCGACGGGGCACAGGACGGTTCTTGTTACGGGGGATCAAAGGCATATGGAATACTACGTAGTACGTAAGAGAAGTCTTGCCTTTTCGTATATAAGGCGCGTGTCGATAATAACCCGGGCATACCTAAACGATATAATCGTCACATATACACGCTAAAACCTACGGACTAGGCAGAACGGAACAGATATGTACAGGCTTCATATAGTATAGGGTTCCGCACGGATAGCTTCGAGCCCGCGCCTAAATCCCAACGGAGTGGGCTCGCTCGGGCTCGTCACATCTCGCTTCGGTTCGTGGGTGTATTGACATATAAATGCTAAACTGTTTTTCCTCTCTCGCTCCAGTTATATGCGCCAGGGTGACAGTACTATTTGTTTTAAGGGGAGGCATTCCTCTGCCTAGTCTATCCCGCTCCAAACAGACAGAGGACAATAAGTCGAGTGACTCGCGCTAGACTGCTCGCTGGATAACGTAGAACGCGATGAAACTAATCGAATTTTCGCGACGTCGTCTGCCCGGAGCACCACGCATATAATTACTGGTTTAGGCTGTCTATATCGTCGAGGCTGGGATCCCAATCCTTCTCCTCGTCCCAAATCGGAGCCAAGACGTACTTGCCCATCACCTCGCCCATACCGTAGGCGGAGCCAGTGCTCGCACTAGGGTTCTCCAAGTTTATGTTCTGCTCAACCATGAGGGCCGAAGTTAAGAATTCCGTCGCCGCGCCCATGCCGAGATTCAGGATCGTGCCTCCCCAGTCGAGCTCTACTCTGCCCGATTTGCGTACGTTAAGCTTGCCGATGAACCCGCCCTCAGGCGGGAGAGTTGAGAACGGATTCCATGTCGGTTCGGTGCCTTCTTCGATCTTTACCTTCACGCCGGCCGATTCGTTGCCCTTCTCTTGAGATGTGAGATCTACGGTTTCCGTCTCTCCACTCACATCATGTGTGGCTTTGGCTAGAGGCGGGAGAATGGGCGGTAGCTGGAAAAGATATAACAGGTTGTCTTTCTCCTGGTCCAACTGTGGCTCTTCTTCCCCTTCCCCTTCTCCTCCTCCCTCCCCACTCTCATTGTTCTTGTTAGCAGGAGCCGAGAATTTCAGTTCACGTAGTTGGGCCTCTAAGTCGATGGCAGCATGCGCGACCTCGGGATCCTTAGAGGCCTTGTCTTTGCGTTTTCTTCTTTCAGCCGCGGTCTCGATCTCGGTGTGGATCGGCTTCTTCTTAGCCTCTGGCGAGGGAGGCGCCTTTTGCTGCGTTATTACTTCGGGGATGTCGGCTATGTCGACGACCATCGATTCCGGATCCGTACCCGGTTCCGCCTTCACTGTGATATGGCTTTTCGGGGCCGCATGCCATACTTCGTTATCGTCGTCTATCCTAACGTCGCGTAGGTCCCTAGTTTCGGTGGAGACAAATAGATCACTATCGTCGTCGCCGTCAACGTCAGATGATTGACGTTCTTCGGCTTCAAGTTCTGCCGTGGTCTTGACTTTGACTGCCTCCTCTTCGTGCTGAATGCGGATGAGGCCAACCGGAAGGCTTCCAGCCGGCTTTTGGCTGTAACGAGAGGGTTGATAAAGGGGCGCGCCGTTCTCGTCGTAGCCCGTAAATCCGTTGAGGAGGTCCATGTTAACTCTGCTCTCGTGCTCTCGTCGAGGTTTGTATCTGGAGCTGTCGCTCTGAGCGCCGAAAGGGGCCTTGGATGAAGTTCCACCGCCGGCGCCACCACCACCGCCTGAACTCCATCCAAACCCACCGCTGCCCGCTTTGAGTTGATCTAGTCGGATGTTAGTGTATCTCAACGAACTGCGTGGCACAGAGAATTCAGAATGGTATTACCTGCGGGTATAGCAGAAAATGGGCCGCTGGCTGTGACAGTTCGTCTGATAAATCTACGCTGGGACGCGTCACCCCTCCCACGACCACGTCTTGCTCTTCGTTCTTCCACTCGCTGCTCCCGCTCCTCGGCCTTGATTTTGATGGCTAGGTCGCGATTTCTCGCTTCTTCTAGCATTGCTCGCTCCGCTGCGTCGCGCCGCACATTCCTAGGCTTGAAACGGCTGCCACCACGCGGCGGCGCAGCAGCGGGTGTTTGCGATCGTCTTGAGTTCGCGGCGGTTGACTCGCTGCCTTGCGCATCGGAGGACACTACCGGATCCTCGGCTGGGGGTACATGTGTAGGCGCATCTTTCAACGCCGCGTCAGCGGCGCTTGTAGTCTCCTGAGCTGAGAATGAGGCGCCGGCGAGAGGCGTTCCCGTATCGAGTGATGCCCTGCCTATAGTGTCTGACGCCCGGCTAGCTCTCGCAGCTCCTCTTCCTCCTCTTCCTCTCGCGCCGCCGCCACGTGCTCCACGGGGAGGCATTCCACTAGACCATGGGAGTTGAACGGATTTATCTACGAGAAGGAGAATAAAAGGCTAGATTGAAAGCACGCCCGTCGGGTGATTGGATCATGGACGAGGGGATATGTGGATGTACGAGTAGAAGAATGATGACGGCCAGGCCAAGTCTGATAACTCGAGAAGACGGCTAGGAAAAGTACCTATGGTGGGGCTCTGTGGGAACGACATCATTCCTACAGCAAAGTACCCTGGTACTTAACGGAAGTACATTGGTGGGGCACGATAGCTGAGTGGTTATGTGGTTAGTAATCACTTCCTGCAGCTGGCCGTCAGTTGGCCGCCACCTAGAATCGCGACCAACCCCTGGTTGGCGAGGAAGAAAAAGGGGGAGAGGCGGCGATGGCAATCGACGGGACTCTATTGTGATGGCTAGTTAGCCCTTGGTCGGACCCCTTCCCGGATATGAAACCAAACAGAAATCTGCCTACCTGCCTCTCCCATAGATGGTGGCTCGAGGAGAATCCGCTTAGGTAGGTAGGTAGGCGGGTATACACCTTAGGCGTCTAACGAGTAGAGACTGAGATCAAGGAATAGTTGCCTACCTCCTACGGCACGCGCGATATAGGCGTCGGCCTCGGCATTTTCATCGAACACACATCAAAGCTTGCTCTCCAAAGTGCTGCTCGATGCTGCCTTCTTGAAGAAGCATTGTTCCCACCCAGTTCCGTGCAGCCTCAACGGTTGCCGCCCCGAATTTGACCACGATGCAACCGCGCACGTTGGCAGCTGACCACAATATCTGCTTTTCCTTCTCTTCCGCCAGCCTTGCCGCCCGCCAGCGCTGGATAGGAGACTGAGGTGCGGCTTCGTCCTTCTCGCGCGTCTCGTCGCTGCGGAAATCTCGAGCGCCTAGCCGTGGCAAAGCGGAAAATTCGGCCAGGAAGAATTCGCCGACGGTCCTAGTCATAGGACCTCGTAGAATCAGCGTCCCGACGATAGCATGGCCATCCATCGATTCGCGGAGCGAGGGCAACCCAGCAGGCCGATTTGCGCTATCGAGGATGACAGCATCTCGCACCAAGAGACGCTCTTTAGCGCCTGGCGCGTCGGCAGCGGACCAAACTTCATTGCGTCCAACCCATCGCCTAAAGCTCCAGTTCTCCCCGCGGGCGGTGCGGCCCTGGGTAACCCAGTCAAGCAAGCACATCGAGGCGCTCGCGGCTAACTTGAATATCTGGATCTGCTCATAAATGCTGTTCTCAAACGGCTGGACTGGGTCCGGAAGGAGGCACAGTGCTGCGCCGGTTTTTATTTCTACGCTTAGGTTTTGTCGTGTTACGATGTTCTGTACGGCGGATGGGAAGATTTTGGTATGTCCCTGAGTGACGACACTGAGTCTCGCCTGGGGATGTATATCGATGCTGAGGTTAATTTGGTCCCCGCTGACAAGACCGCCCCCGTACGACAAGAGGAATACCAAGACGCTGCCCTGCTCGGCGACAGAGGAGGGGGAGATGAGCTTGAGCGGATATTGGTAGGTGATGCTCTCCGGTGCGGAGATATTGTTGGGCGCGAGCTTGACCACTATTCGACCTGCGCCGGGGAGCGACGACGACTTTGGGAACGGCGAACTCATGTTACCAATCCCATACTGGTTCTAGCAAAAGCCGAGCTTGAGAGGGTTACGATTGGGGGTTATCTTGGTGTAGAGGTGGCTTGAATTAGGCACTTGAAGTAAGGTAGGTAATATATCTGTTGTGCAAGGTAGGGGGCTTTTTGCGACGTGACGATCCTTTTATCTCGGCGAGAAGAAGAGACGCAACGTAGGCTAGGGCGGTAGGTATGGGTATATGAGGACGGGTCGGTTATGTGCGATCAACTGTGGGCGCTATCGCGCATAGTAGCTACCTTAGGTACTTTACCTACCTAGGTACCTAGGTACCTATCGTAGGCTGGGTACCTGGTATTTCAGGTGCCTCATAGGAGAGCTCTCTTCTATCTCGCGGTGGTGGGAGTCTCTAGGACAGGCAAGTAAAGCCCTAGATACTGGCCTGCCGCCTAACGTGGGACGCCTTGATGGATCGAGGTACCTCCAAGATGGCCTTGTACTTTACTACTTTAGGTACCTAGGTAGGTACCTCCTCTAAGTAAATGTAGGATTTCCGTCGCCCATGCGCCCCCCCAAATCATTGGATGGGTTCGATGGAAATAAGAGCTGGCAGGTACCTAAGCTACATACGGAATCGGTGGGACGTCAGCCGATCTCCCTCCATCTTCCCTCCCCATCTTCCCCCCTCCCCTTTTGCCTCTGCGGCCACAATACAACCGGGGCTGTGGCCTACCCAAACACGCTCCCCACCAACTCGACGCGCCTGAGCGCCAGCAATTCTTGTGAGAAAAACCAACCCTCCGCCATCATCCGCTAGCCAACACCGCGCTCCCTTCCACTCCTACCCACGCCCCCCTTCCCAGCAGGCATGGTCGCATCCTATTGAATTTCTCCCATGTCCCCATCCAGATTGCCCCTTATGGACACTCCCGATAATAACGCGACCTCCTCTCCTGCTCCCGACAGTGCGCGACGAAGATCGGGACGCGTTGTGAGGGCCCCTCAGAAGTTCTCCCCCGACCTCCCCTCGGCCCAGAACGAGCATGCATCGTCCAAGCGCAAGAGAGGCCCCGACCGCGGCGAGGAAGACGCCGAGAACGAGTCCCCCGCTGAGGACGGCGAAGATGACGACGAGCTCAGCGACCCGGAAGATGACGACGACCACGTCGATGACGAGCCCGCCCCCAGATCCAAGAAGTCCAAATCCAAGCAGAGACCCCGGCCGAAGAAGCCGGCAGTCAAGCGCGCAAGGGTCAACGGCAGCGCGCCCGCAGAGCCTGCATCGGCTTCCCATGCGCCCGCCGTCAAGCTTCCGAATCGGCCCAAGAAGACCGTCAGAGTGGCCATCGTCAATTCCGACAGAGACGGCCTCTACGGTAAGCAACCCCCCCTGCTAGATTTCCAATGCGCCTCCGATTCCGAGGTTATACTGATGTCGTATTAGCCGAGGTCTTTGGTTCCGGCAATTCTTCCGATGATGTTGCCGCGCATTGGTTCCAGAGCTACCAGCAGGATGACGCCAAAGCGTTGACCGACGTGATCAACTGCGTCTTGCTTGCGGCCGGTTGCGATCAACAACTGACCGAGGATGATATCCGAGACCCTGACAATTCCGCGAACCGACTGTCGGAACTCGAGGATGCTTATCAGCAGGTGCGCGAAGCGTTCCCCTCATCCTCCCGACCTCGGGATCGCATATGCTAACTAGCTCGCCGCTAGACTAATATTTCAGACTATCCTCTTATCTCGAGGGCGAAGAGTAGCAGGAACTTCCGTGACCTCCTCGTGGGGTTCTTCGACTCTCTCGTCAGTCTGCTGCACCAGACCGAGGTCCTCTACAGCGACGAAGATCTGTTGGACAATATCCAACGATGGGTCGGCATCATGTCTTCCTCCGCTCTACGCCCGTTTCGGCATACGGCAACGACCGTCGGACTAGCCATACTTACTGGGCTAATTGAAGTCACGAAGCAGCTTGACGACCGAATCACAAAATCCAATCAGTCTTTGCAGGCCGAGTCTAACCGTCGGGGCAAAAACAAGAACCTGGTCGAGAATACGAAGAAAGCCCTCGATGTTGCGAACCGCAGCCGTGAGTTCACCGATACTAAAGTCAAGGACTTTTTCGACATTGTCTTCGTCCATCGCTACCGGGATATCGACCCTAAGATACGCGCCGAATGTATCGAAGCCCTAGGGACCTGGGTTTGCACCCTCCCGACGGTGTACATGTCTCCGGAATACCTGCGATACCTCGGGTGGCTACTGTCGGATGTCTCTGTATCTACGCGATTAGAAGTTCTGAAACAGCTGGCGAGAGTTCTAAAGCGGGATGCAGAGAAGTTGGCACACTTCATCGACCGGTTCCGACCCCGTCTTGTTGAGATGGCGACTAGGGACTCTGATATCAACGTGCGCGTTGCAGCAATTGGGGTAGTAGATATATTACGCGCCTCCGGCATGCTCGAACCCGAAGAAGTGGACTCTGTCAGTAAACTCCTCTTCGACACCGAGGTCAGGATTCGGAAGGCGGTTGCTGGTTTCTTCTCGGCTCTCGTCGAGGAGCTCATCGAGAATAAAGTAGACGAGATTGGCGGCAGCGATGCCCTGGAAGAGGTTTTCGGTGAGGAGGACGAAGACGAGTACGACTCGCTCCGTAAGGACTGGATCAATATCAAAGCTCTCGCCGAGAATCTCGCCGTTTATGACGCCCAGCTGGATGAGGAGCAGGAGGAGATCCGACATGGGCTAGATGTTGCCGCGGACGTGATCAATGCCACCGTGCCAGACTCGCGGATTGCGCTAGCGACTCAAGTGCTCTACGAGAGAATACCGCAAGTGAATAACTGGCAAATCATTGCGGGCTATCTATTGTTCGACCACTCGACCAGTTCCAAATCTAGACACAGTTTGAAGACGAACTCGATCGAGGCAGCCACCAAAAAGGCCGTCGCCCCTGAGCCACGGGAGGAAGCGATTCTACTGGATGTTCTCTCCGCCGCTGTGAAGGAGAGCCTTTCGCCATCAACCGAGCACGATAAACATAGGAAAAAGGCGGGAAAGCCCGATTCGGATGCGCAAGATGACGCCGGTCTCAAGCTAGCCGCTCTCATCCCTCTCCTCCTGAACAAGTTTGGATCGGACCCTGCCATGGCCGCCACCGTGCTCCGACTAGAGCACTTCCTAGATCTAGAGGTGTTCCAACAGCTGCGCCAGAATTCGGCCACATACGAGAAGCTTCTCGACGAAGTCACGACTCAATTTAACCGCCATGTCGACCAGGCTCTCCTCAATGAGGCGACCCGCGCATTCATCCACGCTAGGCAATACGAAGAACTCGAAGAATTGACTGATAACAAACTGGCGGTGCTATGGGATAATTCGGTCAACTCATTGCGAAGCATCGACAAAATCTGCGAACTGTCGGCCCGAGGCAACCTTGACCGCACAGCGCTCGCTGAACTTTCCAATACCCTAATGAAGATCAGCAAGCTAGTTACTATTTCTGATTGCATAGATGTCTTGGGGACGCCGGGCACGTCGATAGACTCGGACCAGCCGGCTATCAAGATTCTCGTCGGAATCGTACATCGCGGCCTTTTAAAGGAGCCAAACGAGGATCTCGATGATCCAGAGGACGAGATCGTTGGTTTTGCTATAAAGGCCTCGCAATTCTATTTTATGTGGCAAATTCGAAGATTACAGAGTATTATCGACAGCGGTGCAGATATACCCGATGCCGTTGCGGACGAGCTCGCCGTCTTGCGCAAAGACCTGGTTACGAATCTTATCCAAACCTTCTCCTCGCGAGGCTTCAACGACGACCTTCGCCTCCTAGCTGTTGGCGCCGCCTGCGATCTTTCTGCACTTTTTGTCTTCCTCCGGCCTATAGTCCAAGGTCCAGATGCCTCCAAATACGGAAAACTGCGCTCCCTCCTCGAAGAAATGCCGACAGCCTTGATTTCCCAGGAGATCATCCCCATATTTGATTCTGCAGAGCACGCGTATGCGAAGCGCGCCAAGAAACAACTTAACGAGCCGGCAGACGACGAGGATCCCTTGGATGACGAGGCGCCCCCGGAGGACGACGAGGACGATGAGCTCACGGAGCGGGAGCGCTTCGCCGCCGAGTTAAAGGCCGAGAAGATTCTATGCGAGCTCACGGGCAAGCTCGTTCTTGCCATCTTAGCCAAGACCATCGACCACACCGGGCCGGACGCCGGCAAGCTTCGCAAGCGGCTCACCCGCAACAAGGCTAAGCTCGGGAACAACTACCGGGACGTGGTCGTGTACCTAGACGAGGATCACCTCCGCGAGCTCCGCGCTGGCAAGAAGAAGTCGGCGGCGAAGGCCGGTAAGGGCAAGGAAGCTGCGAAGAGGCCGGCCCTCAGCGCGGAGCTAGTCATCGAGGACGGGGACGACGACGAGGGAGATGAAGAAGCCCCGCCGCCAGCGGAGGATCCGTTCGAGGAGGCGGAGCCCGAGGAGGGCACCGTCGAGGATCTGAGACGCCGCGAGCTTCTCGAGGACCCGGTGGAGGACGAGGACGAGGCGGAGGAGAACGGCGACGGCGGCGAACCGAAGAAGCCAGGGGCAGGAGACGGCCGCGAACACGACGACGATGACGACGACGTTATCGGGGATTAATGAGCGCGCGAGCGAACGAGACCCTATAGTGTAGAACAGAGCAGAGCAGGTGTAGAGCAGAGGCAGAGCAAATCACGAGGGGATAGGAGGGGGGGGGAAGACGACGGGGAGGGGATGTAGGCTCACGAGGTTTTTGGTTCCATTGCTGTCCTTCTCCATGTGTACCTAGTACGTATTATTCTACTGCTGAGCATCGATTGCGACCCAAAGGGAGAGAGGGGGGAGGAGAAAGGAGAGCTAGGACGAGGCTGAGAAGGGGGGGGGGGGGGGATGAATGATACGGCTACTCAATTTCCTTGTTATCGTGTTGTCCCTCAGCAGGACAAAACACATCACAAACTCACAACACCCTCCCGAGTTGACGATTAATCAATCGGTTGGATTTCTGCCCAGTTTCTCGGTTACTTTTCGCGTAGACGCCGGCCCGGAGTGGCGGTAGGTGGTTCTAGGTGTATAACAGGCACAGCAGCGTTAGCGTGTGTATATAGGCGGTGCAAGGGACAAGTGCGACGTCGAGCTCGGTAGGAGACCATACGATAGACGGCGCGATTTGGCCTTGGCCTGCGGCATAGCCCGTCCAACGTAGCAGACTCAGATGCCTGCCTGCGTGTCCCCCGGCTCTAGGAAAAGATGACTCGATCCCGCTCCCCGCCCCCCCGCTTCGTCCTAGGAGGGACAGAATACTATTACTGGCTTGTCCTTAGCTAGTCGAAGAGGAACCGGACGGTTCAGAGATTATCCCGCGACCAGGCTAACAACATCCACCGCTTAGATAGTATATACGTATAGTACCCCTCTAGAGACGTGGATTGCCACGTCGTGCTAGCTGATGGCATTATGACAACTGTGTCCCATCAAGCGCGCGTAGATGGTGACGGCGTAGATCGCCGACTCTGGAGATACTATTGAGTTAAAAAAAAAGGGGGGTGATGATAACACCGACTTTCACCCGCAGGTGTTGTCCGTCGGTAAACAGTAGTTGGGGGCGAAGAGCCACGTCACTGGCCAAGCGTAATTCTTTATTTAGGTACAGTGTCTAGTTAGTCCCGTGCGGAGCATATCTTCGTTCCGAACAAGCCGAATACTCTCTCCCACCGCTTTCCCTCGCCGGCGTTCGCCTTGCCGGGGTCAGTCTCGGGCACCCTGACGCCGTACTGGCGGATGCAGCACGTGAAGGCCCTGTTCGACACTCCGTCGTCGGTAGCGGGACGACTCCCCGATAGGCGAACAGGCGAGCTCTCTGGCGGCTGTCGGGTGGCTATTTGCAGCCGATCCCGCTTCTGGAGTTGCAACGCTTGCTGCTTGCGCTCCTCCAGGTTACCCCAGAGCACGAAGAGCTTCTCCTGCAGCCGGCTGAGGTCTTTGGGTTCGGCTCGGAGGCTAGGGCGGTAGCGGGTCAACCATCGCAGGACTGCGGCGGGAAGGGGTGTGACTTACTCTGATGCATCGAGACCCAGCAGTTGCTGCGCCTCGATATTGTCGACTACAACCCATAACTTACCACCCCCGCTCTTATATTTGGGGTCCGCCTCTTCTAGCAACAGGGCGAACCGCCATTCCCACGTCTTCGTTCGGGTGTGCGGGTGTACCGTGCCTTGATCCTCATCCTCATCCGAGTCGCTAGTGTCGTCGCATTCGGACAAGGCATCGTATTCGCTTTTCTTATGACAGCAAGCGAAGTCCTCTAGCTTGCTAGGCTGAAAGTCGACGACTCGAACATTGGCCCGGTACTTCGCACAAGTAAAGGGGGCCGTCAGTGTCACTTCTTGACTATCGATGGTCGTCGTGAATAGTGTTGGCTCGAAGATGGAAGAGACCGCTAAAACCGGCTGGTCAAGACTCTCGCATTTGACTGTGTTTATCATTAGAAGACGGAGGTAACGAAGGATAGTCTAGGTTGGCACTATACCTAGGTCGTTGAGGTTGGCCTTCTTCTGGTACTCTAGCTTCTGCTCTTCTTCCCACTTCTGCTGGATCTCGGTGCGTCTTGTTCTCCTGTTGTTCTCCGATTGACTCTCAGCCCTTCGTTTGTTGCCGTTTCCCTTACCCGCCTTCCCGCCCAGGTTCTGTTTCTGCTGCTTTTTCCTCATCTGCTCATAGTTTAGCTTCCGCTTGATAGCTGCCTTGAGTCGGTCGTCGGGCTGGTCAGTGGCGAGGATGTCAATCTGAACTCCCGAGCCATACCCGCCACGACCTTCCCGTATAAATCCCTCCAGGTTATTAGAGTTGCGCCCGAACTTGACGTGGAGGTTCCGTAGCTGCACCCAGCTCCCGGCCTTGACATGATCACGAATAAATTGAGCCTGAACGCCGAAGCAGGTGACTTGCATTGTGCGTTTCCCAAGAGGACCAGGCCAATTATTTGAAGGCGAGTTCCTCACCGTAGTATACCCGTATGGATCTCCGTCTCGAGCTTGGGAGAGGCCTGGCGGATTTAGGGAAAACTCGTAGAAGCGCTCGTTCTCGGTATAGTCTGAAACCCATAAAGTTGAAATATCTAGCTGATCAAAGGGATCTTTGACCACGTTGACGACAACATCGCTAAATTGCTGGTCACGGACATCTTTCAACATTCGAAACTTGTCTTTGAAGTTACGAGACTGGTCTATCTTCATCTCGAACGTGGCACCATCGGGTATATGGTCCTTATCCATGGAGTAGTATAGCCAGGCGACATAGTCGTGTTGATGGTCACCTGGCTCTGCCGGGGACAGGCCGTTCGGCCGCCAAGAGGTCACCAATGCCACCTTTGCTGACACCGGCGGCTTAGGAATCTTCCTCGACGAGTACACGAAAATGGCAGTGGAGGCTTTGTTCGTTAGAAGAGACACGTCGCCACGCCAGAGCTGAACCTTGGCAGACACGACCACCACGACGTCGCCGGCATCAGGCTGAGGCATGCCGGACTCCGGTCCAAATATGTTGATAACAAGTCCCACATCTTCATTCTCGATAGACTTGTCATACAAGGTGATGGCAGATTTCCAGTCTATCCCACGTTAGCTCGACGGGGCCAAAGATAAAAAAGAAACAAGAAAAAAGAGGAGGAGTATCGAGCAGGACGCATCGGCTTACCGGCCTTGTCCGTGGACATGGGAGCTCTACGGTCTTTGACTAGACCGACGACAGTAACGAATCTGTTGACGGGGACGGATTGCTCCAGTATATGCCGGATGGTCGTGTATCCAGAGGGTAACGGCCTCTGCTGATGAGAAGAGGCATTGGACTGCCGAGACATCTGCGGGAGAGCGGGTGTGATTTGGGCATACTAAGGTAGCAGGATACGGGACGTTGTAGAGCAACGACAAGAACTCTTCGTCTCCCAGTATGGTCTAAGTCGATGCATCTAGAGCCAGCTACGGACGCTAGACCTGGAAAATTCTCGGGCGGATAGGAATCGGGCTGAGATCTATCAGGCTGGTCACGATCACGCCGACATATCCAGATCGAGGGGGATGCGTTCCTCAGCGCGTTGAGAGTTCGCGACGGATGGCATGGACCAAGTCGTTGCCGGATTGGGCATATGCGTTTAAATACATATGAGTCCCGATATAAGCACGAACAGGGCGCTCTAAATGGAGCCCCGTGATTGGTTGGTTTGGGCAAGAGCACGAAACGCAACGCAACGCAACGCGGCGCGGCGCAACGGAACGCAATACAACGCAATACAACGCAACGCAAAGCAACGCAACGTACGGCAGACGAGCCGAACTTGAGCTGTCCAATTAGCTGTTTAGCATTTAGTTTTATTCTCGTAATTGATTAGCAGTTTAGGTTTAAACGTTTTGCATGCCTCATTGCCTAAGGTAGCAAAGAAATAAAAGTAAAGTATCTAAAGTAAATAGCCTCACTTAAAAAAAATCTTTCAAGTATATATAATGAGAGGCGGCCTTAATAATAGACACTTTATATACCTAACCCGGGCCAAGTTAGGTACCTAGCCTCATTATGCAGAGCCGTCCCCCTCTCTGGGAGGCGCACTGTATATACGGGTGGCGTTAATACGTCCGCTGGTACATAAATGCAACCGTCGAAGCAGGCACTGACCCTAGAAGGTACCTTCAATCGAGGTGGGCCAATTCTCCATGGTAGAAGGCAGGTAACATCTCCTGCGTAGTAGATTAGGTTAACCTCCTCCCTGCGGCCCATGGCTGCCTGAGGCAACAGAAAGGGTATATCTACCTTAGGTACCTCAGCGTCTATCTGGCTCATGTACCTGGGAGGCGGTAATTGCAGCGGGTGCTCCATGATGCACATATGCACCAGGCCGGGGTGATAGGTACCAGGCCTGTCGGGTTAGGTACCTCCTCTAACCGCGTAGGCTCTGCGTGATTCACCGTCGTGCATAATATAATCATGTGGCTCTGGCCAGACACAAGGTGGTCCGTGCTGGGAGTTGGACCCTACGATTGGCTGGGCAGGCTTCTCCGAATAAAAGTCCTGATGGAAGGTCCCCCCGCTAAGGTTGAAAGAGCGACCACCATCCATCCAAGTCTAAATTCTTCTTCTGCCTCCGGCATCATCAACACTTTCCCCCACCAGTCTCTGCCACCGGGCAACGCATCTCCTCTTCATAGTTCCCGTCTTCCTCGCCGCTCTCCCGTCTCCATCTCTGCGCTGCATTCTCCGGCATCGCGTCATCATCCTCCAGACCTGCATCTTCTTCTCTCCTCCCTGGCTCCAGGCTGGCGTTGTCTCTGCGCAAGCGTCTTGCCTCTTCCATTCGCGCCCTCCGCAAGTACCACTGTAGAGGGTGATCAAAACAAATCACCCCGCCTTGTCCCCTCTCTCTTTTCCCTTCCTCCACCAGCCACGCACGTCCTGTAGGGATACCCATCGGCAATCATGGCGGACCGGTTCATCCCCGAGCATCGCCGCAACCACTTTAAGGCCAAGAACACCTTCAAGCCCGATGAGCTCCGCCGACGCCGCGAGGAGCAGGCCGTCGAGATTCGCAAGGCGAAGCGAGAAGAGAATCTAGCCAAGAGACGTGGCATTGGCAGTGGTGACTCGCGTCCCGGCGCATCGCTGGGTGCTGCTCCCGACAGCGACGATGAATCTGCCCCGACCGAGAGCCAGGTACGTTCAATCCTCATTAACACCTACGCCACCCCCCCCTTCCCTCCCCCATTCGTGTGTGTCTCTTGAGCTCCCCGCCGTCGTCTTCGCTTCTCGCCTTTTTTTTTTTTTTACGCTTAGTCTTCTTCGTGGCGACATAGGCCCCACAGTTCCCTATTGGCTTGAGACGTAGCTTGCTCTCGCCATTCACCATGTCCACGTTCAGAGCCTTGCTTTGCCGATATGTGCTGACATAGCCGATCAAACAGCTCAACGAGGACCTCCCTCAGATGGTCCAGGGCGTCTTCTCGGACCAGATCGATCTCCAGATCCAAGCAACCACCAAATTCCGAAAACTGCTCTCCAAGGAGCGAAACCCCCCGATCGAGGAGGTTATCAAGACCGGCGTCGTCACCCGATTCGTCGAGTTCCTTCGCTCCCCCCACACTCTCGTCCAGTTCGAGGCGGCTTGGGCCCTCACCAACATCGCGTCTGGAAGTGCCACCCAGACTCAGGTGGTTATTGAGGCGGGCGCTGTACCGATTTTTGTCGAGCTGTTGGCTAGCCCTGAGCCGGATGTCCGTGAGCAAGCCGTCTGGGCTCTCGGCAACATCGCCGGCGATAGCCCGTCTTGCCGGGACTATGTATTGAGCTGCGGTGCTCTGAAGCCACTCCTTAACCTGTTGGGCGATAGTCGCAAGCTCAGCATGCTTAGAAACGCTACCTGGACTTTGAGTAACTTCTGCCGAGGCAAGACACCCCAGCCCGACTGGAATACTGTGAGTTTGTTTTTTTCTGGATCATGTTTGATGTCCGGCCCAGAATTGCCTCGCATGATCTCGTCGATTCGCTAACCTTTCCTCAGATCGCACCTGCACTTCCAGTTCTTGCCAAGCTAGTTTACTCTCTCGACGATGAGGTCCTCATCGACGCCTGCTGGGCCATTTCCTATCTATCAGATGGTTCCAACGACAAAATTCAGGCCGTCATCGAAGCCGGGATCCCCCGCCGTCTTGTGGAGCTGCTCATGCACGCATCTACCTCCGTCCAGACTCCGGCCCTGCGGTCTGTTGGCAATATCGTTACCGGTGATGATGTGCAGACACAAGTCATAATTAACTGCGGCGCCTTGTCGTGCCTGTTAGCGCTTCTAAGCTCTAACAAGGATGGCATCCGCAAGGAAGCATGCTGGACTATTTCGAACATTACAGCGGGCAATTCTCAGCAGATTCAAGCCGTCATTGACGCCAACATTATCCCTCCCCTGATCCATTTATTGTCTAACGGCGACTTGAAAACTCGTAAGGAGGCTTGCTGGGCCATTAGCAACGCTACCAGCGGTGGGCTCCAAAAGCCTGACCAGATCCGATACCTAGTTACGCAGGGTTGTATCAAACCTCTATGCGATCTTCTCGCCTGCCCCGACAACAAGATCATTCAAGTCGCCCTAGACGGCCTAGAGAATATTCTCAAGGTTGGTGAACTCGACAAGCAGACTGCTGGAGAAGACTCCCGGTCGATCAACCGTTATGCACTGTTTATCGAGGAGTGTGCCGGCATGGAGAAGATCCACGATTGCCAGACGAACGCGAACGAGGAGATTTACATGAAGTCTTACAACATCATCGAGAAGTACTTCTCTGACGAGGACGAGAACGCCGACGACGGCATGGCTGCGCACACCCAACCTAACGGCACGTTCGGGTTTGGAACCAACGGCGCGCAAGGCGGTGGTTTCAACTTCGCCAACGGTGCTGACACGATGGATATGTAGGGCGGCGCCGCCCCCGGTAAACCCCATCATCAGGCGGGATGGCTATGGCCTGCACCCGATCCTACGAAGCTCCGGGCAGGCAATCTAGTAGAATAGTCACAACACGAACCTCATGCCCAAGCCCCCATAACCCCCCCTGCTTTGCCTTACACGTAACCCAATTCCCTGCACACAAGCCCCATCGAGAATGGCGTTAATCGAGGTAGGAAGAAAGACCAAGTCAAGGTCAACCACGCGAGCAAGAATGATAGGCCATTTGGTAGCTTTAAAGCTCCAGCCTAGGAGAGAAGAAGTGGTTGTAGGGAGAGTAAAGTGTTGTATTATGTACGAGGGTCGCTAATGGTAGCTTGAAAGCTCCTACCCTCCCGAGAATGGACCTGAGATCCGCAACACGACTCGGCCCCCCGAGGTCGCCGCGGAGTTGTTGTCGGGTTAGTCGGTTGAGTCGCGGTATCTCACCGATCTGGTACAGGCCGGATACGAATAGTGCTCTTAGCACTGCCCCTCCCAAGTGGTAGAGGTAGAGATTCCCGACTCCCGCCAAGACCTGAAGGACTCAACAATGTGCCGGTCTTATCAAGTGGTAAGTACCCCTTTCAGAAGTAGTCATCAGACGGCTAGTTAGTGAGCCCGGGGCCCAAGGCATTCGTGCCGTGCAGCTCCGGCTTGCTTAAAATTGACACCATCCCGCCGACATGCCCCTGATAGCATCTTCCCGAGTGACTGACCGTCCCCCGACCGTAAATGTAATGGATGACCTCCTGGAATCCTAATCCGTCGCTGTCGGTATGCATTCCTTTCTACTTTTTAGGGGTTTACCTACCTAGGTATGTATGCACACATATAGGGGTACCCAGGTGAATATCATGTACATTCCTGCCTGGTAGTCCCCGACCTTCGCGATAAACCAAGCCTAGTGCCGTTGCTGTTTTTCTTCGGGTACGAGTGGTTATACTTAGGAAAGTCGATTTTCACCTGTCATGCAACACTCTACGGCTCAGGCCCGCGGGGCTCGCTGAAGGGCAAAATCGGACGCGGTCTTAAGATACCTACTACTGAACTCCCTTCGTTGTAGGTATAACCCTGGCCATCCTAGATAGGCGCAACAAACCCTTACCTATTGGTAAGAGATGATAGCCGGACGAGCCGTCCAGTTTTTTCTCTGCCATAGGTACCTGGTATTGCCTTGAACAGGCAGCATGCATCTGGGGCGCCTCGCGACTAGGCGGTGTCCTCCGACAACAACCGCAACAACACCGCCCAGGCCCTACCTTACCGTCACCTCGCGTCGGCAAGGTCTATTCACGCGCCAAGAGCTAGCCGATGGACTCTAAACTCCGAACCACGCTGCTAGCGGCGGTCGAGTCTATACCGGACGCGTCTCCGCAGAGGTCGCGGCCGCTTAGCTTGGGAGTCGAGTGTGTCGGCGGCGGTTCGCGGCTCGGTAAGCACCCCTCGCAATCTCCACCCGCTCCGCGCGAAGATCGTGTCAGAGCCTAGAGCGCGAGCGTGAAGCGACTCGGCGTGTTCTGGGAGCGCCCCGGCGCCGGCGGCCGCGCTGTGCCGCATCGTGGCGTCGCCGGCTGGCTGCCACCACACGTGCTGCCGCCTGGCCCCCAACGGCATATTCGGCGGAGGAGAGCGAGGCTGGCTAGGCACCTATTTGCGCGAGCGTCTACGGAACTCGCGCAAAGCCCCCAATCTCTTTCGAACCCATTTAGGCAGTGATTTAGGCAGTGGAAAAGCTTTCTACGAAAGATACGCTGGCATACTGGGCGCTCGAGCTGAGGATGAGTCAGGGTCGTGGTCACATTTTATGTGCATAGGCTGATGAAAGCACACCGAAGCTATCGGTGAGCGTTGAACTCAATCTACCATTCTCGTCCTAGGCGCAATGCCCTGATAAGTTGGAAGAGGCGGGCACGCATAGCTGCTGCTGGGTGATCCCGCTGCGACAACACGTCTCGTCTCAAGGGGGGAGGTTATTGACCAGAAAAAGACGACCCGAACCCGCCCGCGCCTCGATCGACATTTCGATCCGCTGGGACGCCTGCGGCGGCATCAACTGGGGCCTTGAGCACGCCCATCGGCATGTTGTTACTGGGCGTACGGGGCATCTGTACCGTCTCCTGGGCGGCACATCAATGTTTAGATGGTGCAAACCAAGCCGACCAGCTAGGTACTGTCTGCGAACGCACCTAGAACGAACTCGAATGCACCGAATTTAAGGGTTTTCAAAGGGAGCGATAGACTGACCGTCTACGACACTCCTTGAATTCCGAAACCCTCCCTTGACTGCGAAGCGCCGTGAGGCTTCCTCTTTACCTTCTGCTTCAAGTTGCCTGGAGGCATGCGGGACCTCGATAGCGTATTTCCTTGGCTCCTCACCAAATAGGTTCTTGAACTCCTCCTAGTTACACCAACGAATAGTTGGGGAGAGTTTCCCTTCGACTTTCGGACCTGTGCTAGGCTTTTCTCCCCCGCTAGCTGCGGATTGTGATGCGCTTGCCAGGACGGGCTTTTGGGATTCTAGACTTCTGAGTCTCCTCTAGAGACTTGATTTGTGCCAAAATGTCAACCATTGATTTTGGTACCGTGGTGACCGGCTCCGAGGGTATATCGCCCCTATCTTTCGGTGTTTGTTTACGCCCATCTGGGGCAAATCTATAATTAAAAGGGGGAAACGGGCTTTGTCGAAAGCATAGCACCTTCTCAGCCAAACTCCCTAAACCGCTAGAGAGACGGGCCAAGAAGAGACACCTCTAAGTGCACTAATCCTTAGGAACCTTTCTTCAGAAGTATCCTATATATTCCTGTTCGTCGCTGGTGCAAGAAAGATGAGATTATGGATAACTTCGTCGTTTGGTGCTGCCGGTACCACAACATCTCAGGGCGATTTTATCTATTGGAGAAACGAGGTAAAGCGTTCAGCCAATTACAGAAGGGATATCATTCTAGAACAGAAGGGATTAAAACCCGTTTCTTCGTGAGGCTTCGGAGGAAGCTCCGCCAACATGACCCCCCTGTTTACTGGAGTTCCGCGCCTCACTCGGCATCGCTGCCCAAAACCTGCAACACCATTATGCCTAACGGCTAGCATAAAGTGTAGGTAATCTCGAATCATCTGTCATGGTTATCTAGCCTGTGGACAGGCGAGTCATGTTCGAAATCCCCCTCTTCTTCCTATTGTGCTGATGGTGGAACATAAGCTATTGGAAGCCCGCTATTTCTAGACTTCCGCTAGATACCTGCAAGGAGATCAACGTCGGCCGAGGATTTGCTGGAAACCCTCCAAGTGCCCTTAGACATGGCGGAGAGAGATCTGAGGGGAGGTGTTGAGTACGTGTGGGAACATCGACTAAACTGCCTTGCAGCAAGCTGCTTGGTTGCTCAAGCATGAAAGATTTCGGGACTAGGCTTCCAGCCTTCAGCCTGATGTGCTGCTCGTAGATGGGCTTGTCGGGCATCGCCGTGTCGGCGCCCTTTCTCCTGTCTGCCATGATGGCGGCACTCGCCTCTGTACCGAAGGAAATGGGATACCACCACCTAGGTCCGCACTGAGTCCTACATTTCTTCTCCGGACAGCACAACTTTCCGGAAGACGGATCATCTGGCCCCAGGATTCTTCTCAGATCTCTCATCGCTCAACTCCTCTAGTCCTTGCCGGAAGATTGACGATATCTGATAGGCCTGTCTTTCCTCGACACTGACACCTACGTGCAGACGCCTCTGGAAGACTACGACATCGATGCTCTCTGCGATATTCTCCATGAGATTATGAGCAGATTGAGATCGATATGGCTGTACACATGATCGTCGACGAGGCCTCCGCGTTCGGAACACGGGGGGGTGGCGAGAAAGGCGAGATGGTCTAGCTGGTGGGTCGACCGCTGTCTCATTGACGATTCTCAACATTCGGGAGGCGTTCCGCCGGTGAAGCTCTTGCTCTCCAGTTCTCTAAGAAGCGTCCTCGTACGAGATGTGGTCTACGACGGGGGTCTCGTCTCGCTGGAGGCAGGCTATCTGAGAAGCACTTCCCTCTCATCGTCGGCAGTTTGGGTGTATTGGGAGGCTTGGTCCGCGTGTCCTCGATGCGTTACCTACATAGCCGAGCCGTAGCTGGGTTCCGTGTTTCCGACTAGCATTAACTCGGATGGGTTTCGAGGGAGGATGTAAATGTGGTTAGTCCTACGAGACAGTAGTTGACGGACACCCCTCAGGAGTAAAAGCTCTGATTATTTGGCAGAGGTCTTGACGATCGAGGTTAGGAATGGAGACATGGTGTCGGTGGATATAGGTATATCTAGGTAGGTCAAAATAATACAGGTAGGTATAGGTATACTCCGTACAGCTATCCTAGAGACCAGGTCCCGCTGTATCAATCAGCGTCTCAACAGCGCCTTGTTAGGTACATGCAGGCTATGGGTCAGGTACATAAAGTACCTTATGCATGCACCTACCTAGGTGGATAGGTACTCGACCGGTCACTTAGCGAGGAACCGTAGTAGGTACCTTAGGTAGGTACCTCTTATTTAGGGAGGTGCTGAACCCGAGGCGGCGTGCCTCCTATAGGTACTTGCAGGTAGGGACGTAATTCTACAGCCTACGAGCTTGAGCGACTTACGTTGTCGGAGCATCCGATTGTCATGTCTGAATACGGAACCCTCCTAGCATCGAGCCGGCAAGGTCCATCGTTCCCCCTTTTCTGACCTAGACGTCTGCTGGTCCCTCAGCATTCAGTGTATGAGCTAGAGCAATGAGGCATCTTCCGAGCCTCACACGGCTAGTTCTCCTGCCACTAGCCGCGTCGTCGTCGGGCGTCGACTATCACAAACTTCCGACTGATCCCGTATTCCCCGGCCCTTGGGACCAGTACATCAAGGCCCCGGCTAACAAATCTTTTATTACCCCCGCCCGCTTCTGGAAGGTCGAGGGAAATGTCACGACGCCAAGTGTAGGTCTCGGGCTACGCGGCCTCGAACATAGTTATGACCGTGGTGTTCTGATCGGCGAAGGCGGCTTGCTCACGGTCGAATTCGAAGAGAATATTGGCGGGAGGTAGGTCTCTTGGCGGGTATCGTTCGTGGCTGTCCGCTGATACCTTACCTCTCCCTTCTCAGAGTTTGCTTTGAGGTTGTCTCTGTGCGTGATGAGCCCATACTTAATCTCGCATACTCCGAGTCGCCCTCCTTTGCCGGCAGGCAATCCGATGCCACCAACGAGGATGAGTGGGACCTCCCCTTGCCGTTTCATCTTGGGAACCGAACCGGTCCCTTGTGCGTCGGCCCGGAGTTTAATAGAGGAGCCTTCAAATACCTCACGTTGTATATCGACGACATACCCGTCTTGGAGGCACTCGGCCGGCCAGACTCTGGCGCGGCTGCGGAGCAGGAAGTGCTGGGCCTCGGCCGCTCAAGCCCTCACGTGTCTGGGGAGAGGCAGCCGTACTCAAAGCCATCTGTAGGCATTGCCCAGATCTGGGTTAATTGCACCTCGTTTCCCTCCCAAAAGAACGGCCGAGCCTATACAGGCTACTTTTACAGCTCCAGCGACTTACTGAATAGGATCTGGTATGCCGGCGCCTACACCCTGCAGCTCTCGACCATTGATCCGTCCGAGGGCTCGGCGCTGATCCCCGTCAACCGATATATAGATCACAACATGTCACCTCCCGGATCATGGTACTCCAATTTCACAGTTGCGAAGGGCACTGTCGTGACAACTGATGGCGCCAAACGGGATCGCCTCGTCTGGCCGGGCGACATGTACATCGCCATCCCGGGGATCGCCGTGTCGTCGTATGACATGCTCGCCGTGCGAAACGCGCTGAACGTCGTCTATGAGCACCAATACGATGACGGGTCGCTTCCTTACGCTGGACCACCTCTAGGATATCGCGGTGAGTTTAGCGACACTTACCACCTACACACGCTGTTGGGGACGTATGACTACGTTCTATACTCGGGCGACATCGCCTGGCTACGCAAGCGCTGGCCAGCATACCAGAGGGCTCTCCGGGTCAGCGTCGCCAAAGTAGACAAGCGCTATAATCTCATGCACGTGTCCTCTCCGCTGGACTGGAACCGTCACGGCATGCAGGGCCACAACATAGAGGCCAGCGCAATCCTGCATATGGTGCTGACACGTTCCGTCGAGCTCGCTTCTTGGCTGTATGATAACGGCTACGACGCGCAGGCGAAAGAGGAGGAGTGGGTCCACGTCGCTCGGACTCTCGAGCTGGGCATCCGGCAGCTATACTGCGACGACACCGGGCTATACTCAGACAACCTGTCAGACCGACGCTGTTCGGCGCGGGGCCGCGTCGAGCCGCAGGACGGCAACAGCTGGGCGCTGATCGCGAAGATGCACGGAAGGGGGTCGACGGTGCCGGCGAGAGTAAGCCGCGCGCTGCGGGCGCGGTGGAACGCATTCGGCGCGCCGGCGCCCGAATTCCCCAACGTCATGTCGCCGTTCGCCTCGGCGTTTGAGCTACAGGCGCATGGGGCCGCGGGCGACGCCGATGCGGCTGTCGAACTCATGCTGCTCATGTGGGGCCATCTGCTCAACGGTGAGGGATTCACCAACAGCACCCTCGCCGAGGGCTTTCGCGTCGACGGCGACCCGCACTACCCAGCTTACCCGGTACCGAGCCGCAACAGCCATGCTCACGGCTGGGCTGCTGGGCCGACGGCCGCCCTTTTCCGAGACGTCCTTGGCGTTAGACTTCTCGGCCCCGGCGGCGAGACGTGGCGAGTCCAGCCTGCGCTGACGAAGTGGCTGGGCTGGACGAGGGGCGGGTTCGCGGTCGGCCGTGGGGATTTGGAGGTCATGCTATGGAGGGTGGTCCGCGTGGCCGAGGGTTCCGCGACGGCTACGAAGGGAGTTATCGCCGTCGTCAGGGGGCCGGAAGGGACGCGAGGACGGTTTAGCTGGGGCGGGCTTCGGGGTGACGGTGGCGACGGCAATGACTTCGTCGTAGAGATGGGAGGCGGACAAACCCGAGCATGGGTGAGGCTGGAGAGCGGGAACGGGAGCGACGAGAGGTTTGTTACCGAGGAACTCGACGTACCCGACAGAATCTGGGAATTGCGAGAAGGCGGCGAAACATGGTATAAGCAGAGGATCCCGTACGGAGCGGACGAAGCGCTCGTGTACGACGACTCGTTCCAAGCGCCTGTCATGGAGGAGAGGGGTCCTGGAGTGGTGAACTGGAAGGCGCTAACTGAAGGATATATCGATACTCGGAGTCGGTGGTGAGAGCGCATGGACTACAGATTACGAATTCAGTATGGCTATTATTCGAAGACTAGGAGCCAAATCAAGTGAATGTACTTGCCTGTTAGGACTGGCTAGCTCGTCTTACAGGCTCCGATGCTATGAACCGGAATCTAGTAGTCCGTTCCCGTGGTTTGTATTCTGGTAACAGATATGGCAAGTAGGCGAGGGTTGGGGATAGCATCCCACTTTCATTGAAGCACGATCCGGGAACGAAGCTGTACATACCGAGATTCATACAGGTCCGAAACCGCCTATCGAAAGTATACTCACTGTGCAGAAGGGCATATCGGACCAAAAACAAATTCGTGGTAGACATAGTCTCCCTGTGACGTTGCAATACGAACACACCAGGGTGCAAGCGAGGAGATTGAGGTCATCTGGGACACGCACGAGTTCAACAACCACGATCTGTGGCCTGACGACGGGTCTTAGCCGTTCGTGTATAGTATGGGAGACGGGTGAGTTCAACAGGCCCGTCCAGAGGAAAGACAGAAAAGACGGAAAAATGGAGAGATGAAAAGCAGCGTAGGTGAGTACGGGATAGAGCAGACGACGGGGGCGGCACAGCACCGGATACGGCCAGCACGGCGACTACTTGTTCGGGTGGAAGGACGAAGCAATGCTGTGCACCCTTGACCAAACCGTAGGTACCGGAGACGTACGATAGGTATTATACCAAAGAGCTCGTCGCCTCTGTCCGTTTGGCTTCCTAGCTTCCTGCGTGCGCTGCCACTCGTGTTCTCTTAAACGATCCCAGAAATGAAGGCAGGCTCGCTAATATTTCTTAGCCAGGGCTCGGACAACTTCCCGGTAACTAGACGCCTCCAGGGCTCTCCCTCTATCTCAGTTAGAGGTTAATAGGGGGGAGGCGAGTGAGGATAAATAGCGTAATAGGCCTAATATAGGGATTAGGTTAGGTAGGTAGTCAGGTACCTAAGGTTAGGTAGGTACCTAGGTATGTATAAGATTATATGTGTTCCTAGTGAATATGTATTGCGGCATTATGTCGCTAGTCAGCGTTGTGCTCCCTAGTCCTTTAGATGCATAATTCCAATACCACCCTGCACGTCATTGGGCCTTAGGAGGTAGGCAGGGGTCATCAGTTGGAACTTGCTTACTTAAGAAAGGTGGATGCTGACGTTGGTCTTTACTCATATTTCAGAAGCTGCACCAGCCACATGCTTGTGGCGGATGAGCCGGGTCCCATGAAGCTCCAACGGACGCTTTCAGCTTGTTGTCGAGCTCGATTCGTCCATCAACTTTGATCCAGTATCGAATTCCAGCATTCCGTCTCATCCCCATCCCCATCCCCATCCCCCATCTCCCATCTCCATCTCGACAATGCGTCACTGAAGTACAGCACCCAGTCCACGTCCTTGCGTGGAACAAGGCCAGCAAAATTAGAAGCCGTACCACAATTTCCGCAATCCTGACCACCGCTCACTCTCCTGCAAATGCGCCTCCCTCGACTTATTTATCAGACGTGATTTGAAGTACCACTATCCAGCTTCTAACGCGGTGGCGCCCACGCAAAGAAACCAACTATGCGGAATTATGGACTCCACAATCTCGCCAGAGCAGTCTCAACGACTCGACGCCTTCGAGAAAATTCCCATCGCGGACTTAAACCCCGACCTTTCCAACCCGGCTTCTCGAACCGTCCGTGGTGTTGTCACCATCACCTGGCCGTATAATTCCGTGCAGAAAACGTTTTCCTTCATCCTCGCTGAGCCCGACTATCGTCTGCGCCGTAACAAGGGTCAAGTTCGCATCAGTTTCAGCGGGGCCTCCGCCAAAGCCGCCGGGGATAGCGGACTAAGCAGTGGCGATGAGATACTTGTGAGCCTGGATGGCGCCGAGTGGGAGCCTGAACAGACTAGGAAACGCCAAAGCCTGCCCGGCGCTAGCATCGACTGGCATTTAAAATTTGCCGAGAAGCTGCTGCTCCAGGTAAGCAGCTCGGCTTTCGGCCATGATGATGAGATCAGTAGTAACATCCTCTCCAGGTCACCGTATCCGAGACAAGAGAAACCCAACTCATTATCGTCCGCCATAATCCGTCAATAGAGACTGCTGTGCCGCAACAGCCCGTTGAAGCATCGCCTGCTGAGACCAACCACGCTGAGGTATCGCCAGTTCTCGACCTCGAACCTCTCACGCCGCTAAGCAAACCGCGCATCGAAGAACTGAAAGATGGCGAATTCTCGTCCCCGGCGTTCATCAAGAGGGCCCGAATGTCGTACGGCTCTTTATTTGAAGACGGGTATGACATATTTGAGGAGGATGGTGGAGTGAAGGGGAGGGGTCGGAAGAGGTCAAGATTTGGCCGTGAAAGTGGTGCATGGAAATATACCAGCCAGTCTCCTAGCCCCGAGCTCGCATCGCCCCCGGGAGACGACGTCGTCTTGCCCCCGGCACCTGAAATGACAGATGAAGGGTGTCAAACTATGGAGCTCGACTTCGCCATGCCTTTATCTGCACCGCCCGCAACGCACCCTGACGAGGTACGGAAGAGCCCGAAACTAGCGATAGGGGAGGAACAGAGTGCCGCCCTTCGAGGCGACATGGTGGACCATGGCGTTCAAAGAGACCTCCACGGTGCATGGCTGATTCCAACCCCCGCGTCCCTCCCGCCATTCCTCTCTGGTCCAGCTCCTAGTACTGGCTCTGAGCTGCCTGCATTCGAACCAGGCACTGCATATGTCCACACAAACGACTTCCCAGGAGAATGGAATCCTAGGCCAGTAGATCTGCCGATCGAGGGATACGGACATAACCTACCTGTGCCACTAGAAGACTACCCTGCAAACGAATATGGGGTTGTAAGAGCGAGAACTCCTCTGCGCTCGCCACACTCACCGCACAATATTACCGTCGAGCATTCTGAACATGTGCCTGGAGGTGACCATCCTGTCGAGGAACCGCACTATCCAATTCTAGAGGCTCCCGAAAATACAGCATACCCGCCTTTAGACATTGGAGATGAAGAGCGAAATCACCAGCTTCCACACGACACACATCTCGATTACCCGCCGTCCTATTTGGGTGAGAGCCAGCACTTCTCTCATCTAGATTCCATAGTTAGCAAACAAGATACCACGGGCTCAAGGACCCTCTTGCCTGCGAAGGCAGGATCGTCATCCTGGGCAACGATTAACAACGGACCACACGTGACGTCGGAGCTGCATTCTGATCAACCCGAAAGTGCTGAGGGTAGATCTCCCGAGATTCCGGTTGTCATAAACGAGAGCGATTCAGACGGCGAGGAGCCGCCTCTAGTTGCTTCAAATGAGGTGGTCATGAGTGATCGCGCCGATGGCAACTCGATCCAAGACGAAGCGGAGATTGAAAATGAAGCGGACGCCCGGTTTTCAGACGATGAGGCCGAGCATGATGAGGATGAAATAGGCGACGATTATGATATAAGAAACTACACCGGACCGGACGACGATGAGGACGACAGCCATGACGAAGATTTGCGACCACACAAGCCGGAACCTGAGTTTGACGATGGCGAAAGCTGGAGCGAGGAGGATGAAGAACAGGAAGAGTCCGATTGGGAAAGTGGGTATGAGGTGGATAATAGACTAACCAATCCTCAACCGCCGCCCAAACTCGTCCAGTCTGAACCTCAAGTCATCGACCTTATCTCTTCAGATGAGGAGAGCGAAGAGGATGAAGCTACTGCGCCTCAACCGGAACACGGAGAGGTCCCAAGTAATTCATTAGGGAGTGAACAAAAACTAATGCTGGGGCCCATGCCTGATCGAAGACTGATAATAGACGTCGGGAGTGAAAGTGACGAAGAGATGGCAGAGGAAGATGAGGAGGTACCGGGAGAAGAAGACGATGGAGACATAGAAGAAGAGGAGTTACTAGACGAATATGACGACGACGACGAAGAGGAGGAAGAACTACGAGGCGAAAATAGCGATTCCGAAGGCCAAGACGGACCTAAGTGGACGCACCCGCCCGTTGGACGAGAACCGGAAACATTCGCCGCCGAGAACGAAAACGCTCGCCTACCTCTAGAGCAGAGCAGTGTGGGAGAAGAGGTCTCGAAGGTTGAAGACCCGAGGAAAGTTTTGGTAGCGGCATCTCTACAGCAACCCAAGAGCCCGAAGAGTTCGGATGCGAACGAACTTTCTAAAGATTCGAGAAACTCGCCGGAACCCGACGAGCCTCGGTCTACCGCTACTCGCGCAGAAGATGAAGACAACACCGTAGCAGGCGAGGGAGCCGAGAAGGGAGAGGGGAACTTTGCTCCCAACTCTGCAGCGGAAGGGCTCGAGATTCTGAGCCGAATAGTTGAAGGCGAATTAAATGTTGAAGTCGCACCGCCTGTGGGGCCAACAAGCGGTGTCGATCTCGATATTACGATGCCCGAAGCCGGTGGGATCTCGGTTGACCGTGCGAAACAGCTAGAGGAGACGGTTGAAAACGACTCCCAGGATATCCAAGGGGATGAGGAGCCGATTGACATGGTCCCTACTTTCCCACATGCCACTTGGAATATACCTCCCACTATACCTGCCGAGGGCGAACGAGCACAGGTAGTTGGCCCAGCATCTCCTCCATTTACGGATTCGTTCAGATCCCAGCTCAGCGAGGGAAAAACGGAAGCAGTATTAGAAGAAACCGTCACTGCGAAACCACAGATACCATCTGCATTCGACCAACTTACACCTCAGAACACGCAGCTCCCGGGCAACGGTACAGTTGCAGATAATGTAACAAGTGCCCTAATGGATGTTGACGAGCCCGATGAAATTGACAATACAGCGGAATCTGCCGAGATCGTCCACGTACCTTCATCAACTACGGAGCAAACGCCTAGCACGGAACAGGTATCGACAGCGATTACGGCTCCCGAGCTGGCTGTAGAGAAACCCGTTGAATACGATGCGCAGCAACAGCGAACAGCTTTGGAACGTGACGTCTATGGCGTATCGAGTCCCGGCCGTGTATCGAGTCCCGACCGCGTACCTGTGTCGCCGAGCCTCAGCTTCCAAACACAGGTTGACGCTGGTGAATTCACGCAAATCAGCTTTGTCGATTCTATACCCGGCGTCGAGGTCGGGGCTGAGGCCGCGAATGAAGCCAAATCGGATTTCGAAGCCGGCGTCCCCGATGTTAGTCCGTCATTTAGGTCGCAGATGGAAATTGACGAAGAATTGCAAGCTAGCATTATTATGGAGTACGCCGACGAATCCGACGAGGGTACGGATGTAGATACAGAAAGGGATAACGAAGCCGATGGTCAACTAGAAGACCGTTCAGACGAGTCCGATGAAGAAGATGACGAGGTCGACATGGTGCCCGAGAAACAGAGTTTCGCCGCGAATCCCCCCCGTCCGGACCTCGGGCTTCGCGAAGAGCAACTCGCAGAACCTCCCCGACCGATTTCCACTGCTATACCGACCGATGTTGGTGATCAAGTACTACTTGAGGATCCGAGTATACGACTCGCTCGCGCTGCCAATGTAGCCAAGCAGACCCCCGAACAGAACGAGGTAACATCTATGGTTCATCCGGATCCGAAACTATTCCCCGTGCACGAAAGCTCGAGCCCCGGAGCAGAGGATGCGAGCGTGCGCCTGTCTAGATCGTCTCTGAGTAGGCACTCGCAGGCGGAGGAGGAAGATAGTCGGATGACGACGGCCAAGCTGAGACTGGTGCGGTATCTCCGGGACGAGTTGCCGGACTGCAGTTCTCTCAGGACGATACAGCGGCATCTACAGATGAAGCTAGAAACGATTGCGGTTGCGGTGATGCGACCGCCAGACCCCCGTCGGGCCAAGGGCGGCCCGCGCGAGTACATGATGTCCTTCACCATTACGGACCACTCGATCGGGCCCTACGAGGTGGTGGAAGTGCAGCTGTACCGGCCTCATAAAGAGCGGCTGCCGATCGTGAAGACGGGGGACGTCGTGCTCCTCCGGAACTTCACGGTGGTCGCGCTGCACAATAAGGGCTTCGGGCTCCGGACGAATGACGAGTCGAGCTGGGCCATCTTCGACTACGAGGGCGAGCCGGCGCAGATCAAAGGACCGCCGGTGGAATACGGAGAGAGAGAGACGACGTACGTGACGCATATGCGAGCGTGGTTCCACCTCTTGGACGAGAAGGCTCGGGCGAAGCTCGAAGATGCCAACAAGAAGATTGTGGAGGCCGGCGGATCTAAGTAAGGCGCGAGTTATGGGGCCGCGCCCATCGTGCTGCGGTCTGGTTTCTTTACCCTGTGTATTCTATGTATCGGCTGGCAAAGGCGCTACAAGTTTAGGTATTGCATACGCATTCCACCGGAATCTAGGGTATTATCGGCGTGGTAGCATACCAAAGCATGCACCCGCTAACGGGGCTTTGCTTTCTCTTCTGTCTTCTTCGCAAGTCTCTACTTGGGCTTCATATATATCTACGGCAAGAAGACATGCATAGCAGCTTTATGTGCTCGCAGCCCCTGCCACAGACTAGCTCGCTATGGTTCCCAGCACGGCGTTGGTATTGCGTGGTACTTGTATCGCGTGGATATGGGAGGGAGGAAGCAGGCGTGAGGATGACAGACGCTCTCGCTCGGGGAGTGTTCGCGGGCAGAAACCAGGAACCGGGTAAGCGATGTGAAACGGCACGCCTTACCGGCTGGCTGCCGGACCTTCTTCTCCGCACGTGAATTCCTACAAGGTGGCGGAGATGGCTGCGAGAGTCGTGATCACCGTAGATGGCTCGTAAGCCGCAGCTTGTGGCTTTACCACCCCTCTGCGAGACGGCATACGTGCTGGCACGCTCGGGAGACCTCTCTCTCTGCCTGTAGTCTCTATGGCTGTAGTCCCCACCAATGATGCGCTGCTGTGCGAGTCGATGCTCGGTGAGACACGATCAATCCGCCAGGGAATCGATCGAGGTCATGATGACGAAGCGGAAAGTCCCGTGACGTCCTTACAATAGGCGTGCAGCCACCTCCTACTACAAGGGGTACCTATACGTACCTAGATACCTGACCTCTACTCATACCGCGTAGAGGCAACCCGCAAACGAACAGCGCGTCATGTACATGAGGTGCCTTAGACATCTCATCATGTGTGTGCTTGTGCAGGTACCTCTCTATAGAGACACCTCTGTGTAGGTACCTACCCTTCGCAGCTCCTGCCTACCTGTCTCCAACGTGCGAGAGTCATGGTGTCATAGTGGATCCGGACGCGCCCAGAGGGCCAACCAGGAGGAAGGGCAATTGCGCCTCACGTCCTGCCCCTGCAGCAGATCCGTGTTTCTACGTAGGCTAGCGCCAAGTTAGCGTACATGCCTCAAACCCGCCGCCGATTTTCCAGCGCTGGCGGGAGCAGAAGCTCCAGAGCCGACCTGATTGGCCCAGGATTCCCGAAAAGGGAATGCCGCCAGGGCGGGCTGGCGGCTGGCGGCCACTTGCCGAATCGCCGCCAGCGATGTCATCGCCGCTCGCACCGCAGGGTATGACGTCCGGCTTATCTCTGCGACAGACAGCGACCACGACGAGGCGCGGGGGGCGTTACCCAGATTGACCTGCTCGAGCCAGGATGATTGCGATGATTAAAAAAATAATAAGCAATCGACGCCTCCTAGCAATGGTGACGTCAAGCAGCCAGGACCGGACGAGGCATCACATTCGTGCCCTGCATCCGGCCCAGCGCGCGACGGGATGGAGAGCGAGTGCTACGTGGTAGGTATATGGCGGCTGAGCCGGGGGCGCGAGGGGGCGTTAGAGACAGGACTACGGAGTAGAGGCTGCTGCAGGTGAAGAATTGCTTGCAGCCGTAGGCAGAGGAGGAGGCACTTTACCATTCCTAAGAGGTACCTGAGGTACTTCCGCCTACGACGCCCAGCGCGGGGAACAAAGGTCGAGGCGGCGATGATGACGCTATGACTTGGCCCGCATGATGAGCGCGGTGCTGCCAGGCTACGTAGACATGTAGCAGCTCGTTGCTCCTCTTGCCTTTACGCGGGGAGGCCGTCGATGTGCGGGTCATGGCTGGAGCCGCAACAGGCGGCAGTCTCGACGCGCGGGACGCCTCCTATCGACCAGCTCTATATTCCTATATAAACCCGTCTCTCGGTCCTCTTCTTTCACTAACTCTTCCTCCCTCTACACCATCACCGCCATCACACCACGCAACGAACACATCCGATACAACCAACGCAGCCGAACAGTTCATCTCGCCGTCCACCCACAAGTCTACACAACGCAACCCGCCACCATGGACAAGGTTCAGAACGCCGCCAACTACGTCTCCGACACCATCAAGGGCGCCGCCAACACCGCCTCCAAGGAAGCCAACAAGGAGGTTGCCAAGGACAACTCGGCGAGCGCCTCCACTCGGTAAGCACTTCGTCTACTCCCTCTCCAGCAGTCACTACACGTCTGTCTCGCGCGAAGACCTACCTACTAACCGTGTTACCCCCCTACCCAGCCTCTCGGCCGCCAAGGATGCCGTGGGCGACAAGGTTGACGAGAAGAAGCACAACACGTCGGCGGACGTGAACAAGGAGGCCGCCAAGCACTAAGCGGCGCACCCCTTCGCCCTTCCGCTCCCGCCCCCGCACCGACCGCACGAGCGTGCGTCAAGAATAAAGCAGCGAGAGCATGGGAAAATCGCACATGGACTGGGCCGCAAAGGCCTCCGGGATCGGGTAGTAGACGGTCGTGATACCCCTACAATAGCTTAGATAATATACGAGAGCTTCGATTTCATGCCTGCAAGCGCGTAACCGCCCCGTCGCAGGAATGTGGCGTCCGGGCGCTGACATCGTCTGCATGTGAAGTGTGTCTGAACTCGAGGTTTCGTGACGGTACCCTTACTATACGCATACAGATGGAGTAAATTATACGCTCAGCGCCCGCCTACACTTAAATAAGCAGTCGACTATACGGTATTCCACCTTGCTCACGCGCGTCCCCCCGCAGCGCTCGAGTCGTGAAACCCCCGATAATTCTCGGGGCCTTATTCTGTTCCTTAACTGTAGCAAGAAGTCGGGTATAGAGGTTAGGCTTACCACGTCTATTCTACATTGTTGGCTAACTCCTAGACTCGGCAGGACTCGTGAATGTATACAGCAAGTCAACGCTTCTCATCCTGAGCAAACTCCCCCACCGCGACGAGCCCAGAGCAGAGAGAGAAATCCCTGCGCCGGATCCTGGCGTGATGGCGGAGTTAGCACCTCATAATCCGCTCGCCAGGCGAAAGGCCCCCCTTTATTTAAAACCACTTAAGACTGCCGATAGTAAAGGTTGGGGGTTAAGGGATGTGGCGATAGGGCCCCTTTCTTCCCCGCGTCCACTATACCTACATATATAAGCCTACACGGGAGATGCCCACGTGGGTAGGATGCACCCCCCAGACCGAAGCATTCCGCTGTTCCCTGTTTCCTCTTCTCCCATCATCTCTTCTCCTCCACTCCCCCGCAGGCCCACCCACGTTCCCCATACCTTCTTTTTCGTATAGACATATATGGCTCTCGTCTCCGGTCCACGCCGACGCGAAACCCAGCCTCGCCTCGTCTTCCGCGGGTCCCCGAAGGCCCCCCGCACGCGCTCGTCCGCGCACCGATCGCGCAAGGGCCTTGTTCACTTCCTCTTGGCGATGGCCTCGGCGCGGGCGCGCACGGCGAAGGCGTCGGCGATGTCGGCGGCGGCGACGGCGGCGGCGTAGAGCGGGAGCGCGACCCAGAGCCCGTTGAAGAAGACGAGATAGACCCAGAGGTAGAGCGGGTTCGCCGTGTCGAGGTTCCCGCTCGCCGTCAGCCACTCGGGGCAGAAGGTGACCCAGCCGCCGTACAGCTCCATCGTCGCCACCACCAGCATGAGCACGCTCGCGCGCGGCGACCCCCGCGCCAGCGCCGCGCACACCGCCACCGCGAGCGGGCCCGCCACGAACACGGTGAGCAGCTCGAGGCTGATGACCGACTGCGTGCGCGCGAAGGGATGGTAAGCGGACTGTCCTTTCCAATTTCCTTTTGTCCTTTTTTTCTTTTCCTACCAGAGAGAGAGAAGGGGGGAAGAGTAGGAAGGGAACAGCATAGAACTCACGAGGTCGGCGCCGGCCCAGCGGCGGTCGGCCTTGGCGTAGACCATCCAGAGGCGGGCGAGGGGCTCGGCGAGGGAGCCGGGGGCGGCGGCCTGGGGGCCGTAGGCGCGGGCGTCGCGGTGGCCGAGGTAGTTGAGCGGGGTGGGGGCGAGGGCGAGGGGGTTGGCGACGCGGGCGAGGGGCGTCCAGGAGAAGAAGCAGTGGTAGAGGAAGCCGCCCTCGAGGGCGAAGTGGATGAGGGCGTCGAAGGCGTGCCAGACGAAGAGGGCGCGCCGGTGCCGCGCGAGCACGGACCGCGTCGACGTCGGCGTTGGTGGCAGCGCCGCGAGCGACGCGGCGTACGCGGCGCCCAGGATGGCCACGGTCGACGCGAGCGACACGAGCGTCGTCTGGTCGAAGAGGTCCGGCGGGAGGGACGAGCGCAGGAGCGTCGTTGCCGAGGACGACATTGCGACGGCGACGGCGGCAGCGGCGGGATAAAGATCGGTTTGGCTCGTTTAGGACGACGACAGCACGCGCGTGATACCTAGGTGCGGGACGAGGGAAGCTCTAGCAAGCTGCGGCGTTGCGGGTAACGAAATGGTGGTAGAGAGATAGGACGCGAGAGGGAGCGCGACGGGACTCGTCAGCCTCGAAAAATTCAGGGAGACGGGAGAGAAATACGGTAGTATCGAGCCTGGCATAACACAACCCCTTGAGGCTGCGAGTGGGGAAGGAGAGAGGGAGTCGTGCGCGACTGCCGTTGCGGTCTTGGCGGTTGCCGAAATGGGAAATGGGCAATGTAGGTACGTACCTACTCCTCTCTGGTTGCTACTAGATGAAAGTTGATCCCACTCGTGTAGGCATCAAACTAGGTCACTTAGGGATTATGCAACTCGGGCAAGCACATCAGGTTCAATCTCTGGTTATACAATAATACGGCGAGAAGCGAGCGAGTAAAGAAAGGCAATACCTTTGATGTTACTTGTTGATTAGGAGAATGCCTTGATTAGGAGAATGCCTCTTCGTAGGAAAACACCGACGTTCTTCTCGGGTTCATACCTACCTACCAAGAACGCCACTTCGAGGATTGCTAATACCTATTACCCAGCTCCTCTGCCAGGAAGGCATCCGTCCATCTACAGGCCCCGACGGGGAATTCCCACTCTCCCATCCCTCTCTCTTCCCAATGCCTTTCCCACTCTCGCCTTGCCCAGACCTCATGTGCGCCCCCCCGGTCCCATCGCCCGTGCGCGCGCCACCACGCTCTCCGGCCGCGAGGCTGCGCCGCGGTAGAGCGCAGCGCAGCGCAGCTAGCGACCCGGGGCCGCCAGAAGCAACTCGAGCGCACATACACGCGCACATAGGTAGATAAAACACACCGACGCCCTCGTGTACCTGCGACTTACCTCTTCTCTCCTCCCCCCGTGCCCTAACCCCCTTTCTCCTAACCTGCTAAAACAAAAAACGAACGTACCTAGGTAGGTAGGTAGTAAACATTCTGGGGGGGGGGGGGGACCTACCTGCCCTAGGCACCTTTTTCACTTCGGCGGCGCCAGCGCCCGCGCGATCTCGGACGTCGGGCCGGAGCGGCGCGCGACGTCGACCCAGTGGCGCACGAAGCGGTCGGCGCCGGGGCTGGTCTCGGCCATGCGCGAGAGCAGCGTGCGCACGTCGGCGCCGAGCGCGGCGAGCTGCGCCTCGAGCTCGCGCACGCGCCGCTCGCGCCGCTGCTGCAGGAGCGCCTGCTGCTGCTGCTGCTGCTGCTGCTGGCGCTGGCGGGCCGCGCCGTCGCCGCCGTCGCCGTCGTTGGTGCTGGGCGCTGCGGGCGCGGGCGCGGGCGCGGGTGCGGGTGCGGGTGCGGGCGCGAAGGGGTTCGCGAGCGCGCACCCGCCCATCGGCGTGTCGCCGTCGGCGTCGAGCTGTGTGCTCGCGGTGCTCGCGGCGCTCGGCCGCCGGCAGTCGTCGTCGTAGTGGTGGTGGTGCTCGTGGTGGTGGTAGTGCGCGTGCTGCGGCTCGTCCGCGTGCTGCCAGTCCGCGTGCTGGTGGTGCTGGTGCTGGTGGTGCTGCCGCTGCGGGAAGTCCCGCTGCTGCTGGTGGTGCTGCGGCCTACGCGGCACCGACGGCGGCAGCGGCTGTTGCTGCGGCGGCGGCACGGGCTGGGGTTGCGCCGCCGCCGCCGGCTGGCGTCGCCCCGGCTGCTGGCCCCGGTCCCGGTGGTAGTTCGGGTTGTAGTTCTCCGGCCTGCCTTGGTACCGCGGGTTCATCCCGCTGGCGCCCGGCCCACGGTGATGACTGTTGTTGCTGCTGTTGTTGAATCCGTCGCTGTTGCTGTTGGGGAATCGGTCATCGTCGTAATTCCCACTGAATCTGTCGTTGTTGCCCCCGTTCTCGCCGAAGAAGGGCCCAGGATTCGGAAAGCTGCCGCCGCCGCCGCCGCCGTTGTTAAACGGATTGCTGTTCCCATTATCGTTGCCTCTGAAGCCGCCGCCGCCGCCGCCGCCGCCGCCTCCGTTTCCGTTTCCATGCCTATTTCTATTAGACCTACCGCGTCTGCCGCCGTTGCGGAACCCGTCTCCCTCTCCAAACCCATTCCCACCTTCAAACCCGGCGTCGGAATCGAAATCCACACTAGGAGGGCCGCGATTGTAGCCCCCTCGGTTCCGATGTTTGCGGATGCCACCACCGTGCGACATTTTCCGTGTATGATGTTGTTGTCGCCCGTCGGATACCTAACGAGGATGCTTTGAAAAAGTCGATGCCGTCCTAAGATACCACACCCCAGCCAGTCGGTGTTAGTTCGGGTGACTCGAGGCGAGGCGATGCATATGAGCCGGCAGGCAAGGTATTACGACGGGTGAACGGAACCAAAGATCGTGTGCTGTCTTGATTCGGTCCTGAGACGATATTTGCAATCGAACCCCTTATGTGCTGGATGCTAGCCTTTATCCTACCTCGAGCAGTGCCTTCTAAGCTATTGAAGCACAATAAAGTCTTTGTTTACGACAAAGCCCTTTGAACACATCTCCCTGTCCTCCCGGCTTAGAACACTGAGCTCACTGCGTGCATTGTCTTGTCATGGCATAACGGACAAGTTGATGGCTACGAATCGCCTCGTACGAAACAGGGGGGGGGTTTCCTAAAATAACCTTTTTCAACTACAGGAGATATCGTAACTATGATCCATAGGCATTCCCTCTCGGGAAATAGTTCATTATTCTATTCGTAGTTGAAGAAATGAGAGAAGTTCATAGAGAACTCAACGTTCCGTAGCAACCTACAGCATTTTGATTGCGCCGAAGTGCCTCTTCGCTTTCCATCCTCGTTCCTCCTTTCCTCCGATCTCGAAGAGAGCTAACATGCTCCATTGCCTGTTTCCCTAGCGCGAGAAGCCCTTAGCTAGGAACGCCTCAGTAATATAGACATATACATCTACGTACACCCCAACAATGAACTGACGGAAGCCTCTTGTCCTACCCCCCCCGTCTTTTCCCCGCTGCATCAAAGAAACACGTTCCCTAACGTTGGGACCAGGGCAACCCGATCCTTGGGAGAGAAAGAGGAGAGAAAGGAACGAGACAGGGGTGAAGGGGGGGGGGGGGCGCAATCCCGCAGGGCTATCGTCGCAGAAGGCCTTCTTCCCTTTGTACGTGGCACCGCCCGAGTGTTTGGCTGTAGACGCAACGCGAAGAGGGCCTGGCCCAGCCTAGACCGTTATCTGCATACCTGTGGGTTACGGTAGGTTATGTACGCAGATCCGCGCGGCCAGACAAGACCAAGACCTAGCGGGAAGTGCATCCAACTTCGGTCTATCCAGGATGGTTAGTGGTGGGTGGCCGCAGTCGACGTGTCCGACGTAGGGCTTCCTCCTTGGAGACCTCTCTCCGTGCATCGACACCGCCACCTCGCAAACTTCGCCGCCGAGGGTTCACGTGATGCCGCGAGCGGATACACCTATGTTCGGCATCATTACGTCGGAGCAGCAGCACAGCGAACATAACATCGGCGGTATCGTCTCCTATCACGCTCGCAATGTGAAAGCTGCACCTCGATAACATTCGCCATGCAGATTGAATCGGGAGATCCGCACACCGGTGTCTATGTTGGTCGTCTTCTATCGGTGTGCCAGTCGATTGATTTATTACCGATCCGGGTTCGCCCGCGACTAAGTAGGTGGGATAGGCACTAAACCCGGTGTGCTAAAACACTAGTAGAGCAACTACAAAAATAAGAATAAAATCAAAACAGACAGGACTTTGTACTTATAGCCCAACCATGCCGGCGGGAGGAGGGCCACGGCTCCGTCGGGAGTCGACCTCGCGCCACAACTCTAAGGCTCATTCTGCCGACAACGATGCTCACTCCCTCAAAGATCTTTGATGCTTTCCGTGTAAAAACACCTCGTGTCCTTCATGGTCGTGAATGTCGTGAAATTTTCCTGCTTATCGAGTCCCACAACGCCAAAATGCAACATAGGTCCCTCTGCGAGGTCCTGCATCTCGCGATAACAATTATAAGATGTCTCTGAGCAGCTGCTTTTGCTCCGTGGTTAAGCTCTCGGGGAAGGTTACGTTGTACTTGAGGATGAAGTTTCCCCGCTCGCCCGGCTTCTTCGACAGGGGCATTCCGAGTCCGGGGTACGAATCCGAGGTGCCCGGGCTGGTCGGTCCGCTCTTCTCGACGTTGAGCTGCTTTCCGTCGATCGTCGCCACCGTTCGTTTCCAGCCCGTCAGTGCCTCCTTTAGGGTCAGCTCGATGGAGTGGATAAGATCGTCACCGTCACGACGGTAGAGGGGATGCGGTTTCTGTGCGAAAGACGCCCCGTTAGCCTTGGTCCTGTTTCACGCCGTCAATACGCCGGGACCGTAGGCGCTTACCTCTTCGACAATAAAATGCAGGTCCTGCTTCCCGCCCTCCTCTTGGTCGCCCACGCCCTTAAACTTGATCTTGCTGCCTTTCTTCAAACCGGGCTTGATAGGCACCTCGAGGACTTGATCTGTAGTTGTCCGTTTGCCGCTGTCGTCGAAGCTCTTCCTCTTGATCTTCATCTTCTTCGTCACCCCGGTGAACAGCTCTTCTAGGGAGAGCGGTAGGGAGCGCTCCACGGTGGTGACATCGGGTGTCGCTTCTCTCGCCCCGCTGCCTGCGAACGGATCGCCGCCAGGATAGCTACTCCGCATTCGGGTTCGGCCGGCGCCAAAGGTTCGCGGCATGCTCCGGCCGAATACGCGAGGCATGCCGTCGTCGTCGTCGTCGTCAGGCCCTAAGCCGCTGCCGGCGCGCATAAAATCGGCGAAGATGCTCTCGGGGTTGCTAAAGTTGAAGGCGTTCGAGCCGCGGCCACCGGTGCTGAAATGAAACGTTCGAGCTCCCGGCATAGCTCCATTATTAAACTCGAAGCCGTTGAAGCCGCCGGGCATGCCGCCTTGAGCTCCGGCGAAGGGGTTCTCGCCGGGCGGCGGGGCGGTACCGCCGCGAAGCAGGAACTCGAGGCCGAACTGGTCGTAGGTCTTGCGCTTCTCGGGATCGGAGAGGATCTCGTAGGCCTGGGAGCACTCCTTGAACTTCTCGGCGGCCGACGGGTTATCTTTGTTCTTGTCGGGGTGCCACCTCAGGGCAGCTTTCCTGCGGCAAGGGTTAGTCTAGGTCTGGCACTTCACGCTTCGCGCGCTGGGCCGAGCTGGGAGGGGGAGGGGCTTACCGATAGGCCTTCTTGATTTCGTCCTGGGTGGCATCCGGCTTGATGTTGAGCTGGTCGTACAGCTTCGTCTCTTTCACCATCTTAACGTGTGGGCCGGGAAGCGGTGTATGGCTAGGTATGTATGCTGTGTCTCGGTGAGGGTCTGCGAGGACGGGACAGGGTTAATATATGAGGGCGTAGGTAGGCGTCGGTGGACGGGGGAGGAGGCACGCAGTTATTATTATTATTCTGAGGTCGTGTGATGGACGGCTGGGAAGGGAGAAAGGGGAAGGGGGAAGGGGGAAGGGGGGGGGGATCACGAGTCGACTGATCGTGAGCGTGGGTCTGATGCGTGTAGTGTGTGGAATTGTCTCCTGGCTGGGCCTCGCGGGAATGAAATGGGTCTCGATGTGACTAGGAGAGGGAGGAAAAGAGGAAGGCAGAGAGAATTGTCAATTTCCCATGTCAGAATGACCTAGGAAATGGGTGGTGCTGCCGTTGCTGCACAGCGGCCTTTTGCCTCGCTTTCTTTGACGGCTTCTCTGGGGTGGGCAGGGAAAAGGTTGTTGGTGGAAGATTCGGGAATTGGCGACGAGGGACAGAGAGGGAGGGAGGGCGAGCGGGAGAGAGGCGGGAACTTGCTGCTAAACTGAGCCACGGATGGAGACGGTCATGGGCGGCGGTGGATCGGTGCATGACGAGTGACGTTTTCGTCCATGTGGGGGGGGCCTTAGGAATGATAGAGCTGTACTTGAGAGGTACCTAGGTATCTACCTAAGGAGGTACCCACTACTTTAGGAGGTAGGTGGGTACTTACCTACGTAGGTAGATATCCCAAGAGAGGGGGTAGGTAGGTTAGGTAGGTAGGTACCTAAGATCGGTCAAGAGGTTCGGTTAGGTACCAGGTAGGTAGTTAAGAGTTACGTAGGTACTTAGGGAGCTTAGGAGGAGGTACCTAGGTAGGTAGGTACGCTGCAGGTGTCTCAGGTCAGGTACCGAGTACATATCGTGCAGCATGCCCACAAAGCCCTGAGCTGGGTACTCGATACATAGGTAACCCCCCGCGCGGGGAAGCCCTGTTGACGATCAGGTGACCGTGGCCTTACATGAAGAAATAGGTACAATAACCCGCTATTGTTATCCGCCTCGGTATGTAGTTATCACGTACCTAGGCATGTATCCGTACCTGCCCTCAGGTACCTGGGTAGATAAGGATAGTAGGTACCTCTCGATGGGCATTCTAAGCCACTTCCCCTCTGCCGTACCATCGACGGGCGTCTGGCCAAGTGGCCAGCGATTGACCGCCCGACTGTATTGGCTGCGTAAGGAGGCGAGAGACCGCAAGAACGGGAACCCCGAGCGGCTGCAGCGCATCCCGGCGCCAACCTGACTAGGAGGTAAATAGCCTGCTCGCCATTAGCCCTCTTACACGAGCTGACTACCTACCTACCTACCTACCTACCTACCTACCTACCTACCTACCTACCTACCTACCTACCTACCTACCTACCTCTACCCTTCAGGTCCTAATGGGGGCCTCATATCATCATGACATGGTAATATCGTACGTGTACATGTGCCCTACGTATGCACGACACACATGCTCTCGCCGGTAGATATAGCGGGTTAGGTGCGAGCGGAGGGATCAGGCTCTTGGCGGGTAAGCCGACAACATGAATTGTAAGTACCTACCTACCTAACCTCACCGACCTCCTAGAACCTAACTTTTAGGCTCATAAAAACATAAGTACAGTAGAGAGTAGGGAAAAGAACCATTCGGAATACCTACAGATAGTGTTAACCCGTACCAATAGTCACCGTCGTACCTATTGATGCGTATTACGTGTCGGTGTAAGCAATGCCAACCACCTTTCACACTACACCCACGAGGGGGTATCGAACCACAGATATCTACTATAAAACCTAGATCCAGGATTGGGTGGTTGCTAACAGGAGGCAGGTCTAGCATGTATGCACGTATAATATGGGTGGTATGTAGGTAGGTAGGTACCTACCTAGGTAAGTTGTTTAGTTACCCGCATTATCCCTCTCCCACTATCCGAAGCCACCTCGTCAATCTCTGTCCGACCGATCCTCCACCACAACATCGGCATGCGGCTGAACCCAATGCTACCTTATATATATATATATACGATTATAATAGACACACCTCTATATTGACCTATATAAAAATATATAGGTGTATATATGCACGTGTGCACATACCTACCCGTGTCTTTGCGGATGTCCGTAACCCCTGCCCTGTTCCCTGTTCCTCTTCTTCTGCCTCCGGTAACCCCGCCCCCTCTCTTTTCAGCGGCTTAACTGTATAGCCATCACCAAGAATGTTCTCGAAGCTACGCCCGTCATACTTTACGCCGGAGACCCCCCTCTTCTTCTTCTACCTCTTCTTCTTTTTGCCTTCTCCTCCTCACTCGTAGAATCGAACAGCCGTCCGAGCTTCGGGAATAACTCACTATGGTCCGTAGCCCGCAGTAACTCGGTCTACACCTATGATGCTATAATACAGGTATGGTTCGCCTGAAGGGAGTAGCGCTAGAACCGATTGGATGTCCCGCGGTTGAACCGCGAAACTTAGCCCATCCCGATGGGCATCTTCTAGCTCCCAGAAAACCCCTCTCATGCTACTACTATCGACTGGTAAGAGCTCAACTCCTCTACCTCATCGGAGCTCGTGTTGCATCTTGTGGAATGTCGGTCCGACTCTTTTTATTACTAGGCATCCTGCCGTGGGTATCATCATGTCATCCCGAAGAGCGAGTAGTGTACAGTGCGTAGCCTCTAGTAGCAGACATAGGTATCCCGAAAGCAAAGATCAAGCTAGGCACGTCTTTTTAAGTACGCACGCGTCGGTCCAGCTTCTATCCCCCCTATTGAAAATTCACAGAATCGCCAAGATATCTTGCCCGGCCTGTCTTGTCATCACCCCTCGTGCGAGTCGACTTCCATATCGATGTCCATCATATCTACCGGCCCACTCTGGGTCGTAGGGCCAGGCCGCGCGAGGAATGGCGTGGAGCCGCCGACGCGCTCCTGCATCTCGGGCGACTTTATAAGGGCCGGAGGGTTGGACGTGAAAGCCCCTATGCCCTCCTGGCCACCGTATTCCGCTCTCGACTCTGCCTCTCCGGTTTGGCACTTCGCCAAGGATTCGACGATGCCGCCTAACGGTTTGGTGGACTGCACGCTGGCGTCGGGGGGTGTCTGGTAATGGGCGTCGGGTATGTGCTGATCTGGAAACCGGTCGTGGTCGTCAAATGTCAAATCTACATCGTTGAGGTCGTCGCGAGAGCTGCCACCGGTTGCCACCGATGAGCCAATGCTGTGCTTTCTTTTGCTCGGAGAGCTGACGGCTATGTACGATAGATTCCCGACCGTGACGCCCGACGGGGCCGGGTCCTGTGGCTGTGGCGGGTTAGGTTCTTGATTTTGCTGCTCTTGGGCGAGCTCTTGCTGGAACGAGCGATTATCCGCCCGCACAAACATCTGTCAAGACTTTAGTTTCGCCGTCATCTGGGGGAAACATACGGATCGGATGACATACACGTAAGGCGTCTGAGAGCGGAATAGGTTTCGCCTCCATAGCGGCTTCCGAGGCGTAGATGAGGATGGGGAATTTGGATCCCGTCTCGGCTTCGCAGAGTACGTGTTCCAGCGTCACCCTCTGTCCTCCTGTCAGCATCGGTACGACAGATCTGTATACCCAATGCCCACATACCTCAGTTTTGACCGGAGAGGCGTCGCTCGCAGCGTATCCAATCTTCCACCATTGATCTTTGGACATAGGCTCCCCCGCATCGATGTCCATCAATTCGACCTCTTCCCTGACAGACACATATGCTAATTCACGCGAAAGGGCAACGCCACGTAAAGAGTATTTCCGTGTTGGGTTCCAGTATTCGGGTCGATATTGAGGCGTTGACCGAGAAACGAACACGTCATCCACCTCGTGCTCCTGGCATGTAAGACGCTTTCGGACCACGTCCATCATCTCGATATACTCCTCCGACTCCTCGTCGAGCTCTAGGGGATCTAGTCAGCCAAGAATGCCAGTACCCCTCAGCCTGGACGGCTGCAAACTTACCCTGCATATCCTTTAGCACCTTTTCCATCTCCCTCTCACTCCCGTCTATAATTCTTTTGAACGTCTCCATCCTTGCTTCCTCGTCAGCTTCGAGAGTGTAGGGCCCGCTCCACGCCTGGATGCTTTCGAGGTCGGTAAGGCTGATATCGACACCCCTCTCCAATGGCTCGAAAAAATAACGCCATTGCGCCGTCCGGACTTGACGTTGCATCCCTTGTTTGCAGAATTCGATAATTGCGCAGTAGCAAAGGATGTTGTCGTGTGGGTGCCCCAGACCATGCAGCTTAACGCACGAATCGCCAGCGCGGCACCGTCGTTTCAGCTCCATCGCCGCCCAGCATAAACGCTGCATCGACTTGAGCGCGCGTAGCTGTTTCTGGAGATGCAACGCGGTGTGCTTCCGGTCGCTCATGTACCGATCCGCGTAGAGCACGGGTGGTATCTCGCAGGGTCCGACCAGACCGGAACTACCTAGTCGAATCGTGATCACTTCGGGGGGCTTAGATAGGACGGCAAATTTGGCATTCTCTGGGAACGAATGGTCGAGTGATAACGCGTGCGACCAGAAGAGGTGATCCAAAGCATCGTACAACGTCTTCACGAGCTCGTAGTGCTCTTCCTCTAATTGGATATCTAGGAAAATGAAGGGGTTGTCTTGTTCATTATCCTGTTCATCGTCGCCCCAACTATCGGCATTGCGACCCCCTTCAGTCCGAGATTCACTAGCGTGAGGCTCGTCACAGGAAACAACTGCACCCATAGTCGTCATAGGGGCCAGGTCGCAGGCGGGATTTTCGTTGGCTCCTTCTTTGATCGCGTCAAAGAGCGCGTCTTCGACGTCGGCCACCCAGGCGCCGTAATTAGGATCGACCGCCTTAGTCTCGACGAGAGTATCGACGGTCCCGTAGCTTCTCTCCGTATTATCTAAGAAGGCCATCAGACGGTGTAATTCCTCGGCGAATTCGGGATGGGCGTCGTCGCCCCAGAGCAGATCTCCCCTCTTCATAGCCGCCAGGTGTTCGTGCGCAAGAATGGGTTGGCCCTTCCACCATTCCGAATTGTGTCCATAGTTATGGGCCGGCCGACCGCATTGGAGGAGGATATTCCTGACAAGTGGTATCTTGTGGTAAATAGATAGGATAGCGCCGACCCTGTGATCTTTTGTCTGACAAAGAAAAGCGGGAGCGTTGGGATCTCGCTTCCTCTGAGACGGACTCGGTTCGGCCTTTGCGGTATCGACGGTTGCCTTGGTTGGGACCATGGCCCATTGTTCTGTCTCATACTCGGATCGGTTCGCTGGGCCAAAGTACTTGGGATTCGACTCGTCGGTGATGATGCCAACTTCCTGGGGCGGTGGGATTCCGGACTCTGCCGCAGACTCGGCTAGCGCCCGCTTCAGATGGGCATCTTCCTCTGCAGCATTGGTGGGTGCACCTAGGATTGGGTCTATCAGCTCCGGCGCTTGGTGGAGACAGGACGAGCGCCCGTGGCTCGATTTGCGGCTGAGATCGTCATCTTACCAAAAGGAGATCGGTTGTTGACCCTCGATGGCGGTCTAGTAGGAGCTGCAGTGTTTTGGTAGTCGGTAGGCGGAAGCTCGTCGGGCCCTTGGACATTGAAGGCTGCAGGACCAGTTTAGTATCAATGTCTCCCAGAGCGGAGGGCGGACATGTATCGCACAGATTCCCTCATCACCGGCCTCGCCTTGTCGGCCCATGCTGAACTGCGACTCGTCCCATTTGTACTAAGGCGGTCTGAATGTGAGTAGCTGCGCGTATCGTAACATTTTGCCGGCGGCGGAATAACTAGATATATACCTTTCGGCGGTCTGGATCCTCAAAATACTCCTCTGAGGCTCGCTGTATATCGTTGTTGTTTACCTATAGGGTAAGAGGCCGATGTATCATCTCGTCAGCATCGGGCAGGAATACCTCGGAGCGCAGTGCGATGGCAGCTCCCATACCTTCAGGCGAGTTATGGCTTCGGTTCGAGGTAGGCCGGTAATGTCGCAGAAGAGGGAAATGGCTTCCTCGGACGGCTCGTCTACAACCGCCATGTTGAAGAGGTGCCGAGTTCCCGGGGTTGAACGAGATGATGCCGTGTCTGGCAGCGCATGGAAGTTCGACGACGTCTATGGCGGGGCGGGAAGGGTACGAGGGTATATTGAAAGGGCGCGGATGTGTTATATCATAGGGAGCTCAGAATGAGACGTAGCAGGCCGAGTTGATACCACCGGTGCGTGAGCAATTGGGTAGGTAAATGTGGCGTTGGGGACTAGAGACGCGGAACTATGATCCGAACAAGAGCTGTCGATCCGAAGACAGAGGACCAGATGGTAAAAGATGTAGGTGCTGAAACGCGACAGAAGGAGAGAGGGGGGGAGGGGAGCGCAGACGAGTCGCCCTAAGGCCTCGCCGACTGTTGCTGATGGCTGGCGTTGTAGGTCAGCGAGACCGTGGATGATGCTTCTTTGGCAGACGTCAATCGTCAACCGATAAAAGCCCCACGGCTTGACGACGTCTACTCCACTCCGCCCCGCGCATGGAAGCGCGCAGTTGCCACTGGAGCGCTCTTACCTTACCTACCTTACCTACCTTAGGTAATGTTAGGTTGAGGTTCAATTCTTAAGTACCTGCGTACCGACGTTAAGGTATTTGAGATAGGTACACACCTCCCTCCTATATATTGCCTCAGGTACTCAATCTCCCTTGGACCCTGCCTTATGTGCCTAAGGCATCCCCAGTAGGTTAGGTAGGTACCTAGGAGGTACCTGAATACTTACCTGTGCTGGGCATGCCTGTAGGTACCTAAGGTAGACAGGTTCCTAATGTAGCCGTTATCCTTTCTCGGCTAAGAGGAGGTACCTCCTACTGTTACAAGAATAGGCGCCTTGAGATATTGGGTACCTCCCCAGGTAGGTACCTAGCCCCCCAGTGACCACCGCAATGTTATTGATGGTATCGACCTTATAACTTTTACTTCAACTTGAGCTATGCTAATCCTAAAGTCCAAAGGTGGAAAGTTTGTTAGGTACCTCCTCTTTGGAGTGCCTGTTTCATTAGATACCTAGGTAGGTAGAGGTACCTCCTAGAGACGCGTCTGCGAAGTACCCAAGGCAATGATTACCTATACGGGCACTTGAGATAATAGGTTAGGTACCTGTTGGGAGATAAATTGAGGTCCTGTTTCACGACATGTTAACCTCCCGGAGTGTGTTGAGTTACGGAGAGGTACGTTCAAGGTGACAGTACTAGGAGGAGGTAGTTAAGACATGGCATCGAGATGGCCTCGTCCCGTTGGTAGCCGTCTACTGTCGGCCTTGCTACATACTTCCGGGATAATGTATCCCTGTGTGGTTCATGCGGACAACGCAATATGCTTCTCCTAAAGTTGCGCCAAATGATGTGTCGAGTCAAGCTTGCCTTTTGGTGGTCCAAGAAAGGTCGGTCAGCCATGAATACCTATCCACACACACACACACACACACACACATGTCCACATCCGTAGAACGTTGTATGTCGTTAGGTCTTCGATAGGTGGTGAGAGCGCAATGTGACACCCCACGCGCGCCAACGGGGAACCTTCCGGCCTATGGGTGTATATATATACATTAGAGGGATCAGGAGATGTAAATACTGCCGTTTGTCTTCGGCCACTGGCAGAGCTAGGCGGACTCACCACGGGCTCGACTTATAACTAGGCCGTTGCGATTCTACCACGTTCGTGTTCCCTTCCCGTTAACTTGGGCGCGGTTCGACGCATAACCTCGGGAACCACCTATGTCTACCGGTTCAACATCCAACTTTCGCTCTTCATTAGAGTTGGACCCGGCTAACTAGGCTACATATTTCGCTTAGAGAAAAAAAATTTTTTTTTTCTCCCCTTGGTGTGATCCCGCCCCTCACACCGTCTAACCAAAGTACATAACAACCGCCCGTACTTCGGTGCCACATAACCCGACGTGTTCGACGAGTTCGGGTAGCTCTTATTAACGGATGATGGCGGGGGATGCTTGGTTTGCGTATATGACTAAATCACGATTGTCTTGCTCGTCCCTCTATCCACGTGTCGCAGACGGCCCCGGGATCCTGCCGGGATCCTGCCGCAACCTATGATGATCCGAGGGCCTCGGGGAGTCTACGTTAAATCCTTTAGGCAACCTCCTCTATCGAGTAGAAGACGCGAGAGCAGGCCTAAGTAAAGCCAGCGTGTACGATAAAGGGGTGGGCCAACAAGCCCGTCGAGGAGCGCCTTAGTAAAGATCCGTGGAACGCCTTTCCGACGCTATGCAGATATGTACAGTTAGAAAACGGGTTGCCGATTTACCGAATGGCCATGCCCCCCAGACCCCGCGAGTGTCGCATATCCATACGGGATCTCTTTATTCCTGGTTGTCGTCATCATCGGTTCCGCCATCGTCCTCCCCGTCCTCGTCAAATTCCACCGCCTCATCGTCTTCACCGGTATCGCTACCACCGAAGTCGAATTCCTCATCACTTCCGGCCCAAAAGGCGGCATCGTCATCGGAGGACTTGGGCGGTGGCGGGGGGTCTAACGTAGTTGGCATGACAAAATCGTTGGGAATGTCTCCTTTCGACCTCTCGACGATCTCCTTGGCCTTCTTATTATACGCCTCGCGGTTATCCCGATACATGACGCCAGCGTCTACGTTGGCGGGGGAGTTGATTTCCGGATCGTCCAAAAGCAGAAGTACGGACCGCAGCACAGACTCGACACCTTGCAGAGGGGTCCAGCGTTCGCTCGCCTGTTCCCCTGACGTGATATCTTCGCCAGGCGTGTGGAGGATGGAGATGCACAGCTTGCCGTCGGGGTAGATGTTTGGATGGTAGATGGGGATGAGAAATCGGAAAGTCGGCGGCTGGTAGGGGTACTCCTCCGTAAAGGTCATTTCGGCCTAGCGTATACGATCCCGTAAGTGGCCCGTCTCTTGTCGCGGGATGGTGTTGCCGTTGCTCTCTTGCTCACCTTGAAATAACCACCGTTGAAGGCGCTGGTAGAATTGATGACCATGAGGCCCAGACGCCAACGGAAGATGTTGCCGTTGGCGAGCTACGAAGGCCGAGACGTCAGAGGATGAGTTCGCGTCCAGGGTTGGCTAAGTGGCACTCACGTCGATGTTGACCCAGTTCTCTTTCTCGAGTTGCTGCATCTCCGTCATGAGTCGATGCTTGGCGCCACCGCCATGTTTAGAGGACGACATCGGAACAGTTGGGAATAGGGCTCGTCGGAAGGTGAGGTGGACTTCAAAGTATTTGCCGTGGTGAGGTCGCGCGCAACCCGTGTGGCCCTGAAAAAGCTCTCCTGTAACGAGAAATGGCTAACTGCCCAGCTGACGATTTCCCGATCGAGATCGGTCAGGGGGACGATCGCCTGAAAGAGAAAGAGGTTTGGAGGGAAAAGCAGGAATGAAAGGAGAGGCGGCCTCGAGGGCAGACTACCCAAGTGTTGTAGGGCAGTAGTCTGGCCCGATATGATCGGGTAGAAAGAAGAAAAGTTGGTGATAGGACAGCGAGGCGTGCCAAATGGGCGGGATGGGAGGAAACGGTTAGATTATTAGAGGCCTTAGTTGTGTACGTAGTAAACCGCGGTTGACTCGGACCGGCCGTCTTTTAAATGGGAAGCGTGCCACTGGTATGATGAGTAAGCCTTTTCCGGACAGGGGTCTTGCCGCGCGCGTGTTGGTCCGGGGAACCGAATTGGCCCGAGGACTGAGATCACGTATTGCATCTACCGCCTTCAGGTCCGTAGTAGCGAAAGAGAAGGAGAAGGGAAGTTAGGAGGAGATATAGGTAGCCCCATGAAACCAGCTGGGGACGGGCCCGTGTACCTACCTACGTACTCCTCATACACGTAGGGCAATAAGGCAGAAGGCAGGTTGTTGTAGGTATACGTGTAGGTGGTTAGTTCAAATGAACCTAGTTGTGTGTAGAGAGTAGAGTCACAAGCATGATTATGCATTAATAAGCGGCCCGTGTGAGCCTGCATGGGTGGATATTGGCATCGAATTACGTGTAGGTGTAGGTACCTAGCCGATGTACCTATATGAAATGCCTAATGTAGGTACTCATAGGCATGCTCTCGGAGGCCATATACCTAAGGTGCCTAGGTTATAGAAAATAAGGTCCCTGTGGGTACCTGATAACCTACCGTAATTTACCGCATGTACCTAGGTATCTATCCTCAGGTACCTCAGGCAACTTGAAGCCCCTCGTGACTGCCTGCCTAACCTACCTGGTACCAACCTGGCCCATGCACAATACCTCCTCTAAGGTACCTGTAGATTCATCCACCCTTCCACTCAATGCGACTCTGTACACAACATCAGTAGGTATATGGAGAAGGAAGCCCGCGGTTCTACACGTAGGGATGTAGGATGCTGATGGCATATCGTATTATAGATAATACGTAGCAAAAAAAACAAAAACAAAAAAACAACAGCAATGGTGGCCTAGCCTTTCTATGAGTATTTTCGCCTTCCATGGCTGCTCAAATACATGGGGTTATAAACACGTTATGGACTGTTGATTAACTCCCTACAACATACAAGGCGGGCAGACAGATACCTAGCTTGATAGTCGGAGAACCTAGGTACTTCATTAAGATCTTGGTTAGAAGGTAAACAATACCTACCAATTGTTCCGTGTGTTCTGATCGTGGACCGGCGGTCTAGCAGGTTTGGTTCACAGCACGGGAATCGTGCTACACCGGATTACAGAGGAGTAATCCGCGGTACAGCAAAATATACTTGGTGCGCTTTTGGGTCAACGACTGGAATTGCCACAGCTTATATGAGTATATACCGGGTAAGTTCTGCGGGACCAAACATTCCCTTACTATGCGATAGAGTGTCCAGGCTCCCGAGAGAGCTCTCCTCCCTACCTGCTACTGAAGACAAGAAAATCCCGAGGGAACGAAACAAAAAGAAGAGCTGAAGCGAAAAGGCTATATGGTAGGCGAAGGTTCTCCATCAGGGCACTTGGAGCTTGTGATTTCCCGTAGTATATGCATAGCATGTAGGTAGGGGCACATGATTGCGATACTGTGATGGGGTTCTGTCACAGAACGCTTGCATAGAGAGTCTCGCCTTCTTTTAACTTGGTGTCAGTATAAGCCAACAATGGGTAGGCACCCGTAGTATAGTGTATAGTAGACAATGGACTTTTTCACATCTCAAATATCATAGAAAGCATGCGTTTGGTGCCTCCCTACCTCAGGCGCGAAACATACACAAGCTAGCCCGGAACCATAGGCAGGTAACTCTTCAATGTCGCCCATATCACCCAAGGATCTACTTAGGTCACAGGTGAGGAACGTAGATGAGCCCATAATCGGTTAACAGGATGTGCCTCGACTTTTATTGACAGTAGAATGAACCTCAAAGCGGGGCACTTTTAGCCAAAAAACCCCCCCCCCCCAACAGGTACCTAGGTATCTAAGGCATGTAATTACACCTACATGCCGACCATGGATGTATATTGGTATGTACAGGGTACCTGAGGTACCTACAGGTAAACACATATAAAGGCGAGTACCTCTACTAAGGGTTTCCATCGTATAACTGGGACTTTATACATTAGGTACATAAGTACCTATGTACTATGTGCCTTCGGCTTCCAACTCACAAGGGAAGGCATGTTTCCTCTCAGGTCAATCCCCCTTACCTTGCCTAGTTGGATGGAAGTCACCCCCCATCCGTCCACTTTGCCCGTTTTGCCCGTCACCATTGTCACAGGCCCTCAACTCTGCCTTCTTTCACCCAACCACCACCCGACCCCGTTTTCTCCCGCACTCGACAACGACGAGACGACGAGGCATCGCGGTATCGGAAAGACCGCTCTCGCAGTCTAGACATCGCTACCAGTAGTATTTTCTCACCCATCGACACGGAATTTCGGAGGATTTAGCACGGTGAATGCTGGTGGACTCGGGCGCTCTCGACCACAACAGCCGGTCGGCGGTTTGGCGCGACTCGCCACACTGAGAGATCGATCATCCCATCCTTCTTCGTCGGCCTTTTCGCCCATCGCCCATCGCCCATCGAGCGCATCGTCGCTGCTAATTGACCTTTCGTATACGGTACCTGATTGCGCCTCGGAGTCTCTCGTCTACGCTTCTCCAATCCTCACTCTATCGCCGCTGCCGATCGGTTTCCCTTTTACCGCTCCTCCCCGGCGGCGACGACTACGACGACTACGACGAATCCACTTCCGAAACTCTCCTCTATCCATCCTCTTCCCGTCCCCCTCCACTCGGCTTCTCGTGTTTTCTCGATGGCGACCATGACCTTCAATCCCCAGACACCTCAGAGCCCGTCTCAGTTTTCTCCGAGCATAGGTGATCCAGCATCCAGCATACACAGCTCCATGACCGCAATCACCACTGCTTTGCCTACAGTGAGTCAAGCGTCAATCACTAACCGTGAATCGTGCCTCTCTGCCGACTTCCGAGGCGAAAGCCATCGGAATTCTTGATCCTTTTCAGCCGGAAGATTTGATGAGAGAATTTCTTGGCAAACCAGAAGACTTTCGCTGACATGCAAAATCGCTGCAGCCGGCACATAGCGTCAACGGATCAGCCCAAGCCGCCGATATGGCTCACGATGCTACGATGGCGGATTACTATTCCCATAAGCGTAAATATTCCTTTGGCGATGCGGGTGACCATGAGTTTAAGAAAGTCCATCTCGAGGATCGCCGAGTCGGTATTGAGAACCTACACATGGATGTTGGTGAAAAGTACCTTCTTTGCAGAACTCGTAAGGCTCCCCTTGGTCTTACACACTACCTCTTATGGTATCCGTGCTCCCGGCCATCGCTCTTTTCGCAGACCGATGGCAACTGTTAGCAGTGGTGCTTCTATGGGATTTTGATACTATTTGGTTGACACTGTTTCTCATCTAGCCCATTCCGTCTCCTCGCCGTGCATGTCCGACGACCTTTTTGAGAGATTCGGTCTAACCGGCATCGCCGCTGAGGTTGCCCGTACGAAGCCTAACGGGGAAAAGAATGCGCTCCGCAAGACCTACAAAGGCCAGATTAAATCATTAGGGTTGAGCGGACACTTCGATGCCGTGAAGAAAGACCCCCAAGATCAGGACAGTCTCAAGACACTGCTCGACTTCCCCGAAGAAGAATGGTGCACCAGAGAAGTCAGAGGCAAGGAGATCGAGCGAGGATTATCACAGAGCCTTCTGGCGAACCTAACCCGGGCGACGACAATGGTCAGAGGTCAAATACCTAAGACGATGTGGGATAGTGCGGTTCTGGGCGATCTCGCGCCCGGAAACGCACCGAAGAAAGTCAGCCATGATCAAGCTACGAGGCAGACGGCGCCTAGCACCCCGGTTCCGTCGGGCCTAGGCGTAACGCCGAAGCCGAATAAGCCGTTGACGTCTCAGATGGACCGTGCCCGTCGAATCGGGAAGAAGCGGAGTTATCAGGACAGCAGTTTCGAGGGGTACGGCGATGGTTATGCTGACGATGATGTTGGCGGATATTCGACGGGTGACGGGGAGGAACGGTTGAAGTTGAAGAGGAGAAAACAGGTGCATACGGACGATCCGTCTTCAGCGAACCTCTTCACTGACCGGCTACAGAACCTTGGCGACGTATCGTCCTCCGGCGGCGCTAGTGGCTGAAGATTATGGTGACGGGATAGGGCCACGAAATAAGATACCCAGGTTGAGGATGAGACGATGGATTTGCGCGAGATAATGGACGCCGCCTCGCCCACGCGGCGCGCTATGCGGTTATTTTGCATTTCCCTGATTTTAGCATGGCGCCGGGCGTTCGGATAAAGCTTAGGATATACAGCAACGAGCAAGATGGGCTCGGGTACCTAAAAACCTTCGATGCATGAACTCGGCGGACGGACACTGGAGCCCACTTAGCCTCGCGACGCATCTTGCCTTGTGACAGACGGACTAAAAAAGGCAACCTATTTTCGACCAGAGCCCACAGGTTTCCTGCTCTGGCAGCGAAGTTTTCCGTGGACACGACACAGATAGCACGCTCCCTCCTGACCACACCGACTTGTGCAGGCGCTCAAGTCTACAGTGTGTTGATAGGCATGATTCCGATGCTAGCATCTGTCTAGCTACCTCGCACGCCTAGGCGATCTGTCAAAGCTTCGCATACATCTGATCACCGGAGACGCATCGATGTGACTCAGAGTGTCGCGTGCCGCGGTAATTTCGTCGGTAGACAGCCAATAATTAAGTCTAAGCTGTGATAGGCAAGGCAGAGTATGCGTTGGGGGACGTCGGCTTTTTTTTTTTGGTTTTTATTATTAGTATTCTACAGATGAAATGTCGAGATCGTCGGGCCGTTTTGCTGTGGCTCTTCTCGAAGACGGGACGAGCGACCTCAACGGCTTGGGGTTACCGTTCTGAGCCGGGATAGGGGACGTCCAGTCGAACTCGACGGGCTTCTGTCTAGCCTCGGATCGACGTACTGGCGACCGCCGATCTTCGGCCGGAGATCATTGGTCTGGGGCGGATCGGCGTTTCCGTCGATCGAGGAGAGCGTTCGCTTGCTGGACTGCCATCATGTACATTAGGTAGACCGTGAGCGTTTCCTAGAGACCTAGATATGCTAAAGTATGTACACCAGGTCAATCAATCACCTACGACTGGAATAGTGCGGTACGAAATGCGGTAAAGGGTGCAAAATTCATCAATGCGAGGCCTCTCCCCCAGCCAATGCAATAATGGTGACTCCGCGCTGACAGGCAGGTACTTGTCCAGGCACCTGGGTCAGGTATTAAACGAGGCTGGCAGCCAGCTCATGCAGGTATTTAGGTACGTAGAGATTGGATACAACAGGCATCGCGGAACAGAGATTGGTTATGTATTTATCACGAAGCCCTTATGCAAGACGGAGTGCAATATACCTACCGTAAAGAGGTCCTATATAGCGTTCTCCGTGCCCGCATAGGGCATCGCGTCTAGCTCGCAACCCTTCCCTCTCCCGTCCCTGTATTCACCTCTACCCCTCGCCGTCTTCTACTACGCTTGCCCACACCCTCCACTCCACGTTCTCATCGCCTTCGCATTCGAGGACGAGACACACCTCGAGGCTTGCTCTTGGTTTAAGTTTGCGGTGATCCCGCGAGTACCGGGGGGTCGACTCCGGCCTCGTTATGCGCTTACGTCACTCTACGATAGACACTGTCCAGGCCTACTGATAATATCGAGCAGCTCGCCGGCTTAAGACAGCCTCGCATTTGTTCCCGTGCCGTCTCTCACGTCATCTTCGCCATGAGTGAGAGATTGTCAGATCGTAGCCCCCTGGATGTTGCGCCCCGGCCTGGTATCGACGCGAGGCTAAGCTCGTCCGTATCCATCTCTACCTTTGGTGACCCGCGACTCTCGTCTACGCAGTCTCTGGTCCCCTCGTCTCCTTTCGAGGAAACCGGACGCCGGAAGCTTCTGGTCATCTACATCCATGGGTACATGGGTAGCGATGCCTCTTTTCAATCCTTCCCTGCCCATGTGCACAGGTATCTCAAGCTAGCCTTAGCCGACACTCATGCCATACATTCCAAGATCTACCCGAGATACAAGACCTATAAAGCCCTTCGGGTAGGTCGCGATAGTTTTAGTAGTTGGCTCGCCCCCCATGAGTCGCCGAACACCGACGTTGTGCTTGTCGGACATTCCATGGGCGGATTGTTGGCTGCCGATGTTGCCTTGATGGCAAGTATTCCAACTCCCCTCTGCTGCATGGCTAGCTGACCAGCCGAGCTAGCTTTCGGGTAACCAGCACGAGGATAGATATTTCCTACATCGCATCCTAGGGACTATCAGCTTAGATGCGCCACTGCTAGGCCTCCATCCCAGTGTGATTACCACGGGTATCGCTAGCCTGTTCCAGCCCAAGCCAGACGTAAAAGACCTGCCGGAAGAGCCGATACCTGAGGACGAATCCACCCAACCCTCGTATTACGCCCCTTCAACACACGATTCCGTCTATTCAGGCCCGTCTAGCACGTCTCAGGCGTCACTGTCCTCCTCTATACCCTATGGCATGACATTTGATCCTAACTTCAACCCGTCGTTCATGAACGACATACGTCTTCAGGATAGGGGTTGGTGGGGGAACATCGTCCACTTCGTCGAGAAGCATAGCTCGGAAAATATACTAGACGCCGCTACCTCTCACATCATGTCTCATTTAGAATATGGGGGGGCCCTGATGGATATCGCCGGCCTCAAGGCACGGTATGAAAGCATCCGTCGGTTAGAGGATGTGGATGACCTGAAGCACCAAGAGTTGCCTCATATACCGCCACGGGTCCGCTTCCTCCAGTATTACACCGTGTGCCATGGACCTCCCAAACAAACAATTCCCCGGAAGCCAAGTCTCAGTCCAGAAACCTCCAGTATTCCAAGGGAACCGCGTAGCCCTACATCCACGACGGAGGTTCCCAGTCGAAGTCGCAGCAATACCCCGAGTCTACGGACCCGTATGGATGCCATTCTGGAAGAGGGTATTTCACCTCTGGATTCCCACGAAGCCGACAGCGACGGAAGCCTAACGTTACTTTCCCCTCAACCGATCTCTGAAGGGGATCAACCAATACCGAGCTCCTGTCCATCTCTCCAGTCGCTAGAGGGACCCAGAGACAAGCCCCTAGAAAGTTACATACCTGCTTCCGGATCTTTTGTGAAGGTGAATGATATTGAGGTCGATTGTCCGCAAGATCATTCAGGTTTATCACCCCAAGGATCTTCGCAAAATGGTGTGATCTCAACGGCCCGTCTGGGTGATTCCATGGCATCTCTAAATCTAGATCTTCCCGAGATTCCAGAATTGCCTACCAAGCCTGAACCGCCAGATTTAGACCGGTATCTCGACAAAGAGACGAGAAAACAAGCCGAAAAGGAGGCGAAGCGAGCGGAAAAGGATTATGCGAAGCGCGTGAAGGACCGCGAAAGGACCATCAAAGAGAGGCAGAAGATCATCGATAAGAGGAAAAAGAAGCTCACGCATGAAACGGAGAAACGGGAGAAGGAAGAAAAGAGGCAGCGTCGGAAGGAAGAGAGCGCTGCCGTCAAGGCAAAATCGTCGGTCTTAGGAGAGGGATCTGTAGACACTCACGATCCCCCGACTGGATATCCTGACAGCGCTCCAAGTGAGCGAACACAACGAGAGCTGAACTCGAATACCGTGCCGCCTGTGCTAGGCCCACAGGAAGAGGGGGAGGATGGAATGAAACCGCCGAAGAAATTAAAGAACCGGAAATTTTGTAACCTGCCGCCCAAAGTTGACGGGGAGGTCGATTCCAAGTGGATTAAAGTTTTTATGAAGGATATGGATCAAGTCACTGCGCACACGAGCCTGTTCTTCAGAGGGGAGCATTACGAGAGACTAGTTGGTGACGTTGGAGAGGCCATCGTGGGATGGGTGCAGGAGGACATGACCAAAAGGGCCATTCTTGAGTTGAGAGATTAGATGGTGTTCACGTGGATAGGGACTCGGGGATGTCCCGATTAATGATACCACTTCATATGGCTTCCATTTAGTTGCTGAGTGGAGTGGCCCTCAAGGAGTAATGGGGAGTAAGCAAGTACACTCATCATAATTATCAGTAGCGGAGTTGGTCTCGTCGCGTCTCGAAAGGGTCGAACTTACTATACACCATTGGCAATTGAAGGAAACACTGGGTTCGTGTGCGTGTGCGCTCTCAGGTCGGCTTGATTCCTCGGACAGCGCGAGAAGGCGAATACAATGGGTTCGGCGACACCAGCCGAGATTACGATGGCTACTTGAAGTCATAACCAAGACACCAGCGAGGCAAGTCTTTCTCTTATTTTCTCTCTTTTTTTATACTATTATTTGAATTTCAGATTTTTATAAACTAATTTTAACTCCCTTTTTTGTCCCCTTTAGTTCCTGCGTTCATTTCGTACGTAGACTCTAGATGAATATCAGGGGGGGCTCCTGCTCCCTGGCCGGCTCGTCCCTCGGCGGGGGGCGGGCCTTGTGCTGGGAGGGCCCGCGCGGCAGCCCGACGGGGCCTCGGGGCGGCGGCGGCGTGCGCGTCGACGAGGTCGACGGCGACCTCACGCGAAGTGGCGGCGGGGCCTCGGGCGGCAGCGGCGGCAGCGGGCGGTCGAGCTCGGCGCCGGCGAGCGTCCGGTGGCTGCGGTGGCTCGCGACCGTCGGCGCCAGGCTGTTGCGCCGCCCGCTGCGCGACCGGCTGCGCTCGCGGCTCTGCTGTCGGCTCTGCGGCTGCCGCGTCTGGCTGTCGGCCCGGCTCCGCGAGCGGCTCGGGGACCGGCTCTGCTGCCGGCCCGCCGCCGCCGCCGGAGGCCCGTTCTGCGCCTGGCTGTTCGACCGGCTGTGCGTCTGCGACTGGCTATCCGCGCGGCTATGCTGCCGGACCTGCGTCTGGGCCAGGCTGTCGGAGCGGCTGTGCTGCTGGCTGCTGAGCAGCGGCGTCTGGCTATTCGCGCGGCTGTGTTGCTGGCTGGGCGGCTGCGCCTGGCTGTTCATACGGGTGTGCTGCCGGGGGAATGGCTGCGTCTGGCTATTCGAGCGGCTGCGCGGCGGGCTGATCAGCTGAGTCTGGCTGTTCGAGCGGCTCCGCGACCGGCTCGGGGACCGGCTCTCCTGCCGGGCCGGCGGCTGCTCAGGCCGAACTAGTAGCCGGCTGCTACGGCGCACCTCCGGCTCTACCTCTGTCATCTCCGACGCTGTTGTGTTCGCCGTCTGCGCCGTCGGGGGGCGCGAGAGCCGAGGGGGCGGGGGTGCGGTTAGGCCACCACCAAGATTGGTGCTGCTAACGCTGGTCCCGAGGTTGCTACTACTGAAGCTACTGCTAAGATTGCTACTGCTGAAGCTGGTGCTGAGATTGCTGCCACTGAGGCTGCTACTTAAGTTTCTGTTGTGGTTGCCGGCGAGGAGGTCCATATGAGATGAGTCGGACGACGACGGCAATTCGTATATGGCGGGGTTTCCATATACGCCGTACAAGCTGCGCTGTTGCTGCGCCTTCTCCTGCTCTTCGCGTTCCAGGCGCCGCTTCCTCTCGCGCTGGAACCGTTTCTGCTTCTGGCCAGGGGTCTCGATGATAACAGAGCCGCCCCAGCTGCTCGTCGTGTCGTTCAGGTTGCGGTTGCGGGTCGAGGCTCCCCAGGGCATCATCTTGGGGAACATCCGGGCCAGGGCCAACCTAAGGGCTGGCAGGCAGGCGCAGACGATGGCGAGGTTGTTCTCGACGCCGGACCAGAGCCCGAGGTGGATGCCGTCGGTGGACGGGTCCGCCGTGGGGCTCAACTGCGCGATCGAGGCGAGCCGCATGGCTGACGCCACGCACACAACGACCCCGATTCCGAACACAGCCATCAAGGCGAAGCGCTGCCGCGGCGCGATCTTGAGGCTCAGGAGCAGCGGCAGCGGGATGCCTAGGACGATGAGGTCGAGGAGCGTATTCGTCGCCGAGGTGACGAGCATAAAGAGCGGGAGGTTCATGCACTTGCCCTCCTTGCTCTCGAAAAAGAGACTGCCATCGCTATGGTCATTTTGTATTTGCACGCCATCCGGGTCGAATCGAGCGCCGGGCGGCATCGTCCACGAGAGATGGATCGGGACACAAGCGAGCACGCCACCGAAGAAGAGCGTGAGCCCGAAGAGGCCAAGAAAGCCGAGAAGCACATAACAGGAGCGCACGAAGGTCCGGCTAGACCATATGCGCAGGTACGATGCTACGATGGACATCTTGACCATAGCGGATGAGAGGCCCCAGAGGGGTGGCGAGATCCATAACGCCTAGAGAGAAAGACCGCCTCGTTAGAAATGTGGTTACCTTGCGTACGAGCGGATATGGGGACTCACCTGTAGCGCCATTTCCCGATTCCGAGGCGTCAAGCTGGACAGCGGGTCACCGAAGCCTACCGATATGGCTAAGTGTATATTGTTAGAAGGCTGTAAATTGTGAAGGTAGGAGGACATTGGCTTCACTTACAGAACATGTTCGCCGTGTATGTTCCAATGGAACAAAGCTGATCGATACCGTACTCGTCAGCCAGCTATCCCCGGCATGCCTCCTAGGGGGGTTGGGAGGAGATAGTAGAGGATGGGTGAGCAAACTTACTACGGCTCCCATGCACAGCCAATCGTCGGCCCCGTGGTTCCTCAGCAGCGCGACACGGACATAGAAGCGTAGTATGACGGCCAGGACGGCAAGGGCCAGGAAGGGCGTGACGGCGGCGACGAGCGGCACCGCATTCTGGGAGACCTGCATCGCCGCGGCGAGTTTGCTGCCGGTGCTGCTGGCAGATAGCTCGCCCTCTTCCTCTCCCACGCTCCCGCGTTCTTTACTTCTTCGATCGTCGGCACCGGTGCTCCTATCTCCCGTCCTCCCTATCGGTATCGGTGTGTGAGAGTTCGCTTAGGGGGTCGGCCGGCAGAGGCAGACTGGCAGGCGGGTTGGCGGGTTGGCAGGCTGGCTGTCGGGCCAAATCGGCATGGGGAGGGTCTAGGAATTAATTATCTATTGAGATATGGAGAGCAGAATAAGAAAACCCCGGGGACATATCGTGGGCCTAGGAGGAGGAACGGATATAAGTGACGATTCGATGTGCCGATGGTGCTACCTATCTATCTACCCTTCGCCGTCCAGTTATTCCGCCCTCTACACCGTCTCCCTGCCTGGCCGGGTGTTATCTAATTATATCACAGAGGGTTACGGGAGGAGGCAGAAGGGCCGTCGTGAGACGGCCCACACATCAGATACCACGGAAGTTGGCGGTGATGGGTGGTGGCGCACTCCAGAACACTGTCCAGGGGTGAGATGGATTAGACGCATCCACGTACCCACGTACCCATCAGATCAGCAGCGGAGAAGAGGGGAGGGAGAGGGAAGGATGAGGGGGGAGAAGGGCTTGGGAGCGGACGCCATCGGGTTCCGTGTGCAGCCTGGCGGTTTCTGTATCCTTCGATGACGACTGGGCGCTGGCCTTCCTATTGGGGGGCTGCCACTACGACGTCGATGCGTGGCGACGGATCGGAGCCGAAACCAGACGGACAGCTCTTCGTTTCGTCCTGCTCGCTGGAGGGACCCTGGGCTGTCCACATCTCTTTGCCTCCTTTGGGCAGCCCCAAGAGGAATTGTTTCGATCGCGGGTCGGTGAGAGAGAGAGACGGAGAGTGCTCTAGCTCAGCCTCCTGCCTCGGCTAGGTCTCCTACCGGACACATCTCCAGGTCGAGGTCGCGTGCGAATCAGGTAGATGCTCACAGCGGCGGCGTGCCGTCCACACGTGTCGGCCCCGGTTCGGGACCGCCATCGAGACTGGCCCTGGTCGCGTTGCGTACACGATCCTACAGGTGCTTGTCCATGCCCGAAATGGTCAAGTAAGACGTCGCGAGTGGCGCTAGCCGAAGGAGGATCGAAGCCACAGATCTCCAGGGGGGAGACTCTCAATATAGAAATATGGGAATGTCTTGTGATTGGTTTGTCGGATGGCTCCTCGCCTGGGACCCAGGTCTTTTGTTTTCCTCTTCCTCCTCCCCTGTTCCTCTCTCGCTCTTCTCGTTCGCTCTCTCTTGTTTCGTTTCTATTTCACGAGCCGAGAGGATCACTAGGTGTATTGCATTTATATTGCTCACGATGCCGCGCTGGCAGGAAGTGAAGATCGATGCCATGCCAATTCCGACGGACCGGGCGATTCACCCACCGGCTTGCCTCGAGCCGGCGATAGTAGGGCAAGCCACTTCCAACATTTGTTGGCAACACGACGCGTATGGCTGCTTGAGAAGTAAGCAATAAGTAAGTCGGAACCCTCCCATTGCGCATGGCTATCCTGTCTCATAGTTACAACTGTTTTTCGAGGCGTCCGTACAGCTACCTAACTTGGCCATCGGCGACAGCAGTGCCAAGCGATGTTACCCAACCCCCTTAAATAAATGCTCATGAAACCACTTCAATACAGTACCTAACATTTCCTGATTAGAGATTGAAATTCGGACCCGAAAGCTGCGTAGTAACATATCATGCGAATTGCTTTGCAGACTCGCCATCTGTTATTAGGTAGTAGGCAGGCAGAAAATTGGTGCCTACGTCGGCGAAACGCGCTCTCATTGCGCACGCCAATATGCAACTCGTGCATGTCGCGATACATACGGAGTGTGGACTGCGGTAAGGTGCAGCACGCAAGCCGCCGGCGATTCGCAAGACATAGCAAATAATATAGTGATCTAGCCCATGAGGAAGCTATTGACGCTCTGCAGCGTCGTCCTGCTCGGATTCGCATCCGGGAAAGTCGTCATGATACGGCTGAGCTGGACCCTGATGTCACTCTTAGTGTAGCCGGTCGAGGGCGGGCGGGGGCAGTAGTTGCCTTCGCCGTCGAAGTTCTGGCACAGGAGCGCGAGCGCGACGCCGACCGACAGGTCTTTTCCGGTCTCGCAGGCGACCAGGACCCGGGGTTCTAGCGCGCCCGCGCCCGCGCCCGCGCCTAGGTCCTCCCCAGCATCAGGACCTTCTGCCGTCGGTGACGCGGGCTCGAGGAAGCGCCGCACGAAGTCGCCGATGCTGGGCAGGGCCACGCGCAGATTACGGCTAGCGATCTTGTTAGGCTTGCCCACGCCCACCTCTATCAGCCGCGGGCTCTTAACCCACGAGCTGGGGTCGGTGGCCTCGGGGCGCAGGGCGACGACGCAGGTCGACGGCGGCGGCGACGGGCCAGCAAGCGGCAAGCAGGCGACGAACAGGCGCCGTGAGACCTGCTTAGGGGACGGCACGCTCGCGTCGGCAGCGTGGGCGGCGACCAGCGCGCGCACGAGACCGGGCAGTTCCGGGTCGGGCGTCGCGAGGAGGAGCTGCTGGTGGCGCCAGAAGACGGGCGGGGTGAGGCCGAGGGCCCAGTTCTCGGTGTCGTCGGCGGCGCCCTGGATGTAGCCGCGCTCGCTCATCTCGGCGCCGGGGACGCGGCGCGAGCTGGTGCAGCACACGACGGGGTGGAAGGCGTCGAACACCTCGCCGGCCGGCGCGAGCGGCGACTCGGGCGTGACCCACAGGGGGCGCAGGGGCTTGCGCAGGCGCCGGCGCAAGGCCGCGGCGTCGAGGCCGAGGGCGCGGAACGCGGCGACGTGCTCGGGCAGCCGGGCCTCGATCTGGGCGTGCTCGGACGGGGCGACGGCGGACGGCGGCGTGTAGAGGGCGTGGGCGGCGGCGGCGTCGCCCGCGTCCGGGAACAGGGCGCGGTTGAGGACGCAGCACCAGACGGGCACGGTCTTGCTGAGGGCGTCGGGCATGCGCTTGCCGCGGCGGGTGGAGTCGACGACGAGGCAGCCGTCGCAGCGGCCGATGAGGTCGAGGAGGTGGAGGTTGAGGCGGCGGGTGCTGAAGCGCCACTGGCCGGCGTGGCCGTCGGTGCTCTTGAAGTAGGCGGACGCGGCCCTGGCGGCCGGCGCGACGTACCAGCTGCCGCAGCGCTCGTTGGCGACGAGCGGGCGCGCGAAGGCGGCCGCCGCCTCGGCCACGAAGTCGGCGTCCTCCCGGATCGAGCGCAGGCGGTTCGCGACGGAGAGGTTGGACCGCTTGAGGTCGCCGAGGACGCGCGAGAAGTTGTGGTTCGCCTGCGGCGGGAAGATGAGCTCCGAGGTCGTAGCCATGGGATTCTCGGGTCTCGGCGTATCGTAGCAATGCTGATGGATATGTATATAGGTGTATATATATAGGTATGTATATGTCTGTTATTAGTATATATATTTCATGATATGTGTATGCATTCAATATTATAAGATTCAATATTATGGTAACATGTGACTGTTGCGACGGTTGCGTGCCACGCGGCCCGCTTGGAAAATTGTAGGTATGCTTTCGAGATATTTCTGAGTCGGAGCCGGAGGACTCGATCGACTCGGTCGACGCCCGTCCGAGTCCCCGTGTGGCGCGATCAGAACCCCCCCATGTATACCTTAGGTACCTAGCGCATAGGCGGGTGGGGAAGTTAGGTACCTAACGTCCACTACCTCTGGTATTCCTCTACGGTTAGGTACTGTTGCGAATAGGGACGTAGGTACTTGGGTAGGTAGGTAGGTACATCGGCCGGGTGCTTTGCCGATGGGTAAGCACAGGTAGGTAAGAGGTACCAGTTGAATCTAAGTTTAGCTACGCGCGGCCTTTTCTGGCTGCGCCCATGTACTTATATCGGTACGAGTGTAGGTACCTACCTAGGTACGTAGGAACCTTATATCGGGCACTTGCAGGTACAGGTAATATCTGGTAGGTACCTCCTAACCTGGATATACATGTACCCTGCACACCCAAGAATAGATTAGGTAGCTGTTCCAGCACCGCGGTCGGTAAGACGGAGGGCGGATTCATGCCGACACGCCCGTGGTCCATAATTACCTAATGTGGAAAGTGGTCGGTCGGTAGTGGACATCATCACAATCACCCATTACAAAAACACGAGCCAGGAACAGGAGATAGGTCATGTTGCATTATCTCGGTTATGATCCGAGTCCGTCGTGTATTCCTCTTAAATTAATACCTACGCTGGGCTTGTTTTTTTTTCTTTCCTTTTCTCTGCGGTTCAGCATGAAGTTACGCACCTATCCACTGCTCGAGACGTACGTGTAGTTCTCGACCCCAACCCCCGTCACAGCCCAGGCCACATAGCTGGGTCTCCAGGTTCGTTATCCTCTACATCATATACGGCTATGGGAGTGCCATGTCTCCACAACGCGCTGGTGGTGGTGACGAGCCGCCTCGCTAGCATATCCCTGCTAGGTATTAAATACCTACCTAATATTCGTACACCTCGTTTCCCTTAGGTGTCATGCCGCTGTCACCCGGCCTCGTGTAAGCCTGCACATGTTCCGTTCCGTATACACCTACCCTTTATCGCTTAGCAGATGACCTCCGCCTTCACGAGCACGGCGTAGTCGTCGTTGTCGCAGTCCTCCCTGAGCAGGCACGGCGACACCATCAGGTCCACCGCCGTTCCCGAGCCGAACCTGCTGCGCACCTCCATCGTCTTCTCGCGCACGGGGAACCCGCGCGTGAGCCGGCTGCCCGGCCGGTCCGACATGAGCACCAAGCAGCGCGAGCGGTGGAGGTCGGCCGCGAGCGCCGCCGCCGCCGCCACGATGTCCGCGACCGCGCGCTCGAGCTCGGGGCGCTGGCGGTCCGCCGCGCCGGCGACCTGCTCCGCCGCCTCGACGATGCCGCGCGCCGTGTCCCCGAGCACCTGGGCGTCGGGCTCGCAGGCGCGCCGCAGCAGCGCCGCGGTGCGCGCGCGCCAGTCGCGGCGCTCCTCGCCCTCCGCCCCCGCCGTCCCGAGCGCGCGCTCCACCTGCGCCGCCGCGCCGCCGAGCTCCCGCCCCCACACCCGCCACGGCCGCGCGAACAGGCACGTGTGCAGGTAGCGCCAGACCAGCGCGCGCAGCAGGTACGGCCTCGTGCGCGCCGTCGCGTGGTAGTCGCGCCAGTGCGCCGACAGCTGCTCGAGCTCGAGGCGCACGCGGTCGTGCGTCTGGAGTTGTTGCTGCTGCTTAAGCCGCTCCCCTGGCGACCCGCTGCCGCCGCCCCCGCCGGAAAGTCTGCGCGCGAGCGCGCGCACGCCGTCCCGAACCGCCTTCCAGCGCGCGACCGCTTGGTCGTCGGTGAGCGCGGGGACGAGGGTCCGCCGCAGCGCCGCCCCGGGATCGCCATCGCCGCCGCCGCCGCTCCCCGCGCGTAGAAGCTGCTGGTGCAGCGCCTCGCTCAGCCTGGTCTTCTCCGCTAGATCGTCCGTGAGCTTCTGGTATTTCGCCTCGGCGTCTCGCATCCGCGCGCGGGTGATTGTGACCGTCCCACCGTCCCCTCCCGGCGGCCCCTGCAGCTTCTCTCCGCCATCAACGCCCCCATTCGCCCCCCGTAGTCGGTTGTTGTCCGTCTCCAGTTGTGCTATCCTCGCCTCCAGCTCTCCTTTCTCCTGCGCCCAGGCCTCCTGCGCTGCCTTGTGGTCTACCCGCAGCTGCCGCCACTGGCGGGTCTTCTCCGTGAGCGCCCCCTGCGTATCGCTGAGCTGGAATCGCAGGGACTCCATCGCTGCGTGCGGCAAGTGACTAGTTAGCGACGGGTGATTCCCGAAATTTCTTTCTTGCTTGTTCTTTTTTGGGACCGTTCTCCTATCGTCGGTCACGTCGGTTTCCCGTCTACTAGCAAGCTTTTGTTGGGTTGCTTCCAGAAGGTCGTCTCCATTTATTGAAGCGGAACGCTTTGAGGCCTCTAATATTGGGTTAGAATAGCGTTCACGCGATAAAGAGCAGGCGACCGAGCCAAGAACACACTTGCTGTCTATTCCTTTATCTTCCACGCGATGAAAGCCAAGCTTGCAACGCAGCTCCCACTTCCTTTACCGCAGAACATAAACGCTGTACTGCGTTTTGTTTTCTGTCGAGGTACCAGGTACTCAGCAGCTGGCCTCGTAGGTACCTAAGGTACCTAGGTAGGTACTTGAATACGATAAACAACGCTGGAGTAATATTAACGCGCATATCTTGTTACCTGCCCAACCAAAGTCGCCAGAGCATATCGTGCTCTGCCATAAAGCAAAAGCCCGCTTCCGTTACTGGCCAAGGCCGTTCAGTGGTAGAAGGGCGGCAACGTTGTACCTAAAGAAGATTATGGCGAGGTCAGAGGGGCTTCAGGACCTGGCAGAAACGACCGGGTTCTGCGGGGGGATTTACAAGAGGTGAGGAGCACGGAGAAGGCACCAGGGCACCGGAACCGGGCAGAGAAGAGCCCATGCTAGCTTTCGATGCTTGTTTCTACCCATTTATTTCCCTTGCTGCGCGTAAGCGCTCTATAGACAAGGCACCGGTTCAGGGCCTGGGAAACAACGTGCCCTGTAAATGGGCTTCTGATATCAGGGGAAAGCCCTCTGCGAGAGAAGAATAGAGGAACGAGCTAAGAACTGCCCTCATAAGGAAGAGGGACGATACAGAATGAACCGTACCACGCACAGAACGAAGAACAGAGATGCTAGATAGGGAGCCATTAGCACCCCACGAGAGGTTACGGGATAGCCTCCCTCAGCGGGCAGTTCCCACGGGCGTTAATTAATGCTATTTCGATACTTAATCCAGGCTTACAGCCACTAGTTGAAACCACATTTCCTGGAAACAAGATGATACGTGAAGTAGTGCTCTCCCACAGAGTAGGCGTATTTGGGATTGCTTGAACAATGCGACACACCTACATGGTATTATTTTCCAGTCTAGAACCCGCAGGTCATCTACCTGTGCTAATAAGGATACCGAATAGGGGACGTCACACAGCTACACTTTCGTGACAGGATGGTGGTCTGAAATGCCCCGTGGATGCATTCCAATATAGGTCTTGGGAGGTATGATAGGCATTAGGGGGTCAATAAATTCGATGGGCAGCGCTCTGAAGATGTTATGATATGTCGCATCTACACCTTGGCAAATATTGCGGCTCCACGCTGCCGCTTTACGTGGCCTGTTTGTATCGGTTGGTTATGATGGTCCGTTTGCATCGGTTGGTTAAGATGGCCCGTTGGGCGTGTTTCTCCCTAATGCCACGACAAGCGGCTAGCCAATGTGGTTCGCCATCGCCTTGTTGTTCTCGCAGCTCCTCTTCTTTTCCTCAAGAGTTGGCCTCAGTCCAGCATACATATCCCCTACCCCTAATCTCCCCTAGGCTTCAATATAAACCCCAAAGCTGTAGAGGTAGTCATCTAGATTTCTTAGCCGACACTCGCAGAAACGCTGTTTCCATCAAGATGACAAGGATCGATGACGAATCTGGCCTGGGTTGGTCAGAAATGGCCCCTGACAACTCCTCGGCCCCTCCCCAGATGCCTGCACCAACCAGTCCTCAACAAGACCAGCCAGAAGGGAATACCAATGATATTGACGATACTGACAACACTGGCGATACTGACAACACTGACGATACTGATGACACTGGCGATGAATACCCCATTCCCCTCTCTTCGGATACTTCCCGCGCTAGAGCATCCGCTCCACTTCTCGACCGTATTATTAAATATCCATGGGGGTGGGGGAAAAAGGATGTCTTGATTGCTGTGATGGGGTACGAGTATATTTAGCAAATCCACAAATATGTACCAGTCGAAATGAGGCACTTACTGTTTATAGGATGACCGGGTCAGGAAAGACGACATTTATCTCCAAGGTGACCGGCCGGACAAATCTGAAGATAGGCCACGATCTTACTTCATGTACGCCCGCTAGCTAACCCGGAAATACCCCCACTCTCATCTAATTATGTGATTTAAAAGGTACTCAGAAGATAGAAATCGTCAAGACTAAAATAAACGGCCAAACTGTCCGCTTTATCGACACCCCCGGTTTCTCAGACACGTACCTCTCCGATGCTGAAGTCCTCCAGATGATCGCCGAGCACCTGAACGATGCCTACTCTCTGGATATGCGTCTGTCAGGCATAATATACCTCCATCCCATTTCGGATAATCGCTTCACCCATCATGCTACCAAAAACCTGGACATGTTCCGAAAACTGACTGGAGAGGGCAACCTCAAGAACGTAATACTGGCGACTACTATGTGGGGGAAGGTCACCATAGAGGAGGGCGAAAGGCGTGAACAGGAACTAAAGAGCAAGTTCTGGGACGTTTTACTAGCATATCAGGCTACATATTCTCGGTACGATGGATCCCCCCGCTCAGCTAAAGACATCGCGTCCAAGCTTTTGAGCAATAATACGCCCTTTTACGCCCAGCTGCAGGAGGAGATGGGCAGACAGAAATTGGCAATCAAGGACACCGCCGCAGGCAAGGAGGTAATGTCCGAGATCTTGCGGATGAGGGAGGAGCATCAAAAACAACTTGAAGAGATGAAGATCCTGATGTTGCGGACTGCAGCCGAGGAGAACAAGGTCGCTCTGGCTGCTCTCGAACAGCACTACAAGGAGATGTTGAAGGCCATGGAGAAGGTTCACAAGGACGAGAAAATGATGAATGAGAATAAAATTAGGTCTTTGACGGAGAGGATTAGCCAACTCGAGAGCAGACGCGGAGGGGGAGGGGGGGGGGGATCTAGCTGTGTTATCTTGTAGCCTTCTGGTTATGGAGATTGGGACAGCTTTACTTTCGGTGCGTCTGATTGATAGTATGTCGAAAGGGAACAGACAGAAAGGGTTTGGGAAACGGTCGAGTTTGTTTACTGCATGGACCTCTTAGGGACCTTCGAAGTGTAGAGGGTTCATGGTTGGATCAGAGGGTCGGAGAGTCGCTCGTTATTAATAGTGCAATAGAATGAACCTCGGTCTGCTGACGCGGGTTTCGGCCTCTTCTCTTCTCTTGATTCACTAGGTATTGCCGGCATCAGAGAGCTACCGCTCTGGCCGATAGGTAGATGGTTAATGGTAGAGTCCTTCGCTATAATGGATGGTGAACCACTCCTTGCCCCCTTCACCAGAGGAGGTGGTTGTCTGTCATCTGGGTAATTGTGTTCTCTTCACAATTAAGGGGCAATCCTGTCCGGCATGGCGTGGCTTGGGTACCGAGGCAATCATCTGACACAGCCACATACCTATGATTTTAGGGGGTTCGGTATCGAGTTATAGGATGCAGGCTTTACTAGTATGCGCAATATCGTGATATGCGTAATATGCGTATAATGGGTATCCGAGATCCACAACTGCCCAAGTACCTAATCTTTTCCCTATCGCATTTATCATAAGGTAAGGTACCTCATTGCAACACATTCCGAGCTTCACGCCACCAGCCCACCGCCTCGCCGCCCACGATATTCTCATCATCCCTCGACCGACTCCCTCGCCGCCTTCTGTCTGCCCTCGCCGCACCGAGAACTACGAGCCGTCAACTTTTGATGGTCCTCCCCTCTTCGACTTCCCATCTCCTCCGCCTCGCTTTGCCGGCATGAGCGGGCGGCTGATAGCGGCGGCCGGGCGGCTCCAGGGCATGCGCTCGGCCACCGTTCGAGCTGTACGTCAGTATCATCACCACCCTTCTAGCGGGCTTCTACGAGCCGAAGCTGCCGTCCGTGCAACCCGGAGACACATGCGCTTCCCCGTCAACTCGTTCCATAATGCCGTCATTGTGCGGAACGCCTCCTTCGCCCGATTCCTGCCCCGGATAGTCGTCAAGTTTGTCAGGATCCCGGCCATGGCAGGCGGGGTGATGATAGGTGGACTGGCCTGGATACAATACCAGGCTACGCGTACGTCGATAGAGAAACCACTTCTTGCGGCTTGACGTCGTGGGACTTTTGCTAACCCCAGTCTTGCAGAGGCCGGAAACTACGCCTGGGATGTAATCCACAGCACGAAAGATGCCTTTACGAACGGGGCAACAGTCCTAGTTGGTGGCGTGAGGGGTATTGCCGACCAGACAGCGCGAGGCTGGCAAAATACAAAGGAGCAGATGGAGCTGCCGGAGTGGATGCAGAAGATGCTGAAGGTGCAGGAGGAGATCGGCAGCGGAAAAGGAGACGAAGGGCCGGGGGGAGAAGAACCCCCCAAGCAGAGCAGAACGGGTGCCGCGGTCGCAGCTGGCGCGGCGGCGGCGGCGTATGGCTACGACCAATCTTCCGAGGAGGACCCGCGAAGTGCGGACGAGATGGCCAAAGATGATCAAATGATGGTGCTGACGAAGAAGATGATCGAAATCCGAAACATCCTTGCCAGAGTTGGGCAGTCGAGTACGCTCACCCTACCGTCCATCGTCGTAATCGGTTCCCAGTCATCGGGGAAGAGCTCCGTGCTCGAGGCCCTCGTGGGGCATGAGTTCTTACCCAAAGGATCCAATATGGTCACCCGGCGGCCCATCGAGCTGACCTTGGTTAATACCCCCGATTCGGATGCCGAATATGGCGAATTTACAGACCTAGGCTTGGGGAAGATCTCGGACTTCTCGTCAATCCAGCGGACTTTGACCGAGCTCAACCAAGCCGTTCCGGCCAGCCAGTGCGTGTCGGACGACCCGATCCGACTCTCCATATCGTCGCCAAACGTCCCGGATCTGTCGCTCATCGACCTCCCCGGCTACATCCAAGTCGTGGGACAGAACCAGCCGATGGAACTCAAGCAGAGAATCTCAGAGCTCTGTGATAAATACATACAGGCCCCGAACGTCATCTTAGCGATCTCTGCCGCGGATGTCGACCTAGCTAATTCGACCGCTCTGCGAGCCAGTAGGAGGGTTGACCCGAGGGGTGAAAGGACGATAGGCGTCGTGACCAAGATGGATCTCGTCGATCCCGTACGAGGTGCATCGATATTGAGCGATAAGCAATACCCGCTGCGGTTAGGCTACGTAGGCGTCATTCCTCGCGTGCCGACGGCGACGGGCTTGTTTAAAAAGGGCAATGCAAACCTCACGTCTGCCATCACACGAAACGAAAACACATTCTTCTCAGCTCATCCTCTGGAATTCGGCGCCGACTCGGATATCCAAGTGGGGACATCGACACTCCGCAAGAAACTCATGCACGTCCTAGAACAGACCATGTCGGCCAGCCTACAATCCACAAGCGACGCTATACGGCAGGAGCTTGAAGAGGCCACATACGAGTTCAAGGTTCAGTACAATGACCGACCGCTGTCTGCCGAATCGTACCTGGCCGAGAGTCTGGACGCCTTCAAGCATTCGTTTAAGCGGTTTTCCGAAGAATTCGGCAGACCGGAAATGCACGAACTCTTGAAGAATGAGCTCGACCAACGGATGCTCGACCTCTTGGCAGCTAGATACTGGAACAAACCTGTCTACGACCTCAGCGTCCCCATCGCCGAGCCTAACAGCCTCGCCGACCTGCCGAAAGCCGACCCGGACTCCCTCTACTGGCGGCGGCAGCTTGACGCCTCGACCTCTGCCCTTACGAAACTAGGCGTCGGTAGACTTGCCACCAACGTGGTAGCGAATTCGATCCAGTCCCACGTCGACGCTCTGATCGGCCAGTCGACCTTCGTGAACCACCCGTTTGCGCGCCAGGCGATTACCGAGGCAGCCTCGAGCATCCTGAACGACAGGTTCTACAGCACCAGCGACCAGGTGGAGAACTGCATCAAGCCGTTCAAGTTCGACATCGACATGGAGGAGCGCGAGTGGACGGCCGGCCGCGAGCACGCCCAGGGCGTCCTGAAGAAGGAGCTGGAAGCCTGCGAGGGCGCCATGAAGGACCTGGAAGTAACGGTGGGCGGGCGGAGGAAACTGAAGGAGGTCATGACCTTCGTGGATAAGGCGAGGAAGGGCGACGTAGTGGTCGAAGGAGATCGCCACGGCGCCGGAGGGTTCAGCGCCGAGCTGCTCTCTCGAGGTTTGTACCGTCCCTTTCTTCTCTCCTGCCGTTGTTCTCTCCCGGCCCCTCCGCTGACCGTACTCCCCTCCTCGTCCTAGGCCGCGAGGCGGTGTTCCTGCGGGACCGGGCGGACATCATCAAGATGCGAATACTGGCGGTGAAGTCGAAGCAGTGCGCGAACATGAGGAACAAGTACTACTGCCCGGAGGTGTTCCTGGACGCGGTGGCGTCGAAGCTGGCGTCGACGGCGGTGCTGTTCCTGAACGTGGAGCTGCTGTCGGAGTTCTACTACAACTTCCCGCGGGAGCTGGACATGCGGCTGGGGCGGCACCTGTCGGACGACCAGGTGGAGAAGTTCGCCAAGGAGGACCCCAAGATCAAGCGGCACCTCGAGGTGATCAACCGCAAGGAGCTGCTCGAGCTCGTGCTCGAGAAGATGGAGAGCCTCCGCCAGCTCGACGGCCTCGAGCGCGAGCGGACCAAGGGCGGCGGGAAGATGAAGAAGAAGAGCAGCGAGAAGGAACGCGGTCGGTGGGGGCTCTTCTGAGTAGGCTCCCCTTGTTGCTATTTTTCCCTCCCTCCGCCTCTCTCCCCCTCCTCTCTCTCCCCCTCTTACTCCCTGTTCTTCACTGGCTCACGATCATCATCATCATCATCATCATCATGACACATATTTTGACTTTTTTTTTATGTTTGTCTTTTTTTTTCTTCAGGTTTATTCATCTGCCTCTGTAGGTGACCCTGGACACGAATCGTTACGACAACCGGAGGTTTCGGGAAGAAGGGGGGGCGGGAAGAGGCACAGGGAGAGGGAAGGAATGGGATGGGATGGGCAAAGGGGAGAGAAGGAGTTATTTCTCTTAAAAAAGAAAACGGCACTGTTGGTTTTTGTGTGCCTCGCGCCCGTTTCGCAGGGCCGCGCTTCTCAGCGGCGGTCGGCCGCCCCCGTCGGCTCGTCCCCCGCTGCTCGTGCGTGTATATATATCTCTAGATAAAGGTATAGCATTCACCTCCCACGGCTGCGACACTGGGCCAACCGATATCAGGCTCTGACGATAGTATAGAGCTACCGACGCCCATCGACACGGGTATATGGATTTATTTTTTGTTGTTGTTCTCCTGCGGCGAACCTACCTCTTGACCCTTCCCCCGTCCCACCCCCATCCCCCCCCCTTTTTTTTGTTTCTCGCGAAAGAATGTCAGGGGTTGTCTTTTTTTTTTCCCCCTTCAGCGGGGGAAGGGGGAGGAACCCAACCACATACCCGGCATGCAGTGCGTGATATACGGCTACGGCTACAGCTTTCCCGCGCCCGAGCGCGCGTTCGAGCCCCGTTCGCTGGCCCCGATAGCTACTTACCTAGCTAGGCACCTACCTACCTGACAACCCTGCCCTAATCATCGTTACCTCGACCCCGGCCGGGACGGAAGGACAGCAATCCCCAGACGTCCCCCCTCGGTACGTCCGCGGGGGTGGGACCTGAGACGAGGTAGGGTTCGGTAGGTAGGTAGGTAGGTAGGCATGCATGTCGGCTCGGGCAGTGCGCGCGCGCGCGCTGGGGCGGCGAGCGCTGGGCGTGCCGTCGAGGGGACGGGGCTCGCTCGCTCGCTCGCGCGGGACCTCTGGCCACGGCCCCAGCACTACTATACGCCGGGCCGCGCGTCCCAGGTCCCGCCCGGCGCGCCTCGTTTCCAGTTTTAGCGCCCGCGGACCGGGTGGAGGGGGGAGGGTACGTATAGATGGTTGTAGGGACGGGATCGCGCCCGGGGAGGAGAGAGAGAACATCCGCCGAATTACACGTCTACGTAGGGGAAGGGGGTCGTGTTTCGAGACGCTTGGATATATTACGTGTAGGCAGGTTCTTATTAGGTAGGCAGAGGAGGGTGAAAGGGCCCCCCCAGGCGACGGAGCACGCGTATCGAGCGGGTGTATGGATCCGAGCGCGCGCCCGCAACACATCAACTTGGTACCAGTCTGTGGTATGATTTCGTATTTATTTTTCAATATCAAAAAAAAAAAAGAGATTAGCCTGTCATTGCGTCTGGCTGGCTGCTGCGTTGCGACGGAGAGCCGACAGGGATCCCGCTGGGAAAGTAGGCAATACCAATATTAGTATCGTCAGAGCCTTGCCGTGAGGAACACGCCGCAAGTTTAATTAAATACCACACTCGCGCACACGCCCGCGGAGGGACAGGTAGCATTGGCGTGGTGAAGGTGTGGTGGGCGGTATTAATCTCTCGCTTCTCGCATGCTGCTACAACAGACAACCGTGTTACGCACGCGCAGATTACAGAAACGGATTTCCCCAATCCCCCCGCCCCCCCCCCCTATCGGGCCGGCGCAGGGGTACACTTCACACAGGAGACCCGGAGGCGGACAGGTTCTCGACCCGAGAAAAAGGCGACCGGTCAGGCCAGCAGGGTAAGCTCGGCGCGCGTTGCCGCGTCAGATCGCGTCGCACGTACTTGGCCGCCTGCAATCTCGACTTGCTGACAACCTCGCGCCGCTTTGGGCTGCCATCGATCGCCTTCTCCACGCCTGATAGGCTGAGACGCATGCTACATGCACGCGCCTGCGGACGTGGCGCCGGCAGCGCGAGCACGACGGGTGGTGGTGGTTGTGGTGGTGGTGGTGGGTGGCACCGCACATGCACGCCCGCCGTACCACCCGGTCAAGGTGAGGTGGGAGAGAGGGTAGCAAGACGAGCAAGTCCATGACCCACCGGCCGAGCACACGACATCTCTCGCGATACCCGCCACACTCGGACTCAACCCTAACGCCGCTACCCCTAGGCTACGCGCTTAGTTTCGGTGCGGCCCGACGGTACTCTACCGCGCCGTGATAACCAAGGCGGCTCGACCAGATCCTCCGCTGCCTTCCAGAAACCCGAGCAGACGGGATGACCGATCGTAGCTCAGTTGCTTCGCAGTTCGGGATTCCACGCGACTAACCCCCTCCCCTCCCTTCGCCCGCCCGTCAAAATCACATCCTAAATGCGCCGCCCACAGTATTGGTTCAGCGCAGAGTCACAGTCGAAATACAACCATCAAGTCTATAAAGTCCATTAATGGTGGGGGGGGGGGGGTATGGGGAGGTTGAGGGTGGTCCAACTCGCGATGCTCATGTTATGCTACACGCGCGTCAAAAGGACGACTCGTCATCTATATCTTCTTCTCCCACTTTTTGCTTCGTTCATGTCGGAAAACAACTACGACCATGACCGCAAAGAAAAACGCCTTGCTACACCTTGCCGCCGTGAAGCCATTCTATCGTTAGGTTGTTTTTTTTTTTGTTTTTTGTCTATACTCTCTTCCCTCGCTTCGTCTTGCCGAGAAATTTCATGTTCTAGATCCTTGGTACCCGAGCCCCAACCTCGTCATGGTGCGGAGCCCGTAATAAAAGCGGGTGTTAAGGCACAGCCAACCCACGGAACTCGTTAATATGGATGGATCTCCCTTTCCTATAGAGCCATTCCGAGCACTCGAGCTGCCTTCTCTGAAGTGGTGTAGTCAGGTGCTCTTGCGGAGCTCTGCACGGGGCTATCCGGCACGGCAATCTCCGTCTCTGCTTGTTGCTCGGCAGGGTGAGGGTGCTCGCCGAAGTTGAGCGAGCGCCGTTTTCTCTTAATGTTTCCCTGAGAGGGTGCCCTGGCCGCCCTTACGGAACGGGCCTCCGGGGGCGTCGTGGGAAGGTCGCTCGGAGGGGCACGTATATCGGAGGCGGTCTCAGAGGACTCGAGCGGCGTCTTAGCTCGTATCGGCGCCGACGGAGCTTCTGGCGTCCGACTTCGACCAACGCCGGCGGGAAGCAGCGGGCCGAAGATGCGTCTGTGATTGTCTAGATCGATGTTCGGGGCAGTCAAAGGGCCGGCTACGCGCGGGATCGACTTCTCGTTCGTGGTAAGGCCTTTAGTTTGGGCAAACGCCGAGGATCGCTTATGGTACGGGTCGCGATCCGAGTACCCGTCGATAATGGGGTTCACCATGACAGTCTGGCCATGGATCGTGAGGATCGAGTTGGTAGGCACATTGACCCAGTTTTCTACTCCCCTATCAGCATCGCACACCCATTATATAGCAGCTCGTGGAGGGTGGCAGTGGTCGCGGTGTACCTCGTTCAAATGTCAGGGGTTCGCTGGCGATAAGGACGATGTCAGCCCCCTTGTCGCGCCGCTCCATCTGGTAATCTCGATCGCCGCCGGCGCACGGCCTGCTCTCCCATTGAGTACCCGACGAGAAGTAGAGGCTGGCCGCCTCGTCGGTCTTGCTGCTCACATATCGTGTGCAGATGATGCTGTGCCCGTCGGTGACGGCGAAGTTCAGCAAGCTTCGCGTGTCTACGTTCTCGCTCTGGATAACGCTCTCGGGTATGGCCATGGTGAGCTCGTTGATGACTTCGATGGTCTGCAGGAGAGCCCTGCGGATGATGGCCGGACCGAAGCCGTTCTTGGGCTGGGAGCTGGGGTCGACGCCCAACCGCTGCAGGCGATCAAGAAACAGGGCAAACGCCCATTCGCTATCGGTGCCGCCCTGCACTACGAGGTACCACTTGTCGTGCAATCGCTCTCCGAGCTTCCGCTTGATATGCTTCCAGCCTCCGAGGCCGCCGTTGTGCATGAACATCAAGCTTCCGTGGTAGAAGGGGTGGCAGTTGTCCTCGCTGAGGGATCCCTCGGTGGTGGCTCGAACATGGGCGAAGACCAGTCGCGAGGCGGTCTTGGAGGCGATGCGGTGGAGGTTGGTGCAGTTCCAGGCGGGGATGGTCGAGGTGAACAGGCAAGGGGCCGCACCCAGTTTCGGGTCCGTGTAGAAGCCGATGCCAAAGCCGTCGGCATTGTTCTGGCCACGACGAGTATCCTGCAATGGGGGCGATGAGAATTAGCCATGCACACGTACCCTCTGCCTCTCTCCCATCTTCTCCCTCTCTCGTTTGTCTTATTCTCGTGTGCTGTTCTTGTTTATCGGAACCGGAAGGAAACCCACCAATCGCAATCGCGAATCGAATGACTGTTTGAGGATGGAGTGCGTCGGGTCGAGGATCAGCTTCGAGAGCAGGATCTCGTCACTGCCTCGGTAGACCTGCGATCGGCTTCTTGTCAGTTGAGCGCACTTGGTGATCGGCGTAGGAAAAAAAGAATTGCAATTGCCTACCAGAAAGCGACACATCCTCCTTGCGCTGGCTGGCGGGCTCGCGATGAGAATGCGGTTTGGCGGTAGGTTGGTCCGGGTGTGGTGTGAAGGGTAATGTAATTGGTATATAAGAACCGGCGAAATCGGGTTGCGGGTGATGGTAGCGGTGCCCGGTCCAGCTGGGTAGGGTTGAAACAATTTCGTGATCGTTGACAGGTCGAGCGGATTCTAGGGTGGGAGTCCGGACAGGTAGGGTGGGGAGGATGTAGAGGAGAAAAAAAGGAAATAATAGCGACAACAGCAATAGGGGGCGGCCTTTGTTAAATGATCATTCCGGTTGATTGGCTCCTTCGTTTTTCCCTCGTCCTCCTTTCTGTCGGTCCTGTTTGTTTCGTTGGGTGGCGTGCATAAATTACTGAATGGCGAGATTGTATATATCAGGAGAGTGACGGCGCAGCGTTGTTCCCTGGTTGGTTGCTGAGGAGATTCTGGGAAGGGAAGCGAGAGAGAAGAAAGCCCGGCTTGGTGGTACCGAAATAGAATAGGGAAAAGGAGAGAGAGATAGGCAGACAGGTAGAGAGAGAGAGAGAGAGAGAGAGAGGAGGGAAGGGCGGGAATAACAGAGAGCTGCCTTGTCAAGAGATGAAGACGGACGATGGCGATGGCGATCAGAGGTTGCGGCTTGGCCAGGTTGTTGTTCCTCGTCTCCTCTTAGTTCCTGCCTCATTGTGACTGCCTGGTTGTCGCTTTTACCTTCCCTTCTATATACCTCTTTTACTAGCCTAGCTCGCCTTCCCGCCTCTTCCCTCCTTCCTTTACAGGTCCTAGGTACCTACCTGGCTGCCCACCCAGTACCTTCACTCAAGCAGGTAAAAGCATGTACCTAACCTAGTAGGAGAGGTATACACCTTACCTTGGGTAGGTACGTACCTGTAGCCTATAGGTATAGCGACCGTCCACTCGATTCGATTCGAGGTACCATGCCAACCTCGCCTAACATAGGCATGTATGTACGTATATCTGCCCCTGGCTGCGCACTACGCCCCGAAGTTCGCCTATGTTCACAGAATGAAGTAAGGATGTGCGTAGATGGGTAGATCTGCTGAGGGTACCTGGGGCGGTGGTGCGAATGGACGCATGCATGTACACGTTGTAAGGAGCCGTAACATGCATTTAGGCACCTTCTCCACATCCTTAACGGCCATAGCAAGACCACAGGTACCTACCCATACAATATAGTAGGTAGTGTACCTCTCATGGGTAAGTATCCTAGGTACCTAGGTAGTTAGGTAGGTACGCAAGGTAAATCGGGGGCCGAGGACCCTTCGTGGGCAGGGATTGTTAGTGTTGGCAGCCGCAGGTGCCCGGGGTACATACAGACAGCATGGGTTCCAGGTCCTATGAGCCACCCACCTGAACTCCAGCCTTCTCCGTACCAAGCTGAGCAAGGGGAGGAGTCGTTATGCCGGAGGGGCATCGGCGATCGTTACATACCACCTACCTACCTACCTATACTCATATATAATGGCATACCCGCGTATAATGGTTGCGTTTCGCTGGTACCTATAGTAGGTGGTGCTGTGTGTGCAAAATGACATGGAGTGACCAGGTTGGCGAGAAGGGACAAGTAACCAACCCATACTATCTCCTTACCTTAAGTACCTATAGTCTGTCCTTGATGCAGATACATATAGGTAGTTACAATAGTTACATATGTATACATGCACCTAAGGTATGTACAGATGAGGCATTTGTAGGTTCGGTCAGGTACCTATGTACCTCCACCTCCTGCACAGGTCACGTAGGTAGGTATATATATAGGTATACGTACACATATGTATGTACATGGGTATGTAGGAGGTATATATGTTAGGTAGGTATACACGCACAATAACGCGTACCTAATTATGAACACAAGGCAAGGTGTTGAAGGTAAGGTTATTCATTGTACCTATTAGAACAGTGTTGTTACCTATCGCCTGGTGGGTTCACCGCTTGGCTGTGCTGCCGATCTGGGGCCAAAGTTGCTGCCCTTGCCCAGTCTAAAGGGGGGAGGGGATGGCGATGGCGATGGCGACGGTTTTCCCTCCCTCCCTCTCTCTCTTCCCTCTTTCTTCTTCTCGTATGATGCTTCAGGCTGCATGATCCAAAACCACCGAACCTGTCGCTACTGTCACACACGTTCAGAGGTAGCAGCATGCCCAGGCGCTAGCTACCGTAGTCCAGTCGACAGACCAGACGTCGACTTGATGGTGATGAGCGGTCCAGGCCACTGCCTCCGCCGCTGCTACGTGATACTGTCTGTGGCCCTTCCTCTGTCTTGTTGCCGTTACATCGGTGTCACTTCCTCGACATGAATTGGAACCCGTAATCGTTTCACGCTGGGCAGCTGGGAGGCGGCTAGTCCGGCTCTTGAGTTGCTATCAGGTAGCTGGTTCTGCTATGATCCGCAACATATTGCACATGGCATAGCTGCTGTCCATCACGTCTCATTCGCGGCTGCTACCATCACCTCCATTGGAGCATCTCATCCATCAACAAATCCAGTGTTCACAGTTTCGGGACGCCATCGCGCAGCCAGGAAATCGAGAGTACGTAGCACCCTAGCATCGTGGCGTCGAGGCCCACGTACATACATGGTCTTATATCGTCCGCCATGGTTGTCCACTCTTGGCCTGGTTTTTGCCTCTGCTATGTTGATTCTAGCAGGCATCCCCCAGCTTGCCATAGCCTCACGCACACATGCACACTAGGCAATGATAGATCGCAGATATGCAAGGAAACCGAAAATGAGGGAAGGAAAAGAAAAAGGAAATGAGGCGGAGGCGAAAACGAGGGGGGTAGCAAGTGCTCGTAGAACAATGCATGTGCGCCGCTGTTGACGTTTATCCAATACGAGAGAGGGCGAGGGCAGGGGAGAGCTGTCAAGCCTTAGAAATGGTGGTAACTATCTTAGACGGGGACGAAGTCATCGAGTCATCTCGCGTACAATGCAGCTATGTCACCACACCTCGCTAACCAAGTACGCAGGGGTGTCTTGTTGGCAATTTCGGCATTCATAGGCATACTACGTACCGCGGCCATGGGAACACCCATGTCTAGACACAGTTCGTCTAATGTCTCTTGGACGTTTGTCACTTGCTACCCACTTGGACCGTTATTCCTATACTCTATACATAGCCAGATGCCAAAACGAACGACTGGTCCTGCTGCTACATGGCGGTACGGTTGCAAGCGTGACATCGAAAACGGGAATATAGTGCCAATTGTCTCCCAATATCTCCCCATGCGTAAACACGCATATGCTGAATAGGTGATGGTGATAGTTGGTGCATGTTAATTTGGAATTGGACCAGAGGCAACGGAAGGAATTGAAAAAAGGAAAAAGAAAGAAACCTGCCGGGGGGGAGAGGGGGCTGATCAATGAGGATAACAAGTCCGGAGTGTTATACACTAGGCGGTTTCCCTTGCAGCACCGTATGTCAGCTTTCCACTTACTCATATACACTCAACTAGGAGCTCCCGCTACGACTGCTCCGGGCCAGTCATCTCACATCTATACGATGTTCCTTAACGGGCACTCTAATATATGCCGGGTTTACGAGAGGCGAGAACACTCTCGCAGTCTTACAGGATGTCCCTTGCTCGATTCCGCAGGAGTCAGCTTCAACAGGAAGAGGCGGAAGAAAAGAAAGAAGAAAATCGGATACTAGTGCTAATTATGGCTGTACTCTAGACCAAGAGGTTTGACCTCCGTGCAAAGGTACACATCGACGTCGCCGGCAAGCTGCTGCCGAACCCCAGCCAAGGAACCATGTCACGATGTCTGGTCTCGGTGACACCTGCGACACGCCTGGGGTCATCCCGGAAGCTTCTGTCTTCCATGACGTCCCCACGTGGTATCGCGCCTGTAGCCTGTGTCTACGGCTCGTGGCCTAGGTGCCTAGAGATTCTTCGAAGCAACCGCGAATCGGCTTTCTCCCTATTGCGTCTGCATTCTACGACCTAGTACGCACTGTGCATAATATATCCATCCTCTGTCAGCCTTCCGAGGGTTCACGCTTTGGATGGGAGAAGGATTGGGCTCCCCGGGCCTCCTGTCAAATTGCCCTCGCGCCTATCCTGAGGTCGTAGGATATCCGAATTCGAGCGTTGGGCAGGGGGAGGAGTGTAGGGCTAGAACGTTCCCTAGGTTCCGGTCGAATCGGGATCCTCTTTCGAAGTCCTGGGAAGGAGGGAAGGCTCCTGAATGAAAACGTGCTCCCTGGATCCGATATGTAACATTCGTTTCGCACGTCCCATTTCTCCCCGGGATGCCATCGTCTTCATTTCTAGCATTGGTGTCAAAAGCATGGTGGTCGAGTGGCTCCCTGATCGCCGACTCATCCATCCTATGAGACCTGCTGCTACTAGATGGTGAAATGCGGTGTTATTGCTGACGGCTGATCCCTTCCCCTTTTCCGCCCAGTTATGAATCCGGGGCCAAAAGGCAAGGGCAAGGTTTGCTTGTCGAGGGTAGCTTGCAATTAGCATACTTACTTCATTAGCTAGGTAACATGTGTCGAGAAGAAGCTGGCGGACTGAATTCCGAAGGCGGTCAGACTAAGGGCAAGTGAGAGCATCAGTTAACTAGGACACGAAATGGGACTTGAAGAGAAAACGTTATTTAGGTGTGAGGCGCCACGATGATGATGTGTGATACGCCAAAAATAGGTATGTCGAATGCAAATGGTAGATCGCGCGACTAACAAATCCAGAGTCCAGTTGATCCGGAGGACGGGCGAAGCCCCAACGTCAGATTAAACATCGTTGTGAGCTCGTGTACAGTAATACCTACCTGATCTCAGTTCCTTTACCTCTATTCCAGGACCCTATCCGGCCAGATCTGTCCACTGCTGCCTACGAACAGCTAGGAGCCAGGTTAATATAATACGGCGGGAGAGGTTTCAGTAGGGATATGAATAATAGCAGGACTGTTCGTTCTGCCTTTGGGGATAGTCAATACAATGCTTGGCCTAAATACTAGAAAGTAATATACTTTGTCTTCCCCCCTCCTAATCTTCCGAGGTCACCTTCTCGCCGATCCAAATTAGCAAGAAGTCCCGACAAATACGAATTCATGGACTTCTCTTAAACCCCTTGTTCGCATCCTCATTATTTACTCCCATCTCTCGCTTGAAATTCTCGAGAACGAGAATCCTAGTTGAGCAGCGCTTGTTTGCCCAAGGAACGCTACATTGTCAAGCAACCCCTCCCCTCCCCCTCCCCCTTCCCGCCTGAATCCGGTTGGTGCTTCTTCAGCTGCCCTGTTATATCGCCCTCCCGTTACCATGGAGGGGGAAGTAGAGAATCTGGGCGGATGGGCGAACGTCAAGGAGCTGAACAGGCACTTTTCCGGTAGCATGATATGGGAGCAGCCGCTACCTTTAGTGCTTACTCGGCCGCTGTACATGCAGATTAGCTCCTCAGCCTTTTCTCATACTACCTTATTTCTCCCTAATCCACGATCGATCCCTTGTTCCAGTCTATCAGTACGTTCTCTGCGTTTCTGCACATTGGTATCATCTGTGTGCCCGCTGCACTCTCCGGCATGGGGGAGTTTCTGACTATTCCAGGCTTTCGTAATATCGGTCATCCTTCCTGTTAACCCCCGTTCTGGTTGTCTGAACCCCAGTGGTTGTCCATCAGCTTGGTGTGGTGGTAGAGGCAACAGGTTCCTGTTTCGGAATGGCTAACTGTCGTCGAATTTGGGAAATGAGCTGTCCTGGCTAGGCTCCAAGTGTGTGTGCGGTACTAAAGGCCTAAGGAATACCTGTGGAGCAGACAGCGACCTAACATTGTCTAATAAATTAGTAATGTGGAGTTAGGCAGAAGTAGGAAGTAGCAACGAGAAAGAGACATGATGTGCAAGAAGACAGTGATAAAGGAAGCTTACCTGAAGCCATTCGGATGGGGTGTCCATTTATGGAGGTAGCTTTCCAGGCTTAGCCTAGATATCCTTTTTGAGGGGTCTGGATAAACACGCAGTGCTGGCTTGCTCTGCCTGTAAAGGGCCCTCCAGCTGCATGATATGCGAGCGCCGGAGGTCATGAATAGGACACAATTATGTATCCAGGAGCTGTTTCCAACTTTCTTCTGCGTGATATCTTTCGACGGCGCCAGGTCAGGCTGCTCGGTAGAAGAAGTAGTAGCCCCAAGCCCCTCAAGCCACTGTTATACGTTGCTATTATCGCATGGGTTAACCTCTATAGTGCCGTAGTCCGAGCTGTCGTTGCTGTCGTTGTCTAAGAGCTCCTATGGATCGATAGCGCTGGCTAGAGATGTAACGACGATAAGAGACCATTGCAGGTCGACCATATCTTTCATCCTCTCCGCATCCTCCTTACTGTCCAGCCTAACGTGGAAGACCTGGCGGGAGAGAAGCGGTTGATAGAATTGGACGTTAGATGCAGTTACGGTTCCTCCATCTTTCCACTGGGTGTCGGGGTTACCGTGCCAGGCGGTCAGCTCGTCCAGCATCTTGCTCCTGGATAGGAGCTAATATAGGGTTAGGGACTGATACAATGAAAGTTAAAGGCTGGACAAGGCAATGCCGTATCCTACAGTAATTAAAATGGCCCTCAGAACTGGGGGAGGGGCCACCCAGGGCAGGAGGTAGAGACAGGGCTAGTTGAGTTAGCATGGTAATCATTTGTAGGAAAGGCGTATGAGTAATTGCGTTATGGAGAGGGCTACTTACGTATATGCTGGACACGCTGCGTCAAGGTAATGAGGGACAATGATGGTATGTTCTGGTGGATGGCATATTTGATATCAAGGTGTCGATATAAGCCAGCGACAAAAAATGAATGGGTAAGTTCACAAGCAGGTGGGAAAAGAATAAACAGGGTTGTTAAGTAGGCAGACGAACGGCGGTCAAGCGAGGCAATAAAATAGGCATAATCAGCGTTGCTGAGGTAGCCAGTTCAGTTGTTAAGTTGTTTGTAGCAAACGGACTGGTCTACACAGTATTATCAAGAACAACAACCAACAGCATTAGCTAGGTACTAATGGAAACCATCGTACACACTGTGTTTCTTTAAACACTGCATCAGAACAAACATACTATTAGAGTGCAGACATAGCTAGTATATAAAAAGGGCATATCAGGTGAGGCAATACCTGATTTAGTAATCACTCTGAGCATCTACGTAGGCATTAAGAGATGAAATGCAGTTAGTATAAATCAGCAAGTTCTTATCCCATTACATACAGCCGCAAACCCTTGCCAGCTTCTTCGGCGAACATCTCCGAAACAGATAAAACATGGAGTTCACCTAAGTTTATTCAATATCACGTTTAATTGCTAATAATAAAGAATAACGATCCACTGACTCATTCCGGAAGAGTAATGGATAATCTATGCCACTAGTCTCTTATAAAATATATTCCTGTGATGGCCCCCTTGACCAAGCCTCTCAACAACAAAGCTCTAGTAAATTGGAAGCCGGCTGGTAAAAACACCTAGTAACTTGTGTGCTGGCTAGATCTGTCTGAACTTGTGAAACTCATCGATAAACATGTCATATAATGAGAATTAATCACAAAGCCAAATGTCAGGAGCTTGGCGTCTAGGCTCCCTAGGGGAGACGTGGTTCTGATCGTTCTCCATATTTCTTTAGCACCGGGGAAGAAATATTAACATACAAGCAAGTGGGGGAACTTGGCATGCTCGGTTTCGGATATTCGGATCATCTGACGCAGTATTCCAAATGGATGGGTAGAAAAAGGTCCTATAATAATAGTCAGGTAAGCTTACGATTTCAAAATGAAATTACAGGTGGGAAGGAGATCTCACAAGTTAGTCTAAGTTGCCTAGGTTTTCTAGTCGGCTCGCCCATGGAGGATGGATTAGCCTAGGAAAGAATGAGTTGGTTTCTCTCTCAATCTAACCTCGGCCTCTCCGTGCCGGCCTCGAGCAGCGCCTCCTGCTCGCCGTCCTTCGCCGCGTCGTCGTCGCGGTAGAGCACGTAGTGCTGGGCCATGAATACGGCGTCGTAGAGCAGGCTGACGTTGCCGAGGGCGAACTTGACGGGGTTGCCCGTGACGCCGGACCAGTCGCCCTGGAGGGAAGAGTCGATGACGAGCTGGACGATGCTCAGGAAGCCGCCGACGACGTCGAGGAGGATCTGCCAGATGCTCCAGCCGCGCGTGCTGCGGTTGCGGAAGTTGTACGCGAGCTGCGGCGCGTACTTGACCAGGGTGATCAGCAGCTTGACGTACGACACCGCGTACGCGACGTCGAGCCACGCCCACGCTGTCCGGGGGTCCGCGCCCGCCGGCTGCGCGAGCACCGTCAGCGTCACGATCAGCACGGCGGCGACGGACCCGACGGCGACGCCGAGGATGAGCCGAGAGGGGTGCGTGCCGGGCGCCCGGTCGAAGCCCCATATTGAGGGGAGGAAATACTGCGTGGTCAGCACGGCGGAGAGAGTGCAGGCATGCGCGGCAAAGACGATGTCGTTGGCGGCGACGGCAGGCGTGTGGTCGTAGTTCCGCAGAGCATACTGATGCCGGATGACGGGGGATGCGTAGAATAGCACGGTGTAGGTGAAGTAGGCGAGGAAGCCTTCATGATTAGCATAGAGTGTCAGCACACATGCCTAACGTCAAGCGAGATATTGGCCGACAGTACCTAGCGTATTGATGAAGGGGAAGTCGACGGTTGTGCCCGAGGTTGATCGCCTCCGGATATTGAGCAGAGGCTGCGAGTAAAATGACAGGGACCATGCCAACGTATATACCCAGCCGCAGAGGGCGGAAACGAGCTCGAGGAAGCCCATGGTGCTAGGGTTGCGTCGTCTCCAGAGTGAGGGCTGGAGGTGAAAGACGGCGCGGGACGGGTTGGTCTCGCTCGCACGCCCCTGGGCTTTACTGAGCGGGCGGGTGCTGCCGCTTAAGTCTGCGGACGGGCACAGACGGGGCGTGTCCTGGAGATAGGACTCTTCTCGCGTGTGGATATGCCCGACTTATCAGCTAGCTAGCTAGCCAGCTTGGGTTCCTGGATAGCGCCGGCGGGGAGAGGCCCTAGAAGCGATGGCTGGAGATTAGGGATGTGGGAGACTAGAAATTGACGCCAGGCCAGACAGCTTGGAGGCACCCACATAAGGCCGGAGTACCTGTAAAATGCCTAGAGGTTAGGTACCTTAGGTACCTAGGTGAGCCTGCCCAAGGCGCTTGCGTCAGTGGACGCTGACAGCGGCACATTACATAACCCAGCAATTCGGGACCTCGTGACGGAATTGCGCCATCCTGCGCCAGAGGAGTGCCTATCTTTGGTGGTTGGTTCCCTACTATTAGCATCTGTCTTTTAGGGAACTACTTTCTAGGGTTATATGCAATTAGAGGTGCGGCCTGTTTTCCCATATAACGAGCACCTGGTAAGGTTGAATTTGCTACCAGTCGATCAAAGATGTTACGATTATGATGATATTGTACGAGGTGCTATTGGTTTCGCTGAAAGATTAATAGCCTCCACAGAAACTGGGCTTGGTTGCATAATGGACGGTTACGACGGAAACGTTCCCATTTAGGTAACATTCTTCGCATTTGCCTGTTTGTATTGGTCTTGCATAGTTTTAGGTAACAAGTTCGCTCTCCCACGTCCCAGGCATGTAGGTATGTAAGTAGTTATGTGAAGCTGAAATGCTTCCCCCCCATCCCCCATATACCTAAGAGGTAAAAGTGAACGATACCGATAGGTATCTAGGCGAGGGCAGGGTGAGTGCAACTAAACTACCGAGTTTATGCTCGTGCTTTTTTTTTTTTTGAAACCCCCCCCAATTTACTGACTTAGTGAGACCCAACCACGCCGACTAGACCTACGCATGCACTTCAGTTCAGTATTATATTATCGGAGTGTCGAGAAAGAGAGGATGTAATGTAATCTCCCCTTGACGAATGCATCTACTACGTCACCTGGTCTGAAATTGCTGACCACTTGAGGTGAAACGTTCCGCCCAGGTCACCCGCGAGGTCATCATGTGGAGCCCAGTTACAACCAACTCCCCCCTCTCCTTAGGGACGGCAACACACGAGTATCGAATGCGTCAGGACGCCCAGTACGAGTGGAACAGACACGCATCGGATTACGAGTCGCAACTTTCAATATGGTTGTTTTGTTCAGTGCAGCAAGACTCGTCCGTCTATTTTACGGTCTATCAATAGGTGACCGTGGAAGCCAAAATATCTAGCTCTATCGTCTGCCCCCCTTAACCCTCCTCCCTCCCTCCTCTAATCTTCCGTGGAGGCAATCCTAAGCGGCCGCCACCCCGAAAACTTTTTGATCCCTCTAAGCTAGTTACACAACAATAGATGCCGCGAGCGGCTGTGACCGTCGAACTTGGGTCCCTACTAAAACGCAAACAAGAGACTCCCCTAGGCCATGGGCCGCGAACGCCATGTTACATGCAAATCTTCTCTACAGCATACGTAGAGACGGAAGAGGATGAGAATTCTAGTGCCTGGTCTATGGTTCGTTTATGACCTTCCACCGCCGAGGAACTTTGGCACCGCCTTCCAAGCTTGCTGGTCGGGAAGCTTGACGCGCCCAAAGTTCTGATCGAGATCGAGGATCACTTTCAGCGCATTCCGGCTTCGGGCGTGCGGGGAAGTAATGTCTCTCTCCTTAATCGTGCCGAGGACCTCTGCCAGGCCGGTTCGGGCCTGCTCCTCCTTCGGCTTGCCGGGGAATGGTAGCATGCTCTGGAGAACCTCGTACGCCGCAAGCGTGAAACCGAACTGGGGGGAAGATCTGAAAATGCGAGCTGGGCCGCCCTTGAAGAAGGCTCGGAAACCTTCCTCCTTCAAGATAGTCTTCGCAGCATGTCGCAGTCCCGTGTAGCTCGTATCGCCCTTGCGCGCCTCGACCTGCAAACGCGTCTTGATTACGTCGCAAGGCGTAGTCAGATAGGCGGCAGGCATGCCGGCTATAGCGCCGGCAGTGAGTAGCTGGGCGATCCCGAGCTTTTTCGTGCGTGACTCTCCGAAAAGGTCTTTTTTCAAATGGCTGTATGTAGGGAAATAGATGGCCGAGAAGGGCACGTCACGGAGCAAGCACGCCGAAGCACCCTTGTAGAGACCTGCTAGACCCAAGTTACGGACGATCCACATGGCGGAGCGCTTCTGAGCGGCGGCGCCTTCAGTGGCCTTGGCGACCTCTCCCTGTACTTGGAGCCGGATCTTGACAATCTCGAGAGGATTGGTGAAAACCTACGGATATGGCGTGAGCAGTTTAACACGATAGCCGTGCCACCCGGAGAGGAGAGAGGCCGGCGCCTAAGGAAGGGAGGAGGGAGAGGGAGAGGGCGACATACAACTTGACATGCGCCAGCAGTACCACCAGCCAGAACCTCGTATTCCCAGGCAATGTGGTGCGTCTTGGGATCGGTAAAAAAGCCGCGGACGAGGTCGTTCACCGTCAGCTTGATTGCCTTCTCCGGGGCGACGCCAACCAGTTGAGGTAGGACTCCAGAGTATAGGCCACGGACGCCCTCATTGGCAATGACTTTCCTGAAGCAGTCGATCGAGTTCTTGTACAGCCTGTGCCCTGGGTCGGCGCCTCGCTGGTTTTGCATCCGCGTCTTGACCAAGTCGATCGGATACACCATGAAGGCACCGAAGGCGCCAGCGCCGCTACCCAGGATAAAGTTATAAGCAGACTCGAGGACGCTTAGAAATACACTCCGTGTGGCCCCCTTAGCCGTCGAGGTTTCCTGTCGCTGGGAGTCGCCGGAGATACCACGACCTCGCCACGAGGCGTCCAATACCTTGGCGAAGTCGGTCAGACTTAACCGGCCCGACGGCTCATCCAAGCTGGCAAAGTGGAAGAGTATGTCGGCCTCCATCGGCGTGAACAGGGAGAACCTGGTAATCCTGGCGGCCTCGTTGAGGAACTCGGTCCTCGTGATCTTCCCATCGGAGCTTTTCCGGCAAGCCTGGCGGATAATAAACTCGACCAGATCCATCTCGGTGATCATATTCTGGAAGGCGCGGACGTTGGCATAGGAAATCCGGCTGCTGGTGGATATGTTGCAGAGGGAGGTGAGGTTGTTCAACAGGTGGTCCGAGAGCTTGTGCTTGGACGTCTCGAGGATGATCCTGGCGAAATCTTCCGGCTCGATATAGCCATCGCCGTCCTTGTCCATGAGTTGGAAGGCCTGCCTGATCCTCTCCCCCTGGAGACCGCGGAGCATCTGAGAGAACTCCGGATATGAAAAGGCATGGCGCTTCGACTTGTTCCCGATGTAGAGCTTCGCCCACTCACAGTCCCAGTCGAAAGGGATACTATTGGGCCCCTTGTTGTTCTCGTACAGCCGGCGGAAGTCTTCATATTTTACGTTTCCGGTACGCTCGATGTCGAATAGACGGAAGGCGATCTCGTACTCAGCGTCGGGCTTCAGCAGGAGGTTCTCGAAGGCGGCCCAGTCTCCAATCGATATCTTACCGGTGCCTTTACGGTCGGCCACGCTGAACAGAAGACCATACTGATCGCGACTAATCTTGTGCTACACCAGAACGCCATGGATCAGCAATACTATGCCAAGTTATTAGAGTACGAGAATAGCTCACGTAATCCTCGTCTGGTGGTGCGATGGCCTCTATAAACTCATCGGGTCCCATGTACAGCTCGCCAGTTTGCTCATCCTTCTTTGCATTTTTCAAGAAGGACGCGCGATGGGAGGCAGATAGGCCAGACGGTTCCGAGGACCCCAGGAGGCTCCCCTTGACGGCCTCCTTGACGGTTGTGGGTGCCGACATGCTGGCGTGGGCAGGCTATGACAGTGGGACGTAGCAGCAGGAGGACGCTAAGGGAAAGAATTCGCAGTGGTGAGGTAAAGGGGGGGGAGGAGAGGTAGGTAGCGGAGGAATTGGGACACGGAATTGGCCAGGTTTGATGAGTGTTCACGATAAGTCGGCTATAGAGCTCCGATAATAGGACGTGGCCGGCTTTGCCGGGATGGAGTCGGGGAGGTTCGGGATGGAGCCCAGGGGGGCGACCAGGGGGGTGCTAGAAAGGAAGGAAAAGAGAGAACGAGAGGGACGCGGACAACGGTGGCATGGAAGAGGCTGACTATGGATTGGCCGTCTGGTTGGGGTCTAGGCAGGGCGGCGGCGGAGATAGAGAGGCCCGGCACGATGAGAATATGAAGTGTGCGGCTGGCTGGCGTGAAGCAGACTGGCGCAAGGTGGTGGGAGTCATTTAAAAATTTGTGAGCGGCCGTTGAATTTTCGCTTGCAGTTTTCACTGCAGGGTTGCAACTGGTGCCAATATGAGTCGCATGCCCTCTCAAAATGCCGCCTGACCTGGTCCCTTGGGGAGCCAGTGCTTGTCGGCAGGTTGATGTATATGTATGGCGCGCTTGTTGTCTAGTCTTAAGGCTGGTGGCATTCCGTCTCGTGCGGCTTGCTGTAGTTGGTATGGTCAGGAGGGAAGGGTGAAAGGCGAGCAGCCCATGTCAGGTCCAGCTGCTGCAGTCGATGGTTGACGGCTGCTCCGTCCAAAGGGGTATGTATTCCCACCCCCACTTCCCCCCCCCCAATCCCAGCCAATGTCCTTGCTTCCCGTGGGACTGGTGGGGCCTGTTAGGTAACTCTTTGTCGGCCCGTCTTTCATCCGCCCCGGCCAGATGGGAAAATCCCTCGCTTATCTCCCTGCGCCCAGTCCCTTATCGCGCCAACTCAGGACCCTTTCCTGTCCCGTCTTTCCCGTCTTTGGCATCTTGGGGACCGCCCGTGCTGGACCCTGTCAGGCCCTGGATTTCTGCCATTACCACTCTTTTTAGCCTCTCCCACCCACCGAGTCCCTCTCCAGTTTTTTTTCCCTCACCCCTTGGCCCCTGTGACGGCGGCGCTCTGTCCCTGACGATCATCCTCACATGGTAATTCCCCAGATTCTTTCCCTCCCTTTTTCTTCTTCCCTTTTTTGCAGTCGTACCTCTTTGCCTCTCCCTGTTTAACCTCTCTTGATCAACCTCCCGCCAAAGCTCAGCCTTTGTGCATGCTGCTTAGTTGCCGCGTTCTGGGGCCATCGTCGCCTTGTCTCTCATACCCCCATCTCGGCGTTAGTTGGGCTGGATGTGCTGGCATCCGGGTCTTTTCGCTGAAGCATCGTGTGTTCGTATCGTAGTCAACGTGCCAATCGCGGGTGTATCCGCTGTCATCACAATCATCCCTTCCTATTGGTAATAAGTATGGAGCACACGTGGCTTTGGGTCACTGACGCTTGGAGCGGAATCTCTCCTGTCGCCTAAACCCATTCTTGGAGCTTTCTCCCGTACTTCTCGTCTGGTCGCGCCTCATTCATCGTGCAGCGCAGGAGGCTCGTAGCGAGAGGATCCCATACACAGAGACAGCCATAGCCCTCGAGTATGCCAACCGTAGCTCGATTCTGGAAAAGACCTCGAATTCCGCACACCCCGTGAAAGATGTCAAGAGTGCCTTCGGGTGAGGTTGGATGGTTCGGTGCTGCGCGGCCGGGTTCAAATATCCAGGCCACGAGCACGGACTCTGGTTAGAATCTTGGCAGGTAATTCTGCTACCCTCGGCAAAATAAATACCTACCTTATAACAACGCCCCCAGCTCTTGCGGACAGGCTAGTTGCATATGATGTGCATATGATCGGCGAACAGCTATGCTGCCGGTAATATGGCGAGAACGAATCTCAGCGCGCGACGCGGGAAGTCTTATACACGTATATGCACGGCAACTGCGGGTAGAGAGCCTCTCACCATTGGGCCACCTTTCGCGGGGTCATGAACTGTCAGTTATCAATTTCTAGAGAACATGCCACGGTCTAACCGACGGGCAAATGGACAGACGGACGGGCATCCGAAGAGGCGCTACGTATTGACTAGGGAACGATTGATTCCACGGTTGTGAATCTCGACCACACCATCCCTCGGCTCATTCACCAACAAATAGAATCCCGCGTGCACGTATGTAGAATTGTATTATATGGTGTCTGTTATAGCGATCGCTCGGACATCCGGGGTTGGATTCGACCCCTTTTTGGGTTGTGTTACGGGCCAATGACACCCAAGAAAACAGCAGCCCTCGGGCCGCCGGATCGGCTACTCACTCGATACCGGGGGCAATTATGGTGTGGAAACATACGGCTAGGACAGCTGGACGCGCTGCTTGGGTTCCTCGTTTCCATCAAAAACGATAGGTCTAGGTTAAAGAGCTCTTTACTGTTGAGATAGGGATCCTGGGATAAAACTAGTCGGGTCAACCGAAAGCTCGCATCGATCTATGAAACGATTCAAGGCTTTCCCGAACCAGTTGATGGTGTCCATCGGTAATAACGTGCGTTTAAAGCTACATCTGAATATGGGACTCCACGAACCGATGTTGCGAGAGAAATTCTAAATCGGCATCGATCGCCCGTTGTCAGCAAGCAGCCTACCACGGTTGATTCTATCATGGGTTAAGGGCAACCTTGCGGTTGAAAGCGAAGGAATAATCACAGCCGCATTGTTTGACAGGTCTTAACCGTTCGCCGGGGTGCGATTCCTCGTAACCCCGGTCTTATAAAATATAGAAACTCCGATTCCGAGTTCAATTCCTGGGCTTAACTTGACCGTCCAGGATATGTATCCAGTCATCCTCTAGCTGACTTAGGAAAATAGCGTCGCGAAGCCACGGTTTGGTCTGTGTAATCCAACGGTTAGCAACGACGAGAGTGGGTACCTAAGCATATTCCCGACAATTTTGTTGTGCAGTGTTCGATCGATATCCAAAGCCACTGAATATTAATAGAGGGTGTTCACAGGTAATAATATAAGGCGAAGGGCTCCAGCCCGCTAGACAATTAAGGCTTCTCGAAGACGGGTCTGTAGCTACTCGGGCGAGAGATCCGGGTTTCCCTTAGGTACTGTAAGAGCTGGGTAGGGTTGAATTAAGCTATGTTATTTAAACCTATTGAGAATTGCTGCCTTAAACTTCACGGCCGTGTATTTAAAGATGGATCTGGGTACTGCACTTCTGCACCATGCTATTACTGAAACCGCGAATATACGATGCAGTATTACGAGTAGGCCGGTTGGTCAATTAGAAGAATTGAATGCGTGTTCTGGATCACGGGATGTTAGATATTATGAGGCGTAATTATGCCTGCCTGCTCAATAAAGAATCCCCGGTATTTTATGCGATGAGCATCGCGCCACTCACCTTTTCACCGTGATCACCGTTCATACCAGCTTCCAAGCCCCGTTGCTGATCTCGATCCTGATCTCCCTGTTCTCGTCTATGCTACGCCGACCTGCCTCGAGGATAGCTGTCGTCGCGATCGTGTTAGCAAGCGTGGGAAGTCCCCTGGCATCCAGATCAGTCGGCTTGAGCGTGCCAGCGTTGACAGAGCGGCATCCGTCAACGAACTTCTCGAAGGATATATAGCCGTATCCGGTCTGGCCGCTAAAGTTCCCTTCTTCGTCGGGCGCATATTTCATATAGAACGGATTGTACCAGACGAGTTGGCCAGCGGCGTCTTCTGCGACGTCATAGCCACGCTTGGCCTGGTTGATACGGACTTCACCCCCGGATGCCATGTAGTGGAAGTACTGGTTAGAGTGCACGCCAGCTTTCTGCGGGGCGGTCCAGGAGGCCGTATACACGCCCGTAGCAATTTTGTTCGGGTCGCCTTGTTTCTGCCAGGTAACCATCACGGTAATGGTGTCCTCCGTGGCCTCGCTACACCCCAAGCTTGTAGCGATGCCTTTTGCGGCCGAGGCAGAGACCTTGGCGGGAAGGAAGCCCGCTGGCGAGACCATCGAATCACATATGTCTATGTGATGGCTGTTTAGGTAGTACGATATGTCCGAGTCGATACCGGCCCACGCCTTGAAGGTCTCTAGCTGAGACTTTGGTTGGGACATATAGCTATAAAAGTAGTTGAAGTCGCCCAGTTTCTGCGCCTTGAATTTGGCATCCGCGTACGCGGGGTCGAACCGTTTGTGATGCTCGATGTACACATAAACATTGTGCTTTCTTGCGGCCTCGATGAGCGCCTGATGATGCTCTAGGGTTTTAACGGCAGGCTTAGTGATCATAACGTGTATCCCGCGCTCGATAGCGTACAGTGCTATCGGATAGTGGGTTGTGTCCGGCGTAAATATAGTGATAGCGTCGCCCGGTTTCAAGGAATCGATGGCGGTCTTGTAAGCATCCGGGTCCTTTACATCGTTTGCCGGATAAGAGTCGAAGGAGCAGTCTAAGCCATTATAGGCCTTGGAGATATTGGTGTCGAGATGTTGTCCTGAGTCTCATGTCAACACTCGTTCGGACACCTCGAGACCACTTTCCTAGGCCCGGTATCACGATGGGACTTACTGATAGCCGGGAATTTAGTCCCATTCACGCCCACCATTCCCAGCCTAGCCACCTTTCCCCTCCTTCGAAGATCGAACAGAGATAGGCCAACTACCCCGACCTTCTTATCGGATCCCGACGCGCCGCCGCCGACAAAGCCAGTGGTGTATTCACCAGTCCCGATCTCGGGGGGTCAGCCTATTACGGGCAGCCGTAGGAGACGCACCGCGACAATACTCACCATTAGCACATTTAATGGCGGGGGCGCGGTCGTCGGGACCGTGACTGACATTGTGGTTTCCGGTGCCATTTCGCGCGTTCTCTTCGTAAATGCGCCTAGCGGATCTTAAAGCGGGAGACCTGGATCCCGTCAGAGACTTGTGAATTAGAAGATAAGCCGCGAGCAACCCGATCGAAGAGTCGACAAGGCAGATAACGAACACGCAAAAGAAGAGGCGGCGATAAGATGGCTGGATCATAAAGTCATGTATTTCTATATTGCCCTATTAATAAAGCTACTACACCCTCCCTACCCCGACTTACACGGAATGGCGAGAGTTCATAGACGGAAAAATTGAGGGGTAGCCGGGCGTTAATCTGCGAAATAGGTACGTATGTCTTAGTCTCTTGCCCCAAGCGCACGCTGAGGTTCTACGTTGTAGGTATTATTTATCAGGCACCTCCCAGGAGAGGAGGTAGGCCTCGGCGTAGATCCACGGAAATTCGATTGATAGGTATACCTATGCCACCCAGGTACGTAGTAGGTATGTGCACTAGCGGGCGTACCACAGCTAGAGGGGTTGTGCATTCGTGGGGAGGTCAACGACGAGCCGGGTGTGAAAGAGAGCGGTAATGAGGCCAACTTGGGCACCTAACCTATGTGCTACGTGATGCAAATTTGAGACGTTATTTTCCCTGATGATGGTGTCTCGCCGTGGCACCTGGATGAGACGCTCCCCTACTAGAAAGTCGTTCCGGCAGTTCGACTGCCAAGAGCTACCTGCCTGCCTACCTGACCTCCCTTGCCTACCTAGTAGAGGTACCTAGCCTATAGCGGAAACGAAACGATATAGTTTCCTTATTTCCCCTGTCCAATTGGCGTTTTTATGCTGTCCTTTCTGTCGCTGAAATGATACCCGAAGTGTGCAGGCCCAGAGTACAAGAATGACGCCTCGGCAAGATGCTTAGGTAGATAGATACCTAGGTGGGTACCTATGAGTATGCTATTATCCATGGTGGGGGGGGCACCAGAGGCCGAGAGACGTGGGCATATGTATACACACCCTAAGCGAACGTGCGCCCCTAATTATGGCACCTGACATATCCCTTAGGTCTTCTGTTCGATTGGATTGGGATTGGTGCCTTGGGCGCTCCTCAAGGACCGGAACAATGCCTTGATACGGCAGTTTCTTCATCCCAACACAAGGAAATCTCGCCGAAAGAAGCCTTGCTCATCCGCCATAATCTTTAGGCGCCTTAGGTACCAAGTCAGGTACCTACGAACGTACGTCTTACACAGGATTAGGTACCTAACAGGAAGAGAAAGCTGCCCCGCCCCCACCGAAGCGCTGCTGCCCATGGGATAAAAAGGGTCCGTCCCCCCACCGTCTGCGCCTGCCCAGGTGACGACGTGAGCACCTATGGAAAAGTGGCTGCCCCGCGTCTCGGTGGGGCAATGGGAGCGCTTCCAGTTGGGGTGCTACGTACTCAGGTACCTACCTACGTTAGGTACAGGCACGCAACCGAGGCCGGCATCGGTCATGATTGGACTGCCTTGTAGCCGGGAGAGCTGGTGTGCGAAACCAACCGACCGACCGTGAGGTCTGTACTCATACTATGTTAGGCACAGAACAATAACAGCCACGGGCTCTCTTGGCCTGAGCAACGCCAGAGCATGCAGACGCTGCCACAGCATTCCGGCTAAATGCGATGCTTTCGAGCGCCTCATCTTAGATCGAGAAAGACCAAGTGCCCGTCTCCTAAGCCGAAAAAAAAATAACATATACCCTCTACGACAGGGGGGTCGTTGGGCCCTTAAGGTAAGTGCGCAGAGTTACATTGCACCGACGCCAGCGAACGTGGTGGAATAGTGCCCGGCTTTCCCCCCACGAAGGACGAAGAGACGAATCTTCTGACTAACCGTTGGTGGTGGCTCCGTTACACCCGCTTCCAGCTCTGCCACTGGAGGAAAAAAATCCCCGCAGCCATTTTTCCGTCTGGCATACGCAACCCTGCGCCCTGTGAGGGCATCTGGCTTGGCCTGCAGAGCAATTAAAGAGCTACCCGAACGCGCTCGTGTACCCCAGAAGTCGAGGTATCTCGACAACTGCTTGCGAATGGGGGCATCGGGGGTACTGTAGTCTAACGCCCCTTGGCTCGAAGCGGGGCGGGGTTGGTTAGCCATCGGTTCGCGAGCATGTGGTACCCGATAACCCAACGAGGGACCCGAGAAACCTCAGGAACCCATCCAAACCCATATCTCACCAGGTTCGGGAGACGAATTCGCCTAGGTACTCCACAATGCGGCAACCGCCGAGTCCAACCTAGCATTCCCTTCTAAGACTCTGCCGTCGAGGGAACAGCCTTCGATATGCCCTTCCCACCAACAGCGTATGCATAGCCGACGGCATGTCTCGACCCGTCGACCGTCCGATCGCTGTCTCCAACGAGGGCCAGCTTCCCTCCGATGGTTGTCCTCTTGGGGGGAAGGGTCACAAGATGACGGGATCGATGTCGATGACGTCTTCACCAACTTCGCCCGTCAGCTTCGCAGCACGTCCGCGATCGCCTCGACTACGCATCCGCCTCGGGGAAATTCTACGCGCGCAGAGCATAGCTTCTTCGGCTTTCCCGACTGTTCTGTGTCGCCCGTGTGGCCCGCCTATGGTGACGACAGAGTTTCTTCACAAACCGCTCTCAATTTCAGCCGAGTCGCGATCTGCTCTACCGCAGATCTTCTTGGCTCCCCATCAGCCCAGTTTCTGATCCCACCGGGAAATGGTGGCTGGACCTGGCCAATCACGATGCCGTTACAAATCTCATCTCAACCTATCTTCCGCACGAGCAGCTGCCGGATAGGGCACACTCGTCAGCCATTGAACCGTTTCTGGACTTTTGCCACGCCTTCAACCCCGGGTTACTACAGCTAGCTACCTGGCCGTGCGACCGAAAACATGTTGCGCGCCTGTTTGACGACCCGATATTTTCTACGCCCGGCTCTGTAAAATTTAGGGCTTTGGCCCCCCTCCCCCCGCCGGTGGCATGGTCGATCTATTTATGCCATCTTGGCTTCGATGCAGTTCCTGAGGTGCGGGTGGCTCCGTCTACCTGGGGGTCGTGGGGGATTTCGGCTCATCTATAGTCGTCTTCGCGTCTCGACGCTATAGGGTACAGAACCCCTCGCGACCTGCCTATGTGTCAGTTCCTCTCATTCCCCCGGGAGGGGAGTTTCGGGACCCAGGGGGCAACGAGTCTCGCCTTCTTCGGACCAATGTCGTTGCGAGCAAAATAACACTAGAACTAGTAAGACTCAAGTCTCGTATACTGCTGACCCACACCCCGCAAGATGTTACATACAACTCAGGACCGAAGCCATTAGGTTACGGAAAGAGGAGAAAAAAAATTCAATAAATAAGGGAGCCATGCCGCTGCTGCGTACCGAGCACTATGCTGTTACGTATATAAGTATAGACACGGGTCCCTTTTCCCTTGCCGCGATTTTCCCTTTCTCGGTGTCGCTTTTTCCGCTTACTGTCCTGTGCCAACCTACTTATCCGTCGGTGTATATCGGCCCGCGAGTCCATCAGTGACATCCTCACCATCCGAGGTGTTGTCCCATCGCCGTACCTTCACCAGAAATCATGACTAGTGATGGGGCCAACGGCCACACGGCCGTAAGACGGCCATTGCCATGCGGCATCTATGCTCCCACCATGACCTTTTTCGATCCCGAGACCGAGGAGCTCGATATCCCAACAATAAAGAAGCACGCCGAGCGTCTGGCCAAAGCCGGACTCGCGGGCTTAGTTACTATGGGATCCAACGGAGAGGCCGCTCACTGCACGCGCGAGGAAAAGGTGGCCGTGACCCGCGCTACCAGAGAAGCTCTGGACGCTGCTGGCTTCACCACGACGCCCATCATCGTCGGGGCAACGGAGGGTAGCGTTAAGGGGACCATCGAACTCTCCAAGCAGTCCCAGGCAGCAGGGGGCGATTATATACTGATTCTGCCTCCGAGCTACTTCCGCGCCCAGATGGACGAAGAGGCCATAGTAGGATATTTCAACGCCGTCGCAGACGCGAGCCCACTGCCGATCGTCATATACAATTACCCTGGCGCAGTCGCCGGTATTGATCTCGACTCCGACCTACTTATTAAGCTGGCCCAACACCCTAACATCGTCGGGACCAAGTTTACCTGTGGCAGCACCGGGAAGCTCACTCGTGTGGCCCTGGCTACCGACGCCAAAACCCCGGCCTCGGAAGGTAGTGGATACATGGCTTTCGGAGGCATTTGCGACTTCACAGTCCAGACGCTGGTATCGGGAGGGAGCGGAATCATTGCGGGCGGCGCGAATGTCATGCCCAAGGTCTGCGTCAGGGTGTGGAACCTGTATTCCGAGGGGAAGATAGACGAGGCGATTGCACTACAAAAGCTCCTCTCGCGAGGGGACTGGTTCCTGACAAAAGCGGCGATCGCGGGCACCAAGCAAGCAATCCAGAGCTACTACGGCTACGGTGGTTATCCCCGGCGTCCGCTCAAGCGCCTCGATCAAGCGAGGATCGAAGCCATCGCGGAGGGGATACGAGACGTGATGGAAGTCGAGAAGACCCTGTGACGGCAGTAAAACGGGTTGCCGGGACACCATTCTATGAAACCCTCAGGGACTGGCTTTATGCTGTCGAAATTAGCCGCGTGGCCGTTGATCGCCCCATATACCTAGAAAGTGCGGGGTTTGAATCCGGGCAGACGGGTGAGGCTCGTGGAGGGTGGAAATACACAGCATCCAATTCGCTCTCGACTTGGACAAGGCCACTCGCTTGAAGGTAAGTGGTCACACAGACTCACGTACATACGGCAGTCCGCGTGCAGAGGCGCGCGGAACACAAACACGTTGCGCGGAAACTTGGTGATTCTTCTCTATTCCCTTCGGGTGATCGGCATACACCTAGCTTGGAACGTTCGCTATCCCGTAACGACATTCTGCTTCTTGATGGCAAGGAGAACCACCGGGCCTCTATGGTTTACACTATTCGGTCAAACATGTTCTGTCACGAACAAGCGGGGACGGAGAAGAAGTACACGGTGCTACATGGCCGACCTCGCTAGCCCACGGCCATACTGCGCACGACATCGCTATTTTTTGTCTTCGATAGTATAGCGTATTCATTCCCACCGTCACTAAACACATCGTTGCTGTCTTCGTCGTTGCCACCGCCGCCGTAACTTCCCGTCACAGGGGGCATAGAGACTGCACCGTATGTCGTGGTCCTCCGTACAAAGACTAGGTCGACCGTACGAGAGTACGACACTTCGAATTCATATTGCTATCCTCGCCCACCTGTCGGGAACCGTCTATCTGCCTAGGTATGGCAAGAAGCGGCGTGCGTGATGCGCGAGGAATGGTCGCGAGCCATTTGGGTGTACCCAGATAGCCAAGAACATCCGTAAATACCACCGTCATCCATCCACAACCTCGCATCGTCCACGTAGATACCGCGAAGGGGTACGATATGACCTGTTCGTCTGCATGGCATTCGCGTGCACTCTATACAGGTAAGGCGGTCGCCTCCTCACATATAGCATATCATGTAGATTAGGAACGGGGACGAGATTAACGGTAGCAGTGGCCGAGTCGAACCGATTTCCGCCGAGGAAATGGAGGGTTCGTCTGTATTGTCCCTCCCCCCCCCCCCCAAATTTCCCTTTATCCTCCGTCGACCTCATTCACACACGCCCAGGGCCCGGTGAGCCATTTTTGTGGTAGCAGCGGCAGCGGGAGCCGTAGCACCGCGTGAATATAGTCCCGACGATCTACGATGGAAGGCAAGGAAGGTATTATTCGCGGGAACCCTACCGCCTAATCTTACGACGGTACGTGGACTGCACCGCCGTGCCTCTTGTCTCCCTCGCTATATTCGCTCGTCTGCTCGTCTTACCCCACGAGCTCTTTTCTCTTCTGCCTCTAGGGTCCTGTCTTCGCTGCCTCCTCCCCTCCATCCTCTCCCCGCGTCTCCTCCAGGGCCCCCAATACTACTACGGCTGGGACTAGTACTGCTCCTGCTTATACCACCCCTGCTACCCGTCTCCGAGGGCCGATCCCTCATCCGATTCAAGATTGGTCATTTGCCATGTGCTTGTCGCCATCCTGGCGGTGAGAGCGGCAGCGGGTATTCATGCCTTGGCCTAGCGGCTTCTAGTCGCGAGAGATAACATGCGGGAGGGAGAGGGGGGTGGAGGTGATGGCACCGGTTATCATGATAGGTACGCTATATCAGCTGGGGGAATACGCATGCGTACGTGGTGGTCCCCTCCACCACTCCCCGCATGCAAGTATGACGATATGTGTCCCGTCCCCTATTCAGCCTCCTCTTTGGTAGGTTGATCGACACGCCATGCGGGATGTACCGGTACTATCCCTCCCTCCTTGTCCCTCTCACCCGGCCATCCATGCTTCCCGCTGGACCCTACGTGCTTACCAGCTCCACGCATGAACCCGAGCGGAAGAAGAGACACACGCTGCCTTCTTTTTCCCCGGACGTTCGAAGAAGAAAAAAAAATCGACCCCACGCTCCTTGTCGTCATAGTCGTCCGACGTCGTCGTGTTTATCTATGGTAGGTATTTGCAGTCTCGCTTCCTTTCGTAGTTATCATTCTCGCCGCTCCTCTCCCCTCCTGCGATCATACCTTGAACCTCTTTGGGTCTAGTTCTGCGATGTCGGCGCTCTTGGCCTCGCCCTCGAAAATGAATTCGCTCATCAGTTTGCCCGTCGCCGGCCCGTTCTGGATCCCCCAGCACGTGTGGCCCGACGCTATCCACAGTCGCCCGACTGACGTCCCGCCAATCAGCGGCACGCTCTCCTTGCCGAAGCGCATGTGCCGCGGCAGGTAGCACGCCTGCTTTGCCGCGATGGCCGCGGACCTCAGGACGGGGCTCACCGTGCCGATGTAGGAAATCAGGTCGTCGCATTGTGACTCGTCGCACTCGACCTGGTCAGCGGTCTCCGGCAGCGGTATCTTCGAGTCTGGCTCGCCGCACGCGTACACCTCGCCGCCTGGGCGGGCGTAGATCTCCGGGTCCACGTTCCCCCTGTGCTTTCGCTTCTCGCCTCGCGCCGCCCTGTGCGCCGGCACCCAGTCGTTGGGCAGTGAAATGTCGGTGAAGACGGCGTAGGGGCTGACGTCGGCGGTGAACACCACGCTGTGCGCCCGCAGGCCCTCAACCCTGGCCCTGGGCCAGAGGCGGCCCGTCCACGGCCCCGCTGCCACGACCACGTCCGTCACGCCCCGCAGGGTCCGCGTCTCGTTGATAGCGCGGTCGAGGTATTCGACGCTCGAGACAGCCGTGCCTGATTTGTTCAGGCCAATGCAGGTGACCTTGGTGTTGACACGAATCTCAGCGCCGCGTTCGCGCGCCAGAGCGGCCATTGAGGTTGTAAATTGGTAAGGGTGCACCTGCGCTGTCTCGGTGAACCCGGGGAGTCCCATTTCGGCGTACTCGCGCACGAGGCTGGCGTTGATCCAGTCGAGGTCTTCGGGGAGGACCGACGGACGCAGCAGGGCGCTCGCGGCCGCGTCCTGCTTCGGCAGCTTCTGCCAGTCATCCTGGACGTCCTGTTTCGGGAGGCCGGAACTGTTCCTCTTCCTCGTCCTAGCGGTGGGGCTCTGAGCGGGATGCCCGCCTTCCTTCACCGTCGCGGTCAGCTGGCCGCACTCGAGGGTGCGGTACCCCCACCTCTGGGCGCCGCCGTGCTCGGTCGCGAGCTCGGCGTGGAGACGGTAAGATAGGGGGACTAGACAGGTCGGGTAGGCCCACAGGCCCAGTAGGCCGCCGGCCTTGCCAGAAGCGGCCGCCCCGACGGAAGTGGCCTCGAGTAAGGTGATGTGGTGGATAGAGGGGTTGAAAGCGGGATGCCGGGTTAGGTAGTATGCCGTCGTTGTGCCGATAACACCACCCCCTGACGGAACAAAAAAGAGAGAGAAGCGAATTAGCGTGCATCCACTATCGTGACTAGGTGCTACCACATGTCGCAGCGTGCTTCCTCGATGCGGCACGGCCGACCAGGTCAAGTTGGGGGCACGGCCGACCAGACAGGTTTTGTACGTAGCTTTACTACGTCGTACAGACACGGAGATGCAGGCCAGAGGAATGGAAGGGTTGGGCGATGCGATGGAGATACGATAGTGCCAAGTAAAAGTACGAATCTGTATCGAGAGGAGTCGGGACCTGAAGAGCTAAGAAGAATGAATCATAACAACAGTAGCAAAACTCAGCGCTAACCTATGATCACGATATGTCGTGGTTGGGGAATATGGCTGCCCATACTAGTCTATTTGACATGACCGACTCCTTGGTGGCTCGTCTAGGTGCAGACCCCCAAGCCCAAGTTCCACGGCGGAAGAGGAGAGGCCAAGCTAGGGTGGGCGGGTGGGCGAGGGAGACGTTTGGCTCTGCGGTCCTCCTTCACATGCCACGTATGGCAGGGTAGAATGAGGCCGGGTCTGGGGTATTATCTGCTCGCAAGCGAGTTTCGTCCCGGTTTGTGTTGCTATTCGGATTCGCTGTCGGGTGGATCTGTGTGTCGGTGGTTAGTTTATTAGCAATCGATGGTGTTGTTCATCATGAGCCCGGCTCCCTTTTTTTCCCTCTCGGTCTTTGTTGTCCTCCGTGCCCTTCTCTATCTCTTGTCTGCTCTCCGAAATGAAATAACACAATCGAGGTCGAATGATTTTGTCGCCTGGGAGGGGGAAGGGGTCGTACGCGCGCGAACAGCTCTCGACCCTCCTCGCGTAGGATGTATTTAGTGCTCTAACAGCGTGTGATGGGAGAGACGAGTGACGGACGATAGTACAACATCAAGCTCGAATCCTACATGGGTCTGCCCGCCCCCCTCTGTCTCTTATCAACGTACGGCTTATGTAACCGGCTGTGCTAGGTACCTAATTCGGATAACCCGGGGAGGGCGAAGGGTAGGAGCAGGTGGCCCAAGCTCCCCGGCTATGAGAGGTACAGCCGGACAGACCCCACTGTAGCTACGAGGGGCCCGTGTGATTGGGCCAATTGGTCATGCTCCGCTCCGTGGTCGCATTGGCCAACCAGCGGGTTGCTACGTACCTGCCTATATACCTTAGGTACCTAAGGTAGGTAGATACCTAGGTACCTACCTACCTGTGCCTAGGAGGTATGTAGGTACCTATCTAGGTAAGTATCTGTAGGTACCTGCGTATTCGGATCTTGCGGTTGCCGAGGCATCCACACGATGACACGGGGGACAGGGCAGTCGCGCGATACGTCACACACCCAATGTGTCAAGAGAAGGTCCAATCCAATGCGACAAGCCGACGTGTGTCATCGTCAATTATATCATCGCCAGAGTATCCCCGCTCACCTCTCGCTCACCTCCTTGACTTACTCAACTTCACGACACGACACGCAACGGCCGAGTAATCCCCGCCAACAACCGGATACCCAAGTCAGAGATTATCGTCATTTACCTATGCGACAAGCTGTCGCAAGGATCTGGTATCCTGTGCGTTCATCACTCGGTCGGTAACGCCCCTGTCTCTGCGCTACTTTGCGCAATCCCATCGAGTGCACCCATATCTACATATACATCCCGAACTCTCATTTACTAACCTCTCGGCCAGCCTCAATCCTATCGCAGAGACAGATTCTCACGTCTCTATCGTCTTACCATCGACTTGCGAGCTATCATTACCCCGCTCCGCTAAGCAGCGTCTCGGGCCCGTCACTAAATACCCCACCGTTCCGATTGCAAAGACGAACGGAAACCACCATGGCTTCGGCGACGACATTCTACGATTTCAAGGCCAAGGACAGTGAGTGCCCTATGAAGTCATGGCCCACAGCTAGCTTTCCGGTAGCCCGGCAGCCCGCCTCGCCAAAACTTTGCCTAAGCTAACCGTGACCCGCACATTGCAGAGAGGGGCGTCGAGCAGTCCATGGCCGACTACAGCGGAAAGGTCGTTCTGGTCGTCAATACTGCCTCTAAGTGTGGCTTCACCCCGCAGTATGCGGGGCTGGAGAAACTATACAAGGAGATCACCGAGTCTCACCCGGACGACTTCGTTATCCTCGGCTTCCCTTGCAACCAGTTTGGTGGTCAGGAGCCCGGCACCGACGACGACATCCAGTCCTTCTGCCAGGTCAACTACGGCGTCACCTTCACCATCATGGGCAAGACCGACGTCAATGGTAGCAATGCGGAGCCCCTGTACGAGTGGATGAAGGCCGAGAAACCCGGTCTCCTGGGCATGAAGCGCATCAAGTGGAACTTTGAGAAGTTCCTCATCGGCCGCGACGGTAGGGTCAAGGAGCGATGGGCCAGCACGACCAAGCCTGAGAGCCTGGAGAAGGCTATTCTGGAGGAGCTGGGCAAGAAGGCGTAAGTCCCTGCTCGAGCCTGGGAAGCTGCTTTTCTCTCTCCTTAACTTTTACCCTCTATGTTGCTGGCGAACTGGAGGTACGCGTTGACGATTGCCCATAGAGTGGCCATGATATAATGCTTAAGGGTCTGGGTGACACGTGGTGTTTTCTTGCTATACGCTACTCTCCCCACCTAACCTAAAACAAATATAACGAGGATCAATCAACAAGCACGCCGCATTACATCCAGAATCGTTGAGATCTCGGGGCTATCCTGGGAACCAATAATTTCCTTCTCTACTGTATCGCGTTGCTATACTGATGTTGTTGCAGTAGTGAAGCGGAGTCCCCCCCAGAAGTCTAATCATTGCGACGAATTATATGCCCGTTTCCGTTTCATGTCTCCATCGTGATCTTAGGTCTATCCCCGGGACCTCCTTTCATTCCTGATGCTGGATCCGAACCTTAATCATCGCCTATGATAGCCGTCCGCAAGCTTGAATGGCATCAAGGACCGGTCATGAGTCCCAAGAATCGTTATATAGCTGATGGCCCTACGCAGGACCTCAAAAGACTGCTCTTGGAAGTTAGGGAGTCAAGTGGCCTCGTGACGAAGCAACAGGAAGGTTGACCACGAGTCTCGAAGCAACTGTAAGGAGAAGCTGGATAGAGATGCTGATGGTAGTATGCGGATGCCGTCGTGGTAGAGCGTCCGCACAATTCTTTCAGCATGAACGAGCCAAGTTCCAGTGAGTAGCGTACCTCGGCGTACCTCGGCGTACCTCAGGCTTCTGGTTATCGCGTCCTCATTCAAGAAAACAGCCGTCCCCTAATGAGGTTAGTGGAGGTGTCTATCTTCTGGTGCTTTGAGGGCCGCTTCGATATCGACAGAGCCTTTCTAAGTTCTCTATGGAATCGAGGTTCCGGGGGGCAACTGGCTACAAACTACGCGACGTTCAAATTCACCATATCATCAACATCTCACAGAGCAGTTCACTCTCGTTTAGTCCCATATATCCTCAAGTCAGGGGACAATATATATCATACTAAACAACCCAGTATCTCTCTAACAGAGTCGCTCAGAGAATCTCAGTCGACCGACTATAGACAAGAGCGCCCGCCAGGCCCAATTCCAGTCCCCGGTGCAGCATCATAGTCCTATCAGCGGTTTCACGTTCACAATAACTCGCGGCGACTTTCTATGTTTACGGGATCTTCGAGTCACAGATTCTTATGAGTCTACTCACCACTAGTACCGAGATACGCTATCATATCGCGTTCTGCTGATAATCAGCCACCTGACGCAAGGCCAGCATATCATCTATCTCTAGGTATTGCAAAATAAGCCAAACCAACCAGCACTAGCTACATTCCTCAAAACAAACGATCTACGTCTCATAAACATCTTCGTCCTCCCCATGGTCCCCCAACCTCGTGGGAGCGAGCATCATGTCATGGCAAGATGAGCAGATACCCGCAACCCCCCCTCGGTTCACAACAGTCTCACGAGGGAAAACTGGCCAAGGGAGCACAGGACCAGGGGGAACTGTGACCGGAAGCTCGGAAGGCAGATCTAGTCAGAAAACGAGACGCAAATGTTCATCAAGTGGCTCACGAGTTGCTGTCAAACCTGCATGGACCACATTTCCTGCCAACGCTGCAGCGCTGCTTGCACGGAGCAACTCGACGGCATCGATGGAAGCAACCCAAACGAAGCGAAAAGAGGACGATCATCACCAGTATCTATCCACCTGAGCGCAGGAGCTCGGGCTTTCGAGAACAAGCCGACGTACACTACCGAGTGACCATGCGGTAAGAACGAGAGCAAGGCATGGGATAAAAAGAGACAGTGCATTGTGCCCACTCTCCCATCCGAACCGGGTCGGCGTTCGTTGTGGATTGAAACGAAACAATACCAGGAAGATACTACCTACAGCCTCAAATAGGTTGCGGTACAGCGTATGCTCACGAGTCATGGTGATGATACGAAGATAGGCGTACAGCTACCACCCATCGCAACTTTACCAGAGCTGAGATGAGCCTCAAGGACTCCTTCGTCTTCGCGCCAACCCCAACCCAGCTTGACCGACCAGTGAGGCCAGTGAGAAGCAAAGCAGGGGTTGTACCTACATTCGCTGTCGCCAAGTTTTGGACGTTTCAAGTGATCTCCAACGACCGAACAAGCAGACGTACGAGCCACCGGATTTTTAAAAGGAATCCAGGGAACTTGGCTGTTTCGTCCCTCTTCATTCGCCCACGCCGACGTTGGGCGTCTACTCGCCAGGACCTTTGCCGCGTCGGCGCAATAGCTCCCGGCTCCTACGGCGAAAATGGGTGTACGGACCACTTGGGTCGAATCCCACGGCATGTCTATTTTTACTCGATCGACGCTTCGGCGTGTCTCAAGGCACGGATTCCACCGCAGCAGGCAAGCCTCAATCACGCGTGCAGAATCCGCAGCACGCACCCCGGATTCTCACTCTCACTCTCACTCTCCCCTCCCGCTCTCCCTGAACAATCGAATTGACATTTGAAGAGACAAGGAGAGAGATGCTGGGACATGTTCGTCGTCTTTCACGCTTCCCAATACAGGACTCGTTATTAATACGACGTGGCATCCGTTATTTTGGTCGAAGAAGTAGGGCAAGTGTTCCCGAAGGATCAATAAACGAACCTAGGCGAAGGAATGAAGCTAAGCTCTACGATGAGTATCAGGTGGCACAGCGTTATGATAATATGCAGGAACGGACACGTTCTGTACACACACACGCACAACGCCGGCCTTCTCGGGCACATCGCGATGTGTTGATTCCAGCGCGTACTGGCAGGGTCTGGGGTCGTCTATCTGTGACTGCTGCCGATGCCACTTCGTCGTTCGCCGTCGCCGCCACCGCCGCCTGCGCCGCAGCCTCATCCTTAACCGCGTTTCGTAGCCGGCACCCATCGTACGGCGTGGATCGAGACGACTAGGGGGGAAGAGGCAAGGCGTCGACGCGATGGAGCGGTGAGGTGGAGAGAGGACGCGCCACTCTACATACCTACACATACATACACGGAGAGTAAGTAACGTAGGTAGACATCCATACATGGTTTGATGGTTGGGCCTGTCCGCCTCGGCCGTTCTACCACCGCCGTCATTCCCTCGCGCACGCACGCCCGGTCCCATTCTTTATTTAGGCATTCTGGCCCTTGAAGCGTATCGATCCTCCGGCCATAGTCTATCTAGGTGACCCAGGGGTTTCGAGAGCAAGTAGGAAGAGCACGTAGGAAGAACAAGGGCGACAAGAGGAAAAACCGGCCGCAGCAACAGCAGCGAAAGAAAGCTGGGCCTATCCGGCACTCGGCGCGCGGGTGTGGTCCCCCTGTGGTTCACTTTACGTACATACCTACACATATGTCCACGCAGGCCTCACAGGCTCAGGCTCAGGCTCAGGCCCCAGGCCAGGCCCAACGACAGCGCACTGCCGTGGCGGGATTCTCTGCGGCGCGGGCGCGGTAGATAGGTATGGTAGGCATATCCATGCGCAGGTACGGCGCAGGTTTTACGCACATTAACAGAAAACACACACACGCACACGCACATACCTACATCAACAGACATAGCTACGTAAACACACACACACACACACACACACCCTCTCTCGTTCGCCCTCTCTCCTCTCGGCCGGGACCTCGCTCCGGGCTCACGACGTACACGCACAGCCAACCAAGGCGATCGGGGGTGCAAGCCACCGACCGCGGAAAAGGCCAACCCGGCCAACCAACTTACTTACCTGCAGACGGACTGACTGACTGACTGCACGCGGGTTTGGCATCTACGTAGTCCGGCGTAGCTGTGCATGCGTTCGAGGAGGTAGGGAGGTTAGAGACGCGGACATGTGCGTATCTGCACCCACGCCTTGGATACGCAACGCACGCACGCGCGGGTCGGGTGGTCCCTGACGCATTCCTCCCCCCCCCTCTCCACCTCCCTTCGTCGCGCTCGCCTGCTGCTGGTGGGCCTCCTCGCCTCCGGTCAGTCGGCCGGCCGTCCAGCCGTGCGGGCCAGCTGTGCGTCGATGGATGGGGATGGGCCCAGTGAGAAAAAGAGAGAGGGAGAGGGAGAGAGAAAGTCGACAGGCAAGTTATGCGTGCGCGCGCATGTGAGAGGTAGGTAGGAAGTACCTAAGGTAAGGTAGGGTAAGTAGGGAGGTATGGACGGACATACGCATGTAGGTATGTAGTATGCAGCGGGAAGGGGTTGCATAGCGAGAATACCCACCCACCGAACTACCCACCTACGTAGGTACCTACCTACCTACGTTGCCAACGACGGCGAGGAGGAGGTGGAGGAGGGAGGTAGGTAGGTAATAGCAGGTGGTTATATCGAACATGGCAGCCGGGATGCGGGAGGAGGAGGAGGAGGAGGAGGAAGCATGTACGTAGTAAGTGGGCACGGCCTAATACACGCGCGCGCGCGCGCTGCGGACGGCGCGCACCCTGGCCTCGCTCTAGAGTAGAGTAAGTACGTGTAGAGGCAGCCCAGCTGGCGTCGCATGGGACGTACGGATGCGTGCGCGCGCGGGTCGACGTTGTTGTTGCTGCTGCTGCTGCTGCTACGTGCGGGCGTGCGACGTCCGTCGGCGAAGGAGCGGGGGGGAGGGGAGCCCGCCCACCTGCGACTCGGACCTGCGACGACGGGGTGCGTCGCTGGCGCTGCTGCTGCTGCTGCTGCTGCTGCTGCTGCTACGCAGAGTTGCTGGCACCTCGACACCTCGCCACTTGCTGGCGCTCGCCGCCTGCTGCTGCTGCTGCTGCGATATCGCTGCGGCGAGTAAGACGATCGGGCGATCCGGGACCCAGGTTTTGCCGGGGGCTGGTTCTCTTCTCCCCTCTCTCCTCTCTCCTCTCTCCTCTCTTCCCTCTTCCCTCTCTTCCCCCCCCCCCCCCCCCCCCGGCCCTCCCGCCGCCCCATCCCAGCGCGCATCGCGCGCACGCACCCAGGCAACCGACCCGCGGCGATGATGGCCCCGCGCCCCTGGTCGCTCTCGACGGCGGAGCCGTACGCACACGTGCGCGCGTGCCGACGAGGAAGGGGAAGGGGAAGGGGGAGGGGGGAGGGGGCAGGGGCAGGTGAGGAGGAGGAGGAGGAGGAGGAGGAGGAGGAGGAGGAGAAGGAGGACGACGACGAGGCAAGATAGATAGCCCCGGAGAGAAGAGGCCGAAAATACTCATACCTACCTACCTACCTACCTACGTCAAATACTCCAAGGGCAAGGCAGGGCAGGGCAGGGCACAGCTACGTTCGCAGGGGGACCGGGAGGTGATTTTGTATACCTAGGTAGATTCTGTAGACGGATTCCCGCGGGATCGGCTTCCTCGTGCTTACGTACTCGCGAGGTCCTGCATCCTCTCTCTCACTGTACTTATTTCCTGTTCTCTCTTTCTCTCTCTCCGTGCGCCGCTCCGTCTTACGGGGCTTTCCGCTGACGTTTTTGGGGAGAAGGCAATATAGAAAGCCGAGGTAAAAAAAAAAAAAAAATAGTGAGACGAAGACGCGTAGAGGCGGCACGGCGTCGCGGGATCAGGTGGCCCAGATGCGCGATACCTACGGTTGACCGACGGACTAGGGGCGACGAGGACGAGAGGGGAAAATAGGTAGAGAGAATATATGCATGCATACCTGTTAGTAGCTGACAAACTAACTGACAAAGAGGCCCTCCTAGTAGTTTACTCATAACCTATGTTATTATTACTAGTACGGTCGTTAATATTACCCGTCGTACTTCTCATGACTTACCTCTTACTTGCCTAGGTACCTTGCCGTTCTTCCACTTCCCACCCTCCCCTGGCGCGCCATCCACCC